GGGCAAGGGAGTGAGGGTGACGAAAGAGATGGTCGCAGCGGGCTGCGTGGCGCTGCCCTTGCTGCTTTCAACTGCATCGCCAAGCAGCAGAGGCGTCCGTCGGCCCGCCTGTGCCCCCCGATTGCAAAGGAGGCGCCGATGGCGCGCGCCCGCCTTCTTTTGGGGCGCGGCGCCAGAGGCCATTTGCCTCTTGCTCCCACTCCAACTCGTGCACGCCACTCTGACGCATCCCCCACACAAACAGAGCTCAACGCCGTGCGCGTCGTGCACAAGGAGCTGCGCGGGCCGGGCGACCACGTGGCGGCGCTGCTGGTGCGCCTCATGCGCTCCGCCTTTGACGTCGTCACGCGCTATCCCTCGCACGCGGCCAAGTTCCCCGCGCTCAGCGAGGCCGCTTCAAGCAGCGACGTAGCAGTGCCCAACGACGGCGCCGACGCCTCTGCGGTGCGCCCCACGCGCCGTGCCATGCGCGCCTCGCAGGCCGGCGGCGCGCCCGAGGCGCTGCCGCTGGCGCAGCTGCGCAAAGAGGGCCGCAGCTTCGCGCCCGAGCAGTGGCTCGTGCGCATCGTCTTTCTCGAGACGGTCGCCGGCGTGCCCGGCTTTGCGGCGGCCATGGTGCGCCACCTGCAGAGCCTGCGCCTGCTGCGCCGCGACGGCGGCTGGATCGGCACGCTCTTGGAAGACGCAGAGAATGAACGCATGCATCTCATGGTGGCGCTCAAGCTGTATGTGAGTAGAGAGAGTGGATGCAAGCGCTGTGACGACGCTGATCCCCCTCCTACCCACAGCGCCCAGGCATCTTCATGCGAGCTATGATCGCCTCTGCCCAGGCCGTCTTTACCGCCTTCTTCTCGGCAATGTATCTCGTCGCGCCGCGCGTGGCGCATCGTTTCGTGGGCATTCTGGAGGAAGAGGCTGGTGCGTCCCCCCTTTCCCCCCCCCCCTTTCTTCTGCCTCACATCGCTGACCACGTAACGTCTAGTCCTCACATACACCAACATCCTGCGCGACCTCGACGCGGGCCGCCTGCCAGAGTGGGAGACGTTCCCCGCGCCGCCCATCGCCATCAGCTACTGGGGCCTGCCGCACGACGCCAAGCTCAGCCACGTCATTCGCGCGCTGCGCGCCGACGAGGGTGAGTGGGAAGCGAGAGAAGAGGGGGGGGGGGGGGGGGGAAAGCGCCCCCCCCCCCTCCCCCCCCACCTCCCTCCGCGATGGCGATGTCGCAAAGACTGACGCGCTGCCCCTCTCGCCCTGCCTCACCCAGCGAACCATCGCTTCATCAATCATTCTCTCGCCTCGCTCAAGTCTACCGATTTGTGCGTCCCCTCCCTTCCCCCTCCCTCCTTCCTTCTGCTGAACTGTCGCGCGCCCACGCAACCAACAGCAATCCCTTCGCATACGGCAACGCGCCCGCCGCGCTGCGCGGCTCCACATGGGGGCTGGAGCGCGACGAAGCACTGGCGTACTTTGAGCGCGAAGATGCCAAGCGGCGCCGCGCCAACGCCGCGGGAGGCGCGGGCGCGGGCGCGCCGAGGGCCGAGGGCGCGGCGGAGCGCGATGGCGAGCTGCTGCGGCTGCAGAGCGCAAAGGAGCAGCTCGCCGCCGACGCCGCTGATGCCCTGCATGCTGCCGCCGAGAGGCTGCCCCACGAGGCGGTAGCTCGCGGGCAGAGCGAGAAGGCAGACGTCAAGAGCGTGCGCCAGTAGAAGGCGCTGCCCCCCTTCGCAACGCCGTCCAGCTACTCCCTCTTCTCTCCACGTTCCCCCCATCGCCCCTCCCCTCTCTAACCTCGCCTCGCCTCATGTCTGATACCCTCTCTTCGTCGCACGAATTCACCACTCCTTCTGATGCTGGTATCGTCGATTGTTGCTCTGCTCGGGCCATGCCGTCGGCACCGCCGTCGCCAGGAAACGTCGGGTCCTTTACTTGTCGCCCTCGCCCTCCGCCTCGCCCTCGTCGGCGTGCGCCGCAAACACGGGCTTGGGCTGGTTCTTGGCCCACGCGGTGGTCCATTTAGGATCGGACGTCGCCTTGTCGGCGTACTTGAGCAGCGCCCTGTTGCGAGCAGGGAGAGAGCGTGACGGGAGGGGGGAGCAAGGGAGGAAGAGGCGTCAGCGAGAAAAGGTCAGCATGCAAGAGGAGAAGGAGAAGGACACGCACTCGCGAGGATCTTCGTCGCGCGTGTTGCCCTGAGGGGAGGGAATATGATCAGTGTCAAATGTGGAAGGGGTCCATCGAACAGCCGGCCCCACGCTCCCTCCGAGCTTCCCCCCCCCCCCTCCGCCCTTTTGTTTGTCACTTGCGTGGGCTGACTCCTTCGGCTCCGCTTCCCCTCCTCCCGCCTCGCTTCTGTACGTCGCTTCGCGCGCGACCATCCACACCCTCGCTTCTCCTGCCACGCGTCACCTCCTCACGCTCTCCTGCACTCACGCGGTAGATGTTCTGCACGACGTGCTGCGTCGCCGCCGCGCCAATGCGGCCGCCCTTGCCGGGCCCGCTCATCGGGCGTTCGGGCATGCGGCTGGCGTGCGGGTCGGCGCGCATCTTTTCCATGCGGCGCTTCTTTGCCGCCTGGCTCATGCCCATGCCTCTGTCCGCCGCATTCTCCGCGCCCGGCGTGATGACGGGCATCTCGCCAAAGCCCTCGAACGTCGGGCGCACCTTGGCGCGCTTCGCCACGGCCAGCAGCGCGCCGCGGCTCGACTTGTGCGCGTCGAAAAAGACGCACACGGAGCCGAGCGACGTCGAGGCGAAGAGCTGGTTGATCTTGGGCGCGTAGACGAGACGCACGACGGACGTCGCCTCGCCGCCGCCGATGGGGATGCGCCGCAGCGGCGCCAGATCGTCGCGCGACAGCACCTCGATGGCGCCCGAGGAGAGCAGCGGCGGCGCCTCGCCGCGCTCGGCCGCCGCCTCGACGGCAGCGCGCTCCGTGGAACGCTCCGCAGACGTGCCAGTCAGCAGTGTCCGCTCGTCGAGACTGAAGATGAGGCTCGTCTGCGCGTACTCGTTGCGCAGGCCAGTGCGCACGGCGAGGGGCTTCTTGAAGCTGCGCGCGTCCCACAGCTTGACCGAGTCGTCGCCGCCGCGCGTCGCGATGGTGCGGCCGTCGCGCGAAAAGGCAATCGCCGACGTCTCGGTGTTGCGTTCGTGCGCGCCCTCGATGCTGCTGCTGGGCCGCGCAAGACTGCTGCTCGTGCTCCACAGATGCAGCGCGCCGTCGAGACACGCGGCGCCCAGCGTGCGTCCGTCGTGAGACACGCCCATTGCCGTCACCTTGGTGCGCGTGCCTCGCTCCTTGCTGCGCACCACAATGACGCGCGCCTGCTTCTGCTTCTCTTCCGCGTGCCAGAAGCGCACCGAGCTGTCGGCGCTGGCGGTGAGAAACGTGTCGGGCTGCGTCGGGTGCCACGCGCAGGCCGTGAGTTCTGCCACGTGGCCGTTCGTGTTGTTCATGTCGCGGATGTACGGATCGCCCTTGCGGAACGTCGCCAGCTCGGCGCCGTCGCGGTCGAAGAGCTTGGCCTGCGCCGTGCCGCTGGCGACGAGCAGCTGCTCGCCCGAGGCGCTCCACGCCACGTCGTGCACCCAGTACGTGCCCGCCGGCTCAAACGACTTGAACGGCCGCAGAGACGCCGTCATGCCGCCAAAGTCCCACAGCTTGACGTCGTAGTCGAGGCTGCCCGTCGCGACGCGTGCGCCGGATGCGTCGACGGCGAGCGCAGAGACCGGCTGCCGCAAACAGGTCAGCCACAACGAGTCAGCCACGGTACAGAGCGGGGAGGGGAAGGAACGAATCAGTACTGGCACGGCAGACCGAGGCTGCGAGAGATGGGCGGCATGCGCTGCGAGGCAACGTGTGCTGCGAGCTCGACGACGTGACGAGATCGACATGGCCATACACAGCCGGCACCGACGTGCTTCTCCACAGCCGCGCCCGACGTGCAGCCTCGCTGCCGGCGCCGAGCTGCTCCTTTCGCGGCTTGGCTTCAGCCGCACCTGGCCCGCCTGTGCAGCCTGGCATGCCGTGCACGACGCACATGCGCAGCACACGCTCGGGCATCGCGCTCAGTCGGGATGCGATGCGATGCGCGACGCCCTGGCCAGAGCGCGGGCTCGCGTCCTCTGCCCCTTCGAGCTGCAGCACGCAGCATGCGATGCGCCAACACCCCTGCTGTCGGCTTGGAACCCATCGAACGGGGGCAGCATGTTCCATGCCCACGCCATCGCCGCAGCCGCCGCTTCCCGCCGTCCACTCACCTTCGTGTGGTCCTTCAGCTCGACGCACTGCGCCACGGGCAGGCCGAGTTCATCATCGCCCTGCGGCTCCGGCCCCAGATCAACACTGCCATCGCTGTCGTCGTCGCTCGCGCCGCCCTGCTCGGCCGCACGTCGCTCGGCCTCGCGATTCGCCGCGCGCTCGGCGGGCGTGAGGCCGTCGTCCGACTCGTCGTCGTCGTCGTCGCTCGCGGCGGCAGGCCGTTTCTGCGGCCCGGAGGCGGGCCGCATGGGACCTCGGACCGCCGGTGCACTGCGCGCGGCGGCGGCGGTGGGCGAGTCCCAGGCGATGCCCTGCAGCGGTGCGGCGCTGCTGCTGCTGGACGCCTCGGGCGCCGCTCGTGGGGCAGCGCCCGGACGAGGCTTGGCGGCCTTGCCGAAGGACATGGGCATCATGGCGCGCAGTGCTTCTTCGTCCATGGCGGGCAGAGCGAGAGGGTTGGTGGGCTGAAGGTGAAGATGTTGCGCTGCGCTGCGCCGAGGAACAGAGCGACGCGTGGTGTGGTGGGTGAAGGCGGAGCGTGGTGCCGAGAGGACAGGAGGAGGGCGCAGCAGTGGAGGTCGAGGCGGCACTTCTCTCGTGCGGCAGGCGCTGGCGGGGGCGGCGCGCGACTCCCGGCGCCTCACTTCCCCGCTGTCGCAGGGGCATCCCTGCCCCCTGTCCTCATCCTGCAGCCCCCTGCTTGGGCAGGCTGTCAGTGTGCTTCTGGGCAAGAGGATGGGATGTTCCCTCTGCATTGCTTTGCTTGGCTGGGCTAGGCCTGCTGGGCAGGCACAGGCAGAGAGAAGGGCACACTGCAGCAGCAGCAGGTGAGTGTCAGAGGGAGACTGCATAGCTGCATGCTGACTTTTCCCTACAGGATGAGCAGCCTGGGGGGGACTGCTGAGCAGAGCAATCAGCAGGAGTAGCAGGTGAGAGCTGAGCATCTAGTGCCTTGGACCACAGCTGACTTGATCTCCTGCAGCCACCTACAAGCTCTGAGCTGGGCCACTTGTGCTCCAAGCAGAGCCAGCAGGTGAGCAAGTAGCCTGCTATGCAGCAGACTGTCACTGACCTGCCTTCTTCTGCAGTGAGCTGCAGCAGATACCCCTGTTCCTGTTCCCTCCCATGTCACTTCTCCTTGGCTGCAGCAATGGCACTTGTCTACCTGAGGGTACATGCAAGCCTTGGCCTCTGTTACTGGTGCTGCTGTAGAGAGCTGCACTGACCCAGAAGCAAGTGTGATGCTGCACAAAGCAGCAAGCATCATTCATTTGTCCTGCAAAGCATGCCCTTCTTGGCCAAGCTGTGGGCTGGGCAGCTGGGCACTTTGATGCAGCAGTGTGGTGCATACCAATGGGCATTTTGGCTGGCTGTACAGCCCAGAAGAGCAACTTGAAGCAATGCAATGGCGCTGTCAGCTGCACTGGCCTTGGCAAAGTCCTGCTTGACAGCTTGCATGCTGCAGTCATGCGCAGGTGCCAGCAACTGCAGGATGGCGGGCTCTGAGTGCTCCTCTGCAGCTACACTAGCAGTACTGTGCCCTGTTAGCAAGCTCTATGCCCAAATGGCTCTGTTTTCATGCCAGCATTCCTGCAGCAGAGCAGCACAGAGCACCAGATAGCAGTCAAAGAGTGCCAGGCCACCACACAGCTTCAGCAAGCTGTACAGGCTCTGCAGGGCTCACGGCAGGCTGTCTGACGCTCTGCGCATGTCAAAAGCAGTGCATAAGGGCCTGCAGCAAGCCCTGAGGCCTGCCAGGCTGCCTGAGGAGTGCAAAAAGCAGAGGAGCAAAAAGAGAGCAAAAATGCCACAAAAGGCAAAAAGTATGACCAGCACGGGGCTCGAACCCGCAACCTTCAGATGTACAGAGCATTGAATGCTCGTAAATCGTAGTCTGCTGCGATGCCAATTTCGCCAACCGGCCATATTTGATGTTCGGCTGGAAAAAGGTTGCGTACACAAATCTGCTGCATTGATCATCAGAATTTGTGTGATAACTTGGTCCGTACAGGCAGTGGGGAGCTTCTGGTGAAAGAATGGAAGGATTTGAGGCAGCACTGGCTGATCTCTGCAGATGTACCCTACCCCTTGACACTAGGCTGCTTGACTGATGCACACTGCATCTGTCTTTCACCTGCCAAAGTCTCAGCACAGCTTGTTAGAGCCACTGCTGTGATACCTGCGCCTGGCCCAGACAGCAGGCCCCTCCTGTTGCTGCTGCCTGTCTGCAAGCCCTGCACAGCCCATGTGCCACCTGGACACCTGTAGCACCTGCAGCACATGCCTGGCAGCCAGGCAGCAGCAACAGGAGCAGCCTGCTGGCTGGGCCATGCGCAGGCATGCAGCTGCAATGCATCATGGGTGGCACATGCACTCCCAGCACCTGGGCTCAAGCAGGCTCAGGGCAGAGCAATTGCAGGTCTGGCCCTCATGCTGGCTGCTTGACACAGTGTAGCAGATGCTGTCTAGCAGGTCTGTATTGAAGCTCAGTGTGAGACTCAAATGGCTAGTGAAGCTGCAGCACTGTTACTGCATTGCAAAGCTAGCTGGTGTGGACAGCAAAGGCCTTGATGCACTTTGCTGGCACTTCTGTTGAGCTGAAGAGCTGAATGATGCATGATACAGCATGGGCTAGACTCAGTACAGCTGGATTTGTGCCAAGAAAAGGCACATGCGCGCTGTAGTTCTGCTGCAGGTGTATCTGCTGCAGCATGTACAGTTTTAGAAGTGCTCAAGCAGCTGGCAGGACCAGTGCAGATCTCCCTGGTGACTTGTGGAGACATGGCGCAGCTTGGCCAACCTGGTGCGCACAGGCTCAAACTGCCACACTGGGTTGCGCAAGGAGCAGTGCAGGCCAGCAATAGGGCAAAGAGCAAGAAGACGTGCGGCAATGAATGAGTGTAAGCATGTTGTCAGCCACTTCTGAGCTAGGCAATATCATGCAGGCAAGTGCCTCAGCTGCAGCTGACAGTATGCGCTGCACTGCAGCAGATCTGGGCACTGGACCAAGCACACTTGCCTGCAACCAGGCCTACATGGATGTCCTTCTGAACAAGAAGCCATTGTCCTACCTGCGCACAGAAGAACGCCAGCGCGTCCTTGCAGCCCTGCCTCCCAACATGATGGTCACACTGCCCTACAATGACATTGTGCACAGTGCAGGCAGCATGCTGCAGCTGTGCTACAATGAGGCCACCAAGGCTGCGCGTGTAGGGCGCAATGGCAGCAGTGTGCTTGACCATTTCATTCTGCATCTTGCCAACACAGGCTGCCTCAGGCAGCACTACAAGATCAATGTCACTGCCAGCCTCAATAGCCTGGCAGGCACACGGCATATTCACCCTTCAGCCTTGAGGCTAGACAAGCCAGTTGCAGTATCCAGACAAGGACAGCAGGTAAGTAGCCAGCCTGTGGAGCTAAATACTGCAATGCACCTGATTATGCTTTGTTGCCAGACAGGCATGAATCCCTCAATGACAAAGAGCGCCTGCCAAACCCAAGAGCAAGCGTGTGGCGCAATGCTGCCAAACTCAGGGGCTCACAGCTGCTCTAGGCGCACAGCAGCAGCATGCGCTTGGTGCATATGCAGTCTGTTGAGCTGCTTCCTTTTCACTGCGCCTGCAACTGCCTCTTTGAGATCACTGGCAGGCTTCTCCCTATCCTAATCTTCAGGCGCCTGCTGGAGCTGGCTTTGACCTGAATTGCTGCTGCCCATGCTTACAGGCCATGCTCTCTAGAATGTGCGCGCAGCCCCAGAGCGCAATTCAAGGCAATTGGGCATCTCCAGCCCATGTTGGCTGCACTCCAAGCCCTCAGACAATCAATGGTGCTGGTTAAGCCTTAAAGGCTCAAGTGCAGTAGTCAAAGTTTGTAAACATGCAAGACCAAGCCCCTCTCACTCCAGAAGCGGCTTGGGGCGCACCAGTGCATGGCCTGCAAGCAGCACATCCCACATAGGGCCCTTCTTCATCTTTGTCAGTGTGCTTGTGCATAGGGCTGCAGCCTCAACAGCAGCAGCCTTGTTGTGGTGGGTTGGACAGATGTTGGCAGCCACATGCTTGATGAGCTTTGTTCTGTGGTCAAACTTGTATGGAAGCTGTTTTGTCTACAACACCAAGGTCTGCCTGCAATTGACAAGCCCAGGCCGCTTGTGAGTGCCATCTTTCTTCTTCTTGTTTGCCACCTAGGCCATGAGCTTCCACTGCAGCGCGTAGAGAATGTACAGCAGCGCAAAGTTGCAGAGGCTTGCATTGGACCAGGCCATGATGGGCACTGCAAAGATGTCTGTCAGCAAGGAGCTCAGCCAGCATGCTTGAAGGCGCGCAAGGCATGGCTGTGCACTGCAGACCTACCAGATGTGAAGTAGAGAGAGCGCAAGGTAGGATGCAGTAACTCATGTATCAGGTGTGCTTGCTGCAAGGACAGAAGTGAGCGTGAGCAATGAGCAGGCAGGCAGCAGGCATATTGGCCTGCTGAGAGTGGCAGCACAGCTAGACGTACCAATGCCTTGGCAGGCCTCAAGCAGCAGGGCAAGGATGTCACTGCTGAGCAGCAAAGGGTGCCTTGGCGGATTGCAAACAATGCAGCAATGCTCTTGCGCTGCACCTGGCAGGCGTGTGGTGATGACTGCACCTTGCTGCAGGCAGCTACAACAAGAGGTGCCTGATGCAGAAGCTGCGCCAGGCAGTGCGCAAGATGCATGAGCTGCGGGTCAATGAGGTAGAACTTGTTGAACTGGCGTCCAAACAAGCCGGCCTGGCATGGAGTTGAGGAACACTCCCTGCATGAGCTCTGTGGAGGGCACAGTGCAAGTGAGAGAGCAGTGTTTGGCCTGGAGGGCATACAAAACAGGCATGCAGAAGGGCGTGCAGAAGGGCAGGCAGGGCAGTGAGCACCTGGGCAATGCAACTTGCTCTGACAGGCCCGCTTGCTGCAATGAACGGGCTGACAGATTAGATGCTGCAGCAGCGCAATGCACTTGTCACGGACAAAGCCGTTGATCTGGTCAAGACAGTTGTACAAGGCTTGTCTGCTGTGCTGGCCAGCTGTGGGTCTGTTGGCCAGGCCTGCAGTGCGCAAGGCATAGCACCCAGCAAAGCCCCACCAGGCATCTGCAGGGACAAGTACCATGCTGTTGGGCACAAAGTAAGGTGCCACTTCCTCCTTGTTGCCACCAGTGCAGCGCAGCAGGTACCCTTGCAGCAGGACTACAGTGTGCGCATGCCTTTCCTTGGCATGCAGCTGACTGTCATAAGCCCAGCCCATGCTGTGTCATAGACATTTCTGCTCTTCAGCTCAAAAGAAGTGCATCTAGAGCACCTTGTCAAGCAGCCAGGATGGGGGCCCAGCCTTCAACGGCAGTTCCCTGAGCCTGCTTGAGCCCAGGTGCTGGGAGTGCATGTGCCACCCATGATGCATTGCAGCTGCATGCCTGCGCATGGCCCAGCCAGCAGGCTGCTCCTGTTGCTGCTGCCTGGCTGCCAGGCATGTGCTGCAGGTGCTACAGGTGTCCAGGTGGCACATGGGCTGTGCAGGGCTTGCAGACAGGCAGCAGCAACAGGAGGGGCCTGCTGTCTGGGCCAGGCGCAGGTATCACAGCAGTGGCTCTAACAAGCTGTGCTGAGACTTTGGCAGGTGAAAGACAGATGCAGTGTGCATCAGTCAAGCAGCCTAGTGTCAAGGGGTAGGGTACATCTGCAGAGATCAGCCAGTGCTGCCTCAAATCCTTCCATTCTTTCACCAGAAGCTCCCCACTGCCTGTACGGACCAAGTTATCACACAAATTCTGATGATCAATGCAGCAGATTTGTGTACGCAACCTTTTTCCAGCCGAACATCAAATATGGCCGGTTGGCGAAATTGGCATCGCAGCAGACTACGATTTACGAGCATTCAATGCTCTGTACATCTGAAGGTTGCGGGTTCGAGCCCCGTGCTGGTCATACTTTTTGCCTTTTGTGGCATTTTTGCTCTCTTTTTGCTCCTCTGAGGAGGGACAACTTACTTGGTGGGTTGGGATGAGGAGTAGAGGGAGGCTTGAGCTTGAGGATGCTTGAGGTGGTGGGGGGAGGAGAAGAGTGGCAGGCTGGGGGCCCCGCCTTTATAGGGAAGAGGCAGCAGCCAGGGTCCAGGGTGAGTGTGCAGCAGCTGCCTCCACCTGACTCCGCAGGCAGATGAGCAGAGGCTGAGCAGCCAACCACAGGCCAGCACAGGCAGGCAGGCAGCAGGAAGGGTCCAGCTGCAGAGCAAGAATGGGTCACAGATGTGGGGCCAGGCTGAGTCATGGCCTCCACATGCTGACATCATACAGGCAGCACACAGGCGGAGTGCCTGCAGCAAGCAGAGGGCAGCAGGGGGCAGGGAAACCGAGCCAGAGAGGTCCCAGGAGCATTTGGCTGCAGGGAGTCTCGCGCGGCCCCGCGACGCGCCGCCCGCGCCAGAGCCGCGGGATCGCGGCGCGCGAGATTCACGTGCGTGCGGGGGTGGAGGCGCGCGGCCAGCGACACAGGCGGCGTGCCTCGCTCGGCGCTGGCCGCCAGCGCTGACCCGCTGCGCCTTGCGTTGCTCTTGCACCACCATCCCGATCCCCGCATCGCCCAGCACCACACATCCCGCACCATGACTGCGCCGCCGCCCAAGATCACGTCCGACGCCGAGCGCGCCCTCGCCTCCGAGACGGGGCGCGAGCTGCACTGCGAGGGCTTCGAGTCGAGCCGCGTGAGTTGCAAGGCGGGGCGTGTGCGAGGCCGCCTCGGACAGGGCTACTGCACCCGTGCTTACGCCTCCTTCGCCTCAGATCTTTGCGCTCTCGGCCGCGCTTCTCGCGCAGCCGCTGCCGGGCGGCATGACGCCGCGCCGTCTGATCCGCAGCATGAATGCCATCTTCCTCTTCATCGTCTCGCCCACGTCGCCGCTCGACCCGACGAACCCGCGCACGCGCCCGAGCCGCAGCGGCGACGCCCACGGCGGCGGCGCACTGCGTCCGGCGCTGTGGTACGTCGACATGCGCCGCAAGGGCACCATCGGGCGCGGCCAGCCGCCCAAGACGCTGCTGGGACGAAAGCGACGCGCAGACGTCGTCATTGAATGCCGTGAGTGTGCGCCGAGGGAGTTACGTGAGAGCGGTGCAGAGTGGAGCACTGGGGCGAGCGGACGTGAAGGCGGGTGCAAAGGCGGCCGCGGTGCGAGAGCCGCTGCAGGAGGTGTGCGAGGTGGCGCGCATCAAGGAGGTGTGCAAGGAGAGGTCCATGCATGGAAGGTGTGCGTGCGGTGCGGGCCGTGGCTCCGCAGAGGGTGGCACGGGCAGCGAGAGAGGAGGACGCTCGGCTTGTTGCCTCGTGCGAGAGTGCCACAGCAGCACGGCAACCGCGCTCGACTGCGGCCACTGTCGCATGCTTGTGCTCGTGTACGCTCCCTCACCACACTCCCTCGCTCACTCGCTTCTACTCCAGTCGACGGCGACCTCGTCGACATTGCGACAGGCAAGAAGCACGCGCAGAAGCTGTACAACTCGGGCCGCGTGGGTATTGCCGGAGCGACGTGACGGTTGACGCGCCGAGCTTACATCTTCACCCTCAGATCAAGGTCAAGGGCGACCTCGACAAGGCGCTGCGTCTGGCCACTGTGCTGAGGTGTGTCCGACCCTCTCTCTTGCGCACTTCGCATCGCTGACGTAGAGATGCGCCAGCCACGAGCGCTCGAAGCTGTACGGCGCCGCGCCCGCCGACGCCGCAGGCAAGGAGTTTGGCGTCAAGATGCCCGCCGCGGGCAACGACGCCGCCAACGAGTACTCGGACGGTGCGCCGGCGCCGTACAGCGACATCAGTCCCGCTCGCTCGCGCCTGTAGGCAGCATTTTGGCGTTCGTGTGAGACTCGGAATGGCATGGCTCTGATGTGACGAGTCGACGGATGTGCATGGAGGAGGCGCGCGGCGCACGGACGCCAGGGTGATATGCGCGCTGCCTGCGCGCGCGCGCGCGTCGCCGGCCTGTCTTCGCGACCACCACCACGCCTGTCCCCGCACTTGCTCGCCCGTCCCCGCACTTGCTCACAGCGATGGCCTACCGCGCACCCGTCTCCTCTCTCTTCTCCTCGCTCAGCGCGCAGGCAGGCGCATCGCTGCAGCCTTCTGCGCCGCCGCCGCCCGGGCTGGCAGCCGCCGAGGCACGCACGCTCTCGCTGCTCGCTACGCTGCATGCTGCGTCGGCTGCGAGGAGCGCACTCGCAGCTGCGGGACCGGGCACCGTCGCGATTGCCGCATGCATCGCTTGTGAGAGGTGAGTGTGCGGCGATGTGCGACGGGTGGGGGCAGGAAGAGTGCTCGTGGCAGGCGCTGCGTCGCGCACGGGTGGAGTGCCCGTCGGGCTTGAGAGCAGTGCTCAGGAGCTGTGGCGGCGGCTGGCAATGCGCTAGAGCGGCGGACAGGTGACGTGAGCAGCCGGACATATCTTCAGAAGCGCTTGGGCCGGTGAGGAGGAGCAGAGTGCTGGTGCGCTCCGCAGGCAGGCGTGCATCGCCCAGACCGCGATGGCGCTGCAGCGAGCCCTTGCTGGCGAGGCGGCGGCGGTGACGGCCGCTAGCTCGCTCCACGGGCCGGCGTGTGCTGTGAAGCGGCCAAGGGTCAATGCGGTGCCAGCGATGCCGGGCGTGACGTGGCTAGCGGCGTGCCGAACGTCGAGGGCCCTGCCGGCAGAGCGCCTGGCTTTGACGCTGCGCATCGGCGGTACCAACCTGCTGCCGGTGCGCAAGGGCAGACGGAGGGGGGAGCGCGGGAGGATGAAGCGTCGGGAGAGTGGAAAGCATCCGGCGGAGAGGCCATGGAAGGACCGTGGCACACCTTGCGGTTGTTCCTCCATCCCACCTTGCGGTTGCCCCTCCGTCCCACCTTGCGGATGCCCCCTCCACCCCACCTTGCGGTTGCCCCTCCACCCCACCTTGCGGTTGCCCCTCCACCCCACCTTGCGGTTGCCCCTCCACCCCACCTTGCGGTTGCCCCTCTACTCGGCTGACTTCCGACGCAGCCTGCCGCAGCCGATCCCGCAGAGCGCCTTCGAGAAGCAATCCGGCCTGCGTCCTGCCGCTTTTCGCGCCTCGCTTGCCGAGTTGCGCTCCGTGCTAGCACAGACTCGCGCATCATCCGCAGCATCGTCGCCGCGCACGCCCAGCCGCAGTCAGCGCGGCGACGATGCTAGCGCTGCGAGTGGGAGCAAGCGGCCCGCAGAGGACTCGCCAGAGGAAGACAGGAGTCCAGCGGCGCTGAGGGCGCGCGCAGCGGCAGTGCAGAGCGGCGCGGCGTGGGGGTTGCAGCGCAGTGGGAGTGCGGGAGGCAGCACGCCAGCCACGCCGTCCAGGGCAGAGGCGAGAGCGCAGGCAGCGGCTCCGGGCTCTCACACGACGCCGACACAATCTCAAGGCTCACGGCAAGCCGACAGCGCCGCCAGCACGCCTCGCAGTGTGCGCTTCGGTCCGAGCGACGCCGACGAGGAGCCGCAGACGCCCTCGCGCGGCGCCGCGGCAAAGACGCTCTTCGCACCGCTGCCGCACACGCCGTCACGCGGCTCGCGTCTGCGTCCGACCGAGGAGCTCGACGATGACGAGTCGCGCGACATCGACGAGCCGCAATTGGCTCCTCCAGCCGACGACGGCGAGCGCGAGTATGCATTTGCACTGTATCCGCGCCTGCGCGAGGCCTGGATCGATGATGGGCTGGACGCTCGCATCGAGCACTGGAAGGCGCGCCTGGCGAGCTCACGTACGCTCGAGGAGGGAGAATGGGGCGCTGATGGGTGGGGAACCCTGCCGCTGGCGAGTTAATCAATCGTTGCAGCGCACACAGAAAGGAAGTGGCAGACGCGGAGGGGTCAAGTGTTGCGGGGCGAGGGAGCGGGGCGCGAGTGAGAGAGAATGTTGCGGGAGGAGGAAGCATTCCGAAGCGGAGGGAGTGTCGTGAGGAAGGGGGTCGAGAGGTCGTAAGGACGGTGAAGCTAGCCAGGGGGACGTGGCGTGAATCGGGACGCGCGCTGCTGCTGAGCGCGTCGCGGAGGCAACTGCTGCTGCAGTGAGATGCTCCTGCTCCTAGCTGGCAGCGCTGTGCCGTGTCGTCGCACTCGACTGCGTCGAGGGACTGACAAGCACATAGCGAAACGGCGGCGGGTGCGGCCCCGAGTGCGGCGGCGTGCTGCAGCGGTCGCGCCCGGAGAGGTCCCACAGGCTGCTCTCGTCGAGCTCGCCGTCGGCCGACGAGTCGTCGTCCTCGTCCGTCGAGTCGCCGTCGCCGCTGCGGATGCACTCGTTTGACAGGTAGCGCACGGCGGCGTGCGAGAGACGACGCCACGGCGCGGAGAGATGGTCGTGCGCCGTCACGTCGCGCACGTCGAGCGCCCGCTGCTTGCGCAGGGGTCGAAAGTGCGCGCGCGACTCGACGAGAAAGACGCCAATCTGCTCGAGCTCGCGCGGCGGCTGAAAGACTGGGAGGCGAGGGCGTCAGCGCTGCCGCAAGTTCGGAAGGAAGATGCGACGTGCCAGTGGGGCCTGCAGTGTTGGCTAGTGTCGTGCGGGTCGCTCACCAGACAGCAGGTACTCGCACAGGCTCCCGCCCGTCCACGTCTGCCGGCTGTGCAGGACCGCCGTGAGCGCCTGCTCCTCGAAGCGCAGCTGCTGCTCGAGCGCCTCGGCCTCGTCCACGGACAGGCTGCCGATGCTGGCGCGTCGCTTCTCGAGCGCCTCATCGAGCGGATCCTCGTGCATGTCTTCGCAGGTGCCGATCCTCGCCTCGGGAATCTCGGCGACAGGCAGCAGCTTGCCCGTGTATGTCCCGCTTTGCCGCCGCGCGTCGTCGGGCGACCACACGCTCGACATCGACGTATTGTGCCCCTCGCCCGTCGACCAAAACGAGTCGCGGCGCGTTGAGCTTGCTGGCGAGGACACGGGTGAAGCATAGTGCAGAGGGGCTGCGCTTGGTGGTGAGGCAAACGATTCGCCCGTAGCCGAGGCGAAGCTGAGGCTCGGCGGTGAAGCGCACTGACTGGGTGCCGGCGCAAAGTGAACGCTCGGCGGTGAGACTCGATGCACGCTTGACGCCTCACTCGGAGGCGAGCCAGGCGGCTCAATGACTGGTGCTTGCGTGGCGCACTGCACGCCCTGCGAGAAGCGTCCCGCGTGTACTTCACGGCCGTGCAAGAGCGAGGCGGGTGCCGGAGCCGCCGAGATTCTGCTGGCGACGACTCGCGCAGTCGCAATGACGCCGGGACTGTCGCCGCACGACAGGAGTGATGCGCTGCCGCACGAAGCCATCGAGTTCCGACCAGAGGCCATCGATCGTCTGCTGGAGGTCATCGAGTCTCTGTACGACGCGCAAGAGGGACTGCCGTGCGAGGCGCCAGAAACACTGCCGCACTCGCTCTCGACGTCCGAGTCGCTCGGCCGCACAATGATTGCCGGCGTGTCGCGGAACACGCACGGCTCCGACGATGTGCGTGTATGCGCAGCCATGCTCTTGCCGTGCTTGGCGCTCGTCGACACGCTCTGCGGCGGCGTGTACTCGTCAAGCATCGCGGCAAGGTCGAGCGGGGCGGACGGCATGCGCTTGTGCGTCGGCGTGGCGCACGGCGTGTCGGGCGCGGTCGGCCCCAAGCCGAGCTCGTGCAGCAGCTCCGGGCTGAAGCTGGGCGGAGGGACGTGCGCAAAGCCGACGCGCAAGTCGACGTGCCGGGGCATGCTCGGCGGGACCACGCTCGGAGGGAGTGCCGCAGAGGTCGTCGACGGTGCGGCCGCAGAGGCGCCGTTGACCCGCTTGGTGAGGTCCAAATCGCTCACGCGCGGCCTCACCGCCCGTCCTCCTCCCATGCGCACACGGCTTGGCGGGCACGGAGATTCTTGCACGCCGCTCGGCGTGCCGGGAGTAGACACCATGTCGAACGCCACGGCCGCGTCATCGACATCAAGCGAGTCGCTGCCGTCGGCCGGCGACAGACGAATCGAGGGCGTAGGCACGGGCGCCAGGCTGGAGTCCGCGTGCGAGGGCCGCGGAGGCCAGGTGAAGCCGGATGAGGCACTGCCGCGCTCATTGTCGTCGTCGTCGTCCGACTCGTCCATGAGCCCGTCGATGAGACTCTGCAGATCTGCGCCATCACTTGCGCCAGAGCTCAGCGTCGAAGTGTAGCTGAGGATACTCTCGCCGGTGGTGCTGGAGCGTCGCGCAGAGTCGCCGTCGTGCCAGTGTGGCCGCAAGTAGACGTCGTCACGCGCAGGCGACGCCTCGCCAAAGCTGTCGAGCAGCGAGGAGAGCAGCTCGGTCGCCTCGCTCGCCAGGCTCGATGATGTATCGCGTGCACTGCTCGTGCGCTCGCCAAGGTCGTCCCAGTCGCACGGCGTCACGCCGCGGTCCGCACGGATGTCCTCCCAGCTGTGAGTGTCGGGCCACTCGCGGTCCGGCTTGATGGTGAACGCCGCCGAGTTCGGCGGCGTCGGCAGTGGTTCCTGCGGCGGGTCCGAAGGCGGCGCCGACGCCATCGACTCCTCTGCGACATACAAAATTGACGACGACACCGTCTGCACACTTGCCACCGTGTCGTTCCTCTCGTGCCGCTGCTCGCCGCGCAGCACGTTCAGCTCTTGGCTATCGCACGAGCTGACCGTGCTTGCGCGACTACGCCTCGCACGAGGAGGAATAGGCAACGAATGAAGAAGGAGCATGGCCGCGTTCTTGTCGAGCGGTGACTGAGCGCGCAGACTCGAGGAGGGCGATGCGGCTGTTTGCACGAGCGCCGGGACGGCCGGAGCGCGCTGCAGTGGCGCTGTAGGAGGTGCTGTTTGAGGAGGCCCGGCCTGCGTGGGCGTCGGACTGCGCAAGTCTCGCTGCGTCGGCGTCGGACTACGTACGTCTCTCTGCAGTAGCGGCGCACTCCTCGGTCCGCCGTCAAGCACGCGCTTCGGGCCCTCAATTGTCGCGCTCCTCGGCCCTTCGAGGCTCGTATCGCCAAGGCGCAGCGGCCGGAGCCAAGGCTTGTCGTCTCCGGGCGGCGGAGAGGCAGACATGGCACGCGTCGCGGCTGCGCGACGCTCGCTGAGCTGTGCACGCGCCGAGGCACTGCGAGTGGAGACCCAGTCGCTTGCCACGGGCACAGGCGCAGGGCCAAGCACGTCCCAGCTGGGAATGGCGGGGCGTACGTGGATGCTCGAGGTGCCTGGCGCGGCCCGGACTGAGGAGAGAGCGTGAGCAAAGGCATCGGCAGGGTGGATATTTTGAGCTGCTCACGCAAGTCGATGCTGCGCGACGCTCTCGGCACGGGCTGTGTGCGTCCAGTCTGCCGCAGCAGGTCCTCGCTCCGTCGTCCAGCCAGCGTTGGGAGCGTGGCGAACCATGCCGTCGCACTTGTCTGCTCTGCTTCCGGCCCTTCCGCTGCATTGGACACCGTGATGAGCTGCTTCTGCCGGCCGATGCGCAAGCTGCGATTCCACCACGCCGCCCTCGACGGCGGTGCCTCCGTCGGCGGCTCCTCGAGTGCTCTGCCGTTCGGCGCCGCTGCGAGAGCCCACGCGTCAATGCCAGTGCCCAACACGTCGAGCCAGCTATCTCGAATGGCCACATCTTTCCTCGGTGCGTTGCCAGGCAGCAAAGCACGGTGAGAGAGGAGATGTAGTCGTCGAGGAACGGGCGCAGCGCGTGTCGAGCCGCGAGGCGGAGAGACTGGAATGGCTCGGGCGGCGGAGATGACGCGACGACGGCCTCCTGGCGTGCGAGCGGCGCTACTGGTGCGACGACGACGAGAGGGAGTGGCGGGGAGCGGCTTGTTGAGGGGAAGAGGAGGCGAAGAGGGCGGAGAATCGTCGATGTCGACGTCGGCGTCGCGAGCAGAAGGAAAGGAGACGCTTGCGGCACTGCCGCCGCTGACAATCGTGGCGGTGCTCGCCTGCCGACGACGCGGCCATCGCATTGAGCCCGAAGGACGCGGCGACGTCTCGTCTGCGCCGGCAGTGGTGTCGCTCGAGGTTGGAAGCGGCGGCACGAGTTGCGCACGAGAGGACTTGGGCCTGGCAGCGAGAAGAGAGAGTCAGTTGAGCACGTCATGCGGGCACACACGCAACTCACAGCAGCTTGCGCAGATTGCCGATCGACGCTGCAGAGCGCATCGTGCGCAATCCACCGCTGATGGCTCCGCGACGAGGTGGCGAGGCGGCAGCGCCTGGAACAGCGAGGGAGCCGCCACTCGTGTCCGCAGTCGGCACCGTACTCCCCTTGCGTGGCACCTGCGTACTGCCCTTGCGCATGCGCGCCAGTTTGCGCAGCGCATCGACGCCACCGCCCCTGCGGCTTGCCGGGCTCTGGCTGAAACGACTCGGCAGAGGCTGCGCGACGTGCAACTGCGACTGCTCGTGCGGCGAGTGCGCAGACCGTGGGGCATCGCGTGGCGGAGTGCAAAGGCCAGCTGTCTCGTTGAGCTCTGCAGTGGCAGAGAGAAGACGCGGACGAGGCGCGCTCGGCAGCTTGTTGAGCAGAAGCTGAGCGCCGACGGCACTGTGCGTCGAGAGGGAAGAGGCGGGGCGACTCGAGGCACGGTCGCTGCGCTGCGAGAGGGCGGATGTAGGACGTGCGAAGGGATCGGCGTCGAGTGGCAGACATGACGGCTCAGGCGGCGGCTCGGTGCGCGAGAGCTGCACGGATCGACGGAGCGAGGCGATGCGCCCGAGCGTGCCGCCACCGCCGCTGCTGCTGCCCGATGGCGGCGAAGCGATGCGACCGAGGGCAATGCCATTGCTAGAAGGCGGGTCCGTCCAGAACGGACTGGCGCAGCGCGATTCGGGGCGCATACAGTCGCTGTCCGTAAGCCAATCCGGCTCACAGCCATTCGAGGCGCCGACGTAGAACGGCCGCGAGATGCGCTTGCCGCGCACCGACTCGCACGAGGCGCGACGGCTGTGCTGCGGCGAGGCCGTCGACGTCGTGCTCGCCTGCGGACTGCGCGAGGGACGCTCGCGACTCGTGGTGCCAAACGACTCGTCGAGCGTGCGCAGCAGGGCGCGGGTGCGAGTGCTGGCCTCGGAGCGCAGCGAGTCGAGCGAGGCATCACCGACGGTGTCGCTTGTGCCGATGCTTGCGTTGCTCGCGTTGCTTGTATCGCCGACCTCGCCGCCGCCGCCGCGGGGCACACGGCTGGCCAAGCTCCTGGTCAATCGCATGGGCCGCGAAGACGGCAGCGTGCTGAGCGGTAGGCGGCTCGCAATCGAGATGCGCGCATGCGGCGCGGAACTGTGCGACGTCGAGGAGCCGAGCGTGGAGCCGCTGGTGGGGCGCTCCATCGTGTGGAGAGGGGAGGAAGTTGGCTGACCAGGCGAGAAGGGAGAGTGGGGTGGTGGCGAGGTGGCAGGCGGCCGTGCGAGGACGGCACTCTCGACGGTGCGCAGCAAAAGTGTGCTCACTCGCCTCGCCCGTGCTGTGCTCTTGCTGACGCACGCACGGTCCTCTCAGAGAGCACATCGACGCTGCGCATCGGACCCTGCGGGAACAGCACACTCTGACGTGAGATTTGAGAGAGAGAGGAGCTGCCGAGGTGCTTTGTGTGGCGGCGCGAGGGCGGTAGATGATGCTCTCTCTCGAGCCGGAAAGGAGGCCGCCGTGCTTGCGCACGCCGCCCGCGGCCCGCACTTCGGAGTGCGGCCTTGAGTGGAGATCGCTGCCCCCTCGACAGCATCTCCGCCGCCGAAGTCGGAGCCGAGTCCATCCCGCATCTCCCTTCGGAGCTGCCGTCTTTGAAGGAGCGCAAGATCCGCGTGACGGCAGTGAGATGCCCCTGACGAACGCCCGTTCTCCTGCGCAGCTTCGCTCTTCCCTCGCCTCTCGGAGCGAGATGACGCTCGCTCTGCTGCAGCTGTGCGGCCCGCGGGATGCCAGGTGATGTCGAAGAAGCACGAGTGGCCATGCCGAGGGCAATGTGACCTCGCGTGCGAGGTGAGAGAGGCAGCGCACGCGCCGCGCCGCGAGGAGGCGAGAGGACACGCGGCAGGCACGTTCGCCGTCCAGGGGTCGGCCCGGTGAGAGCTCTTCCTCGCTTGCGCATCAGCGCAGGAGAGAGGCAAAGGCGTGCGAAGCATTCTGCCCGGCTCCTGCTTGCCGCACGAGCACCGTGCTTTTTGATGGACGCTCAAGAGGTGTATGCGCTCCCGGCTGAGCACGCAGGAGGCGGACGAGCCTTGCACGAAGAGCGCGCCAGACGACCAGCGGCCAAGGTCATGCCGAAAACAGGCGGTTGCCATTCCTGTCTCAGCGAACATGTCGCCTTTCTCTGCTGCGACCATGAAGACACCGGAGAAAGCCACACACTGACGCTTTTGGCAGCCCTCGCTTCCCGCTGCGGCATGCGGAGCCGAACGACGTGCCTGCGTCTCAAGAGGGGCTGCGGCGCGGTGCCTTGCGAGACTCTGCCTCCTGTGGCGGGCCTCCAAAGGACAGGAGCCGCCTCTCGCGCGTTCGCCGCCACCCTCGTCAACACCTTCACTACTCACGAGGATGGATCTGGCTGCGGCCGCTCGCGCTGAGTTCTCCATCCTCGCTGCTACACCTGGCCGCGCATTCAGGCGGCAGCCGGAGAAAAGAAGGACCTCTCTGCGAGCAGAGTGGCCCCTCGGCCGACCCAAGCGAGCGGCTCAGGGGCAGCCGCGCGAGCCGCGGTAGCCGAGAGTGCCAGGCACGAAGAGGTACGAGATTGGCATTGCAGCTGGCGTGATGACGGGGGCCGCAAGTGATGTGAGGGTGCGGAGCGAAGCCGGTCGCCGTCGCGTTGGCGGGCACTTGCCCTTGGCAGTGGAGCCGCGGCTCGGGCTTACGTCAGCAACTTTTTGCCCGCGCCTCGAAGTCTCGCTCCCCGCCCGCTTCTCGCCATGCTCCGCACCCCCACACCACACACACACCATGGCGCCTCGATCCCCCAAAGGCCCCGCCGCGCGAAACCTCTCCTTCGAGGCCGGGCCCGTGCCCAAGTTCCTGCAGTCGCTGCACCGCCAGGTCACCGGCGCGCGCTCCGGCGGCGGCGGCAAGACCGAGTTCGACGAGCTGCTCGGCACCTCCTCGGCGCGCGGCGACGGCGGCGCAAGCGGCGACGACGATGAGTTTGAAGGCGCGCAGGTCGTCGTGCTGAAGGAGGGCAAGCATCTCTCGCGCGAAGAGGCGCTCGCCAAGCCTGCCGAGGCCAGTGCGAGCGGCAGCGGCAGCGCCGACGCCGAGGCGAGCGGCAGCAGCGCGCCCGCTGCCAGCTCCTCGGCGGCACGCATCGCATCGGCCGGCAGTGCGCCATCGAAGAAGCGCCGCGCTGCCATCGACGATGACGGCGATGCTGGCGCAGCAGCGGGAGAGGACGGCATGGACGCGGCACGCGCCGTCATTGCGGCGAGCAAGGGCGGCAAGGAGAAGAAGGAGAAGAAGGACAAGGCGGAGAAGAAGGACAAGAAGCGCAAGAAGTCGGCCATCGCCATTCCGGCAATGGCGATGGACGGCGACGTGGAGGATTTTGAGCGCGCCGGCGCCGCAAAACAGGCCGGCGAGCAGCACGAGGGCGAGTCGGACGCGGCGTCTGGCTCGCAGAAGGCGGCGGGCGAGGGGGACGCAGCGGCAGAGGAGGAGGAGGTAGAGGCCATCTCGCACAAGGAGATGCGGAAACGGAGAAAGCTGGAAAAGGCAGCTGCGCGCTCCGGCGTCGCCGTCACCAGCGAGTCGACGAGCGCCGCTGTAGGCGCGGCTCCTGGCGTCACTGTGACCGCGCCACTGCCCGGCTGGGCACCTCGGCACGCCGCAGCGAATGCGGCTGCTGCGCCGCGCACCGGCCACAGCCTGTGGATCGGCAACTTGAGCTTCCGCACGACCACGGACCGGCTCAAGGAGTGGCTCGCGGAGAAGGGCCTCGAGGGAGTGAGCAGGGTGAACATGCCTGCGGGCGCGAAGAGAGGAGAGCACAACAAGGGGTGAGTCTTGCGCGCCTCGCGACCGCAGCAAACGACTACTCGCTGACGTGCCGATCAGCTACGCGTACGTCGACGTTCCCAACGCTGCGGGCGTCACAGCCGGCGTCGCGCTCTCTGAGTCGCATCTCGACGGTCGTCGTCTGCTCATCAAGGCCGGCTCCGACTATGAAGGTCGTCCAGCGCTCGACGCCACTGCTCTGGCGCTCGCGCAGACTGCCTCGGCCACTCCCGTCGATGGCGCAGTGCCAAAGCAAGGCCGCACGGGTCTGACGAAGACGGCGCAGAAGATTCTGCGCGCACAGAAGAACCCGCCGGCACCGACGCTGTTCGTGGGCAATCTGTCGTTCTCGACGACCGAGGCGGGCCTGAGAGAGCTCATTGAGCGCTCGGCGCGCACGCGCGAGGAATGGGCTAGCAAGCGCCGCCCGAAAGAGGAGCGCAAGAATGAGGAGCCGGGCAAGGCTGCTCCAGCGGCGGCAGCGGCGGAAGGCAGTGCCAGCCCGCAGCCTGAAGCCGCGGCCGGCGATGCAGCCGACGAGGGCAAGCCGCAGGAGAAGAAGCGCAAGCGAGAGGAGAAGGAGAAGCGGGCCGAGGGAGAGATCAGAGGTGCAGGCGTGCGCAAGATCCGCATGGGAGAGTTTGAGGATAGCGGGAAGTGCAAGGGGTGAGTGTGGCCTGGAGAGCAGCTACGAGATGGGCAGAGACGGGCGGTGGATGGAGGCGTGTGAGGACGCAGTCGCCTGCCCCGCACGTTTGTGCGCGAGCGGCAATCGACTGCACGGGAGCAAGTCTGGCGGCAGGGGAGGGCTCGAGGGCTCGAAGTTGCTCGCCTCTCGCGCTCGCCGCCTCGAAGCTGACCCTCTCCCAGCTTCGCATTCATCGACTTCCACAGCCCTGCGCACGCCACAGCCAGTCTCATCGACCCGCACAACTACATGCTCGACGGGCGCGAGATCAAGCTGCAGTACGCCGGTGCTGATGCCGTGCGACGCGGTGCGCCCAAGGGTGCCAACGCCGGCGAGGGTGTTAAGCCGTGGGAGCGACCCGGCTACGTTGCGCGGCCACGGCCAGCACGCACGCCGTACGCCGCTGATGGCGATGAGGAGGCGCCGGCGCCGCGTCTGCCGCCGCCGAAGCCCTTCGACCCCGACGCGCCGCTGGAGAAGAAGCACAAGGAGACGCAGGAGGAGCGCAAGGCTCGTCGTGCGCTCGAGGCGGCCAGAGGAGGCGGCGACAAGCGCCGTGCCAAGCCTGGTGCGGCGCTCGCGAATGCGCAGCGTGGACAGACGGGCATCGCGGAGGGCGCGCCGCAGGGCAAGAAGGTTGTCTTCGACTAGGCAGAGCAATGCAGAGATGTGGCAAACAGGAGCGGAGGAGAGGTGACGGGAGAGTCTCATTGCATCATGCATGGTGTGTAGCGGAACGGTGTAGCGGAGCGATGTAGGGCAGAGCGGGACAGGAGCGAGACTAGAGAGAAGAGCGGCAGTGCCACGGACCGGGTGCAGGGAGTGCACCGGTGCCGCACAGCAACAGGGCGCACGGCGCTCACTGCGCCTTCTTGGCCGCGTCGCGCTTCGGAGTCCAGCCAAAGTACGAGCGCAGGTAGAAGCGCACGAAGAGGACGATGAGCGGCAGCAGGTAGAGGAGGTTGAGGTACACCGCGAACACTGCGCCCGTCGAGCCGACGCACGGCACGCGCCCGTTGTTGGCCTCTGCCGCCGACGCCAACGCGGAGCGCACGGACGCGGCGTCGGTGTGGTAGGGCGAGAGCGAGAAGAGCGAGTCCTTGACGAAGGGCGTGCTGGAGTTGCGCGAGAACGAGGAGGCGAGGCCCGCGGGCATGCCAGTGGACGGCAGCGCCATGTCGGGGAACGCAGAGGGGCGGTACGTGACGACGAGGTACGACATGGCGACGCACCAGCCGAGCACCAACTAGAGAACAGAGTGCGAGAGGGTCAGCCTTTGCTCTGCGGCACGTCACGCATCAAGCGCTGTGCGCTGCCACGCACCTGGGTGATCTGCATCGTCGTCAGCAGCTGCTTGGCAGCACGCGGCACCTTGAGCTTGAGGCACGTCAGGCTGTAGAAGAAGTACATGGCCGTGTGCACGATGGCGTTCCACGAGGCAAAGAGCTGGATCGGGCTGCCGAGAAGGGTGTGAGCGTGCTGGGCATGTGTGGGACGCGCGGTGCTCGAGGCAAGAAGAGGCGAAGCGTGCTGAGCCGAGGCTGCAGCACCGCAGCCCGCCTACCACACACGCTCCTCTGCCAGCCCTGTCCCTCCGCGCTTCTCCATCTGCACTCACGTAGCCGAGTAGCGCACGCCCGCCCACATGGTCCACATGGCGCCGGCGTGGTGGTAGCTCTGCAGGTTGCTGACCTTCTTGCCCTTGAGCACGAGGATGATCGAGTCGACGACCTCGTAGCCCTTGCTGAGGTAGAAGAGCCAGGCGATGAGGCCCAGCGGCGCCAGGTGCGGCGTGTGCGACTCGGGCGCGTGCATGGGCACGGAGCAGAAGGCGGCCGTCCAGCCTGAGGAAGGAGAAGGTGTCAGCGGGAGAGTCAAAGGCAGGCTAAGGGCTGCAGTGCGCGAGGGCCCTCCGCAGCAAGAGGCCGCACATGCAGCCGCCACGCCGAAGCTCGCCTTGGCCTCCACGTCTTCCTCCCTGCCTCCACGCCCTTCTCCCGGCTACTCACCAGCCGCGCCTCCGGCCGCCGTGCCCTGAGCAAAGTAGTGCGCGAGGTGACGGATCATGCTCTGCGCCTGTGATGCAGAGAAAGGCGACAGTCAGTGCCCGGACGCATGCATGGCTCGCCGGATGCACGCACCGTCCACAGCGAGTAGATGCAGAGGAACGCATTGTGTGCAAGCACGGCACTCGAGAGGCCGTACGTCTGTCAGGCGCAATGGCGTCAGCTGTCTGCCGCCGCAGCGAGCACCTCCGCTTGCTGCGCTGCAACTCACCTCCTTGACCAGATCCCTTGCCGGGCCGTTCCGCAGGCGCTTGTGGTTGGCATGGTGCACGGCAAAGATGTACACAACACTGACGGCCGCGACGCTGAGCGGGTGCAGCGTGGCCTGCCACACGCCCTCGCTGATGCCGAGCCCGTGCGGCACGGCGGGGTAGGGCTGCGTGGCGAGCTTGGTCCACAGCGACGTGTGTGCCGGGTCGAGCGGGAGCGTGGAGAAGAGCGACATGGTGGAGATGGTGGAGAGAGGCTGGGGTGCGGCGGGGCCGCGACAGCGCTGTGGGTCTCTTAAGGCGCCCAGCACCTCCAAGGCGCAGACAGATGTCCGGCCGCTGCTCGGCGCTCGGCCCTTTGCTCAAGAAGCGGCACGAGCGGACGCTGATTTGCCGCCGAGCCCGCAGAGAGGGGCCAGGGCGCCGGCCATCAGTGTCACTGTCCCCATCTTTTCGCGCGCCAGCTCCGGCGGAGGTGGGCCCGCCCGCTTGGCCTCGCCTCGGCCTCGGCCTCGGGCCTGCACCCCCCACAGGCACGAGAACAGACGTGCAGCAGCGACCCCGTGGCCGGCTGCAGCCCTCAGCAACGACAGCCAAAAGCGGTGCAAGCGCAAATGTCCGGCGACTCCGAGCGCGGCGTGCATGGCTCGAGCGGCGCCACGCTGCAGGGCTGCAGGTCAAAGTCAAAACGGTGCAGAGCCGCGGCGTTCACTGCGTTGCTCTGCTGCTGCTGCCTGCTGTGCTGCTCGTGTGACCGCCACAGCCGCCCGCCAAGGCTTCGAATTGGGCAGGGCGGCGCAAACGCGCAGTGAAGGCAAGGCGGCCAGCCTCGACGCTTTTTTCGCGCCACCGCGCCGGCTCGGGCGTCTGGCGCGCGCCGAAGCCGAGCGCGTGCGGATCGCCGCCCCAACAGAAAAGCGCGCCGCGCGGCGCTGCCCCCTGAGAGCGCAGGCCAGAACACGCGTCATGGGGGCCCGTGGGACAGCCGCCAGTGGCGCGCCGTGGCCGAGGCGTGCTGGACCCGTGCCGCAGGACGGCGGGTGGCAGCGCTGATGCGAGGGAGACGCTCGGCGCTCGTCATGCGGCGGCAAGCGAGGCGAGGCGAGCGCGCCGACGCTGCTGTCCTGCGCCACCCCCTGAGGCGGGCCTGCCGGGGCGCGCGAGTGGCGGCGGGACCAAACGAGGGCAAGGCGGGGCCGGATTGACCCCACGTCTGCGCGCTGCGCATCACCATGTGGGCACAGCGGTGCAGGTGCCGGCAAACGGTCAAGCACGGCCTGCAGCTTCTTGATGCGGCGGCGTCTTGTCGCTGCGCGCGGCGTGGCCGAGCTGGACGAAGAGCGAAGCGGAGCGGGCATGACGACAGGCGTGGGAACAGCGCGACGGCTGCTCCTCGTGGCCATCTGCAGCGCTTCGTGCTGCGCCGGCGCAGAGAGGAGAAGGGTGTTTGAGAAGCTTTGACTGCCGAAATACAGAGGGTATCGAGCTGAAGCTGTCCCCTGTTTTTAAGTCAAGCAGAAGCTACTGGAAGCAAGAAGGTGGCGAGCCAAGAAGAAAAGAGCACAGCTCATTGACGCGCATACGCCCGTCCGAGTGGCAAGTCCATCCTCCTCCCTCAGCGGCAGCGTCTTCAACACTTGGCGCACCTCAAAAGATGCTCCTTACAGCCTGGGAGCCTCGGATCCTCACGTAGCCAGCCAGTCGTCACCTGCCTACGCCTTAAAGTCCCGTTCATGGCGGCCACGCACGTCACGTGCAAACCTGCCCCTGAAGAAAGGCGCGGGATTTGAACCTCGGCGCGAAAGCTGGCGCGCGGGAGTCTCGCGCAGCCCCCGCGAGCGAGTCTGCGCCCGGCACTCCTCCACTCAGGCCAGGGCCGCTGCTGCTGTGTGCTCTCGAGGCTTGACCACCACCTCAAGCACGTCGAAGCGCCTCAGCGCCATCAGCTCACATGCAATACGCGTGGGCGCGCTGAATGCAGCGCATACATCTCCTCATCTCTCATGTCGGCGCTGCGAGAAGCTGCTGTGAGGGCATCAGCGTGCAGGCGCTCAGGGCCTGCCTCTGGACGAGTGGCCGTTCACACGCGGCGGCGGCATCCCGTCGCAGCACTGTCCAGAGACGCCGCGTTCCGTCAAGTGCTGGACCTGGACCGCCGGACTCGACAGGAGTGAGCCGCCGGCGTGCTCTGGCTTGCCGCCGCGCCGCCGTGCGAGGGCCGGCGGTCTGCGGAGAGGCTCATCGCCTGCGCGCGAGAGAGGGCTGGAGGGCAGGGGCAAAGTGGGGTAGGCAGCTCCATCGCACGCCGCCAGCAGGCACGAGACCATCCTGCTGCCCCTCGCAGCCGTCCATCCCGTGCGCTGATGCGTCCCATTCGAGCGCCGAGGGGCATAATGCCGGAGCACGCAGTCCGCCAGTACGGCCTCTCCAAGCCGGAGCGAGTCGATGCTCGCCCTGAGTAGCAGCCGCCGGGTTCATGCACCACGCCAGCAGCAGCGTGCAGCTGCGAGAGGCGCTGCCTCCGGGCGAGGTACCTATCGACCTCCAGCGGCACGGCAGGCCGACACAAAGCTGGCCTCCGGACTCCTTCCCGATGCCGACGCCTCCTGAGCCACGCTAGAGTGGTCCTTCGCCCTATCAGCATGCAGGGCGCTCCCCACATCATGTGCCTGCGTCTTGCGAGACAGCTGGCGCCGTCGATCTCAGATCTGGCCTCACGCCACCATCTCCCGTCACCCTCTTCTCGCACCTCTCGTGGCCCAGCATGGTGTGGATGCCCGGCGCGCTGCCGAGCGAGCCCGCCGAGCAGGTGGGCTATGTGATTGACCTGTACAAGTGAGTCGTCGAGCGTGCAAGGCTTGCGATGCGAGCGATGCACTGCGGGCCCGTCGCGTAGCAGCGCCGTGCACTGCTTACCTTGTCGCAGCCGCTCCGGCCCGATGATATGGACGAACTTCATGTGCCTCGGCTTCCACATCGGCACCTGGAGCACGCACTTCACCACAGAGTGGGTCGACTGCTCGTCATCGTGTACGAAGCAGCGGCGCTCACGCAGCACATTGGTCTTTCTCACAGCTGGCAGGTGCTGCGCACCCGCGGCCCTAACAAGTTCGCCTACTTCACTGCTCGGTGAGCAGCACGCAAACGGCACAGCCAGTGCTGCGCTGAAGATGTACACAGGCTGGCAACGTTTGCCGCGCTCCTCACCGGCTGCGTGCTGGGCACGTACGGCGGCGTGAGCGAGACGGCAGGCAATGTGCTCATCAAGGTGAGCGCGCGAGACGGTCCTCCGCTGCACTTGTGCTGAGCCAGCCAGACGTACTGCGTGCTGCTGGCCACGAGCATCGCCGCCGTCAACGCCGTCCTCCTGCTCCGGACGCTCGCGATCTGGAACGACCGCTGCTGCGTGCGCTACCTCTGCATCGCCGCCTGGCTCGCCACAACGACCATTCACATGTGGCTGGAGCTGTGGCTCCTCCGCGCGGCACCCGGCCCACTGCCCGGCATCACCGTCGTCGGCACGCGCTCCGTGCGTGGGGGCTACGTGCACATCGTGCCATACGTGTGCTCGCTGGCGTTCTGCAGCGTCATGACGGCCTTGACGTTCGGCGGCGCACGAAGGAGTGCGCCAAGTCTGGGCGCGCTCGAGCTGCTCAGACTGCAGACGCCCAAAGGCGCCCGCTCGCAGCGCGGACAGATGCTCATCCACCGGCTGCTCAGCGCGCATTTGCGGTACAACCTGGTGAGCAGAAGGGGTTGCATAGCAGAGCGGAGGAAAGGAAAGCCTGGCCTTGCGCTGACACGTCTGCTAGGCCGTCATGGGGCTCACCGCCGCCGTCGCCATCCGTGAGTGCCGCACACCCCGTGAATGGTCGACACTCGCTGACGCTCTTGCAGTCCTCGCGCTGCCCGGCAAGCGCAACCTGCAGTGCGTGCCGCTGCCCATCTTTGTCGTGTGCACGTCGGCCGTTGCGTGCAACATGGTCCTCCACACGCTGCGAGGCCGTCAAGTCGTGCACTACGAGCAAACGATGCCTGGACCAGCAGCGCCGCAGCGCCACGGCCTCTCGCGGCACGACTCGCCCGACAGCAAGTCGTCGGGCGAAGCGTCGCACAAGCACGAGCTCGACGTGTGCTCGCTCGAGCGGCAGGACTCGCAGCAGACGTTCGAGATCATCGAGTCGCGCGAGGCACACGTGCACTGCCGCACCTGCTGCTGCGCCTTCGAGCCGCTCACGCTGCCGCCGCCATTGACCTCGCTTCAGCGCCGGCCAGTCGACTTCATCACGCGCCAGCGCGGCTTCGACGACATCCAGACGCTGCCGGAGCTGTCGCTCGACCACTCGCCCGGCTCGCTGCCGGAGGGCGTGCTCGACGCGCCCACCAGCCCGCAGCTCTCCGTGCGCGTGCTGCGCGAGGTCACGACGAGCGTCGAGCGCTGCGACGTCACCACGAGCGTCCAGAGGCGCGTCAGACACAGCACCGACTGAGGAGCGCCCTCACTCTTTCCCTCCTCCTCCTTACAGCAGCCCCACACTTTCCTTCCTCACTGCGGCGCGTCCTGCGCCGCCCCTGTCCCTGCCGTCATCCGTCTATCTATACTGTACCCTCACTCCCTGCCTGCGCCTTCTCAGTCTGTACCCTTCACTGTACCCTCAATATCAGCGACGTGTCCAGAACGATGCAATGCGGCGCGAGTACAGATGATGGCGGGGTATCGGTGCGTTGAGAATAGAAAGAGAGGCGGAGCGCAGGGCGCGAGCGAAAGGGTCGGGCGACGCCGATGGAGAGTCCCGCGCCTCCATGCCTCACTGCCGGCGGAAGCGAGTGTCGCGCGCATCGCCAGCATCGCGAGCGGCGTCCATCAGCTGACGCGGTCGCTGCCGAGCATACGGGCTGCGGCTCGCTGGTGTCAAGCCCGAGGCGACGGGAATGTGGCTCGTGCCAGCGCCGAAGACAAACGGCGCGGCGCGCGACGGTGGCGTCGGCGAGGTAGGGCTGAGCGGCTCGGCGCCGCCAGCAAAGGCAAAGTCGACCTGGCTGGCGGAGCGCAGGTGCATGTCGCCATTGCCGCGGCCCGAGGTAGGCACACGAGCGGCACTGCGCGACAGCGAGCCTTGCGAGTAGCTTGGCCCCGCGTAGCCAAAGCGCTGCGCCGATGCAGTCGGCTGCGGCGGCGTCGAGGGCTCCATGCTCTCGTCGGGCAGCAGCTCGGCCTTTGCCGAAAGGGCTGCAGAAGAGTCAATCTCACCCTGACGCAGTGGTGGCCCAGCTGCACTCACCCTTCTGGCCCTCGGCAATCATCGCCTCCATGCGCTTGCTCATGCGCGACAGCTCATCATCCTCATCGTCCTCGTCCTCCTCCATGCCATGCTCGGGCGCCGTCTCGAGCGCCGGCGTGACAGGCGCGCTGCTCGACGCCGTTAGACTCTCGGCGCTGGGCCACGACGGCGGCAGCGGGCGCGTGATGGAGCGCGCCGAGCGGCTCGAGGGAAAAGCGGGCCGCCGGCGCGTGCGAGAGAGGTACACGTGGGTGGACGAGCTGCGTGTCGGCGCGGAGGAGGCGGACGATGAGGCTGACGGCGACAGGGGAGGAGCAGTCGAGGCATCGCTCCGCAGCGCGCCTGGCGGAGACTTCTCGTCTTCGCCTGCTTCGCGTGCCGGCTGTCGGCCCCATGAGCTCCAGAGAGAGTAGGCGGTAATCGCCTGTGGCAGTATCAGCGACGCTCTGTCGAGGTAGGCATGGATGCTACTCACCGCTGCGCCGGCATACAGCGCCGTGTTGAGCGCGCCCGACACGATCGCTCCCGCCACGCCGCGTCGGCGCTTCGTCGCCGGGCCCGCCGCCTCATCCTCCAGGCCCTGGGCGTCGCCGTCGGCGAGTGCGCCGCCGGCCTCGAGCTGACGAGCGCGCGTCTGTCGCTCTCGCGCCTGTGCAGCAGCTGCGGCCTGCGTCGCCTGGGCGCGCGTGAGCGTCTCCCAGGCGCCGGCGCCGCGAGGCGACGTGTGCTCGCCCGCGGCCGAGGTGGTGGCCACGCCGCCGTCTGCGCTCGACGCGACGCTGTAGCCTGATGTGGAGCGCGTGGGGCCGAGACCCACGCGCGACGGCCCGGCGGCGTCCAGGCCATTGCTGTAGCTGCTGCCGCGCGCCATGCCAAACGGCAGGCTGTGCGTACTGCCGTAGCTGGCGCCGTAGATGGCCGAGCCCTGCGAGCTGGCGCCGTAGCTCGTCGAGGCGTGCGAGCCGGCGCTGTAGCCTGCTGCGCCCGGCAGCGTGCCAGGTGCAGCGGGCTGGGCGGCCAGCCAGGCGCGCTTGCGCGACGAGCCCTCGCCGGGCGTGAGCGGTGCTGCGATCGGTGCCTGCTCGGTCTCGGCGGGCGCAGCGCGGTAGGAGGGATGCAGCGGGCCCTTTGGCCGGCGCCGCACGGGATACGCGCCGGACATGGCGGGCGTGGCGAGATGGAGTGGAGGTCGCCGCCGCTGCGTGCAAGGAGCGGCGCCGCAAGAGGCCGGTGCAGGTGCGCGTGCTGCGGCGCGTGCGGCAGGTGTGGGCGCAGGAGAGAGACGGATGGAATGTGAGGCGCGGGATGGTGGTCGTCGTGTGGAGAGAGAGCGGCGCCGTCAGCGCAGCCTGGTGGCCATGCTGCGCGCGCGGCGCCAGCGTCCAGCAGACGCGTCGCGGCGCCCACTCGACTCTTACTCTCTTGCCTCTCACCACCACTACGCGCCCGCCTGCAGCGCATCAGCACGCACCTCGTTGCGCCTGTTCATGGCTGCCGCCTGCCGCAGCCTCTTTTGTGCCGCTCGCACTGCATGCACTCTCTTCACAAGAATCAGATTGCTCAGGGCGCCGGCGCTCGGGCTCTGGAGAGGGGTGGATCTCGACGGGTATGGGTCATGAGAGAGAGAGAGGAGTACCACAGGCGCAGTGAGCATGGGTATAACGGCATCTGGACGGTCACGGCATGACAGCGGCCTTGGCAACATTGTCTGGCGTCTTCTTTGGCCGCGCAGTATGATGGCGGCGTCCGGGCACAGCAGCGCTAGTCGCACACGTTGTACTCGCACTTGTCGCGCTCATGATGCGGATCAGCGCGGCTTTTGCAGTGCTCGCAGTGCTGTCGGCGGCCGCAGTACTCGAGCTCGAAGTGCTCGCCGTTCCACTCCATGAAGCCCGGCATGAGGAATGCCGTGTCGCGAGGCGCCGGAGAGGGCGCGCCGTCGTGCTCGAGCGCGACGAGCACGCGAATCTCTCCGGAGGCGACGGCTAGTTGGTCTTCGTCGAGAGGGTCTACCAAGTCGATGGACCATGCCTCGCGGGGCGAGCCGTGCGGAGCGAGAGTCTCGCAGAGGCGCGTGATGAAATCATGGCAGATGTTGGGACCCACGCCCAGGATGCGCACCGTGGCGTGGTGAGCGGAGCACTTGGGCCCGCGGCCCACGTAGCAGGCAGCCTGACCATCGAAAGCAAGGGGCATGGCTTCAAGTAGCAGCTTTCTGTCGTTCGGCGTGCTGATGTCGAGCACGCGCCGCTTGCCAATACCGTGAATGTGGAAGGTCGCTCCCTCGGCAGCGCTCGTATCACCGTCACCTGCGCGGCGAAGGAAGTCGAGCAGGCAGCGCCGGGCTGTGATGATGGCGCGACCTCGCAGCGTCGAGTCTCGGAGGTCGAAGTTGTGATTGAGCAGCTGGAAGCGACTGACGCCCGGCGGAATGACGGTCAGGCTCGGCCTTTGACGCTCGTCTTGGAAGGGCGGCATCTCGGCCCACGGCACGGACGGCGTGACTGCACAGCGCTTCGAACTTTTCCAGAAGAGGTGGGGGTATTCTGTGATGGGCTCGTCGGCGTTCAAGTGCGCGACGGAGGCAGATGTGTTGGGATGCGCATCAGAAGGAGGCGACTTGTCTGAACTGAGCGCGACGTCGAGCTCGATCATATCTGCGCCAGCAGAGCGAAGGGTGTCTCCCATTGTCGTGTCCGTCGACTGGGTTGCCGTGGCGGCGCCACGGGTAGATGCGGTGGAGCTTCGACCGCGCTCGCGGCTGCCACCGCGGAGGTAGGGCGAATGACGCTGCACGGTGATGCCTGAGGCTGGCCCAGTCTTGCGAGGCATGGTCTGGCGATGCGAAGATGTGGTGAAGAGACTGAATGCGAGCCGCGGCACCACGATGATGAGGGTACTGGAGACGGCGGCTCGCTCAGAGCAGATGAGGCAAAAAGGGGCGAGGTCCGTCTACCCCACATGCGGCGCCTGATGCTGTGAGACAAAGTGGACTGAAGTGAGTAGTCGTGTCTCGCTCGCTCTGGCGTCCCTTCATTCGTTCTACAAGCGCAGTGTGATGAGAGTTGGAACAGTCTCGTGCTGGAAGGGAGTTTCGGAGTCCGTGAAGCCAGAAGAAAATGATCGACGAGGGCGAGGTGGCAGGATGAAGGGCAGGAGACGTTACATTCTGAAGAGAAGAAGGGCGTGGTCAGACGTCCGTGAGCACTGAGTATATGCCGGGGGCTCGAGCGGCAATGCTGCACCTGGGGGCTCGAGCGGCAATGCTGGGGGCTCGAGCGGCAATGCGGGAGGCTCGAGCGGCAATGCGGGGGGCTCGAGCGCCAGCACTCGACTCGACTTATCCCCCCCCGCGCTCGACGTGGTGCCGCTATGGCGCGCGGCGCGCCCCTTTGTCGCTGCGCAGCGCCGAGCCCGCCTCTGCTTTTTCACCATATCCACCCTATGGCCGCAGCTGCGGCGTCGATCTACTGGACGGGAGCGACTATAAGGTGCGCCGCGTGAGTAACCGTTGCACTCATACTGCGGCGCGTTATGGCCACGCTGGAGCGCTGCGTAGTCTCGCTGCCCGTCAGCGCTGCCGCGTCTTGACAGGCCTGGCGATCGCTGTGCGCTATGCGCGCTGTCTGTGAGTAGCGGCGCCGCAAGGCCTTGCTATGGGAACAGCGTCGTAGGGCACTGCGTCGCTGGTGTATCAGTCGACACCGGGGCGTCGGGTGATCGGCTCTGCGGTTGGGCAAGCCATGCCGCTTGCCCAGACTTTTTGGCTCCTCTCCCCCGCAGCGCTGTGCGCTCGGGAGTGTCTCCCCTTGCTGTAGACGATCCCTGTGTACTGTACGCTTGCGAGAGCTGTGTGCTGGCGCCCCTTACGGGCGTCAACGAGGATGGCCGTGGCCTGACCAATCTTGTCATACCTGTGCCATCGGCACCCAGCACCGTCGCCCACAAAGGTCGGGGGGTGGTGGTGGTAGACAAGTATGGGGGGAGGGGGGGCTCGAGCGCGCCATGTCCCAGTGGAGGGCCGGCGCGCAGGGAGAACACAAATATGAGTTTGTATACAGTAATGAAGGACGAGATAACATCAAGGTGGCTGGATGGCGCAGCGGCAGCGCGCATGCTTAACAGAATACGGCAGTTCGCCAATTCACGCATAAGGTCGTCGGTTCGATCCCGGCTCTAGTCAATCTTTTTGCCCTTGCGGCACTTGGACCCCCTTTTTGCCCCCCACGCGTCCGCCGCGGCCGGCGCTGCACCTGCCTCCGCTCCACCACCTCCTGCACGCCGCCGCATCAGCCACTCGCTCGCCTGCGCCTTGCAGCGCCGCACACTGCCGCGCGGCGCCTGTCTCTGCGCGTGCCCGGCGTCCCAGGAGACCTCCCGCACCGCTCCACCTCTTCCCGCACAGCCATGGGCAAGCGCAGCAAGTCGACGCGCACGCCGGGCGCGGGGCGCAAGAAGGAGGTGCTTGACACCGTGTTCACATGTCTGTTCTGCAGCCAGAAGGTGCGTCCCGCACAGGAGCAGCGTGGGGCGGAGCGATGTGTGGTGAAGGGGCACGTGGCGCAGGAGCAGTGCGCTGCAGGTCCGGCAAGCTCGAGACGCCCAAGTGCGGGTGTCGACGAGCCACTGTCACGCCGTCTGCGGCCAGGCGTGCGTCCAGCGAGGAAGCACCTGTCTGTGCCAATCGCTGCATCCTCACCAGGCGCCACTCTCCTGCCGCTTCGATGAACGTGTCGCTGACTCTGTGCCAGGCCGTGTCGTGCAAGATCGACGACGCGACGCGCATCGGCTACCTGAGCTGCGGGCGCTGCGGTCAGAAGTTCCAGTGCCAGACGAACCCCATCATGGCGGCCATCGACGTGTACTCCGAGTGGATCGACGCCACGGAGGAGGTCAACACGGCCGACTGAGTGTAGAGCGGAGATGAGCGAGAGGGTGAGTGTGCAGGCGGAAGCATGCCGGTGGGTGGGAGCGTGCTGGGCGGGAGTAGATGGCACGAGCGCTGGCAGGCGACGCAGCGGGAGGTACACCGCGTCGAGATCGTGCTGGGCGCAAACGTGCTTGACGGCAGCGTACTGCGCAGCAGCTGGCAAGGCTCTGCGGCGGCGTGCAGCGTGCGCAGTGTGGAGCAACAGGCCGAGAGCTGGCAGCGAGCAACGGCATCGACGCCCGGGTGGAATGCAGCGCCGCTCTCTGCTGGGCCTTAGCGTTGCGCTGTTCGCAGCCACGATGCAGCGCAGACCAGCTACTATGTCAGAGAGACGAGAGAGCGTCTGTTCTGCTGCGCAAACGTCGGCACCGAAGTGATGCCACTGGCGTTCGCACGTCGCCTTCGCTGCGCGGACTGCACGCACCACCCGCGCCGCAAACGACGCTCTCGCTCTCGCTCTAGCACTTGCTTTGATCTGACTTTCATTTTTCATGAGCAGCAGCGGGCCTATATCACATCGAGGGAGTGAGGCAGATCGAGCGAGACACGGCAGGAGGGGCAAGGGAGGCACGGGACTGATTTGGTGTTGATGAGCGTCGCGACAACGCTCGGTGGGGGGTGCAGGAGCGAGGCCGCAGATGTAGTAATGCAGAATGAGACACGAGCAGAATAGGCTGAGACGGCGAGAAGGAGGCAAGCAAGAGGCGGGCAGAGCATCACAGTTGCTGCTCGAACTCGCGCAGCAGCTGGTCGACGTCGTCGATGGTTTGCCTGGGTAGAGGTCAGCACATGCACTGCAGCTCGGGAACTGCTCTGCACTCACTCGCGCACGTCGGCCAGCGCCTTGATCTTGGCCGTGACGATCTTGATGTGCTCGTCGCTGAGCTCAAGGCCGAGCTGCTCGGCACGGCTCTTGACGGCGTTCCAGCCCACCAGGCGCGAGCCGATGTTGACGTAGCGCGTCATGCCAAAGTCCTCGGGGCGCAGCACCTCGTACGTGCTCGGGTTCGCGAGGATGGCCTTGGCGTGGATGCCGGCCTTGTGCGTGAAGGCGCAGTAGCCCGTGACGTAGTTGTTGAACGGGATCTGGATCTGCACGGCCTCGGCGACGAGCTCCTCGATTTGCCGCAGCATCTTGAGGTTGTACTTGCCCATCACGTACTCGCGGTCCTCGGTGTACATGCGCGCCATGAGCGCGCCGAGCGGCGTGATGCCGTTGCGCTCGCCGATGCCGAGCACCGACGTGTCGATGTGCGTGGCGCCGGCCTCGAGCGCGGTGTACGCGTTGGCAATGGCTGAAAAAGGGTCAATGTCTGCGCTGCTGTAGGCCACAGCTTTCGCCACACCACTCACCACAGCCCGTGTCGTTGTGCAGGTGCACCTCAATGTCGCACTTGACGACGCTCCGCAGCATCTTCGTCAGCTCGTACACCTGCCGCGGGTTGGCAATGCCAATCGTGTCGGCAATGCCGACGCGGTTCACGCCGACCTTGTCGACGGCCTGGTAGATGCTGAGCAGGTCGACAATGTCCGAGCGGAAGCTGTCCTCCGTCGAGAAGCGGATCTCGATGCCCTTGCTCTTGACGAACTCAATCACCTCGATGGCCGCCTTGGTGATGTACGTCATGTCCTTGCCGTGCGAGAACTCGCGCAGGAACTTGCTCGTGCCCATGACGACGTCGACGCCGTCGACGCCCGTCTCGACGGCAATGCGCGCGTCGTCCATGTGGCAGCGGATGTGCGTGATGACCTTGGCCTTGAGGCCGAGCTTGCAGATCGCCTCGCAGTCGCGCCGCGACTGCTCCGACGCGGCCGGCGACGTGAGCTCGATGCAGTCAACTCCGAAGGCGTCGAGCGCCTTGGCGATCTTGATCTTGGTCTCCGTGTCGAAGAAGGCGTTGGCGAACTGCTCGCCCTCGCGGAGAGTGCTGCGCGAGATCTCAGCCCCTGCCGCACTGCTACTCTCGCGCCTCACTCACGACTCGATGATCTTGAAGTTTGCGACGTTGCTGTTCGAGTCGCGGTTCATGAACGGCATGGCAAAGCGCGTCGGCGGCGCCTCGGCCTGCGTCTCGACGCCCTTGGAGGCGACCGAGTTGGCAATGCCGACGTGCGTCTTGTCGACGCCGTTGCTGCCGTTGATGTGCTTCACGGGGCCCTCGGACGGCGCGCAGTCGGCGCACGGGGCCGGAGACGTCGTGGCGGGCGCCATCGTGACTGGGAGATGGGGTCAGCGGCAAGCTTTGCGGAGGGAGGGATGCGGTCCGGCAGCAAGAGATCGGCCGAGGCGTGCGGTGCGGCAGGAGCATATAGCCACACCTGCCGCGCGTAGCCAGCAAGGAGCAGCGCGATCAGGCGGTCTCTGCGATGCAGGCACGCGCGAGCGCCCAACGAGAGCGCGACGTTGTGCGGCGGCAGCAGCTCCTCGCGCACCCTCCACCTGCGAGCCAAAGGCGATTTGAGGCAGGGCCGCGTGATCCAATTTGCCAGCTATGCGCCTCGACGGAAAGATCAGGCCTGGAGAGGCAGACAGCGTCGCAGCCGCGGCGATACGCCCTGGCAGAGATGGGCCAACTGGGGCTGTCGCCGAGGACCGCAGCACGGCAACGAGCGAGATGGCACTGCCGACGAGCTGTGCTGGTGGCTGTTGCAGTGGTGGCGAATGATCGCTCACATCTCCCTCTCCATCGCGCATGCCTGGCAGCTTGATGCCCGACGGCGGCGCGAGCAAGTCGTGTGCGATGTGCGAGAGACGGCGCGCGGCGCGCGACAGATGCTGCGGCAAGCGTGGCATACTTACGCTGGTGAGAGAGAAAGTCGGAAGAGAGAGAGTCGAGTGTCGGGTGCAGGTCTGATGCGACGATGCGATGCAGGTGTGCGTTGATCGGGCAACGCAGGCGGGCGAGATGGAGTGTGGGTGTGGGTGGGAAGAAACGAGGCCGGTCGGCGATGCGGCCTGCTGGGCCTCGGGCGGCGGCGGCGGCACCGCACCGCACCGCAGCGGCCGCGCTCTTTCTGAAAGGCGCCGGCGTGTGACGCGCCGCCGCTCGCTCACCGCCGGCCGGCCGCCGCTCGCCGCCTGCCTTTTTGCCCGCCGCGCGGTGATGCGGCAGCGCGCGCGGCGCCACCGCCCGCCCGCCACGCCCGCCAGAGTGACTCGGCGCTTGTGGTGCGGCGCACGTGACGTCCAACAAGGCCAATCCCGCCGCGCCGCATTTGAAATCGAGCCGCGAATACAACAAGCACGGCGCGTCTGTATTCGGCCGGCCTGGTCCTCTCTCGATGCCAGGGGGTGGCATCTTCAGCCCAGGCCTGCTCTCCCCCTGATGTTGCTGTGATGCGACGTTTGCCGCCAAAATACCATGCATGGAAGTAGACAGGGTGTGACAGACAGCTGAGTGGGAAGGACTGCTCGGGGCACGCTGGCTGCTGGTCAGGCGGCTGCAACTGGGCTACGCGCGCTGCTGAGGGCCGTCCTTTGAGCGTGCCCTCTCTCCAGCAGCAGCCAAGTCCTGCCGCTGCAGTCCTCGCATTCGGAGTCTCTTGCTCTCGGCCGAGGAAGCGTGGGAGTGCATCGGGTGCATATCGGGGCCTCCATCGTGCAGCCTAGGCGCCGTGAGCGGCGGACTTGGCTCGCCAGGGCAGCAGCATGCTCGTCTACACATGCTGGCGACACAGGCCTCAAGGGTGACGCGAGTCATTCATTGCTCGAGCGCCGTGCAAGTGTGTGTGTGACGGGCCAGGTAGGTACATGGACAGGTCGCCGGCATGCTGTGTGCAGCGCCGGCGGGGCATGGTATGGGAGGGTAACAAGTCAGAAGGAGCCGAGCCGGTCGTTAATCCGTCGTTAAGGGGAAAGATGAGGTCGTGTCTATGTTGGAGAAGAGGTGCAGGGTCGCTGCCGCAGCGGCTGCGTTGGATGGCTGCCCCTCAGCTGCCGCCGCTGCCCTCGCGATCCGGGTTGGCGACGAAGAGCTGCGCCTTGGGCACGAGGCCGTGCGTGACGCGCGCCTTGCTGCGCGGACTCATGGCAGAGTCGCCCGTCGAGGCGCTGCCGCTCGTGGCTGTCGGCGAGGTGCCCTCGTCGGCAGGGCTGGCAAGCGGCGAGGCGAACAGCTGGCCGTCGGGACTGAGCATGCCGCCCTCGAGACGCTCGCCTGTCGCTTGCCGCTCGCCCGTCGCCTGCCGCTCGAACGCCTGTACACGCTCGCGCACACTGCCGCGTGCCGGCGGCGGCGGAGCATGTCGCGCCATGGGGCTCAGCGGCGCCGTGAGCTGCGGGTTGGCGCGCGCACGCTTCGTCGTCGCCGGCGTGATGCTGGGTGCGTCCGAGGCGGTGCGGCGGCGCGATGGCTGGCGCTGCGGCCGCGAGGCGAGTGCCGCTGGCTCGGCCGGCAGATCAGAGAGCAGGTCGGAGGGCGACTCGACGAGCGCCTTGTACGGCGACGGCGCGCGTGCGACGTCCAGCGGCTGCGACGAAGAAGCAATAGCATACATGCCGTGCACGGTATCGACCGACGGCAGCTCCGCCGACGAGTCGTCCTCGAGCACCGTCTGCATGGCGGCCCAGTCGTCCGGGCCCCACACCATGTTGCCCGGCGTCTCCTCGGCGTCGGACTGCGTGCGTTCGCGGCGCGTGCGCCGCGTGTTGGCGCGCGTCAGGCTCGCCTCGCTCTCGGCCGTGCTCGTGGTGCGCCGGCTGCTGGCGGTGCGCGTGCGCTGCACCACATCCATGCCCTGCAGCTGCGCCTCGAGCACGGAGCTCGTCGCCGTGCGCACGCTCTGCAGGCTTGCCGCCGAGGCGCCGTATGCGTTCGACATGCGAGCCAGCGCCGCAGAATCGCCTGACAGGCGGCCCTGCTCGTCGAGGCGCGCAGCATCGTCTCCGAACGGATCGGCCTCGCGGATGGCCGAGAGCTCTGGTGCCGGCGCCGGATCGCGGATCGGCTCGTCGGCGCGCGGGCCCGTCAGCATGCGCCCCGAGGCGCTGCGCTCGAGGAAGCCCTGCCCGACGATGCGGTCCCACCACGTGGCGCTGCGCTTCATGCCAGTCGCCGGACTGGCGCGCGGTCCGGCCGGTCCGCCCTGGCGGCGCGAGTGCGAGGCGTCGGAGAAGGACACGACACCCTCGTTCGACGACTTGCCGCCAGAGACGGTCGAGTGGTCGTTCGACGGCCCTTCGTCCGAGTGTGCGTCGTCGGACAGCATCGTGGCGTTGCGCGCCATGCGCGTGCCGACGCCGAGCATGACCTCGTCCTCGAACGGCGACGTGACGTACGTGTCGCCGCCGCCCATGTCGCTGCGCCCGTACGTCTCATCGCCGGCGCCGCGGCCCATGTCGCCGAGCGACAGGTCCTCCTCGACGTCGTCGGCATCCAGCTTGCCGCACGAGCGCTCGCGCACGCGCTGCGGGTAGAAGAGCTCCACGTCGTCGACGTCGTCCACAGCCGAGGCGCGGTGCGATGCGGCGCGTGGATGCCCGTACTCGTCGTACACGTCCTCGTCGGCCAGCATGTCGAAGCGCTGCGTGCCCGCGGCGCCGCCGCCGAGGCCGATGCCGGTGAGCATGGCGAGACGCTCGCGCAGGTGCGGGCCCGAGCCCTCCATGGCATGGCCCACGTTGCCGGCGGTCCACGCTGCGGCTGCATTGGGCCCTCTCGGCGGAGGCGGTCCATAGCCCCATGCGCCGCCCTTCTCCAGCATCTGCACGTCGTCGTCGCCGCTGAGCAGCCCCGCGCCGCCGTCGCCGGAGCGGTAGTAAGAGCCGCTGCTGCTCTGGCGCCGGCGGTATAGCACGTAAGCGCCGCCGGCAATGAGCCCAGCGCCGATGAACGCGGCGAGTACGGCGCCAGCCTTGGCGCCCGACGACACGCCGCCCTTGCTGCCGACGTCGGTCGGTCGCCCGGAGCTCGTAGGCTCGCCAAACGGCCGGCCCTCGCTGGGCGATCCGCCGCCGTCGCCCGCATCGCCCGCGCTCGAGCTCGAGCCGTTGCCGCCCTTGCCCTGCGTGCTGCCAGACTTGGCCACATCCGGATCCGGCACGTACGTGCTGGCCCAGCTTCCGCCCGTCCACACGCCGTTGCTCATCTGCATGAGCGTGCCGTCAAAGACGTGTGCCGTGGTGTCGGCGGCATTGCCGCCCGTCCAGCCAAAGCCGAGCACCACCTGGCGGCCATATGCCACTGCGGCGTGGCCGTAGCGCGCGCTGGGCCCGCCGGGGCTCAGCACCTCGGTCCAGCACGGCGGCGTGACGCTCCAGTCGAGCACCCAGGCATCGCCGTACGCCTGCGACAGGTCGGCCGAGGCGCCGCCGTGCATGAAGATGCGCTTGTGCGGCAGGCTCACGGCGACATGTCCGCGACGCGGCGCTGGAATGGCGCTGCTCGAGGTATTGGCTCCCTCGGTGCCAATGAGCGACCAGCTGCCGCTGCGCGTCGAGTACGCGGCGACCGAGTCAAAGCCGTGCGCTGAGCCATTGGCGTCGAGGCCGCCAAGCATGAGCAGCGTGCCGTCGCTCAGCAGCGTGGCTGTGCCGTCGACGAGGCTGGCACTCGGCGCAGCGAGCGACTCGAAGCGAGACGCATCGTCGAGCGCCCACGTCTCGGGCAAGTACAGACTCGAGCCGTCGTCTTTCTCGCCGCCGACGAGCCAGACGTTGCCCTTGGCATCGGCATCGGCGGCATGGTATATGCGGCGCATGGGCTCGCCCCAGCCCGGCTCTGCGCGCGTCCAGGCCGCGTCACCGAGGCTTAGCACGTACGCCGAGTCGTTGTTCGTCTGGATCGGCAGCGTGCCGCTGGCGTCGCCGCCAAACGCGAGCAGGCGGCGCGCGCCGAGCGGCGAGAGCGAGTGGAAGGCGACGGCGGGCGCGCCGCTCGTGTTGAGCGTCTGCCACGGCGCTGCGGCAGGCGCAAAGGGCTGTGCGAGGTCGAGGGTGAGCACGTCGGGCGAATTCGGCGCGCCCGTGTAGGTGAAGCCGCCGCCATTGATGCCCTGCGTCTTGCCGCCGTGCACGACAAAGAGGCTGTCGACGAGCGCGGCGGCCTGGCCCCATCTGCGCGCGACGTGAGTGGTGGATGCGATCAGACGGTGCAGTGCGACTCACCGCGGAGCGACAGTCGTGGCCGGCGCCGTCTGAGCAGCTGCGCCCGCTGCGAGTGCCAGGCCGCACAGGGCGACGAGGCGGGAGCGTGGCCGCCGCCGGGCCCGCGGCGGCGCGCAGCTGCTGGGGCCGGCTGCGGCGCCGAACATGGCGTGTGTGCGCAGCGGTGCACGCGGAGTGTGGAGTGCGGATGGGCGAGAGGATGTGCAGGCGGTGTGAGGGGATGTGAGCGGTGCGGGATGATGGAGGAGAGCAAGAAGGCTGCAGCCGTTGCGCTTGGCCGCTGCAGGTTCACGCGCGCATCCACGCGGCGCGGCAGCGCAGCGGGAGGCCCGTCAGGAGCAGCGCGCGCGTCAATTTACCCCTATACCGTCCCGATGCAGCAGGTGCCGCTGATGAGGCCCTCGCCCTCGTGGGAGCGCGCCTGAGCGCAGCCGCCGCCGCAGCAGCACAGACACCGAGCCATCTGCTGCTAAGCATCAGAGCTTCACAAGCATGGCATGAGGCTGTGGCAGGCGAGCTTGGCGAGGCAGCGAGGAGCGCGGCGGTGCCCGCCTTGGCGCGCAGGAGCTGCTCCCACGCGGATCCGCCTCCACCTGGCGCCGCTGGCTCGCGCTTACGCCGCGTGGCGGTGGCGCTCCCCGTGCGCCGGTAACATCTACGCGCCCTCGTCCCGACGACGAGCAAGCAGCAAGCAACAAGCAAGGCGGCGCCACGCAAGAGCAGCCACTCAGCCACGCCGCAGCTCGTCTCGCAACACCGCAGCACGCCGCAGCAGCACACGCACACGCGACATGGCCGAGCCGCGCCGCAGCTCGCGCCAGCGCTCGCTCGTCGAGATGCTCGCGCCGCCCAAGCGCAAGGCTGGCGACGGCGATGGCGAGCTCGACGCGCCGGCAGCGCGGAGCAAGCGTGTGACGATGGGGGTGAAGGCAGAGGACAGCATCAAGGATGAAGAGACATCTGCAGCAGTGAAGCACGAGGACGCCTCTGCGCCGGGCAGCAGCAGCAGACCCGCCCTCGACGCCCCTCTGGTGCCCGTGACGCGGCGCGAGTTCGTCGAGCGCTACCGCGTCGAGGGGCTAGGCGGCGCCGAGGTGTACTACATGTGTGTGGCGCGGCTGTGCATAGCTGAGGCGCTGCTGACTTGCGTGCCCGATGCAGGCCCGACTGGATCGACGAAGCGACGGCAGAGCGCTGGCGCATCGAGCTTGACGCGCTGCCGCAGTGGTACCGGTGCGTGGTCGCGCTGAGCGGCTGCGGCTGCCCAGATGCTCATTCGGCGATGGCAGCCCGCATCTCACGGTGTATGGACGCACAATCCAGCAGTCGCGCCACATCGCCGGTACGCCTCGTCGCTGCCGAGGCCCCTGGCGTATGTCTGACTTTGACCTACCGCAGCCTTCTCGACCACGCCCGGCCTGCCGCTCAAGTATAGGTGTGTCTCTCGGCGCCGTCCACAGCAGCTTCCTGACCCACAAACTGACACATCGCAGCGGCCATCCCGTCGAGATGCACTCGCCCTTCCCGCCGCTGCTTGCCGACATTGCCGCGCAGCTGGCGACGCCCGAGTGCCTCGGCGCCGACGTGCACTTCAACCACGCCATGCTCAATCGCTACGAGGACGGCAGCGTGTACATTGGCAAGTGCGTGCCCGGCCGTCGTGCACGCCTCTGCTGCCATGCTGACACTTGCACTCCTCAGGCACAGCGACAATGGTGAGGCTGCGCGAAGCAGGCACGTCCCGCATTGGAGCTAATGCACTCCTCTCGCAGTGGAAAATCAAGTCATCGTGACCGTCTCACTCGGCGCGCCCCGTCTCTGGATCATGCGCGAGCGGGCCCCACGCGGCGCAAAGAAGGACGCTGCTGCCAACGACGAGCTGCTCGAGAAGCGCTGGCGGCTCGCCTCTGGCAGCGTGCTCGTCATGCAAGGCGACGTACAGCGGCGCTTTACGCATGAGATCCCGCGCGAGCCAAAGAAGAGCGCGGGATGGGAGCGACCGCGCATCTCCATCACGTTCCGACAGCTCGTCTATCCTGATGCACCGACGAAGCGATGACGGACCACGCGCGGCTCTCTCCAGTGATCCGGCACTCTGCACCCTTGTACTTGTATGCTCTCCATTCATTTCAGCTGATTCCGTTGGCGTTTCTGAGCGGAGCGAGGTCAGCAGAGAGCAAGGCGCTGAAGCCTTGCCAGCCTCACCTTGAACCGCTCCATGACCGCCTCGTCGCTAGCCGTTTCCCGCTTCCCTCCTCCGCGCGACGGCGGCGCCACAGGCGGCTCGTGGCGCAATGCCGGCTTCGGATGTCCAGCGGCCTGATGCAGCTCGACAGTGTCGACTTGCGCGTTGAGGTGGCCCTCTGGAAAGTCGGCCACGCCGCCCATGCGGTCCGCGTGCTCGTCGGCGGCGCGCGCAGCCTTGAGCGCTTCGGCATCCGACTGCGCCGATTGATGTCCTCGGAAAACTGCAGACAGAGGTCAGCCGGCCTGCGATGGGGGGCGAGCGGCCACGAGGGAAACGACGAACAGCGAGTAGACGCAAGCATCTCGTCCTCCTCGTTTCGTTGCACGGCGCCGCGTCGAGAGTGCGCCTCTGCGAGCGCGCGCTTGGCCTGCTCCGTCTCGCTGATGTTTTTCAGGCGCGAGCTACGCACGGGGACATCATTAGCTGAGGGCAAGGCCGACTGTCACGCGCTCGAGAGCCACTCACTCCATGCCCAAATCGACCTCCATCACGCTGTTCAGCAGTGCGCTACTGAGGCCCTGCTCGCTCTCCTTCTCCTTCTTGCCCTTCGCCTCGTCCTGCAGCACGCGATAGCGCTCCGCAATGCGGAACAGCTCGTCCTCGGCATCGCGTCCGCCAATGGCTCGAGCCACAGCCTCGGCACTGGTGGCTCCGCTGCTGCTGCTGCCTGCACCGCCAGCTGGCGCTGCGGCGGCTCGCCGCGACGCCAGCTCTGACTCGATGTAGGCCATCATGTGCGCATCGACATCCACGGTGCCCGTCTCGCCCTGGAAGTTGTTGGAGCGCACGAGCTTGCGCGCTGCCGTCGTGTCTTCGTCGTCGCTGCAAGAGCAGAGTCAGCAGAGTAGCGGCGCCACGAGCAGGGACGAGGCGAGAGCACTTCACGCCAGCTCTGCGGCGCAGCCTTGCCAAAACGCAGAGTTCGCACGTAGCCCGGCCCTCGCTCGCTGCTTCACTGCCCTTTCCCTGGCATCAGGCCACATCACTCACCTCTCCGCCGTCGCCTTGCTCACGAGCCCGCCGCGCTCCATCTGCAGGCGCCACTTCTCCTCCTCCGTGTCGCCGGGCGCCGCGGCCTTCTTGTCCTTCTTGCGGCGCGCCTCCTTTGCGCCGGCATTGAGCTTGTCGAGCGAGAGGCCGCCGGGGCGGCGCGTGAGGCTGCGCAGCGCCAGCAGATCGGCGACGGAGAGCCTGGCGAGCGTGTCAGCGGCGGCTGCTTTGCTCGCTGGCGCGCCAGCCACTCACTCCTCCTCTTCGCCGCGTTGCGCTGCGCCCTCCTCGGCCTGCGGCTTCTCCTCGGCCTCTTCGCTGCCGCGGCGCGCGGGCTGCACGCGCGAGCCCGAGGCGACGGGCGCCCTGCGCTTCTTCTTGAAGAGCACGGGCGCGGCTGCGGCTGCGTCTGCGGGCGGCGAGGACATGGTGGTGTGGAGGAAGGAAGGAGCGAGGCACGGCGCTCAACAGGCGGCCAGGCGCGCGCGGCGCCGCGGCCCGACTCCTGCCCGCCGTCACGCCACGCCGCCGTGAAGGTGCGCCAAGCGCAGCGCTCCACGTCGGCCCTCGCCTCGCTGCACCGCTCCGCACTCTGCTCCGCACCACCACCGCGCCCCTGCTCCTGCCATGTCTGCCGCGCGCCGTGCCAACGACGCACAGGACGCGCAGCCGCTGCTCGCCGACGACGCTGCCGGCGAGCCCGACGTGCGCTTCGCCATCGACGACGAGTATGCGCTCGCCGACGAGCTCGATGCCGACGGCGCACCCAAGTACCCGCCATCAGTGCCGCCGCCGGCGTACGGCAGTCTCGGCCTGGCCCCGCCGCCGCCCGGCGGGCGCATCGCCGCCTGGCTGCGAGCGCATGACATCGACCTGCCGCAGCCCGACTGGGACGCGCCGCGCCGCGCATGGCGCCGCCTGTACGCCGCCGTGTGGCGCCACATGCCGAGCAGCCGCATTGCCGTCGCCGGCTGCGCCCTCGCCGCCATGTGGCTCCTCATCCTCACCACGGCGCCCAGCGTCGACATGGCGCCGCAGGACGACGGCGGCTGGTGGGCCGGCATCGGCGACGTCGAGATCGACGAGGTGAGTGCGCGGCAGATGCGGACCGCAGCGGGTGGAGGGAGGGGAAGCGCAAGCGCGCGAGAGAGACAGGCGTGCCGAAGCTGCAGCCCAGCTGCCAGCGCCCACAGCCATGGGATCGTCATGCCGAGGCGGACACGAGGAGAGCGCTGCGCCTCCAGCCGCAGCTGCTGACCTCCCTCCGAACAGGACCTCTCGCCGCTGCCAGCCGCGCCCGAGCCCGTCTCTGGCGACGGGCACATCGTCGAGGCGGCGCAGTGGGCAACGCCGCACTGTGCCGTGCTGGCCTTTGGCGGCCGGCGGCCCTTCTGCCGCACCAGCGTCGCCTTCAACCTGACGTCGCCGCAGGCGTTCGACACCGACGCCTCGCTCTTCCTCTTTGCCGACCCGCTGCGCGCCGCCGGCCTCAGCGACGGACGTGGCAGAGTGCCCGGCGCAGTGCGAGTGCGCCGTGGAGAACAGGGCACGCCGCCGAGTGTGCGGATCGAGGCGAGATATGAGCGCGGACGTGCACAACTGCTGCGCGAGGCGCGCGTGGGCAAGATGAAGAAGGGCATCCAGAGCGAGGGCGTGGGCATTTACGTGAGTGCAGGGACGGCCCGGCGAGGAGGCGCATTGCACGGTACTGCCGTTGCTGACGCTTGGCCGCAGACAAATCCGCTGCCCGACCGGCTCGCTTCGCGCCTGCCGCCGCCGCTCTCGTTCGACATCGAAGTCACGCTGCCGGCGCTCTCGCGGCTGCCTGCTTTTGTGCTGGAGAGCGCTGCGATGGACTTCTTCCTCTTCGCACCCCTGCCGCCATCAGATCCGCGCGCCATCATCTTTGCCGACGCGCTCGAGCTCGAGGCGGGCTTGCGCGCGGCGCCCGGTCGGGAGCCGCTATTTGGACGTTTCGAGGCGCGCGCCGGCGATGGCAGCGTCGTGCTGGGTGCGCCGGGCGTGCAGAGCATCGGCTATGCCCTGCTGCGCGCCACGAGTGGTGATGTCGTCGTGCGCGGCCCGCTGCGGGGGCCCGTCATCGACATCCACACCGACAACGGCGCCGTACGCGTGGCAGAGGGCGGCGAGATTGCCGCGTGGAAGCGCGCCAGCCTCGACTCGGACAACGGCGCCATCACGATTGAGAAGGGCGGCCTCGTCGGCGCGCCCGAGTTGCATGCCACCACGGGCAACGGCGAGATCAGCGGCGCCGGCATGTGGCAGGCCGTGAGTCGAGTATCCTGCCAGTGATGACCTTGACGCTGCTGACGCTTTTGCAGAACGGCACGATGCAGCTCAAGAGCAGCAACGGCGCCGTTTCTGCGCTTGTCGCGCCCATCACAGCCTCACCTGCGGCCACGCTGGACTTTAGCGCGCAGAGCAAGAACGGCGCCGTGTCGCTGCGGCTGCTCGACTTTGCATTGCCGCTGGCGGTGCGCGCCGCCGCTCGCACAGAGCTCGGCTCCGCGACGCTGCATCTGCCGCGCAACTACACTGGCGCATGGGCCATTCACGGCAGCCGCGGCAGCACCGACGTGCACCCGCCGCCGCCGACCGCGGCCGGCGCGCCCGTGCGCAAGTGGTCCAGCGAGGGCCGCCAGGAGACGAACACGCACGTCTCGGAGCGCGGCCGGATCTGGCTCGAAGGCCAGCCGGCAGACGGAGAGGCAACCGTCGACAGCGGGCAAGGTGGTGCGCACCTTTTCGTCGCCTGAGCCACGCGCCTTGCCCTACTGCCCTGCCTCTGCCACCTTATCAGCACCTCTAGTCCACTCATTTGCCCGCGCGCCACGCGCCTGCCCCCTTTCAGCATCGTCCCGGTCCCGCATTCCCCCACGTCACCCTCATACAATATACACCCGTCCTCATCCTGCGCGAGAGGCGTGTCAGCACGAGTGGCATGCGGCATGGGCGGCGTGCACGAGCGAGCCTCAGCAGTATCTGATTCAGTCCGCATGCGATCCCCGGGCGCTGGTGCGTGAAGCACGCCCCGCGCGAGGTTCGGTGGGCTATCCGTTTCTTGTAGTGCAATGCACCTCATCCCTGGCCGTGCGCGTGCGTCGCGGAGCTGCAGACTCACCAGGCGGAATGCGTGCGTGCAGCGGCCAAGCACTGGCCCAGAGCATGCGGTGACATTACAGAGATGATACAAGCCTGCGCGCATGCTGGTCAGCCACATCGCCTCGGCACGCCTCTCCCCACACTCACCAATCCAGTCCCTCCTCGAGTCCCTCGCCCTTCGTCGCCGTACACCCAGCCACGCTCCAGCTGCGGCCCTTGAGCTCAGGCAGGCCCAGCGCCGCACTGACGTCTGCGGCACTGCGTGCGCCCGCCAGGTCTTGCTTGTTGGCAAACACGAGCAGCTTGGCCGACGCCAGTGCGTCCTCGGCCAGCATCTGCTGCAGCTCGGAGCGCGACGTCTCGAGCCGCGCATGGTCCGCCGAGTCGACTGTGGGCGTGTGTGAGTGCCAGAGGCAGGGCGTGGGTAGCGCACGACGCACCGACGAAGATCACGGCAGTTGTGTCGGCGTAGTAGCAGCGCCAATATGGCCTGCGCACCTGTCAGCTGGGGCACGCGCGGCAGGGCGGCCGCCGCACGCACCGGATGGATGTCTGTCCTCCGAGGTCCCACACCTGGAACTTGACATTCTTCCACTGCCAATAGCGAAGCGTCAGTGACGCTGCAGAGATGCTCACCTGGGCGTCGCCGGCGACCTGACTCTCCCGGCCGCTTCGTCTCGCCTCATGCGCACTACTACCGCGCCGAGCTAGGAGCTGCGCTCGCAAGCGCCGCCATACCACGACCCTACGTACTCCTCTCTACATCGCCGCGTAATCGCGGACGCAGAGTCGCTGCTACGAGCCGACTGCGGCGGCGCGCAGCAGCGAGTCTAGCTGGTGAACAGCACGCGCGCGCTGCTTCGTCGCAGCGAAAGTGCGAGTCCAGCGTGCAGCCCAGGCGCTTGCGGCCATGCACAGCACCGAGCTGCGTATAGAGCGTGTGATGCAGCCCAGGCATTGGAGCAGTGACGCCGGTGCCGTCGTGCTGATGTGCGCGATGCCTGGCTGCCGCTGCTGCGCCCGGCTCATCGACTCGCCGCCCTGGGCCGCACCACTGCGACGGCGCCACGCTGCCGCCGCGCTTCGCCGCACTGCCGCTTCGTCGTTCTCTCACGCACCGTGACGGTCTCGACGTTGAAGCCAATCGTCGGCACGGTGCTGACGACCTCGCCGAGCTGGAGGCGGTAGAGGATGGTCGTCTTGCCGGCGCTGTCGAGGCCGAGCATGAGGATGCGCACCTCGCGGTCGCGCGCCCAGAAGGCCAGCGGGCCGAGCAGGCTGGAGAAGGAGACGCCCATGGCGAGGTGCGTGGGCCGCGGGGTGCGAGGGGGAGGGTGTGGCGGCGTGACGCAAGGAGTGCGGTGCGCAGCGAGTGCGGGGCGGCATGCCGTGCCCTGGCCGGAGCTGCATTCCGCGCGCGCGGCCGTCGATGAATTCGCCGAGCGTGCGCCGAATACAACGCCGCGGCATTTCGCTAATGCCGGCGCGCGGCGCGTGCCAAGTCAGGTGTTGTTGTTGCCAGGGTGCAGCGAGCAGGCTCCCAACGGCGGCGAAGCTCCCCTCCTCTGGGCGCTGCACAGACCTGAGATGTCAGGACGCTCGACAAGCAGTGGCTGGGGCATGCGTTGCGGTTGTCGGCGGCCCGTTCGGCCGGCCGGACCGTCGGCGCCCAGGCACCGCTGCTCCCACGCCCGAGGCGGTGCTCCCACGCCTCGCCGCCAATCTCGCGCCGCTCCCGCTCCCTCGGCCGTACGGGCCGCTCCGCCGGGCCGAGCGGTGCCGAGTGCGGCTCGGGTAGCATCGCCAGGGTGCTCGGCGCAGCATTGGCCGCCTCGTGGGCCGCCCACGGTGCGGCGCGGCGGCCAGCACGCCGGCGGATCACGCCACGGCGCGTGCGCGGCTCGCAGGCGTGGGAGCAGATGGCGCCACGGGCGCGACGTGGCGTGCTCCGCTGCGACTCGGCGATATCTGCGCAGAGCATGCCCCTCGCTCCCGCTGCCGTAGCGCAGCAGGCCACGAGGCCGCTCGTGCCTTGCGCTATCTGCACAAACTGCCGCTCGATGCGCATCGCACAATTCTCAGGACGCACACGACCCTGCGGCGCACCGGTCCGAGACCGCCGCGCTGCCGCACCGCCCGTGCCGCCTGTGCCGTGGGCGGGCGCGGATGCCGAGCTTCGCATGACCGCACGTCACCGTCCATGCTGCAGGAGCTAGCGCCCCTTGCGGGCCTGGATGATGCCTTGCGTGCCTCGACACTAGTGGCGGACAACACTCTCTGCCAGGCACCCCTGCGCTGGGCCTGCTCTGAGCGTGCAAGTGCGCCCGATCGGGTGCGGAGTAGCCGTCCTCAGCGCGGCAGAGCGCTTTGCCACTGGCGTCCCTGATGGCGTCCCCTGGCGCATGAAGCTGTACCCTCCTGGCTCGGCCAACTGTGCCTCGGCTCTTCATTTTGAGGCCCTGAGCATGGGCCTCGTGATCTGTCCTGCGAGCACGCGAGCGCACGGCAGCACCACTGCGTGCGAAGGAATCTCTTGGCCTGCATCTCAGCCGACGCTAGACCCTCGCCACACCACATACTTAAGGAGGCATGCTTCTCGATGCTGATTCTTGGCCTCACCCTCCCAGCCCTGCCCCTCCGACATGACGAGCGAGTCGAACCCCATCGTCGTGGCGGCGACGCTGCCCGTGCTGCCGCGCAGCGAAGAGCGTCGCGATGCAGATGCTGCGCCCTCCTCCACACCCTCCGACACGGCCTCGGCGGAGAGCATCAGCGACAAGCACCTCTCGGACGCCAGCGAGCGCACCTCGATTGCCGAGCAGCGCCTGAAGCCCACCGGCGAGGGCCTTGCCGAGTTCGCACCGGCACCGGCGCGTCTGGTGAGCTTCGCCCAGCGCTGACTGCCGCAGTGGTCTTGCTGACACTGCCCCTCACCAGGCCGATGTCTTTCTGCCCAAGTCACGCCGCGCCAATCCGGACCTCGATGCCTGCGCGACCCAACGCTCCGTCTTCGACGATCCCATCCAGGCGCCGCACCACCTGCCGCCGCCCGAGTACGAGAACTTCAAGAACTTCGACGTCAATCTGCGCTGGACGTGGCGCGAGGAGAAGGCCGTGGTGCGCATCATCGACTTTCGTGTGCTGCTCGTCGCCTGCATTGCGTTTGCCAGCCTCAACCTCGACCGCAACAACCTCAGCGCAGCCAACTCGGCGGGCATCTTGCCCGACCTCGGCCTCGCGACGAATGACTTCAACCTCGCCACGACGCTCTTCCGCATCAGCTTCTTGGTGAGCATCACAGCGAATCTCCGGCTGTGTCTGAGCTCATCGTTTCTGCCTTCAGTGCGCGGAGCTGCCCGGCCAGGTCCTTTCGAAGGCCATCGGCCCGGACCGCTTCATCCGTGAGTGTCTGGGCCGCCCGCCGACAGACGCTCTTGCTCACACGAGCTTCTCTCACAGCGCTGCAGATGGGCGCATGGGCGATCATCACGCTCTTCCAATTCTTCCTCACCGGCCGCACCTCCTTCCTGATCTGCCGCTGTCTGCTCGGCCTGGCGCAGGGCTCCTTCATCCCCGACCTGCTTCTCTGTGAGTCGCACTTGTGCGCTCATCGAGACACACCCGCTGACCACTCTCGCAGACCTTTCTTACTACTACAAGAGCAACGAGCTCTACCTGCGCCTCGGCCTCTTCTGGTGCACCATGAATCTGACGAGCTTCGTCTCGAGCTTCTTCGCCTACGGCCTCATCGCCATGGGCGGCGTCGGCGGCAAGGAGGGCTGGCGCTGGCTGTTCTTCTGGGAGGGTGCGTTGCTTCGCTCTCACTCCGCCTTTGCTGTGCTGACCCACGGCCCAGGCGTCCTGACGCTGCTCATCGCCATCGGCGTGGCCTTTGCCATGCCGCCGTCGCCGTCGCAGACGCAGCGCAAGTGGGACAAGAAGGGCTTCTTCGACGACCGACAGGCGGCGATCGCCGTCACGCGTGTGCTGCGGGATGACCCGGGCAAGTCGACGATGCACAACCGCGAGGCGCTCGGCTGGCAGAACTTGTGGGTGCAGCCGTGTACAGCCACGGCCGTGCTTGTCCTGACTTGCTGTACACAGCAAGACGTCGCTGCTCGACTACCACATGTACCCGATCTGGGTGCACGGCCTGCTCTTCGGCATTCCCTCGTCGCCCGTGCAGCAGTACCTGACGCTCTCGCTGCGGCGCCTCGGCTTCTCGACGCTCCTGACGCAGGTGCTGAACAGCGTGCAGTACCTCGGCGCCATGGTCACCGGCATCGGCATCGTCGTGCTCTCGGAGCTGCTCGACAGCCGCGCACTCGTCAGCGCCGCCGAGGACCTCTGGATCCTGCCGTTCCTCGTGGCCATCTTCAAGCTGCCCAAGAACCCCAAGCCGTGGACGTAGTGCGTACCTGCTGCACGATGTCGCGCTCGTCACTGCTGACTTGTGCCGCTGCAGCTTTGGTCTTGCCACCGTGCTGCTGTCGAACCCCTACGTGCACCCGATCCAGGCCGCCTGGATCTCGGCCAACGCCGGCGACGTGGGCAACCGCTCGCTGCATGCCTCGTACTACAACATGATGGTGCAGGCCGGCAGCACCATTGCCGCCAACGTCTACCGGCAGGACGATGCGCCCGAGTACAAGCGCGGCAACACGGCGCTCATCGTCATCGCCTGCACCAACATTGCCCTCTACGTCGGCAGCCGCTTCTTCTACAAGACGGTCAACGCGCGCCGCCAGCGCCGGTGGGACGCGATGAGCGAGGAGGAGCAGAAGCACTACCTCGCCACGACGAGCGACAAGGGCAACAAGCTGCTCACCTTCCGCTTTGCCTACTGAGCGCCGCGCATCCCGCTGTCCCTCACGCATGTCACCCTCACGAGCCAATAGACCTGTTCGGCACGAATGACGATCGCATTTCCCAGTCCGGCTTTCTAGTGTCCGTGCAAGCGTGACGCGCGTAGCTGTGACTCAGGGCTCGTTGCCAATCTGCGGCGAGAGAGTCAGCGCAGGCGGGCGTATGGGGCCTCTCCACACACCTCCTTGGCGAGGAACTCCTTCCACTCGTCGGCGCCAAAGGAGCTGCCGATGCTGCCGTTGACGAGACCGTCCCAGACTGTGCAGCGTCAGTCGATCGCACGCACACCACACTGCACACACGCTCACCAGCCGTCGGCGTGACGTGGATGCCTGCTTGCCGCGTCAGCCGCCGCCTCTCTGCTTCCACACAGCGCACATACCGTTCTGCCGGCCCATCTTGACACACCACTTGACGTCAGACACACACGCGCTACCGGCGTTGCCCTCCTTCTCGACGCGCAGCAGGTTCTTGATGGCCTGGCCCAGCGGCAGGCCCTTCTCGGGCGCCTGCAGCAGCGGACGGCCCGTGTGCACGCGCGGCGCCTCGCCCAGCGACGAGATGACGAGCGAGGCCATCTCTGCGCGGATCTGCCGAGCATGCGTGAGCGCCGGGGTAGCGGAGCAGATAGAGCGAGGTGTGCGCTTGGCGGTTCTGGCGGTCTCGCAAGCATTGGCATGCTAGATGCACGCTGCCGCGAGTCATTGCCTGCCTCTCACTCTGGGACAAAGCCGAGTCGCAGCACTCGGCTTGCCTCCCCTCCTCTTCAGTCCCTCACTGGCTCGCCTCGGATCGCCATGCCTCGCCTCGCCTCGCCTCGCCTCCACACACTCACCTGGTCCGCATTCTTGTTGCGCGCCGGGCCGTCAAAGTAGCTCTCCTGCACCTCCATGAGCTTGCGCGCAAACACCCACGCCGCATTGTCGTCGGCGTTGCACAGCTTCGTCCACTCGGCGTCGTAGTCCTTGCCGCTGCCGCGCGGCGCTGCCAGGCGCGCCACGGCCACGGCTGCTTCGCAGAGCTGCGAGGCAAGGTGAGCGGAGATACACAGGCAGGCCAGCGGGGCATTGTGCGCTCTGCAGGAGAAGACCTGCGCTCTGCTACCACAGAGATAGGTCTGCTGCCTCTTGTCCTCTCGAAGTCGCTGCAAGAGAGCCAGGCGTGCCGCCTTCTCGTAGGTGGCCCATCGGACTGTAGCTGACATTGCCTTGCAACTACAGAAGTTGATCACTGCCTATTGTCCTCTTGGACCCGCTGCAGGTCTGGTGTGTCGCCGGTAACTCATCCTCCTGCCACTGCCGCTGCCGCAGCGCCTCTCGCCCTCCTCTGTCGGCGCGCACTCACCAGCGGCGCCGTGCTGTGCCACGGCTGCGGGTAGGGGCGCAGCAGCACGCGCACCTTGCCCGCGTACTGGCCGCCGGGCATGACGAGCGGCAGCAGGTGCGTGTCGACGCCGCGGAGCTGCTTGGCGCTGAAGGGGCAGGTGAAGTCGAGGTAGAGCTCGAGACAGTGCGGCGCCTGCGAGTCGCCGATGGCAAAGGGACGCAGCTGCGGAGGGAGCGCCATGGCGGGCTGGACGTACGGGTGGTGGTGGTGGGAGACGCAGAGGCGAGGCGAGGGCGGCACTGCTGCATCTGGCTGTTGCCTTGCTTGGCGCAACGGGAAGTGGCATCGGCATCAGATGGCGCAAGCGAGGTGGAGGCGCACGGACGCACCTTCGCGGTGTTCAGAGGCGCGCGACTCTTCCTCCAAGTCCGCGCCAGACTTTCTCTTCTCCACCACCACACCACAAGCATGCCCGTGCCCACCGCCGTCGCCGCCTCGTCGCCGGCCTTCGTGCAGGCCGCACAGGCGCTGCCGCCGCTGCCCGCCCTCGCCGCCGCGGCGCCGGCGACGCGCGCCGCCGCCCACGCCGCACGCACGCGCATCCGCAGCGACGCCGCCATGGCGCACTGGCGCGCCTCGGCCGCTCATGCGCTGCTCGAGCGCTTCCTCGCGCGCCTCGCCGAGGCAGCCGTGGGGCACGCCACGCAGCTTGATGCCGGTGCGGGCGGCAGTGGCGCGACCAGCAACGCAGGCAGCAGCGCAGAGACCTTCGACGGCATCGCATGGGTGCTCGGCCTGCTCGCCGAGCTGGCACGCTGGACCGACGAGATTGCGCCGCTGCAGAGCCCGCAGCGCTTCGGCAACCTGGCTTTCCGCACCTGGGGCGCCCGCTGCGAAGAGGTGCGCGCCGCAGAGGCGCCGCAGCTGGCACTCTCCGCCGCGCTGACGCCCCTTCTTCTTACAGCGTCTCGAGGCGCTGCATGCCCCGCTGCCAGCGGCGCTTCAGCCGTACATCCCCGAGCTGGCGAGCTACCTGCGCGGCGCATTTGGCTCGTGGGTGCGCCTCGACTATGGCTCGGGCCACGAGCTGGCGCTGCTCGCCTGGCTCTGCACGCTGGCTCGCCTCGGCGCCTTTGGCCGCGGCGCGCTGGCCGAGCCGCCAATCGACGAGAGCGCCACGGCCGAGCCGCAGGCGTGGGAGCGTGCGTTGGCTACGCAAGTGGTGCCGGCATACCTGGCACTGGTGTGGGGCCTGCAAGACCGCTATGGCCTCGAGCCCGCCGGCAGCCACGGCGTCTGGGGTCTGGTGAGTGGCTTTGCTTTGCCCTGCCACAGCGAGGCGCTCATCGAGGCTTGCAGGACGACTATCACTTCATCCCATACGTCATCGGCGCCGCACAACTTCGCAGTGAGCTCTTTAGCATCTCTGCACCCTCTCCTGTTGCTGATGACGCGCCCCAGACCAGAACAGCTACCTTCCGTCATTCATCGCGGCCGTCTCGGCTTCGTCCGACCGCTCGCCGCGCGCTTTGCTGCAAGAGCGCGCCTCTGCGCCCTTTGCCAACCTCCTCACCAGCTCCGTGCTGCGTATCCACGCTCTGAAGCGTGGCCCTTTCCACGAGCACTCGCCCATCCTCTCCGACGTCTCGCGCACCGTGCCCAACTTTGCCAAGGTGGCCGCCGGCATGCTGAAGATGTGGCGCGCCGAATGCACGGGCAAGCGGCCCGTCGTGCAGCACTTCGTCTTTGGCGGCGTGGGCTTTGTGTGGGATGGGCCCGAGCCCACCGACGAGGAGGAGGGCCGCGAGGGCGCTGAACGGACGGCGGCGACAGCACGAGGCGCTCCGGCTGGCACCTCGCTGCCGCCGCTCAACGCGCAGCGTCCTTCCACTATTGCACCGCTGCCAGCGCAGCGCAGCGCAGTGCCCGGTACATCGTGGAGCGTCTCGCGTGCGGCGCAGTCGCATCACGCAGCAAGCTCTGCAGCTGGCGCTCCGACGATGGCAGCGACGGGCGCTCCGTGGGCTCGTGGCAACGGCGCTTCGTCTGCGGCCATGTCGCCGACGGGCGCGCCGTGGGCGTCGTCAAATGGCTCGTCGCAGGCACGCACCTCTGCGCCGGCGACCGCGCCGCGAGCGCACAACACCGGCTTCGTCCCGCTGCCGCCAGACTTCGACGCCTCGGCACCGGCGCAGAACACCTCGCGGCCACCCGCGACAGCGCCGCGCGCCCACAACACCGGCTTCCAGCCTCTGCCGCCGGGCTGCGATCCAGCACAGCCCAACGGCTCTCCGGCGCCGGCCTCGGCGCCCGACACTGCGTCCTCGATGCCGGCCACTGCACCCCGCGCGCACAACACGGGCTTCACGCCGCTGCCAGCTGGCTTCGACGCCATGCCGCCGCCCAACCTCTCCAGCGGCGCGGCACGGCAGCGGCCGCTGCGACGCGTCGAGGATGGCGAGTAGCAGCCCGATGCACGCTGATGTCACACGTGGCGAGGCGTGAACAAGGTCGTGAATGCTGCACAAGTGTGCGGGTAGGTGGACAGAGGTGACGCGAGAGAGTGGCCCGTGGTCGTGAAGGTGAAGTCGAGTGATGTGTGATGTGCGAGGCTGGACGGAATGTGTGAAGGCAGACGACGATGCGCGAGCCCGGAGAGCGATGCGTCTGAGCTGCGCCGCGTGAGGCTGCTGATGCTGTGACAGCGTTGGCGCGTCTAGCCACGGCTCTTGGGCGCCTTGCGCTTCGGCTTGACGTCCTGCAGCTCGCCGTCGTCGTTGAGCTGCGGCTTGACATCCTGCTCCTCGGCAGCCGGGGGAGCACTGCCGCTGCCGCTGGCAGCGCTGCTGCGGCTCTTGCGCGGCGCCTTGCCGCCCGTCTTCTTGGTAGCCATGCGCGGCTTGACGTCCTCCTCCTCCGGCTGCTCGAGATCCTCCTCGGGCTCCGGCTTGGCGGCGCGTGCGCCCTTCGACGATGACGCACTAGCACGACTCTTGCGAGCCTTCTTCTGCGGCTTGGGCGACTCCGCCTCGCTGTCCTCCTCCTCCTCATCGTGCGAGCCATGCGTGTCCACCATCTTGCCGCGTGCGTTCGACTTGCTCGCACGGCTCGGACGCGTCGAGGCGGGTGCGGCAGCACGCTTCTGGGCCGGCGCACGCTTGCGCTTCTTGCTGTCCTCCTCCTCGCTGCTGTCGGCAGCACTGAAGTCGCTCTCAGCCTCGTGCGACGACGGCGAGAAGGCGCCCGCGTGCGCCTCGGACTCCTCGTCCGACGACGCGGCCTTCTTCTTGCCCTTGGCCTTCTTCGCCGGCGCCTTCTTGGCGGGTGCCTTCTTCTTCTTCGACGCCGAGTTGACGTGCGGCTTCTCCTCGATCTCCGAGTCGCTCTGGAACGCCGGCGACGCCGCCTTGCCCTTCTTCTTGCGCGGCGTCGCCTTCTTCTTGGGCGACGCGGATGCGCTTTTGCTGTCCTCGTCCTCCTCGCCCGACGCCGGATCCGGCTTCTTGGCCGACTCGGGAATGTCGGCCGGGTCGACGGCGCCCGTCTCCCACGCAGTGCGGATCTTCTGCTGGTCGTCCTCGTTGAGGTCCTCAAAGCCGTCCTGTGTGGTGCGTGAGTCGAGGAGCACAGTCACGACAGAGCAGATCACTCACCAGGTCCTCGGCCTCGGACAGCGAGTTCTTCATGTTGGCCAGCACGCGCGATGTCACGCAGCCCCAGTGGCGCCAGGCCAGCGTCGTGTTGCCCATGATCTCGACGACTGAGACAGGGAGCGTGAGCGTGTGCGATAGCGTACACATGCGGCGACGACGTACCGGTGCCGAGACGCTGTGAAGAGCGAGACGATGCGAAGCGTCAGCAGAGTGGACGGGCAGAGCGGGGCCGGCCAGCGCATCTGCAGACACGCGGACGACGAACGTTCCACATCGAAACGAGCAACGTAGGCAGACTCGGCGATAGTTTCCCTGCAGCCTGGCGCGCCGCAGCGAGAACCATGCGTGCCTGTCGCCACTTGCACTCAACCCCAGGCCGCAACGCACTGCGCCTGCCCCTGCCCTGCGCCCTCCCCGGCAGCCCCCCCCCCCCCCTCTTGACGCGCCCCACTCACGAGCATGCTCTTGCCGATCTTTGTGCCCTTGCACGGCTGCGGGCCCTTGCACCCGGCGCGGCCCGCCTTGTCGTACTCGATGCGGTACGCTGTGCGCGCGACGAAGCGTGGATGTCAGCGGTGCGCGCGGGCTTGCGCAGGCGTGCAGTGCGCACCCATGCTGTGTGCGCGCGGTGGCGGCGACGGTGTGGGAAGGACGACGTGTGCTGATGAGTGAGACTTGCTGCGTGTGCTGGCTGCGTGGATGGACGTGGATGGAAGGCAAGAGCGCGGCAGCGAGGCGCCGGGTCGTCCGAGGCGTGGCCCTGCTTCTGACGACGCGCATCGCTCGCTGCTCCACTTTGGCATCTAGAGAGGCAGCGTGGGAACAGCACGTCACGCCCGACTCCCGCCAGGCGCCGCGACTTTTGACGGAGCGCGGCACCAACACCTCGCCGTCCTTCTCGCCATCACCACGGCCGCCCTCTGCACCGTCCCGCCGGTGCCAGCGCACTCTGCGCCATGCGCCTGCCGCGCCGCACGCCCTACACGCACGCCGCGACGCTGCCGCGTCTGCACGCGCTGCTCTACCCGCGCAGCGCGCACGCCGAGCTCGCCTCCTCCTCGTCCGCCTCGCCCTCCGACGCCGCAGCCGCCGGCGTGGCGCTCGTGGCGCTGTGGCAGGCGCGCGGCGCATGTCCCGCTGCGCTCGAGAGCTCGGCGGCCCTGCGCCGTGCCCAGCTGCTCGACAAGCTGCTGGCGCGCCACATGGCCGACGCAGAGGGCGCGCGCAGTGCCTACGCCCTCGCACTCATCCGGTGGGTGTGACGTGCGGCACGAGGCCAGATGCACGTCTGCTGAATCTCTGGCGTTGTATCTCACACTCCCGTCGTAGCTTCGTCAATGCCCTCGTCGACGCTCACCAGACGGGCATGTACGCCCAGAGCATCGCGCACATCGCCGCACGCATCGGCCTGCCGCTCTGGTTCGTCGAGCTGCGCCACGCCGCCACGCACGAGGAGCTGCCGAGTCTGTCGGTGCTGCGCGAGGCGGCTGCGGCGGTGAGTGGTGCTGCCCCTCAGTAAGCCCCGGAAGTTTGCTCACGCTCATCTTCCGCAGGCGCTCGACTGGCTCGACGTGCACTTCTGGACGCCGACGCTCGCCTCGCTCATCTCGACGCCAGCGCGGCAGCCAGCGAAGCGCGCCTCGTTCCTAGCGCTACCTCCGGCGCCCTTCTCCGCTCCCGACGCATCCGCAGCGCTGCGCACCGCGCTCGTCGGCTACCGTGCGCTGGCCAAGAGCGTCGTGCGCGACGAGTCGCAGCGCGGCAAGCTCAAGGGCCCCATGCTCAAGCTGTGTCGCGAGATTGAGACGCTGGCGCGCGACCTTGAGCTTGGCGCTCATGTCGTCGGTGGCTGGGGCGTGCGGCGGGCACGGGAGGAGGAAGAGGAGGAGATACTGGACGATGAGGACGAGGAGGCGCGGGTGGAAGAGGAGGAGGCGGAGAATAGCTGGAGCGCGCTTGTGCAGGCGCTGCTCGAGCCGGGCGCGCTCGTGCCGCTGTCCAAGGCGTGAGTAATGCTCAAAGTAGATTCAGAAGCTGATCAGCTGACGCTGGGCGCAGCAAACGGCCGGCTGCCGTCTCCGGTCAAGTAGCGCAACTGCCCGGCCCACTGGGCGAGCAGTGGCGCTTCCTGCTGGAGCACCTCTCCAGCGCGCTGCCCGGCTTCTCGACCGCACTGCAGTATGCGCTACTGGCGCGCATCAGTGACGGACAAGGCGAGAAGGGCACCGGCAGCTATGCGCGCACCGTCTGCGCATGGCTGCTGCACCTCGTCGAGGCCGAGACTCGCTCGCAGCGCGGCAGCGATGCCCACGACGACCAAGCCGCACGCATGGCTCGGCGATGTCTGCAGCGGCCGTCTCCTACGTACGTGTCCACTGCGCAGCGTCGGCTTGCCCATGCTGACTCCCCTCGCGCGCAGCTCTCTGGCAGTAGCTAGGCAGCTCTGTGCTGGGCGACCAGCGCTGCAAGCACAGCTGCAGCCGCTCTTCTCCACGCTCGAGGCCAGCGGCTTCCTCTCTTCGCACGCGCAGGCAGTGCCGGCAGTGCCGCCAAGCGATGCCTCGCATGACATGCAGCTCGACGTCGCGGAGTCAGCGGCGGCGCCAGCGCCGAAGGAGACGGGCTACGAGAACGCCTTGCTCGAGATGCAGGCGCGCTTGGCTGCGTTGCGCGAGGTGCGTGCGTCGCTGCGCTTGCCTGCAGACCCACCCACTGACTCTCTCTCCCAGCAACGAGCAGCAGCAGAAAGCGCAGCAACTGCAGCGGCAGCACCTGCGTCGCCCGCCGCGCAAGAGCAGCCTGGAGCAGAGGCAGATCCATGGGCTGCCGTGCCCGGCTGGTCATCTCCGCCGGCGGACTGGACGCCGGCGCCGCTCGGCTGGCCGCTTGATGCGGCCTCGCTCGTGCTGCTGCCAGCTGACGAGGCGCTACGGGCGCACGTCGTGCACCTAGTGCCCTAGCTGCAATTGTACATCCGTCACATTTGGCTTCCTTTCTCTCCTCCCGGCCCTGCGCCTACTTCTGCTGGGCCGAGAACTTGCCCGCTGCCCAGTCCTTTGTCTTGCTCGCCATCCTGTGTGCATGTCAGCCCTGCCGCAACTGCGCGCCTGGTGTGCGCTTGGGACTCACTCGACCGCCGCGCTGCCCCAGTCCTCGCCGTGGTTGTGCGCGTCCTTTCCAATGCCCGAGCGCTGCTCGGCCTGCTCCTGCGTCAGCGCGGTAAGCACGCCGAGGATGACGGGCGTGTTGGAGTCGAGCCCGACGCGCATGAGGCCGTGCACGCAGGCGTCAGAGATGTACTCGAAGTGCATCGTGCTGCCCTTGATGAGGACGCCGATGGAGATGACGGCGTCGAAGGGCGCAGAGGGCGCGGATGAGGTGCTGCTTGGTGTGCTCGAGGGATCGAGCAGCGAGGTGGCAGACATGAGATCTGTCGCAGCCGATGAGGCCTGCGTCTGCGCCGCGGCGATCATCCTGGCAGAGGTGTCAGCATCGGGCGCAGTGGGCACGCACACAGTCAGCGAGCACACGAGGGCCACCGACGCCCCACCGCTGCAGGCCTCGACGCACGCCGCAGCGCCATGCTGCGCACACTCACCGTGCGGTGGCGTGCGGCAGCTCCCAGCTGCCCGGCACGCTCTCGACGACGATGTTGTCGCGCTGCACGCCAGCGGCGGTGAGTGCCTTGAGCGAGCCCTCGACGAGGGCGTCGATGCAGGCGCCGTTCCAGCGCGCGTGCACGATGCCGATGCGCAGCGATGCGGCATGCGGGAAGGGTGCCGTGGGTGCGGCGGGAGCGTGGACCTGCGGCATGGCTGTGAGAGGAGACTGGAGGAGGTGGTGGACGGAAGGCTGGCCCAAGTGGCCGCCCGGGCCGCAGGTTGCCGAGGCGGTGCGCGGCGCGTGCGTGCTGACGTAAGCACGCCGCACAGGCCATGCTGCAGCGGCTTCCACGGCTCGCTTCCGTTCCTCCACCTCCCGCCCCTTCCGCACCGTCCGCAGCCATGCTGGCGGCGCTGCCGCTCATCACGCTGCTCGTCGGCGCCGCTGCGCTGCTGCTGCAGCTGTGTGCCGTGGCGCTGCTGCTGGCGCAGCTCTGCGAGCTCGTCGAGACGCGCCCGCGCAGCGTGCAGCGCTGGGGCATGCGGGCGGCACTGGTGCGTGGGGCATGGCTCTCTCAGGTGCTTCTGACATCTGCTCACGCCTCTGAAGGCCAGCTGGGTGCTGCTCGTGCTTGGTCTGCCCACAGCGCGCCTGCTGCTCCTCGCCTGCCTCTCGCAGCTGGCACAGGCGGCGCTGCTGCGCCACACCCGCTGGCCCGCATCGCCGCCGCTGCTGCTGCTGGCGGCGACGCTGCCGGCGGTGCTGCTGCATCTGCTGCTCCTCTCGCACCACCGCCGCTCCCTCGCCGCAGACGCAGCACACGCCGCCCAGCCGCTCCTGCCCGGCGGCCGCGCGCTGTGGGACGCCCCGCCGGCACCACCGCCGCCCATGACGGCGGCGCAGACGGCGGCGCTGTGCGCGCTCCTCTGGGCCACGCCGCTCCTCAACCTCACCGCCGCATGCGCACAGAGCTGGGGCCTGCCTGCCGCACGCACGGCTCAGCGACGGGAGAATTAGATGCGCATTTTGCAAGAGAGATGGTCCGAAGGAGCGGGCAGGGGGTACAGGTGACGCGGATGAGAGGAGAGCAGCAGCAGCGGGCGGGCGGGCAGAAACATCACGCTCCTTCATGGCGCCGCCGCCGTAGGCCGCGCTGCTGCCGCCTCCCCGGCGGGCGCTGCGGCATCCTCGGGCGCCGCAGCCGGCGCCGGCTGAGCCTCTCGCGCCTGCAGCCACTCGGCAAGCTTGCGGCGGCGAGCCTCGCGCTGCGGCTCGGCCCGCCGCTCGCGCGCCTCGAGCGTCGCGGCAGGCAGCTGCCGCACAAACGTGTCCGTCGTGCCGGCGCCGTAGAAGAGGCGGTAGGTGTTCATGCACATCTGCAGGCAGCAAGAGTCAGCAGTGCTCGCCGTCCGCCCACGCACACGAACGCACCTTCAGGTCCAGCTCGTTGCGCGCAATGAGCGCGCCGCCGCGCGGCACCTCGACCTCGGCCTCGTCTGCCTCGGCGGGCGCACTGCGCTGTAGGAAGGGCGGCGCAACGGGCGCTGGCAGGCCCTCGGTGGGCGTGTGCAGCACGTAGCTGGCCGTGTATTGTGCCCAGCGCTGCTCTTTCGTACGCGGATCGCCCAGCGTCGGCTCGTCCTTGGAGAGCATCTGCAGCAGCAGCTGCCGGCTGCCGGCCTGCCACTCGACGCGGAACAGGTTCTCCTCGCGCCCCAGCACCGCCTCGGCGGCGACGCGCCGCGCAATCTGCGCCTTGTAGTCGGCCGACGAGCCGCTAGCGCGGTCCTTCTCCAGAATCGACTGCAGCTCCTGGCACTTGCTGTCCGTGGCGATCAGCTGCGCCGTCTTGACGAGCGCGCCGATGACCTTGTCGAGCGTGAAGAGCAGGTAGCCCTCAATGCCGTACATGTAGCGCACGCTCTCCTCGAACGTGTTGCGGTCCAGCTCGCCGTCAAAGAGCTTCTCGGCGAGCTCGAGCAGCGTGTCGTAGTAGCGGCTCGGCGACAGCGTCAGGCCGCTCACCTCGCCGAGCCCGTTGGACGTGCCGTTTGGCTGCACGCCGTTGGCCGACGACGTGCCGCTGCTGTGGCTGGTGCTGGCAGCCTGGCTCGCGGCCGCGGCCGCACCGACGACGGCTGCCGGGCCCGTCGAGCCGTCCTGCAGGCCAAGCTCGAGCGCCACGGGGTTGATGCGCCGCTTGGGCGGCTGCTGCGCGGCCATCTCGGCGCCGAGCTGCTTCATCTTGAACAGCCGCGCGTAGAGCAGCTGCGGAGAATGTCAGCTGCGCGCTAGCCCGCGCCACGTAGAACTCACCTGCAGCAGGCGCACGAACACATAGTGCGATGTGGAGCAGAAGAAGTTGCACTTGATGCTCGCCGCGGCCGGCTGCGCACTGCCGCCGGGCGAAGGCGCCGCGCTCTCGGCCGCCGGCGGCGTGGCGACGTTCTGCCGGGTGGCCGAGTCGAACGCCTTGACGCCGGCGGCGTTCAGCCACGTCTTGGGCTCGGCCGGGTTGACCGCCGAGTCGGCCTCGACGGGCGCCTCTTGCATCTCCTCGTCGGCCGGCGCTTCCTTGGTCGCAGGCGCCGCGCTGCCGTCGGCCTCGCTGAGCGCCTGCGCGGCAGCCGCCTTGGCCTCGCCGTCGAGCATCTCCACGTCGGGCGCGCCCGAGCCGCCAGCGACGACGGGCGCCGTGGCCGCGTCCATGGCCTCCGTCGCGGCCTTGACCTCGGCAGCGAGCGCAGGACTGGACGCGCGAGCTGCCGTCGTAGCAGCAGCCTCCGGCGCCGCTTCGCCCTGCGCCGCCTCGGCCTGGTTGCGCAGCAGCCGCCGGCGCAGGTCGCCCTCCTGTCTGCGCGCAGCGGCCGCGCCGCCGCGCCGTGACGTCGACGCGACGGATGCCGAGTCGGCGTCCGAGGCGTCGGCATCGCTGCGCACGTCGTCGTCGCCGGCGCGGCTCTCGGCCTCCTCGTCCGCCTGGCCCTCCAGCACGACGCCGCCGCTGAGCTGCTCCTCGAACTCCTGCGGGTCAAGGGCCAGCAGCAGCGGCACAAATGTCCGCAGGAAGCCCTCGATGCGGTCGCAGTCGGCGCGGCTGTACGGCGCGCGGTCGAGGAAGCTGAGCGCCAGCTTCAGCACGTCCATGAGCACGCCCGTGTCGTCGAGGGCGTATGCCAGCTGGTACTGCGGGCGCGGGCGCGGCAGGTTGGGGTCGACGGCTAGGCGCGCCTGCAGCTGCTGCGTGCGCTTTGCCTCGATCTCGGACACGAAGGCCTTTGTCGTGATGACCTTCTTGTCGCTGGCCTTGAAGTTGACGCCCTGGTGGTCGAGGCTCTTGTAGTAGTTGCGCGCATCGACCTCGCGCCACACCTTGTTCCACTCGCGCTGCGCGCGCTTCCACTCCTCGTCCTTCTGCTTCAGGCGCGCCAGCACCACGGGCACGGCGACGCACGGATTGTCGTGCAGCGCCGCAATCACCTCGACGCCGTACTCGCGGCCGTAGACCTTCTTGACGACGCGCTGGTAGATGCTCTTCGACTGGCCGCCCAGCCCGGGCTTGAGGCGGAATGCAGCGCGCTCGTCGGCGTCCATCGTCGTGATGCGCGCGGCGATGGGCTCGAGCAGCGCAATCGTGCGCAGGTTTGCCTCGATGTGGTAGTCGTACTCGTGCCGCTCCTCCTCGCTGCGGTACAGCGCGTCCTCGTACACGTTCTTCTTGTGCGGGTTGAAGCTCTCGCCCTCGCTGGCCCACGTCGGGTGCGAGACCCACGTGTCGTTGAGCACCTCCCAGCACATGGGGTCGCGCCCGCTGCACGCGAGGTTGATTTCGGCCTTGGGCAGCTTGCGGTAGCTGGCGCCGTACACCTTGCAGCTGCCGAGGTCGACGCGCTCGCGCTGCAGCGCCGGCACGTTTTCGATGATCGGATCCTCAGCCTCGAGCCAGCCATGCTTGCCCATGTCGTAGCCGCAGAGGCACTGGAACGCATTGAACAGCTCGCGGTTGCCGCCGATGAACAGCGACGCGCGGTCGACGAGCGTGCGCACGTCAATGACGTCCTGCGTGTAGAGGTTGAGCAGCTTGAGGAACTCGAGGTACGTGGCGCGGTCGTCGATGTGCTTCTTGACGCGGTCGAAGAAGGCCACCTCGTCGGTCGTGGCGAGCGGCGGCGCCTGCGGGCCAAGGCCCATGCCGCCGCTGACGCCGTTGACGCCCACGCCCATCGGCACGAGCGAGCCGTCGGGCGCCATGGCGAGCCCGACGCCCGGCGCCGTGCCCGGCACCGGAATCAGCGAGCCGTCGCTGCCGTACATCAGCGCCTGCTGCGCGCTCGGCGGCGGCATGGGCATCGGCGGCGCGTACGCCTCCTGCGCCGCGACGGGCCCGCCGACGTCGCGCGCGGGGCTGCGCTCCAGCTTGGCGTGCGAGTGCTTCGACTTTTTGCTCTTGCTCTTGGCTGCAGGCGCAGGAGCGGCCGCCTCGGCGCCCGGCGTGCTGCTGGCCGCGCCCGCCGCGCGCTTCTTGCTGCGTCCGCCGCCCGGCGCCTTCTTGGCGCCCTCTGGCGGCCCAGCGTCGAGCCGCGCGGCGCCGGGCGGGGCCTGTGCGCCGTGGCCATGCGGGCCCTGGTGGCTGCCCGCACCTGCCTGCGCTGCCACGCCTGGCGCACCCATGCCCGCGGTGACCTGGCCCAGCATGCCAAAGAGCCCGCCGGCCGCGGGCGGCGCGCCCGACGACGTGTCGGGCAGGAACTGCTTGAACTCATCGAGCAGGTCCTTGTCGTTGTTGAACAGCACCGTCACCTGCGCATACACCTGCATGCAGCGTCAGGCCCAGCGCACGCCTCAGCACAGCCCTCGCACCACTCACATCGCCGATCGGCCGCTGCTCCTTCTGGTACGTCTGCAGAATCTCGAGGAACTGCTTGTACGTGTCCGGGTCGCCCGAGAAGCGCTGCTTGATGCGGTTCACGTAGCTGATGGCGTGGTTGAACTCGACGGGCGGGCGCCGGTCGGCGGCGTTCTGTGCGGCGCTGCTGGGGAACGGCGCCGAGAGCACGCCGGCGCCGGCCGTGGCGCCGGGCGTGGCGGGCCCGGCACCGGCGTGCGAGGGGCGCGCCGGCGTCGCCAGGCCCGAGAGCGAGCCGGCGGGCAGCGAGGGCAGCGCCTGGCCGGGCGCGGCGCCGGGTGCGGCTGCATACGCGGCGCCGTGCGGCGGCGCGTCGGCGGCATGTGCGGCGCCGGCGTCGCGGTGCATGCGCGAGATGGCGCCGGCAATGCCGCCCGACGTCTGCGTCGTGGTGCCGGTGGGCGTGGTGACGGTGATCATGTTGGCGCGGTCCGGATCGAGGCTGCACTCGATGCGGTAGCCCGGCGGCAGGAACGTGTTGAAGCCCTGGATGAGCGACGGGTGCCCGCGGAAGAGCGTCGAGACGCGCTCAATGACGCCGGGCGTGTCGATGGACTGCGACTTGAACTGGGAGTGGGAAAGAGTCAGCACTGCGCAGGCAGAGGCACGCCCGCCGGCCACGCACATCCTTCATGATGTCGAGGAAGCGGTTGTACACGTCGGGGTGCTCGGCGAACTGCACCTTGACCTGGTCAAGGTAGGACAGCGCGTCCTTGACGTTGAGCGTCGCCTGGATGGGTGTGAGCGGGGTTGCGCAAAGGGGTGGCGTGCGGCCGCGGCACTGACCATGCTGGGCAGGCGGCGCGGGCGGCGGACAGCGCAGGGCGCAGATGCGAGGCCAGCGCCGGGGCTGGGTGCCGGAACGTGCGCAGCCGCAGCGGCGAGGCGGCCGGCGCGAGAGGGACGCGCAGGTGGGCGGAGCGAGAGGGCGTGCGCAGGGCAGACAGCGTGCCGCGAGGGAGTGGCTCGGGAGGAGGGTGGGCGCAGAGAAGGAAGCGCGGCGAGGCGATGATGCGCGTGCTCGGCGATGCGGAGGCGCGGCAGGGACGGCGAGGCGCGAGGAGGGGAGGCAGCAGCGCGGCGCGCGGCTGCGCCTCTGGTGCTGCTGAGGCACGCACGCTGCGCTGGCGGCGACCATCGTGCGCCGCGGGCACGCCGCCTGTGCCTGCCGCCGCGGTGCGCGCACACGACTCCCGTGTCCCGGCCGTGCGAGAGCGAGGCTGCTCCTCCTCCAGCCAGACACCCTCCCGACTCTGCAGGCCGCGTGGTGTCGAAGGGGCAGCATGGAGGTGGTGGCTGAGCAGTGGCAGTCAGAGACACACCAAGTCCTGCGTCGGCAGCCCTGCCGCTCCTGAGCCTGGCACGCGCTGCTGCTAGCTGCTGCTCCCTGCACGGGCCGCAGCCAACGCTGCGCATGCCTGGCAGCACCGTCGGGCTACCAGGCGCACCGCAGGGTGAGCGCATCTTGTCTGCGAGAACATGGCGTCTCTATGTAGAGCCGCCGGAGTCTCGATGGCTTTGCGGAGTCGCAGGCAGCACAAACGCTCGCTGGAAGGGCGCCAGGGGCCGGCTTAGTCACGTGCGCGGACAGGGGTCCGCGCTGCGAAATCCGTGAGGGCCGCGGCCAAGCAGATAGGCGCGGGCGCGCGCGCGGCGGCCAGGGCCGGGCGCAGCAAGCGCGGCGCGCCTCCTCAAGGCACGTTTCGCCTTCGCGCGCTCTGCGTGAGAAGGAGCAGCAGCGGGCAGCCACGCCTTCCTCTCTCCCGCACCACCACCTCTTCGCACCACACAGCATGGCTCTGCCTGCTCGCCTTGCCGCACGCCGCATCGGCGCCGCCGTGCCGCGCCTCGCCGCCGCCGCGCCCGCGCAGCGCGGCCTCTCCGCCAAGGCCGGCGCTGCGCCGCCGCCGCAGCCGCAGTCGAGCGTCTTTGCCGCGCTCGACACGTTTGCGCCGCGCCACATCGGCCCGCGCGACGGCGACATTGCCAAGATGCTCGCCGTGCTCGGCTACGACTCGCTCGACGCCTTTGTCCGCGACGCCGTGCCCGCCGAGATCCGCCTCGCCGCCGACGGGCAGAAGGAGACGGCCGGCGCGCAGGACGGGCGCCAGGGCGACCGCATGGCCAGCAAGCGCATCGCCGCGCTCAGCGAGAGCGAGCTGGCGCGCCGCGGACGCGCCATTGCCGACATGAACCGCCCCGTCAAGAGCCTCATCGGCCTCGGCTACCACAACACCAACGTGCCGCCCGTCATTCTGCGCAACGTGAGTGCGACGTGTGGTGATCCTGCGTGGCCGCCTGCCTGCGGGTGTCACTTGCAGGCCCTGCCTGGCTGCCTGCGCACATCTTGCTGCCTCGTCTGCCGTGTTCTCTGTCTCACGCGCTGCACTGTAGATCCTCGAGAGCCCGGCATGGTACACGTCCTACACGCCCTACCAGCCCGAGATCTCGCAGGGTGAGTCCCGTCTTGCGCTGCCTGCCCGCGCCTCACTCACACATTCTCGCAGGCCGCCTCGAGTCGCTGCTCAACTACCAGACGATGATCAAGTCGCTCACCGCGCTCGACATTGCCAATGCCTCCTTGCTCGACGAGGGCACCGCCGCCGCCGAGGCCATGACGCTGGCGTACGGCCACGGGCGCTCAAAGCGTCGCACCTTCCTCGTCGACACGGCCGTGCTGCCGCAGACGCTCTCCGTGCTGCGCCAGCGCGCCCGCGGCTTCCAGATCAACGTCGTCAGCGTGGATCTCTCGCAGGGCCTGCCGCAGGAGCACGCCAAGGACACGATGGGCGTGCTGGTGCAGTACCCCGACGTCGACGGCGTCATCCGCGACTACGCCTCGCTGGCGGCCGAGACGCACAAGGCCGGCGGCCTTGTCGTCGCTGCAGCAGACCTGCTGGCGCTCACGATGGTCAAGCCGCCGGGCGAGTGGGGCGCCGACATTGCAGTGGGCTCGTCTGCGCGCTTCGGCGTGCCGCCGGGCTTCGGCGGCCCGCACGCGGCGTTCTTTGCCGTGCGCGACAAGCTCACCCGCAAGATGCCGGGCCGCCTCGTTGGTGTCTCGAAGGACGCTCGCGGCAAGCGCGCGCTCCGTCTGGCGCTCCAGACGCGCGAGCAGCACATCCGCCGCGCCTCCTAGACGACCCTCTCTCCGCGCACCTGCTCCTCGGTCCGGCCTCAACGGCCCACAACCCGAGCTGCGCACGCCAGTATCCACGAGCGCCGCATCTGCGCATCGCTCCACCGTCCCGTTATATTCACCCACTCGCCTCCGTCATGCTTCCCATCCGTTCCTGTGCAATCATTCGCCGCCTGCGTCATCCTGTATCTTGCCCACATCACCCGTGTCACGCGAACTCAACGTTCTTCTGCAATCAATCACATGCTATCTAGCGACGCGCTCGCCGTGGTGGGAGAGCCCTGGCGGCGCGTGGTGCGCCGGAGTCATGACTGTCCACAGCGACTCTGCATCTTGAGCACCGCCGCAGCCCAGCACAGTCGTCAACGTCTCGATTTCGTCAATATACAAGGTGACACAGACTCCAGGGGGCGGGACAGGGTCGGAGCAAAGATGACGCAGGGGGGACCGGGCGGGGAATCGGGAAACGAGACAGGGAATAAGACGAAGGGTGCTCAGTACGAGACGGTGTTGACCTGCTGCTGCGGCAGCGCCTCCTTGACAGCCGCGTCCTTCTCGTCGACGCTGCTGGCTGCCTCCTCGTCGGCAGCGGCGCCGGCACCAGCGACGGCGCCGGTCCAGTAGGCATCCTCCCAGCCGGTCGCGCCGCGCGGCTCGAGCCACACCTTGCGCTCGGCGAGGGAGATCTGGCCGGGCACGGGGAAGAGCCACGAGGCGAAGAGGTAGATGCCGCCGGAGACGAGCAGGCCGATGAAGAAGGAGAGCGTGTAGATGTGCTGCGCTGCCGTGGAGACTAGGAGCAGAGATGGTCAGCGGAGGCTCTTAAAAGTGTATGCCACATGTGCACACTCACCATCGGCGCCGAGCACGCCGGCGAAGCCAGTGACAGACGTGGCGATGCCGGCGATGTATCCGGCAAAGGCACGCAGGTTGATGCCCTTTGCGAAGTAGTACGGGCTAAGGCCGTTGCCGGCGTCGTCGTGCGTGCTGAAGAGGCGCGGCACGTTGAAGTAGCCGCGGCGCAGCACGTAGTAGTCCGCGAGGATGACGCCGATAATGGAGCTGAGGAAGAGCGAGTAGGCCGAGAGGTACGTGGCGAAGTTGTTCGACGAGGAGAGCACGTGCCAGGGACAGTAGGCCATGCCGATGGCCCAGCAGAGGATGCTGCCGCGGCGGATGTTGATGTAGCGAGGCAGCAGCGCCGTGAGGTCGGAGCCGGCAGAGAGCGAGTTGGCGGCGATGTTGACGCCGAGCTGCACGATGATGAAGGAGAAGCCGATGCTGTGCAGGGGTTAGTGCGACGTACGGCAGGGGATTGGCAGTGCTAACTCACAAGAAGCAGGCAGCACGCGTGCCAGAGTGGTACGGGTCGAAGTCGAGGCGGGCGTTGAGCAGGCTGATCGGGTCCCACTCGAGCGTGCCGGTGATGACCTGTCCGCCGGCGGCGATGAGGATGCCGAACGCCGCCGTGACCGTGAACACGAGCGGGACGCTGACGAGCTGTGGCCACAAGACGGCCGAGCGGCGGTTCGCCAGACGCGCAAAGTCTGCCTGGTTCGTGACGACGGTGGCCATGTTGCTGACGCATGAGACGACGGCACCGACGAAAGCCCAGGCGCGCTGACTGCCGTGCACCGTGGCGGGCTCGCGGATGACGGAGCCGAGGCCGCCTGCGTCGTGCAGCGTCCATGCGAGGAAGCTGATCAGTGCGATGGGCGCCACCACGGCCTTCACGGTGAAGAGGTGTCGAATCTTCTGCGGGCTCGGCAGCACGCAGACGAGGTTGAGGAGGCCGAAGAGGAAGAAGGAGAGGAGGTCGCGCGACGAGACGCCGGCCGAGGCTGGCAGACGGTTGGCCATGTTGTAGTAGCTCGGGATGATGGAGCGCAGCGTGACGGTGACACACTTGCCGCCGATGAAGGCTGCAGGGTGTGGTGTCAGTGCCTGTCTGTGCCGCACTGGATGCGTCCGACTCACCTTGCACTCCCTGCCACACGCATGCCATGACGGCGCGGTTCAGCACTGGCCACAGCGCACCGAAGAGGCCGAAGCTTGCACGCGTGACGACGGGAAAGCTGCAGTGCGTCGTGGCGCCGATGCGGGCCATGAGGACGACAAAGACGGCCGAGATGCTGTAGCCGATGGCCGTCGAGACGAGGGCTTCCCACCACGTCAGTCCCGCCGTCATGGCAGAGGCGGCAATCATAAGCACGTTGATCTGTGTGGCGAGGCGAGTCAGTCGTGCTGCATGTGGCCTCTGCTGGATGAAGCACTCACGTTGCAGCCGTCGGCGAGCCAGAAGGCGGCGTACGACTTGGCCGTCCATGCGCGGGCATCGCGGCGCACCGGCTGCAGGTCGTGGTTGAGGAGGTAGTTCTCGGCGCGCGAGCCTTCGGGCGCGTGGGGCACGCGCAGGGCCTTGGAGAGCTGGGCACCGCTGAGCATCTTGAGGCGAGGCGAGAGAGTCGGAGAGGGGTGAGGAAAGTGGCGAGAGTGCTGCGAGAGGCGGCGCTTCTTGTACCTGAGCGACGCAGAGGGCGCCGTGTAACATATCGCCTCGCCGCCGCCGCGCGCCGGCGTCACACCAGAGCTCGTCCATCCGCGCCTCCCGCGCACGCCGTGGCGTCCCTGCCATTCGGCGCCGGCGACACTGGACTGACGCGTGCGGCAGGCGTCAGCTCGCGGGCTGCGCGCCGAGCGCCTGCTGCGGCAGCGCGAACGCTCGCCGCCCTCTGAGCTGACGCTCGCCCAGGCGTCACATGGCGGGCGTGACCCCATGCATGCTCGCCGCAGCTGCGTCCCACGGTCTGACGCCGCGACAGGCGTCAGCTCGCGGGGTGCACGCGGTGATAAGGCCGGAAAGCAGCGATAAGCCAGCTTTTGCAGAGCTGCGGTCTGACGCCGTGCGGGGAAGACGCGCCAGCTTTTAGCCGCGGCTCGGCGCCGGCGCGGGATAAGGCGCCGTCGGCCGGACGGCTCGGGGAGGGCGCCTGCCGCAGCATGAAGCACTCTGCCGGCCGAGAGAGGCCCTTGAGGCTTCATTGCGCTGCGAGGTGGATCAGATTGGCGAGATGCGAGGAAGTGAGCGTCAGACGAGAGGGTGCAGGCTGATGAGAGGCGGCGGGCGGCGGTGGCGCCGCGTGGATGCCGGCTGCAAGGCGAGGCGCGCGCGACGGCTGCCTGGCGAGCCAGCGCACCTCCTTCGAAGGCTGAGGATGGCACTCACGCACCGGCAGCGAGGCAGATGCGGCGAGGAAGGCGTGGCGAGGCGCACGGCCTCTGCCGATGGCGGGCGGTGCGCGAAAGCGGGCGACGTGCGGGCGGTGGAGTGACAAGCGTGGGGTCCGTCTGCGCAGCGCGCGCATGTCGCGAAGAAATGCGCCGGCAGCGCGCGCCGATCCGACCGGCCCGACGCCCACAAAGCACACCTGGCACCCGCGCCGAGCTGCTCCCTCCTTCCTGCCCACCACATGGCCGCCGCTCCCTCGCTCGACCACGCCGTGCGCGACCTCGTCGGCTACGGCGCCGCGCCGCCGCACGCGCGCTGGCCGCACGGCGCGCGCCTCGCCCTCAGCTTCGTCGTCAACTACGAGGAGGGCGCCGAGCACACGCTGCTCAACGGCGACGCCGGCCCGGAGCGCTTCCTCACCGAGGGCGGCGCCACGGCCGCGGCGAGCAGCGGCATGCGCAGCCTCGGCGTCGAGAGCGGCTACGCGTACGGCGCACAGCGCGGCTTCTGGCGCATCCTGCACCTCTTCCACACGCACGCCGTGCCCTTCACCAGCTGGGCCGTGGGCCGCGCCGTCGAGCTCAACCCGCACGTCGTGCCGGCCATGGAGGCGGCGCGCGGCGAGGTCGCGTGCCACTCGCAGCGCTGGATCGACTACGCCGCCATGCCCGAGGCCGAGGAGCGGCAGCACGTCGCACAGGCGCTCGACGCCCTCGCCGCCGCCTCGCCGTCGGGCCGCGTGCCGCGCGGCTGGTACACGGGGCGCCAGTCGCTGCAGACGCGGCGCATCGTGTATGAAGAGTACCGCCGCCGCGGCCTGCTCGCCACGCTATACGACAGCGATGCCTACGACGAGGACCTGCCGTACTGGGTCCCCTGCCCTTCGCCGGAGCCGGGCCCGCCGCTGCTCGTCGTGCCCTACACGCTCGACTGCAACGACATGAAGTTCGCCCAGGCGCCCGGCTTCGTCACGGCGGGCCAGATGTACGAGTATCTCGTCGACGCCTTCGACACGCTCTACGCAGAGGGAGAGGAGGGAAGCCCGAAGATGATGACGGTGGGCCTGCACTGCCGCGTCATCGGCCGGCCAGGACGCTTTCCCGCGCTGCGACGCTTCGTGGAGTACGTCAAGCAGAAGGAGCAGGTGTGGATCGCCACGCGGGAGGAGATCGCAGAGCATTGGAGACGCGAGCATCCGCCAAAAGAGGGGCAGTGGCATGAAGTCTAAGAGATGCATGAAGGAAAGAGCCGGCGAGCAAGACATGTCGCGGGCAAGAGCCACAAAGGAGGAGGAAGAGGCGGGAAGCGGTGCAGGTGACCAGCAGTCGCCAAGTCGCGCTCTAGGCCCGTCAAAAAGGGGCGCTTCTGCCACGCATGGAAGGGCCGAGTCAATTGTATTTCTAGCCATTGCTTGATGATGGATTCGTGGGTGACATGGGAAGGCGAGTGGAGCTCCACGCGGCACGAAGACGAGATAGAGCGAGAAGAGTTGCGGAGCGAGGCAGAGGTGCGCAGAGGCATCAAGCGTCGGCAGCAGCGAGGCGCTTTGCCGCCGGAGCCTCCTCCGGTGCGCCGCCGTTGGCCGCCTCGACGGCCGCCGGACTCTCCTTGCGCTTCTTCTGCGCCGCTGCCGTCGAGGTACCGAGGGCTTCCTCCTTGATGCGCACCACTGGATTCGCAGCGTGCACGGCGCCGCCGGCCAGCTGCGGCGTGCCGGCGCGCGAGCCTGCTTGACTCTCCGTCTCGCTGGCGCCGTCGGGCGGCGTGCCGCTGCGTGTCACTGCGGTCGAGAGGGCCTTTGCCGAGTAGCGACACGTGCCGTGGTAGTACTGCAGAGAGCACGACTGCGTGAGCACAAGCAAGAAGCAACCGCGAGCAATGCAAAACTCACAGTGCCATCGACGTGCACCGCATCGCGCCAGATCCACTCCTCCTCGTCCTCGCTCCACTCGCTCTTGAAGAGCTCCTTGCAGATGGGACACGGCCGTGCCGCAGCGTCCGGGTCGTCCGTCGGCGCAACGACGAAGCTGGCAGCTGCCGCCTTGAGCTCGGCCTCCTGAGCCGGCGTCAGGGCGCCAGGCCGTTCGGCGCCCTCGCGCTGCGCCGGCGGTGCATCGTCGAAGCCTCCGCGGATCCAGTGCTAGTGAAAGACCGGTCAGCGCCAGAATTGCGATGCATGCGCATCACACGACTCACCGAGAGCTTGCTGAACCAGCTGCGGCTCTGTCCGCGCGCGGCGCTGTCCTTGGCTCGGCGATTCTGGCGGAAGTGCCAGTCGAGGTGCTCGTCCATGCTGCGCTGTCCTCGCGGGCCAGGCGGGTAGCGATTGGCGCACTGGCGACACTGCTGCGGCAGATGCTTGTGCAGCACGAGCTCGAGCGCGCCGACCGGCGGCTCGCGCTGCAGGTCGGCAGAGGTGAACTTGATGTCGAGCGAGAGAATCGCGGCGGCGTAGTCGGCGTCTTGCTCGACCTTTGGCGATGCGGCAGCGCCGCCCAGGGCGGGATTTGAGAGCAGACCGGCCTGCATGAGACTCTTGATCAGATCGCTGGCGGCGTTGGGCGCCGGCGCAGCAGTGGCGTGCGCTGCCGGCGGCGTGTTGAGCGGACCCAGCTTGCCCAGACTCGCCAGCGTCTGCGAGAGGCCAGCCGGAATGGCCGGCACCGCAGCTGCCTGCTGCTGTTGCGCAGCGAAGCGCTCGGCTCGCGGGCCAGTTGGAGGCGTTGCCCCTCGTGTGCCCGCGGCGCTCATCTCGCCGCCGAGCGCGCCGAGCTGCGCCACGATCTGTGCCACCTCCGCCGGCGTGAGAGGCGTCGTCTGCAGCACGTCGCGCAGCTGCTTGAGCGCACTCATGCGCGTCGCCGAGTAGGCTGTCGGATTGCGGTACTGGTCCTGCGTGCCCAGACTGAGCAGGCGGTTGATCTGCTCGACGGCGCGCGCCTTTTCCGCTTCCAGAGCCGCATCGCCTGCGGGCACGGGCGCAGCGGCGTTGACGCCCGGCTGCGGAGAACGACCGCCACTGGGAGGCGCCATGGGCGAGTTGCCGCCCCAGCCGTGCGCGGGAGAGAGATAGCCATTGGGCGAGGCCACATGGTGCGGCGAGATGCCCTGGGCAGCAGCGACGGCCCGCGCAGCAGGCAGAGGCGCGCCGACGCCCTGGCTGCCAAAGAGGCTCCGCTCGATGCTCCACTGCGCCTGCTCGCCGAAGAGCGGCCTTCGCCCCGGCCCGGCCTCGCGCCACGTGCCAAGCAGCTCCTCCATGCGCACCTTGACGCCCTGCTCCACCACGCGGTACGTCTCGAGGAAGAGGGCGGGAATGCGTTCGGCCCAGAGCGACGTGTACGGCTCGCCGATGTTCTTGGAGATCGAGTCTAGCAGATACAGCGCCGGCAGGCGGTATGCAGGCAGCGTCTAGAGTACAGGCAATGGGTCACACACACACACAACAGAAGGGGACAGAGAGGGTCAAGCCTTGCATCAGCAATTGTCACTCGGGATCGCGTCGCTCTGCCTCACCTGCGAGATGTGTTCGTCGACGCACTGCGCCACGACGTTGCCCATGGCGCCGATGTTTTCGTGCGCGATGATGGTGAGGTTGGTGATGATGGGCTTGGAGTTGAAGGTGAGCGTGGCGAGCTGGCTGTGGAAGTAGGCGGCGAAGGCATCGGGCGAGGACAGGTGCGCCGGCGGCGCGGGCGCAGCCGGTGCCAGCGCCGGCGGGCCGTGGGCATAGTACGGCTGCTGCGGAGGAGCGGGCTGCCCGTACATCGGCTGAGCAGGAGCGGGCGCACCGTAGTAGCCTGGCATCGGCGGCGCCGCGCCGTACTGCGGCGCCGGCGCGTGTGCGTTGTAGGGCGCTCCGTACATGGCGAGAGAAGGAAAGGTGCTTAGGGGGTGCGGGGGGCTACAGCAGACACAGCAGGCACAGGCGAGGACAACGCGCGCGCGTCACGGCCCCAAGGAAGCTGGCGGCGGCTGACTCTTCTTCTGGTGTGCGCGTGCGCGATGGTGCTCACAAGGCCCGAGCGCCGACGATGAGAGGGCGACCAGAGCCGCAGGTGCTTCCTTCTTTCTCCTCTCTTCTCTTCGCAGGGCCAAGTGCTATTGCAAGCCAAGCCAGACGCGCGCGACAGAATGGTGTGCAGCGCAGCAGCAGCAGGCGGCGCTGACGCGGCAGACTCGTAGCTAAGCGAGGCACTCCGAGCGACGCCCGACGTGAGATGCTGCACTGCAGGCTAGGCCGAGCGATGCGCAGAGCGAGCGAGACAGGCAGGGCGCAGCGAGTTCGCGTGTGTGTTGTCGACTTGCGGCGCGATGCGGATGATGATGGAGCGGAGGCAAGAGGCGCAAGCAGCACCGCGGTGCGATGAGCTGCGCGCTGGAAACACGGGCGGCGCGCCACGCGTCACCGGCGGCGGGCGGCGGCCGCGGCGGCGCCGCTGCTGGTGCTGTGCCTGTGCTGACCTCGGCCGGCGGCCTCGCGCGCGGCGGTGCGCTCGCCAGCGGCCGCTGGCGCCGGCTCGCAGCAGCAGCAGCGGGCTTCATCGCAAGAGATGCCGCGACGGTCAAGCGTCAGAGCAGGGGCACAAGCCACTCCCAGCACACAGCAGATGATGCAGCTGCGGCTCGAGCAGCAGCCCAAAGGAGCGTGTCTCGAGAGTGCAGCGTGGCACAATTGTATGCAGAGAGGCCCGCCGGCTGCTGCAGCGCTGGTCAACTCGCCGCTGGATAGTCAGCACCACCTGGCCCAGCAGCGCCAGCAGCGGCGCGGAGCGAGCCTCTACGATTGCCGAGCGGCCCCGCTGCTGCCAGCTGAATTGTGCCCTGCTGACCGCGTGTCGTACGGCGAGGCACGGCTCAAGCGGCGAACACGGCCGGCAGCAGGATGGACGAATGGCGGTGGTCGAGTTGCTCGGCGACGGAGCGCTGCAAGGAGTCGCACGCGTGGAGGGACAGAGCTGGCGAGAGCTGCCGGACGCCGTGCACGTGACGCGCGCCGGCCGCAGCCGCAGTGGCTGGCGGCGGCGCTGGGCGCGGGAAGCAGCAGCAGCAGGCGCCACGCCCGCTGCGCCGCCGCCGCGCGCCAGGCCGTCTTCGCCGCGCGCGCATCTCCGTCAGCCTACCATCTCCCCTACCCCACCCTCCTCAAGAGTGAGTATGCCGCCCTCGCCGCACACACAGCGCACGCTCCTCGCACCTCGACTGCGCGGACACCGCAGGCGCTCCAGCTGCTGCGAGCTGCGGCCATGGCCCAGGCACCGCCTTGGCGCGGCAATGGAGAGCGTGGCCGGGCACCAGCGAGACGGGCGCAGGCAGCGACAGCACTCGCCGGTGCAGCGATCGCTCTTCTGTGCTCGTCGCGCAACAGATCATCCCCGATCTCAGCGTGCTGCGCTGCCGCCTCGCCGAGGAAGAAGGATGCGTGGCAGGGCTGGGCAGCAGGAGGGACGGGCGGCGGCAGGCCGGCGAGCTGCGCCCCAGCTGCAGTAGCATGTCCAAATGCCCGCATCACAAACGGTATGCTGACCCTGTCACCCTTGCGCTTTCCGCGTTGCAGCTTCACCATGCTGCAGCTCTACAAGGACCTGGACCTCGAGATCCCCGAGGGCGTCACGGTCGAGCTGCACGCTCGCCAGGCCACCGTCAAGGGCCCGCGCGGCGAGCTGACCAAGGTGAGTGGGGTGGGCGAGCAGCGAGAGACGAGACAGCTCGGGGCACGAGAGCGGCGAAAGAGGGCACAGCGGCGGAGAGAGCGAGCATACGCTGGGGCCAGGCGGGACAGCGGTGAAGGACTGGAAGCGTAGCGGCGGAGACGGGCGAGAGCCATGCGTTGTAACAGGACTGGAGAGGCTGCCGGGAGGGGCATGTCAGCGCAGCGCATGGCCGAAGCTGTCCATGCGGAGCGCCGCCTCTGCCCTGCTAGGACCGATGTCGCACAGAGCAGGAGCTCACGCGCGACGCGCCCATCGCAGAACGTCAAGCACATGAACATGGACATCCGGCACATCAAGTCGCCCAAGGGCGAGAAGCTGAAGTTCATCGTGTGGCACGGCGGCCGCAAGCACGTGGCCTGCCTGCGCACGGCCAAGGCTGTGTTCGCCAACATGATCAAGGGCGTGACTGTGGGCTTCCAGGTGAGTAGCGTGTGCGCGAGAGGCGGGGCAGGGCAGACGGAGCAGCGCGACGAGAGGACCAGCGGGGCAGCGCGCTGATGCAGCACGCTACGGCCTGCAGTACAAGATGCGCGCCGTGTACGCGCATTTCCCCATCAACATCATCATCGGCCCCGACGGCAAGAGCGCCGAGATCCGCAACTTCCTCGGCGAGAAGCGGGTGCGCCACGTCACCATGGGCGAGGGCGTGACGATCCGGGAGGACACGGCGCAGAAGGACCAGGTCATCTGCGAGGGCAACGACATTGAGCTCGTGTCGCAGTCGGCAGCGCTGCTCCACGGCCAGTGCCTCGTCAAGGACAAGGACATCCGCAAGTTCCTCGACGGCATCTACTGTGCGGCCAAGGGCTCCATTGTGCAGCAGGAGATCTAAGAGTGGAGGCGGCAATGCAGACGTCCATCTCTTCTCTGTTTCTCTCGAGCGCTCTCACTTCAGTCACGCCCCACACACCTCACACTGTCATGTACCATACGGCGCCGCGTCGCTCACATACTCTTAAAATGTGACGCAGCGTTCCGGCCACACGAAGCGAGGGTGCACGAGGGGTGCGGACTGGAGAGCGAGAGGGGCGCAAGTGTGCTTCGAGAGGATGCGGCGCCCAGCGAGGGGCTTCGTGGTCTCGGGCCGGCTTGAGAGGCGCTACCGAGGTGCTCTTCGGTGCTCGCTGCAGGCAGCGTGCTCGTTTGCGGGTCTCGTCACCCGTGTCCTCGGCATGCTGAAACATGCGCCTCGCCGCGCAGCCGTCCTGACGCTCTGCATGTCACCAGCACTGCTCCGCCGAGGCGCCCGCGAAGCGCCAAGTGCAGGCCACGAGCTTGGATGCTTCGAGTACGACGACAGAGCGCTTCGCGCTCCAGAGGCGGCTCCTGCTCCTCGTCCGCACTCCACACAAGAGGCAGCGCCGCCGGTGGGCCATCACACGACAGCAGAAACGGACTGTAGATGCAGCATGTGTGGTTTTGTGGCTCCGAGGCCGAGAGGGAATGGTAGTAGTACAGAGCCGGTGCGGATTGCACGCGGCACGACGGGACAGAGCGAGCGGGAGACGGGCGTGGAGAGGGAGAGGATGAGTTCAAGCCGTCTGTGCTTGCGTCAGGAACTTGGTGAGCTCTGCGGGATGAGTGTCAAGTCAGCGAGGGCTCCTCCTCACGTTGCACGTCCCGAGCGAGGCCTGGCAGGAAGAGCAAACTCACGGTCCAATTGCAGGTCCTCGCGGATCACAGTCGCCTTGACCTCGTTGTCCGGGTTGGCGGGCACCTGCACCGAGCCGTCTGCCAGCTTCCAGCCCGCTTGTTGCTCGATGTACGACGCCAGCTCCTTGCCTGCAAGCCACACATAGACGCACGCGCTGCCGTCAGTACACCGCAAGTGCGAGATGGCGGCACTGTGGCCCTGCCGCGACTCACCGGAAAGGTTCAGGTACGAGCCCAGCCGCTCCTCGCTGATCGCGCGGAACGCACCCTTGACGCTCTGCAGCGCCACGCTGCGCACTGCATCGTCAAAGCTGGCAACATTGGCGACGGCCTCTCTGACATCCTCGAACTCGGCGCTCGCGAGCGTGGACCAGAAGGCGCGGAAGCGGGCGCCGTGCAGCAGTGCGCTGAGCTGAGCCAGACGCACGATGAGCGGATCGGCGAGGTGGCCGGCGGAGGGCTGCGTCGAGGTGGAGGGGGCAGTGGCATCGGCGGGCGTCGGGTCGGCGCCCTCCTCGACCTCGGCGGGCGCGGGCAGGACAGCGACGGGCGCCTCGCCGAGAAGGGCGAGACAGAGGGAGAAGTCCGGGTACGGCGCGGCAGTCAGGGCCTTGAGAAGCACAGAGATGGCGACGCCATAGTCAAAGTCGCCGGCGTTGAACTGGAAGCTGCGCGTGGCCGGGTAGACGATGGTCAGCGCGGCTCAGCGGGCGTTGCGACGTGAGGAGGAGGGCAGGTCCGGCACAGAGGCGGACTGATCTCAGATAGAGCTAATTCTAGTTGTCTTCGCACTGCGGCCAAGGCTTCACTCTCGGTTGCTCCGCTCGACAATTTGGGTATAAGGTTACGCATCCCCGATCAGTCCGCTCCGTCTCTCTGTGCCGCCCATGCCTCCTCGCTCTGCACACCTCTGCCGCACTCACAGCTTGAGAATGGCCAAGTTGGCAAGACAGTCGTACGCGCCCGAGTCGAGCTGCTGCTGCAGGTACTCGACGAGCACGGCGAGGTTCTGCGGGTTGTACCGGTCCACGCCGGAGATGAGCTCCTCGATGTGCGCCGGGCGCGAGGCGGGCGACGTCTGGGAGGAGCAACGACGGGGCATGAGCGAGGCGCAAGAGGGACGGCTCGGGCAAGGCAACGCGCCAATGCACGGCAGAGCAGCCATACGCACCCACTGAGACGCGGAGGCAGAGGCGGTGTCGGTCGTCATGGCTGGACGTGCGGGACAGGAGAGGGAGAGCGTGGTCGACGTCGAGAAGGCCGCGGCGGGCGCGCTTGGCGAGGCGACGGCGGCGCTTGTGCGCGGTGAGAAGATCCTGGCCCAGCCGCCGCGCGCGCCTCGAGCCACGTGGCTTTGAGCGCGTCGGCCGGGCGCGCCAGGCCAGACACCGAGCCGCGCCGAGCTGCGCCTGCTCGCCGAGAAGCTCACACGGCGGCTTCGCTCCGCCTCTCCCACCACCACATCTCGCTATCCGCCATGTCTACCACCGGCGACGACGTCTCGCTCGCGGGCCACGACGAGGAGCAGATCCGGCTCATGGAGGAGCGCTGCATCGTGCTCGACCACGACGACCGCTACCTCCGCGACGGCAGCAAGAAGGAGTGCCACCTCATGTCCAACATCAACGACGGCCTCCTGCACCGCGCCTTCTCCGTCTTTCTCTTCGACCCCGACAGCGGCAAGCTGCTGCTGCAGCGCCGCGCAAAGGAGAAGATCACCTTCCCCGACATGTGGACGAACACGTGCTGCAGCCACCCGCTGGCGGTGCGGGCGGAGCTGGAGGAGCAGGAGCAGATCGGTGAGTGTGGGCGAGGCCATGCGCGCAGCTGGCGCGGCTGGGCGTAAGCCGAGACGGACGCACCAAGTGAAGAGAAGGGACTGGACGCATGCGCTCGACTGGCTCTCTTGCCTGGGGAAAGAGGCCGGCAAGCTAGAGCCACGACAGGAGCTGCCGTTGCCTTGGACCCTCGCTGCAACCTCTATCTTCCTTCTAGACAGGCCCCCTGTCATGCCCTGACCACCTCCTCTCGCTCTCGCGTGCCGCCCTGCTCTCGTCCCGCACCTCTGACCACACGTTTTCTCCCAGGCGTGCGTCGCGCAGCGCAGCGCAAGCTGGAGCACGAGCTCGGCATCCCCACCTCCCAAGTCTCGCTCGATGCCTTCCAGTACCTCACGCGCATCCACTATCTTGCGCCGAGCGATGGCATGTGGGGCGAGCATGAGAGTGAGTCGCGCCTCATGAAGAGCAAGACAGTGGCAGCACGGCAGCTGGCTGACGCGATGAATCTGCGTGCCAGTCGACTACATTCTCTTCCTCACTGTGCCCGTCACGCTGGCGCCGAGTGAGAACGAGGTGTGCGACACCAAGTGGGTGACGCCCTCCGAGCTCAAGGCGCTGATGGAGGAGCTGGACCGTGAGTTGATGGCGCGCTTGCCGTTCGCGTGATCGATCTGTAGAAGCTGAACCCGATTCGGTGTGGCCGCCAGCGGAGGCATTCACGCCCTGGTTCAAGCTCATCGCCGCGCGCTTCCTCTTCCCGTGGTGGCAGCAACTGCTGGACCGCCGCGAGGGCGGCAAGGGCAAGGTGGATGCTCTGTCGCTCAAGGATCTGCGGGACGACGAGATCCACCGGATGCTCTAGATGTGCGCGACCGCAAGAGTCACAACAGGAATATACCCCCGCCAATGCCGGCCAGTTGCTACACATCACGCGTGAGGAGGGACGGTGCAAGATGATGCGTTGCAAAGTACGATGACAGCAAGGACACGGTGACATATGGAAGCCAGGGAAACGATGTGGGCCGGCCTCTGCTCAAGGCCGGTACGAGAGCGTCGGGTAGACGTGTGCAGAGTCGCGCGAGGCCTGCGTGGGCACAAAGAGGTCGGCCTGCTCCACCTCGACCTCCTGCGTCTGGCGCACCTCGACGCCGTTGCTGCGCGTGTGGTGGTGCGAGGGCAGCGGCGGCGTGAGGCCCTGCTCGACGTCGTCGTCGTACTGCGCCTTGTCGGTGCTGTTCAGCCGACCCATGAGCGGCAGCTTGCCGATGGACGAGGCGCGCGAACGACTGTCGATGGCATTGCCGCGAGATGCGACGTTGCCGGCGTATGCAGGCGCCGAAGAGGCATGTGCGGTGCTTGCGCGTCCGAAGCCCATCTCGCTGGTGGTGCCGACGCCACGGTTGGAACGGAAGAAGTTGCCAAACTTCTCGACGTTTCCGGAGCCGCTGAGCTCGGAGAGCGAGATGCCGTTGGGCTGAGGGGCAGCGGCCTCCGCCAGGTAGACGTAGAGGCGCGTGGCTGCCATGACGGAGATGGAGCTGGACGGGATGGCGCCGATGAGAGACATGGTCGGCGAGAGACGCAGGCCGGTGAGGACGGCGACGGCGACGTTGGGCAGGAGCACGAGGACAAAGTAGATTAACCCCTGGCCGACGAGGATCTCGCCGATGCGGCTGGTGCCCATGCGGATCGTGCCGACGAGGGTGAGGACGAAGACGAGGGCGTCGACAAAGACGGTGACGAGGTACTTGGCCATGTAGTGCGTCTCCACGTGGGTGAAGACACAGGCGCCGGTGTTGTACGGGGCAGCTGCGGCGGTAGACCAGGCGGCCCCGACGTCGGCGACGCCGGCCATCCAGGTGGCCGTCATGCCCGCCAGTGCAACGCCCAGCACGACCTGCACCACCTTGCGCTCCGTGTCTTGGTACACGCAGACGGTACGCACCGCAAGGACTGAAGGGACGCCGTCAGCCATGGCCAGTGACGACGGTGCAGTGCCTGCTACTCACGCGAAGAGCAGAGCACGGCAATGATGCCCATGAAGGCCTCGATGGCGTACATCATGCCCTGGCAGGGCACCTCCGTCTTGGCGTACAGCAGCGTCACGTTGAGGAAGAAGTACGCCAGCCAGCTGAGCTTGGCGCCGAAGTAGACGAGCTGCGGCCAGCGCCGCCGCCGCTTGCCGGCGAGGATGCCGTAGTCGAAGCGCGCAAAGGAGAGGAGGTCGACCAGCACGGCACCGGCGGAGAGCCAGCCGATGAACTTGGCCATCTCAAAGACCCACTGAGAGGAGCTGGTCAGTGGGCTGCAGAGGTGTGAAGGGCCAGGCGACGCACGAGGAGCTGCGCCGTCGTCTGCCAGTAGGCAGGGTCGAGATTGGGCGCCATGGTGCAGGTGGCTCGCGGGAGAGAGAGGTGGGAGGTGGTGGTGGGATGGAAGGTGCGTGGGATCCGGCGTCGGGACGGACGAACGTGCTCTTATACACCAGCGGCCGGTGGCTTCCGGCTGCGTTCGGAGGGGCGAGGGCGGGTGATCATGCATGGTGCTGAACTGATGGGCGGAGCGGGGCCGGAGGCGGAGGCGAGAGGCGGCCCTCCGCTCCGTCGTGCCGCCTGCTGCAATAGGCGCATGCATCCCTCTCCTCGCACTCGTCCTTGCTCAGCAGCGCCCAGTCGAGTCGCCGGCGGCGGCGGCGGCGGCGGCGGCCCAGGCAACTCGCCGCATCCTGCGGCGCCTCTGCGGCTGCGGCTGCTTCTTGCGGCGGCCCTGCGCATAGCGTGTGCTCGTCCAACGGTCGCTACCGCAGCGTGGTGCGGCTGGGGCTGCATGCTGGGCGCTGGCCGCACGCCGGGTGCGGCAGCCGCCCTGCGCCAAGAGCAGCGCTGCAGACGCAGGGGCCGAGCCTCTGCAAGACGGCATGAGGGGGGAGAGGGCATGCCCGGCGAATCAAGTGAAGAGGGCTCGCTCACTCCGCCAGCTCGCGCTGATCATGCGCGGAGGGGGCAGACGAGGAGCGCCGGATGGCGTCTGCTCCGAGCCCCGGCGGGCAACGTCCGCAAGCGGCAGCCTCGCGCTGCAGCTGTTGCAGAGCGGCAGCTGCAGGTCTCGCGCGATGCGCTTCTTCGGGCCGCGCGCTCCAACGCAGCGGCATCAGGCGCAGCGCGGCGCTGCAGCTGCAGCAGACCCACGGGCGGAGTCCGACACGCGCGCGTATGCGGCCCCGCCGCTCAACTTCGACCGGCGCGCCCAATGCCTCTCCTCGTCGTCGCCGTCGTCGTCTCGTTCGCCGCCACGCCCGCACGCAGAGCGGATCCGTATGGACCCCAGGGAGATTTGGGCCGAGGCTTCGCACGTGCCCGCGCCGGAGCTGAGAATGCCCATGCCGATCGCGGCGGCGCCCGAGCGCCCCGTCGGATCCGCGGCGGCGATGGGCATGGCCGAGCAAAGGTGATAGAAGCGCTGTGCTCCGCACGACGAGGGAAAAAGGTAAGGGCGACGAGCTCGGCGAAGCAGCGTGCAGCGATGGCGCGATCGCATTCGTTCCCTCTGACGACGGTGCTGCGGGTTCTCAGAGCCGACGCCGCCGAGGGGCCAGTCTGAGATGGCAGTCAGCATGCAGACTGCAGCGCACAGCCCGGCTGGGGAATGCGACCCTCATCATCACCTCGCTCCGTCTGCTGCTGCACGCCGTTGACTCTGACTTGGTGTGAGAGCGAGCTCTGCGGTTCCGCCTTGCACAGGGCGTCCGGCTTGCGCGAAGGCGATGCCGTTGACGCTTGAGCGTTGGCTTGGTCGCCGCAGCGGCAGCAGCCGCAGGTGACATCGTCGCAGCGTGAGACCGATGGAGCTTCATGCTGCGGCACCCTCAATTGCTGCTCTGTGCGATTGTGAGTGCCAGCTCGCCGCGACAGAGCGCCTCGCAACCTCAGTCGCAGGTGCAGGCAAAAGCGACCAGCGCTCCCTGCATGATCAACGGATGCCAGAGCCAGCGCAGGGACGCAGGAAAGGGAGCAGCTTCCATGTCAGGCACGCCTTCTTAGCGTGCGCCTGCGAGGCAGCGTCGCGCTGCACGCCCGCCACTTCCGCTCTCAGGACCCACAGGACGCTCACAGCCCTTGCTGTGAGTCGTCCTTGCCCGTCGCAAGTCAGAGTGTGCTGGAGCAAGTGCAGTCCTCAATGACGAATGAGAGAGGACAGGCTGGCTCGGCGAAGCAGCTGGTGACCTTTGAGCGTGCCGCAGCGAGCGGACGAGAGGGACGCTCGCAGCCCGCGCGTCTTCGCTCACCAGCTCGCCATCGCTCCGGCGTACACGGTTCGTCGCATTTTGCTTTCGCACCATCTGTGCAGGCCCATGGCGCTGGTCAGCCGGCGGCAGCGGGGCTTGCGCGAGAGGTCTGAGCTGGCTCTGCCGCGGCATCGCGAGCGCAGGCGGGCCAAGGCGCCGCACACCGCATGCGTCCACGGCCATCGCGCCGCCGCGCGCGCGCCTGGCGCGCAGAGCCTCCCTGTCTTTGTGCATGCTGCCTCGTTGCGCCTCTCGCGCCGTCGGCTGTGCGCGGCGTGCCCGTGTCGCGGAGTGCGACGCATCCCAGGACGCTGCAAATGCTCCTGCACCCCTCGCCGTCGCCGTGTCTCATCCGTCTCCAGCGGCATAGCGTTTGACGGCCGCGGCGGCAGCGTGCAGCAGCATCCTGCGGGCTGCTGTGGCGGGCCGGCATCTCGAAAGGCGAAGGCTGCGTGGCTGACTGGTCACGCGCAGACGAGTTGCCGCGCCGCAGCCGTCGGATGGACGGAAGCGATGGCGACGAGACGGAGGCACGTGCGCCTCTGCGAGACGGAGGAATGAGAGAGGTGCATCGGAGCATTTGGAGGCAGCGCCGAGCGCCGGCAGGAGAGGCGGCTCCGTGTGGGCAGAGCATGGCCATGTGCGAGGCGACGGCGAGCTGAGCGACGCTGTGAATGGATGATGCAAGCGCAACATGCGAGAACAACGGGCTCGTGCGTGACAGCCTCACATCGTCAGCGTCCGCATGCCTGACGTCCAGCATGTTGAAGCACCCCACTTGCAGGGGACCGACACGCCTCTCGAGGGCCCTTGAGCCGCAAGCGAAGACGTCTTCGAGAGTCCGTCGTGCTCATGATCACGCGAAAGGCACCGCTCGAGCGCGAGGGCGAGAGGAGAACATCATACTTTATCAGGAAGCACGTCTCGGTAGACGCAGGGAGAGGAGAAAGGCGAAGGCACAGGTACATGCAAGCGAGACAGCGGCCGGCGCGTGTTTGCTGGTGCAGCTGTTTGGTTTGGGGTATCGAGAGCGAGAGGAGGAGGCGATGCGTCGAGCGAAGCTTTTGGAGCGATGAGGGGGACGAGTAGGGCGAGCGCGCGTGGCGATGGCGGTATAGAGTAGGACGCAACGGGGGCGAGGCGAGACCGAAGGCAGAGCGAGCGAGCGAAGATGAAAGGGCGTGATGCGACGTCGAGGGAGAGGCTTGCTTGCTCAAAGGTAAGCGAGCCCGCCACCGTCGCTGCTTGCGCTGCTGATCGGCCTCTCCCTCTCCCTCTCTTCCCTCGCGCCGTAGCCGTGCTGCTGCGGCTGCCACGGCTGGCTCTGCGCGCCGGGCGCGTGCAGCGTGTTCTGCGACGGCAGGCCGAAGTAGCCGCCCTGGCCGCCCTGCTGCTGCGAGCGCGGCGGCGGCGTCGGGAAGCCCTGCTGCTGCTGCTGTTGCTGGGCATGCGGGTAGGGCGCGCCGATGAGGACTTCGCTCTCGATGCGCCGAGGCACGATGCCGCCGGGCGCGAGGTGCTGTTGAGCGTTTGCCGGTGGACGACTCGCGTATCCCGTTCCTGCCGGTGGTGTCGTTGCAGCGGCAGCCGACGGGGCAGCGCCGCGCTGCTCCATCTCCAGCATGCGTCGCGCCACATCGTCGCGCTCGTACAGCTGGCTGATGTGCGTGTACGGATCGTGGATGCTCGTCTTTGCCGCGCGCGTCTGCGCATCCGTCGCCGGCGAGCGTGGCGTGGGCTGTTCCTCGGCAAGCCGGGCGGCCTCGCGCTCGCGCTCCAGCGTGCGCTCAAGCACGTTGAACTGACTGGCTCGCGCGCCGCGCGTCGCAGGAGGCGAAGAGGACGCGGGAGGAGGGAAGAGCTGGTCGTCCGGCACCACGCGAGCCTGAGCCGGCGGTGGCAGGATGCCACCGTTCGCAGACGACAGCGTGCCGAATGCCGCGTCGCCACTTGAAGGGCTGCGGCGATGCATGTTGCTGTGCGTCGAAGGATACGCTGCTGTAGCGAAGTACGACGACTGCGACGCCTGCACGAGGGAGGCGCCATCGTCGTTCGCGCTGCGCATTTCGCGACGAGAACCACCCGAGCTCGAAGAGCCGACGCCAAGGGCGCCGAACAGCTTCGAGGCAGGACGGCTGCGACGCACGCCAGCGACTGGCGCGCCGTCGATCTCGTACCGCCATGGCGTCTGGTACTGATCGCCAAACGGTCCCTGCTCGGCATTGGCGCGGCGTCGTCGCCAGTAGAGCACGCCGGCGACGAGTGCGCCAATGACAAGAAGTGCGCCCACAATGCCGCCAGCAATGGCGCCGCCGTTGGAGCCGCCCTTGCTCGCTTGCGCATCTCCATCCAGCGCATCAGCCGTGCCCGTCGCCGTGCTCGTCGCATGATGCGTGGCGCCCGCGCCCGTCTTGTGTGCACGCGACGTCGTCATGCCGCCCGTACGCGCCGCTGCGATCGTCGAAGTGGCGGCGTTCAGCGCGCCCTGCGTCAACCCAGCATTGTTCGGCGAGCAAGAGCTGCGCGAGCCAGCGCCGACAGTGTACTTGAGACCCACGCCGCCCGTGCCGCTCTTGCCCTGGTCGGTGAGCACCATCGTGAAGCGCGTGCCGCGCGGGAAAGAGACCTGCCAGTCGAAGCGCGTGTCCTTTGCGCTGGCAATGTACGTGGACGGCACGCCTTCCTCTGGCACGAACGTGACGCTGACGGGCGCGACAATGCCGTTGTTTGCGCGGTCCGTCTGCCAGCGGATAGGCCAGGCGCCGCATTCGTTCGGTCCGGCGTCGGGACCGAACCAGACAAAGTCGAGCGACTCGGTCGCGCGCGCACAGCTGCCTCCTCCGCGCACTGGGAGGAACTTGGAGGAGCCAGAGACGGCGCCACTGGCGTCGGCAATGGCCACGATGACCTCACCATCATTGCCGTCGCCGTAGTTGGGTACGTCCCAGTCGTACGACCACGCCGCACCGCTGCTGTACGAGGCGGGCAGCGAGACGGTGGTGGGCACGTGGTTGAGCGGCAAGATCGTCACAGTCCACGGCGCGCGGCCGCCCGTCGTGTCCCACGAGATCTTGGTCGACGAGCCTGCGGATGAGGCGTGAGCAAAAAGCAGCGCAGGGCGCACAGCATCGTGCGCGGCAAGGCGGCCGAGCAGGTCGTGCTTTGACGTCCACGAGCCCTCTTCCTCGCTACGCAGCTGACGCTTACTCACAAGTCCGCACATCTCCCACGTTCACCTCGAGCGGCGCGGCCTGCGCCGAAGCCGCAAGCGCAGCAACGAGCGCCACGAGGGCGGCAGCGAGGCCAGAGCGCTGCATAGTCGCTGGCAGTGGCTGGCGGTTGGTGCGCAGCGAGCAGGAGCGCAGTGCCGGCTGGGCTCTGAGCAGTGGAGCTGCTGCGAGAGAGGCGCCCGATGTGCAGGCGAAACGCGAATAGGTGAGAGGGAGAAAGGTAAGGAGCGTGTAGAGCGTGTGGCGTTGGTGGTGCGATGTCGGCGCGCCAAGAGCGGCGAGACGAGAGGCGAGAGGCGCGTGCGCGAGATGCAGCGAGAGGCGGTGAGGCGCGCAGCAGAGCAGCGCAGGAGAGACGAACGTGACGGAGCGAGGTCGAAGGCGCAAGTGAGTGTGTGTGTGTTGTCCGTCAGAGAGTGTGAGATGGAAGCAGGGCAGACGTAGTGAGGGACAGATGGAGGTGAGAGAGAAGAGCTGGCGCTGCTATCGCAGGCCGCCTGTACCGCTGCTGTTCGCCTCGCTTCATGCTTTGTCCCCCCCTCTCGCGCGTTCAGTCTTAGTGCAGAAGAGCAGTCGCTGCGCGCGTGCATGCCTTAGCGTGACAGCCTCTCCAGCCCGCCCTCGCCACCAGGCAGCACAGCAGACACCGCAGCAGCATCCGCAGCGAGAGCCGCACCCCCGAATCCTCTCCCTCGGGTCGCAAGGCGGACGGTGCCGCCGGCCTGCCTCCGCGCGCTGCGTGGCGCCTGCGCTGTTGTGTGTTGCGCGGCTCAAGGCGCGCCGCCAGTCAACGCGCTCGCGCCTCGAGCCCCTCCGGCGCGCCCCTCTGCCCTCGTGCCTTCGGCCGAGACGCCTGCTTGCTGCCCCTCGCGCTTCGAGAACGCGGCCTCCTCGCACGCTCCGCCTTCCCGCGCCGTGAGCTTGAAACATCCGCCCTCTTCTCTCCGCCCGTCGGTTTGCAGATCTCTCGACTCTCGAGCGATGGATGATCTGCAGCTGCGCTCTGTCCCCTCCGAGCGGCCGTCTCTGAGGCGGCTCTCTCTCGAGCAGCCGAGCGCTGAACAAGGCAAGTCTCCCACCCGTGGCTGCACCTCTTAGCGCGCTGCCCATGCACGTCGTGCAGCTGGCGCGCAGCGACAGAGGGTTCCATGCATGTGCGGCATACGGGCACTCGTCGGGGGCAGTCTCACAGGCAGCCGCTCAGCACCTCACTGTCAGCTTCAGCGTTGAGGGCGACGCAGGCTGCCGCCGCCGGCTGAGGAGCAGCAGGCAGAGGAGACTCGGCCCCGAGGAGAGGCAGCGTCGCACGGAGGAGGCGAGCGACGCGCGCAGACCAAGGCCGACCAAGGACGCGACGCGCTCGCGTTGCCCAACGCCTCACGCCGCACGCCGCGGCTCCTGCGCTGTGCTCGGATCGCTCGGCGGTGCAGCCTGCACCTCGAGAGAGAAGAAGAGAAGGACTAATCGGTCGCGAGAGAAGCGTCTGAACATGTGAGACTCGAGTCTGCGCATGCGATGAAGGTGCGGAACGAGGGTCAAGGCGCGCCGGCCTGGGCGCACGCTGCTCACGTGACAACGCGGCTGCCGGCTGAGCCTGCTCGCCGAGGCCGGGCTGCGGGGCCGCCTCCGCGGTGGCCTCTCCGCCCGCCAAGACGGCGCGGGGAAGCGCGCAGCGAGTTGGCCGCTCCCGATGCCGCGTCTGCCGGCGCCGCAAGGGGCGGTAATGCCGACGTCGCTGATGAGCTCAGGCACGGGCGACGACTGGATAGGCGGCCACATCTTCTGCCTCTCCACCACCACCACATCTCGCTTTGCCCGCCATGCTGCGTCAACTGCCGCGTCTCCTGCCCCGCCTCGCGCGGCCCACTCCGCTCGCCGCCCGCACATTCACCTCCTACTCAGCCCCTCTCGCCGGCCTGACGCCCGACCAGGCCGAGCTGCGCGAGGCCGTCGCAGACTGGGCGCAGTCCGTCGTCGCGCCCCTCGCGGCGCAGATTGACCGGGAGAACAAGGCGCCGATGGATCTGTGGACCAAGCTCGGCGACATGGGCCTGCACGGCATTACTGTCCCGGAGGACGAGGGCGGGCTGGGCAAGGGCTACTTTGAGCATTGTGTGGTGATGGAGGGTGAGTCTGAGCGGTGGCGGCGATGCAGAGTAGTGGCTAGCTGCGCTGCAGCCGCAGCATGGCGCTGCGCGAGATCATGGCCAGCAGCGAGAGGTGCCTCACTGACGCTTTGCCCCCTTTGCTTGTGCTCTCATCTCAGAGATCTCGCGCGCCTCGGCCTCCGTCGGCCTCTCGTACGGCGCGCACTCCAATCTCTGCATCAACCAGATCGCACGGCACGGCACCAAGGCGCAGAAGGCCAAGTATCTGCCCGAGCTGCTTGCGGGCACCAAGGTGGGCTCGCTGGCCATGTCGGAGCCGGGCGCCGGCAGCGATGTCGTGTCGATGCGCACGACGGCGAAGAAGAATGATTCGGGCGACTGGGTGCTGAATGGCGGCAAGTTCTGGTGCGTCGCCTCTCTCCTTCTGCCCTCTCGTCGTTGCTGCGCTGACCCGGCTTGCAGGATCACCAACGGGCCCATCTCCTCGACCTTTGTCATCTACGCCAAGACGGACCCGAACGCGGGGCCGCGAGGCATCACGGCCTTCATAGTCGACCGCGACACGCCCGGCTTCACGACGGCGCAGAAGCTCGACAAGGTGGGCATGCGCGGCAGCGAGACGTGTGAACTCGTGTTTGAGGATGTCGTGGTGCCTGGTGAGTCGGGCGCGCGTAGGCCCAGCGAGGCGAGAAGGCCCATAGAGTGGGAGAGAGGGAGTGCTGACAAGGTGCGGTGCAGGCGACAACGTGCTGGGAACGGTCAACAAGGGCGTCAATGTGCTCATGTCCGGTCTGGATCTCGAGCGTCTCGTCCTGTCCGGTGGGCCATTGGGGTGAGTCTCCCTTATCGCGCCTCTTTGGCCTCCTTGCGCCGGGGCAGTGGAACTGACCAGCAATGCTTGCTCGCTCGACAGACTGATGCAGGCAGCATGCGACTACGCCATCAAGTACACGCACGAGCGGGAACAGTTCGGCCAGAAGGTGGCAGAGTTCCAGCTCATGCAGGGCAAGATTGCCGGTGCGTCCTTGGCCCCTCCGCGCTCCATTAGCTGCCGCGATGCTGACGCGGGGGCCACCGAGCAGACATGTACACGAACATGTCGGCTGCCCGGGCATACGTGTACGCGGTGGGACGCGCGTGTGATGCGGGCCAGATCAGCCGGAGAGTGAGTAGCGGCACTGACCAGGCGGCGCAACGGCGGAGGAGATTTCGTCCAGGGCAGAAGGGGTTGCATCGATAGGGACCTCTGTTCGCTGATGCTTTGAATGAGAAAGAGGTGAGAGGACTGACGTTCATCGCGCCCACAGGACTGCGCCGGCGCCATTCTTCTCTCCTCGGACGCAGCCGTGGAGGTGACCACCGAGGTACGTCGTCCCATCCTCCTGCTCCCACTCTTTCTCGCGTTGACCTCTTTTGCTCGCAGGCGATGCAATCTCTCGGCGGCAACGGCTACATCAACGAGTATCCCGTCGGGCGCTACCTGCGCGACGCACGCCTGTATACCGTCGGCGCCGGCACGCAGGAGATTCGCCGCTTCCTGATCGCGAGGGAGTTCAACAACGGTGAGCTTGCGCGAACAACGCAGAGAGAAGTGAGAGCCGGCAGAAAGCTCATGCTGAAACCGCGCCTCGACAGAGTTCAAGTAAAGCGCTCTGGTGCAATCTTGCGCGCAATCACAGAGGCGCAGCAGGTAGACTGCTCTCTCAACTCTGCCCGCGCTTCATGCCCCACCATGTACAGCCACTCAGTGCTTGCTGCCCGCTCGCGACTTCGAACACACGTCACTGTGCCATCGCCACGCTCGCTCCGTCCTCTTCTCGATTTGCTGAAGATTTCGCCATTGCCACCCTTGGGCGCAGAGGCAAGCTAGTACGGCATGCCCCTCCCTCCGCCTCCGCCTCCCATGCCACCTCTCTGTGGTCCGCCCGCGCCGCCCATTCCTCCTCCTCCCGCACCGCCGCCTCCTCCAGGCCCGACCACGGGTCCGCGTTCGGGATTGCGATTGCCCGGACGCGCGGGATTGGGACATTGATTCGCGAAGCTGTGTACGCACGGTCAGCGAGTGGAAGAAGGGAGAGGGGGAGGCGAGGCACGTACTGGCCCATCTCGCCGCACTGTGAGAGAGAGAGAGAGAGAGCAAAGAGAGGGTCATCAGTAGAGGCTCGGACTCAGAAAGCACACGCAGCACCTCTCTTTGTGAAGCGATCGCCAGAAAAGCAGCACAACGTGGCCCTTCTTGCCCATGCAGCTTCTTCCACTCCCTTGCCCAGACGCGCCTGTCCGTTTCCCAGCATCCTCTGGTCGGCAAACTCACCTTGAAGCACATCGGCTCCTTCCTCTCTCCCCTATCGCCTCCTCTATCTCCACCGTACCCTCCTCTCCCTCCGCCTCTGCCTCCCCTGCCTCCACCTCCTCCATCTCTATCCCCGCCAAACCCGCCGCCTCCGCCGCCCGTAGCGTAGCGCCGCTCGCCGTGCGGCTGTCCGAATGCCTCTTCGAGCGTCATGGGCCTGTGTGTCTGGATGGGCGAGGAGGCGCGCGAGGCGGCAGAGGGCGGATTGGTCTTTGGGCTGGAGGAATAGACGTCAGCCGACGGAGAAGGAGATGTGCAGGGGAGGAGGACGCACTGCCCGAGGAGACACTCTTTGCCGCTGGGACAGAAGCCGGCGATGTAGAGAGGGCAGGCGGGGCGACGGACATGCTTCTTCTCGCACGTTGGGCCTGTGATGAGAGAGCGTGCATCAGCTTGCCGGAGCCTCGTCATGCCTCGTCGCCGCTCGCCAACTCACCCTTGGGACAGAAGCCCCTCTCGTATCTCTCGCATTTCCGCCGCTTGCTTGCCGGCTCGACGTGCAGATAGAGACACTCCTCTGCCTGGTTGCAGAAGCCAAACGTGGCAAAGAAGCGGCACTCGGGCATGCGGCGCATGTCGTACTCATGCAGATAGTCGCAGGCGTCGACCTTCTTGCAGAGGCCGCGCAGCCAGTGCTTGCACACGGTGCGCCGATGCGGGTCGCGCGCCGGCGGGCGAAAGTTCTGCGACGACGGCGGAATGTGGCGCAGCGGACAGCCGGCGCCGAGCGGACAGGGCGGGCCGCCCTGCAGCGAGGCGAGATAGGCGGGACAGAGCTGCGCGTCGAGCGAGAGCTTGAGGTTGTGAGGCGCAGCGGAGAGCGAGGCCTCGAAGGCGAAGGTGTTGTGCGGGTAGCGCGTGTGCAGCGTCTGCGAGAGCAGCAGCGACGAGGAGGGCGTGTTCATGCCGGGCAGCGTGCGCCACGGCGACGAGGAGGCGGTGGTGGTGCGGAGCGCAGACGCTGCGCGCCGTGCGCAAGGGAAGGCACATCGCGCAGCGCCGCGGCGCGCGCCTTGCGGCCGTTAGGCGTTCGCGTCGCTGCCTTCTTCTCCACCACCACGTCGCTGTCTCTTCATGTCCCTCACGCTACCGCCACCCACGCGGTGGCAGCCAACGCTGCACGCGACACAGGCGCCCGCGCCGCCGCCCGTCGATGCTCGGATAGAGGATGAGGCGGCAGCCACTGCGGCGGCCCAGGCGGCCGGCTACGAGGGCCGGCGCATCAGGCGCTTCATGCAGCGCAGGACCGTCGACTACCACCCGGGCATGGTGCGCTGGGGCCTGGTGAGTGGCCAGCGCAGGGCAGACAAGGCAGCGAGAGGGCACGAGAGAGGCGCCGAAGAGGCACGAGACTCAGATGGCGCGCGGGCGGCTACGGCCGAGGGTCCGCCTCGAGCTCCCGCAAGACGCAAGCGCAGAGCTGCGCGGGCCGAGCGCAAGGAGAGCGAGGAGCGGAATGAGGGCGGGAGGAGGCAGGCAGACGCAACGGAGCAGGCGCACTCCAGGCGGAGCGAGGCAGCATTACGTGGAGTGCCGCTTCATCGCGCGTGGACATGGGTCGGGGCGCAGGGCTCTTCTCTCTGCGTGCGAGAAGCAACAAATGACTCGCATCGGTGCTGTGACCGCACCCCGAACACTAGCCGAGGAGAGATGCTGCGGACGTTGCGCAGCTCGTCGTGGCCGCGCTGGGAACCTCTGCGCACAGCAAAGAGGGAGTGAGAGGGAGAAGAGAAGGGAATGAGCCCGTGCTGGCCTCATGGGGCGCTCGGCCTTCGCGAGCAGCAGACGTCAGACTTTCCGCTCTGGCGTCCCTGGCTTGTCCGAGGTCGTATTTCTGTCTCTCTGCGCATGCGCCGCGTCCGCTGCCTGTACCAGGGAAGGACTGCGCCTCAGGTCGATGCTCCTTTCGCCCCCCTCAGGCCACGCGTTGCTCACTCGGCTCTCTGCTCAGCGACGAGCAACAGCCACATGTGTGCGCGACGACAAGTTTCTTCTCCCGAGCGCACATCACATCGTCGATGTGAGTTTTCGCTGTGCTGCTCCACGCTGGGCGAGCGGCAGATTGCAAATCGGACGTGGCACGTCAGCTGAACACAGCGTGTGCTCCTCTCTCTACCCAGCTCCTGCCGCCAGCCGCATACGCAGAATCCAGCCAGGCCGTGACGACGAATCTGGTGCACACGAGCACCAACAAGATTCGCTGTCCCGTCAACGTCTGTCAAGTGCGTTTCCTGCACTTCTCGCTTCCTGCACACAGCATCTCACTCTCGCGCACACAGTGGACTCCCGAGGGACGCCGCCTGCTGACCGGCTCTCAATCGGGCGAGTTCACCCTCTGGAACGGCCTCACGTTCAACTTCGAGACGATCCTCCAAGCACATGACCATCCGATCCGCGCATTGCTCTACAGCAAGTCCGGCACGTGGATCCTCAGTGCCGATCAGGGCGGCGTCGTCAAGTACTTCCAGAACAACATGAACAACATTCATGCCATCCCTGCGCACCGAGAGGCGGTGAGAGGCCTCAGCTTCAGTCCGGACGACTCGAGATTCGTCACAGCAAGCGACGACTCGAGTCTCAAGATCTTTGCGTTTGATGAGGCGAGGGAGGAGAAGACGCTCAAGGGTGGGTTGCAAGAGCTCTTGCGTGAATGTGTGCATCGCAATGCTGAGCCACGTCGTCGACAGGGCACGGATGGGACGCGAAGTGCGTCGCATGGCATCCCTACAAGGGCCTCATCGTCTCGGGCTCCAAGGACAACCTGCTCAAATTCTGGGATCCGCGCTCTGGCGGCAATCTGGCGACGTTGTGAGTCGGCCGCCGCTTCTCCGTCTCCGGCGCTGGCTGCATCTGACCCGCTTCTCTGCGCTCAGTCACGGTCACAAGAACACGGTGCAGGCGGTCAAGTGGAGCCTGGATGGCCATCTCGTGGCGTCGGCGTCGACGGACCAGACCATCAAGCTGTACGACATTCGCAGCATGGCCGAGTTGTACACGCTCAAGGGGCACCAGAAGGAGGCATGCTGTGCGTCATCTCCTCGCCTTGGCTCCCGCTTCCATGCTCACCCGATTGCTCTCGCCGGCAGCGCTCGACTGGCATCCTTCACATCCCGACCTTCTCGTCTCAGGCGGCGGCGAAGGCTCGATGCATTTCTGGTCGCTCAAAGCCTCCGATCCAACCGTGCCAGTCCACTCGATGGAAACAGCACACGACTCCAACATCTGGAGCATGGCGTGGCATCCCCTCGGCCACGTTCTCGCCTCAGGCTCCAACGATCACACAACGCGCTTCTGGGAGCGCGCACGGCCGGAGGATGGCAGGCGAGAGGAAGGGGACAGTGCGGGCCTGGAGAAGGCGGCGAGATGGAAGAGCGCTGCCAAGGGCGGAGAGGAGTGGGACGGTGCGTGTCACAGTGCTTGCTCTACGTCCCGTGCATTCACTGACCCTCCTCCACAGACGACTTCATTCCCGGCCTCAACTCGAATCGCCGCGTGCCTCCGCCTCGCGGCGACGGCAGCGGCGTGCCTTCGCGTGCGCCCTTGCCTCCGTCACACGGCGGAGGATTCAATGGCGCGCCAGCAAACGGCGGCATGGGCGGCGGCGGCGGCAGTGGCGGGCCAGGCGCAGGCTTTGCGCCTCGCATGCCGAGCTACGGCAATGGCAGCGGCGCCGCCACGCCCGGCTTTGGCGGCGCGGGAGCGCCTGTGCCGCTAGGCATTCACAACCACAATGGTCCGTCTGCGATCAAGCAGGAAGTGCCGCCGCCGCGCTGGGACGGAGGCGCGGGCGGTGCTGCTGGATCCGGCAGGGCGCCGTTGCCGATAGCGCATCAGCAGATGGGCTTCGCAGGCGGGCCTCCGCCTCAGCAGCAGCAGTGGAACGCACCGCCGGGCTTCCAGCAGCAGCAACAGCCGCCGGGCTTCCAGCATCAGCAGCAGCAAGGCGGCTATGGCGGCCCACCGCCACCGCAACAGCAAGTGCAAGGACAGCAAGGCATGCAGCAGCAGTACCCCTCGCTGGGACCGCCGCCGCCGCAGGCCAGAGGCGCGGGACCGATGCGCCGCTGGGGCGCTGGGGGCTGAGCAATGAGATCAGCGTGCAAAGAGACGACTCTGTGGTGGTGTGAGCTCGCTTTGTGGAAGCCGCCGCGATGCAGAGCTCTCTGCTCAGCTTTTGGCCATCACATCACTATGACACGCGGGCACGAGAACTCGGTTGCAATTCTGGTCTAGCGCAGACTCCTCCCCTCCTAGTGCCCCGTCGGGCCGCCAGTGGGCGGCTGCGGTGGTTGAGCACCGCCAGCCGGGCCGCTGCCGCTTCCGTGCTGCACTCCCGTCTGTTGATCATCATCGTCCTCATCGTCGCCGGCCAGGGCCGCCGCAATCGCAGCCGCGTCCTCGGGCGAGATCTCGCTGCCGCCAACCTGGTGCTGCGGCTGTTGTGCGGCAGCCGCGGGCGCTGCAGCGCCATCAGGGTGCAGCTGCAGCGCCTCGAAGGCCTCGTTTGGGCGCATGTCGCGCAGCAGCAGGATGCCTCCGCCGCCGAAGCCGGCACGAGCGGCGGCTGCAGCGCGGGCCGCCTCGGGCGTCGGGCCGCTCGTCGGCGTCGACGCAGCTGCAGCGCGAGGTGCCGCAGTCGAAGCAGCAGCAGCGGCCTTCTTGTCGGCCGGCGTCACAGTGCCGCTAGCTCCCGGCGCCGGCGTGGCGTTGCCAAGGAAGCCCAGCTTGCCGCGCGGCGCCACGGCCGCCGTGCTGTGCACGTCCCAGCTGGCACCGCCGCTGCTGGCGCCGTGCACGGCGCGCACGGGCAGCCAGCGGCCGTCGGCCGGGAAGCTGATGTAGTTGAGCTGCACGGGCGTGACGCGGGCGTAGTTGGAGATCTGGCTCGAGGCCGCCTCGGCCGGCTTGGTGCGGCGTGCCTTGGGCGCATCGACCTTCATCGAGTCGTCGCCGTCGCCCTCGGTCTTGACAGCAGCAGCGGGCTTGACGTCGTCGACGTCCATGTCGCCCTGCTCCTCCTTCGCCTTCTCGCGCTCCTTGACGCGCTGTCTCGCCTGCGCCTTGGCCGTCGTGGAGAGCACGGCCGTCTCGACCTTCTCCACCTTCTTCTCGCTCTCCTTCTTCAGCGGCGTCGGGTAGGCAAAGAGACTGGGGCGCGCATTGCTGGCAAAGCTGAATGCCGGCGTGCGCAGTTGCCGATCGAGGCCGATGATGGCCGTCGGCGTGAGGGCGAGCGAGGCAAAGTGCGCCAGCGGGAACCAGTACCAGAACTGGGTGAAGAGCGCCATGCCGACAATGGCGGGCATGTTGTTGCTGCCGCCGCGGCTCTGAAGGCCGATCGTGACGTTGCGGCCGCCCGCGTCGATGATGCCTTGCGCCAGGGCGGCGCCGAACTTGGCCATGGCATCCTCGTGCTTGTCGCCGAGCGTCTTCTCAAACGCGGCGCGCACCTTTGCCACGCGCGGATTGAGCACGTCGTTCTGCTGCACCAGCACCATGGCCAGACTGATGGCGGCGCCCTGCCGGACAAAGTCGACGGGATCCTTGAGCATCGGCTCCAGCAGCTCGACGGCCTCGTCGAGGCCCGTGCCGGCGCACGCAATGCCCAGCGCCAGCGTCGAGCCGTAGCGCACGTGGGCGTTATACGACTCGCTGAGCAGCTGCACGATGCGCGGCACCTGCGTCGGGTTGCGGAAGAGCAGGAAGCCCAGCGACGTGACGGCCGCGCGGCGCACGTCGTCGGCCACGTCCGACACGGCGACGTGCAGCAGACGACGCACGGCCTTGTTGTTGCCCGTGCCGGCGTATGCCAGGGCAATGGCGTGGATGCCGCCGTAGCGCAGGATCGCATCCTTGTCGGCCATGAGCTGGTCGATCATGGCATCGGCCTTCTCCTCCTTGCCGTACCACACGAGCGCCAGGCCAATGGCCAGGCCGCGGATGATCTTCTCGTGCTGCGTCTCGTGCGCATACTGCAGCATCTCGTCGACGGCCTTCTCCGAGCCCGTGCCGAGCATGACGAGGCCCATGGCGTAGCCGGCCGCCTCGCCGGCGACGGCAGAGTCCGTGTAGAGGACGTTGCGCAGCTCCTCGTACACCTCCTCGTTGCCCGTCGCCATGCCGGCGGCGCCGAGGCCCAGCGCCGCGCCGTGCTGCACGATCTCGGCAGGATTGTTCTTGAGCGTGTTCTTCAGCAGCTCCAGCACCTCGCTGCCGTGGTTGGCGTGGATGAGGCCGAGGGCGAAGAGCGAGCCGCCCTCGCTGTACACGCTGCCGGCGCGCCCGTCCTGCGGCAGGTACGGGTGCAGGATGCTGATGCCCTCCTTGAGGTTGCCCTTGTTGATCACGCCGAGCGCGGCCGTGGCGGTGAACTTGCTCCAGTTGCTCGCCTTGGCCAGCCAGTCGAGATTGTCGCGGAGGAAGCGGTCGCTCGTCGTGCCGGCGTTCATGAACGCGTTGGCAAACGTCATGGCCGAGTGGTAGACGCTGTTGCGCGCGTCGAGCGCCTCCTTCGTCGCCTTGAGGATGGGCAGGTCGGCGCGGTTGGAGCGCTGCAGGAAGTCCAGGTACAGCTGGATCGACTCCTCGCCGAGCAGGATGCTGCGGATGCGCGAGAGACACGCCGCCAGCGTGCCCTCCTCGGCCTCGGCAGCGCCAGACGCGGCCGGCGCGGCCATGTCCGAGTCCTCGCCGGTCGACGTCTCGGCCTTGGGCGCAGCGGCGCCCGGTGCCGCAGCAGCCTTGCTCTGCAGGTCGGCACGCACCGTCTCGAGGAACTCCTGCGTGGCGCTCTCTGCGAGGTCGAATGCAATCTGGTACGCCACCAGCAGCGGGTCGTTCTCCGTGTTGGCCATGGCCGAGGCCGAGGCGTCGGTGTGGGCGCGGCTGACGAGCTCAAAGAGCAGCGCCGACGCCAGCTGCGGCGCGCCGAGGTACACGTAGCACTGGGCGATGGAGAAGTGGTCGGGCGACGGCAGCGACTGGAAGAGCTTGACGAGGAGGTGCAGCACCTGCGCAGATCAGGTGTCAGGGGCGGGCTCGCTGACGTGTCGCCACCGCTGCGTCGGCCCTTCGACGCGCTCCACACTTGGCGCCACTCTCGAGCCCTCGGCACACTCACCTGGTTGCGAACCTCGATGCTCGTCACAAAGCCCATGACCGCCTCGAGCGTGTACTGCAGCAGTGCCTTGTCGCGCTCGACGCCAAAGATCTGCTCGATCACATCCAGGCGGCGCGTCTCGAGCGCAATGCCGAGGCCCTGGCGGAACTCGCGCTCGGCAATGCAGCGCGCAAACATCTGCTCGACGATGCGAGCCAGACGTGCATCGGGAGAGGATGCGGTGCTGCTGGAGCGCTGCAGGATGTACGCATCGATGGCCTTGGCTGCAGTGGCGCAGGCGTGTGTGAGCGAGGGCCACGGCTGGCGGAAGGAAAGGGCAGGCACGCACAGATGACCGTGTCGGTGTACTCGTCCTTCTTCTCGATGTCGAACAGACTCTCTGCGCCGAGGGCAAAGGAAAGGGCCTCGTCGAACTCGCCAAGGTTCCAGTACACTTTGGACGCGACGAGCGCGGCGAGGTTGCGTGCGGGAAAGGAGGCGTCTTCGTACAGAATCTCGCTGCGGGCAGGAGCGTCAGCGCCGTGAGGCAGCGGGCGGCAGCGCGAGGCGACGACGCGGCAGTGCCGCAGCGCCCGCCGTAGCCGCAGACACGCACATCTTGGACACGGCATCTGCGATCTCGGCCCAGAAGTGCGGCACGAGCTCGTTGAGCTTCTGCAGCGCGTAGGCCTGCAGCTCCGGCTCGGGCTCGTCGAGCAGCGCCAGGACGCCGGCTGTGCAGCAAGAGTCAGCGAGTGCGGCGCAGAGTGCCACGTGTGCAGCACGCACTGGCCGATGAGATGGGCACGGGCATGGCGGCGGGTGAGGTGTGGGTATGGGGTGGAGGCGAGAGGGTGTTGGCCGCGCCGCCGCTCCATGTCGAGGTGCGTTGCGCACAGGGCACCCAAGCCTCGTCAGCGCTGCACGTCGCTCCAGCTCGGCCGACGGCCGGCACCCAGGCTGGCTGGCGGGCGACGCGCGCGACTCCCGCGCCTGCCCCGGTGCGCCGAGCTTCGGCGTCAGATTGGCGCGGCTCCCGCACGGCTCTGACGGACCGCCGGCCTCATCTCGCGTGAGCTGAGCATGCGGCGCTTCCTGCCTTCTCACCGTCTCGTCTCGCCTCTCACTCTCGTCTTGTCCGCCTCTCATCTGCACACACACCACACAGAAACGGGCCCAAACAGCACTCTCTCTCACACGCCGCGCGCCCGCCTCGCAGCGCCACCACTGTCGCTCCGAGCCTCTTTCTTCTCGTCTACATCTCTTCGCGCGCCGCTCTTCTCGCCGCACCCAGCGCTGCACTCTCCCCGCCACTAGCTCCGCCAGCGCGCTCTGCCCAGCATGGCTACCTCTGCTCTGCCCGCCGCGCCCGCCGCCGCCTCCTCGGCTGCCGTCTCCGCGCTGGCGTCCGAGACGCCCGCCTCGCCCAGCGCCTCCTCCTCGGGCGCAGCCGGCGGCGACGCCGAGGTGCGCACCGTGCTGCACGACGCGCAGAACTTTAACGTCAAGCACCCGCTCTACAACACCTGGACACTGTGGTTCGACAACCCCAGTGCCAAGGGCACGAGTGCGGCAAAGGGCGGCAAGGACTCGTGGGGAGAGGAGATGAACAAGGTCGTCAGCTTTGACAGCGTCGAGGAGTTCTGGGGGTGAGCAGTGGCGCATGCGCAGCGTGGCGAGCAGCAGGAGGGTGCAAGAGAGGGGCCAGTAGCCAGTGGACGGGCGATGTGCGATGCCGAGGGCTGCCTCTGCGAAGCCGGCGAGCCGGGCCCAATGTGCTGCCGCTCCTGGCAGGAGGCCGCGAGTCGTCGTGGCGCAGCTGGTCCGCTCGTGGTCGCTCAGAGTGCGAGCTCTGCAGTCGCGTGCCGGCTCAGCCTCCTCATTGCGCTCCAAGGCGCCCGTTGTGCTCACCTTCTCTGTCGCAGGCTGTACAACAACATCATCCCGCCCTCGGAGCTGCCGCAAAAAGCAAACTACTACCTCTTCAAGGAGGGCATCCAGCCGGCATGGGAGGACGCCGCCAACACAAACGGCGGCAAGTGGAGCATCCAGCTGCCGCGCGAGAAGTCGCGTGCGGACATTGACCGGCTCTGGCTCAACACGGTGAGTCGAGCGCGTCTGAGCTGTGCAGTTGGAAGGACGACGGAGATGGGACCGGGCAGAGCGGGAGCGCTGCCTACCTTGAGGACCAGCGAGGCGCTCTGAGACCTCGTGCTCTTCGTGTCTGAGCTCGGCTCGCTCACGCACTCTTCGCCCTCAGATGCTCTCGGCAATCGGCGAGACGCTCGAGTCTCCCTACGACTCCTCGTCCCCAGCCGCCTCAAATACCGCCGAGGCCATCACGGGCATCATCATGTCTGCGCGGCCCAACCTGTACCGCATTGCGATTTGGACACGCACGGCCGACGAGAGCGCCAGCGGCGAGCTTGACCCCGCACTGCTCAACATCGGCAAGCACTTCAAGGTGGGCATCCTCGGCTACCAGCTTAACCAGCAGGTCGGAGGCGGCGGCATGCAGAGCGACGTCGAGTTCCAGAGCCATAAGGACTCGGAGAGGAAGGGCAAAGGCCGCAAGTTCGTCGTCTAGAGGCAGGGACGCCAAGACTTGCGATGTGCGGCTGTGGCTCGCCTTTGTCTTCGAGGGCGGAGTATCGACGCTCGCCGTGGCTACTCAATTGCGACGCCGACGTTCCGAGGTGCCGCTCAAGAAGGCCGGCGAGTGATCAGCGTCGTGCGCGGTCTTCGTCCGAGCGGCCTGAGCTCGACGCGTATCGACGGCGCTTCGCCGACTTGCATCTGTCTCGCCGTTCGTATTCTTGAGCATGCTCTTCGCACAGCCTCTTTATCTTCCATCATCGCCTCAGAGGCACCTGCCTCTCTTCTGCCCCCTCTCGGCCTGGCGAATGCGCTTCTCCATGCCATCATGCATCTGCGATTCCCTCCATCACTTCAGCATTCTCCCCTCCCTCCTCTCGCCTCGCCCCTCCTCTCTCTGCTGCTCTTTCGCCTTCGACACAGTTCCTGCCCGCTTCACCCAAAAATTCCGCGTCCCTGCCCCACTGGGAGCCCTAGCGCCTCAGGCGGCTCCCAATCCTCAAGCTCCGTCCGCTCCGTAATGGGATCACTGAGAAACTCATGCCGGCGTCATCCCGTCTGGGCCAGGTGAAGGTGTGTTGCATTGCGTGCTCGTCTCTAGCTCTATCCCGTGGCAGCAGGAGTCTCCGCCGTCGGGCGCGGTTCCGGGCTTCTTCCTCTCTCTCCAAGATTCGTCTCTGCCATCTGCTCCGTCACACTGTCCGTGTCCTTTGCTTCCGCCGCCTGTTGCTCCGCCTTTGCCTTTGCCGCCGCCGCGGCCGCCGCAGCAGCAGCCTTCGACTCGTTCTTGCTGCGCTGGCGTTCCGCCTCTGCCTCCGCCAGGTCCTCAGGACACGGACTGGACACCTTCTGCTTCGAGGCCGCCACGTCGCGCGCCATCTTCTCGTTGCGCTTCGCCGTCGACGTCGATGCCGTTGCTGATGCTGAGGCTGCCGCCGACGAGGAAGAGCGCTCCTCTGCCTTGCTCTCTGCCTTCTTCTCTGCCGTCGGCGTCGTCGCCTCATCGGCGTGGTCAGCCGAGGAGGAGGAGGGCTCGATCTCCGACTCCTCCGTCGACGTCGTCTCCGCCTTGGTCTCAGAGTCGGCGCCAGTCGCGTCGCTCGACTTGGCCTCGCGCTCCTCGTCCGGGTCCTCATCCGCCACGTTCGAGTCCTTCTCGATCGCAGCTTGGTCCAGCGACATGTGTCGTCGCCGTACGGACGCTACCACGTCGTTCTTGCCGCGCGGCAGCGCTGGGAGCCGCAGTCGACGACGCGCTACCATGACACTAGGACAGTCGAGTCAGTAGAGGGGAAAGTCTGGAGAGAGCGGGGCGAACGCACGGAACAGGAGACTTCTGCACGAGATAGTGACTCGTCGAGCCCAGCAAGATGCCCTTGAGCGAGCCGAGACCGCGCGACCCAACGATGCACATCGTCGGCGAGTAGTAGTCGAGCAGGTCGCAGATCATGTGGCGCGAGTTGCGCTGTTGTAGCCGAGACCCAGTCAGCGTGTGCGCGCGAGGAGGCCAAGGCGCAGGGCAGAACGCACAGCGTGCAAGGCTTGACAGCTGACTTTGACGCCGAGACGTGTGCGCTGCAGCGTGGCTGTGACCTGACGAGCGAGAATGACGGCCATGGATTGGCGCTGTGTGCGTGTCAGCTCGGATTCGGGTACGCCCTGCTGCGGATCTCTAATCGAGACGACGCACCAGCTTCTGGTTCTCCAGCCGGTTCGCCTTGTCCTCGTGCGAAGGGTTCGACGCATCCACTGCGTGCACCTAGGTTCAGCTAGCCTGTCCATGGCACTCGTCTGCGATGTCACTCACGCTTGGCGTCCGTCTCCATTACCGAGCAAACGAGCGTCTCTGTCATGCAGCAACAGCTCGCGTCAGCATGAGACATCGCACAAAGGCCGCACGACGCACCGTCGCCATCACGCAACACCGTGCCGATGCACCACTCGATAGCGTACGATGCCTCGCTGCAGGGATGCTCGCGTCAGCCTATCGACGCCGACGTCTCCGCGCGGACACTCACTCTGAGCCATCGCTAGCGACCACGTATCGCTTCGGCCTCTTGTTCTCCCGCGCCGCCTTTTCATACTCGCCGTGCACGAGAGTGATGGTGCAGCGATTCCTCTCAAAGACGGGCCTGCTGGCCGTGAGAGCATGTTCACCCTCATTCGCCTTCGTGCCGAATGTGCGTGGCTGTGAAGGCGCCTGCTGCTCTCCGAGCACGACGTTAGGCGCTTCGGCAAGATGCGCATCTTCTTCGTGCCCTGAGGGATGCATCTCGCCGAGGTGCGACGCATCGTAGTCGGAGGGACCGTAGCCTGCTGGCTCGGCATCGTGCTGCCATGCGTCGTGCAGACCGATGCATCCGGCGTTGCGCAGCGTGTTGTCGATGGTCTGGCGCACCGAGCGGGTAAGGCAGGCAGCCAAAACGCGCACGCAAGCTGACTCACCTCGTCGTCGAACTCGAGGTACTCGTCCTCATCATCCTCCGTCTCTTCATCGCCCGTAGTCTCGTGGTCGCTGCCACTCGCGCTCTCCGGCACCCGCTCCGTGCTCTTCCGCGGTGATGCCTCTGCACCCTCCTCCGCGCCCGGCACGCGCTCCCACTCCTCGTCGCCCTCGGCATCGCCGTCCGAGTCGGCGCTGAACGCGTTGTTCCGCGGCGTCAAGCCGATGCGGCGACGGCTCGAGCTGGCGCCTGGCTCATCGCCGCTCTCGCCCGTCTCGCCGTCGGTGTCGCTGCGCGCATCAGCACTGCCTCGCCGGTCGTCCTTCGGCAGCGGCGCGACACTACTGCTGCGCTTCGAGCTGCTGCTGTGGTGCCGGAACGGGCTCAGACTTCGCCTGCCCGCGTTTGCCAGCCTGCTCTTGCGCGACTTCTTGCGCTTGCCATCTTCTCCCAGCGCGCCCAGCGCAAAGGGATTGTGCGTGTCGTGGGTGATGCTGATGCCCGTGCTGTTGGTCAGTGCGGGCCCGAGCAGGGCACTGGCGATGCTGCCGTGCGAGTGCACGCGCGGGAGGAGCGAGGAGAAGGAGTGGTGCGAGTGCCCCGAGTCGCGCGAATGCACCGAGGCACTGTCCTTGGCGGGCGGAGTGTGGCTCATGAGGGCAATGGAGGGGGTAGTGGAGGGCGGTCGCTGCGGTCTGAGGCGCGACGCTGCTGAGCGGCTGGCGCATGCCCCGCACGTCAGCACCGCGCCGCGCCGTGCGCCCCGAGAGCGGAGTCAGTATGCCGAGTGCCCGTGTCCGGCCACGTGACCGGCCCGCCTGCCCTCGCCGCATCCCTGACCGATGCCGCTTTTGCGCTCGATATTCGGCTTGCTGTGCCTGCGATCAGCATTGTAGGTCATGAGGGTCATATGTGAAGCAAGCTCGGGGCTGCCGTCCGCTGTGGTGCCATGGCGACGCGCTCCTCGGGCGGGGCGCACGCCTTGGCCGCACGCTCGCATGTTCTGGCCCTTGACAGCCGTGCACCGCTCCAGCAGTCGAGAGAAGCGCTTCGGTGCACCATGCCGACAAACCTGCCATCAGAGGCAGCGAGCATGCAGCAGCGTCTTGTCGCTCATCTCCACGCTGCTCATGAAGCGATGATGAGGCAGCTGCAGGGACGGGGCAGGCATGCAGCCGATGCGCGCCCGTGCGCTTCCGACCTCATCAGCCCTCCGCCCACTACGCGGACAATCTCGGGCCTGCTCCTCTTCGCTTCATCTCGTAGCAGCAGAAGCGCAGCACAGCATGAAGCAGCATCATGTTCTTCCGTGATGAGGAAGCGGTAGGTGCGACGCAGGTGCAGCAGCCAGCAGAGGGTAGCTCGCGGTTGCGGCGCACGCCGACTGACGCCGCCGCGCGGCCGAGGCGGCCGAGACGCGGCGGCTGGACGTGCAGCGCTCTCGCTCCCGCTCTCGCCGCCCGCGCCGCAACGGACCGTTGCCCGTACAGAGCGAGAGCTGAGCGCTGAGAGCCGCTGCGCTGCACGTTGACGCCTCATGCAGCATCAAGCGCACGCATCACGCATCGGCAGCTTCAGAGCGCAGCGGCGGACGGCGGCGCACGCACGCTGCAGCGGCGCCACCTCGCCCGCTGCACCCTTGTTCCCGCTCCGACGCTTGTGGGAACGGCTGCTGCCCGCTCAGACGCAGGCAGAGCGTGCAGCGCCCACGCTCCCTGTCCTCTACTGCGGCTCGTCCGCGCCTCGTCATTCTGTCGTTGAGCCAGCGCAGCGGCACCGGCAGCGGTGCCTGGCGGTCTAGTCTCGTCTGCGGCTGCCAGGATGCTGTTGTGGCCGGCCAGGCAGCGAGGCAGCGACGAGGCGCGGATGCCCGATGCGCGCCATGGCTGGCGAGATGCTCGCATGCGCTCGAGATGCGCTTCATCAAGCCGTGCTCTCCTGCACGCTCACGCTGCATCTGCGCTCTGAGACCGGCAGCTGCGGGTAGTTTGCCTCGCATCTTGCTCGTCTGCGTCAGCACGCAGCAGCGCAACAGGCGGCCGGCGCCAGAAAGCATGAAGGAGCGCACGCAGCAGCAAGGAAGCGCGGCAACGCGGCGGCTGCGGCGGGCGTCGGAGGCCCTGCGCCCGCTGCTGACGCTGCGCTGGATGGCAGACCGCCTCGCCGAGGCGCTCCTGCTCCTTGATCTAGCCAGCCGCCTCTCGCACCTCCTGCTCCGCTCCACGACACCGTCACTCCCTCCTCACGCCTCGCACCCTCGGCGCCCGCCATGCGTCTGTCGTCGCTCCTCCTCGTGCCGGCGTTGGTGTGTGCCGTGCTGGCGCAACAGCAGCCTGGTCCGAGCAGCAGCAGCAGTGCGCCCGCCTCGCCGAGCGCCTCTGCCTTGGCCTCTGCCTCGCAGGCCGAGTCGGCCGCAGGCAGTGCCGTTGTGGCCACGAGCATCTTCACGACGACGCTCTCGCGCGGCCAAGCACGGCCGTCCGATGCGCCCGCCTCGGGCTCCGTGTACGCCACCTATGCGCTCTACATCACCACGCTCTCCGCCTCTTCCAGCAGCAGCAGCAGTGCGAGCGCGTCGTCCGCGGCGGCCTCGGCTGAGCCGACACACACCCACGATCCATCCACCGATGGCCTCCCGCTCGACACGCACATCGACGGCGCGTTTGGCGTGCTCGGCGTGCTGCTCATTGCCAGTGGCCTCGCGCTGGCCATCTTTGGACCGAGCATCCGCTGGCTGTTCTGCTTCGTCACTGGGTGAGTCGGCGAGAGCGAGCGATGGACGTGCGGCGGCAGGATGGAGGCGTACGGACGACGGCGAGGCTAGCCTAAGCCTGGCCTTGGCACGGGACTCAGACTGCGGGGCCTCATGCGCGGCGGCACAGGGCCGAGGTGGCGCAGAACAGCCCACCTCGGCCGCACAGGCTCGGCCAGCCGGAGGCGCAGCGGGACCTGCGCCGTCAGCGCTGAGATCGCACGGGTGCTTGTTGGCCCGCAGCTGTCAGCGCAGCGCGAGCAGCAAGCACAAGCGCGGCCAAGCAGCGCCGCAGGCGCACCCTCGGTCAGGGTCGTGCATGAACGCGAGATCCCGCGGACGCAGCCGCGGCGGCGGCACGGCAAGACGCGACGCGCGCGCAGCGGCTCCTGAAAGCGCGGCGCAGCAGCAGCAGCGGCACCGCTCCTCCGCCTGCAGCCACGACGCAAGGGCGTGCGCGCCTCTTGTTCGCGAGACAACGTTCCGCAGCGCCGGCCGCAGCGCCTCCTCTCGCCGCTCGATTGCGAGATGAGGTCAATGTGCGCGGCGCTAGAAGAACAGAGCTCGCAGGGGCCGTGCCGGTGCCTGCGGCTGTGCAGCAGCCAAGCCTCGTTAGGCTGCGCCGCACCCGCCCCTACCGCGCATTCCCGCCGACGTTCGGACGTGTGCCTCGGGATCTCGCAGCCGTCCGCTCTCTGCTGCAGATCGCACATCACACTCCCTCTTTGCTAACACCACCACCATCACAGCGCCTACTGGCTGGCGCTGACGTGCATCTGCCTCATCTTCAAGCTCGGCATCCAGAAGGCCGTCTTCGACCCCACGCCGACGACGCGCGGTCTCTTCCTGCTCGCCGCCGCCGTCGCCGGCATCCTCGGCGGCATCCTCTGCATCTTCTGGTGGACGGGCGCCAGTCTGCTGGCTGCCGCACTCGGCGGTCTCGCGCTCGGTGTCTTTGTACAGGCGTGCAAGGCCGACGGCCTCATCGGCCCGCTGGGCCTGCGCTGGATCCTCTACATCGCCTGCACCGTCGCCTTCGCCTCGTTCTCCTGCTGGCGCCGCGTGCAGACACCCGTGCACATCGTCTCGGCCGCCTTGGCCGGCAGCACGGCGCTGGTGCTCGGCATCGACTGCTTTACCACCGCAGGCCTCAAGGAGTTCTACGCCCGCAACATCCTCGGCAACTGGCTGTTCGAGGACCGCCACGTGCCGACGTTTGCCGACGGCCGCTTCCCGCTCGTCACCGTCATCCAGATCGAGCTGGGCGTCATCGGCGGCTGCACTATCCTGTCGCTCGCACTGCAGTCCAAGATGTTCGGCGAGCTGCGCAAGAACCTGCGTGCGCTGCGTTCCGACGACGAGGACCGGCGCACGCAGTCGCGCGCCAAGCGTGCTGCCAAGAGCATCTTCAAGAATGCGCAGCGCGACCTGCACGAGTGGGAGGTGCGCCATGGCTACCGTGCCGCTGGCAGTGAGATGCGCACCAAGGACACGCCGGACGCCACGCTCGTCTCGCGTCCCAAGACGTTCCATCGCGACTCGACGATGAGCCTGCTGCCCATGCACACGCGCGAGAGCCGCAGTCGCAACGACAGCATCGCCACGACGTTCCTTGAGAAGCCGTCTGCCGGTGCGCCGTTTGCCGAAGACATGGGCGTCGCCTTTCCTTCGCCGTCCACGGAGAATGCTCCGGCAGTCGACCCCAACGCCACGCCCGAGCAGGCGGCACTCATCGAGGAGATCGCAGAGATTCGCCGGTCCATCACTCTGCTGCGCTCGCGGCCCAACTCGATGGTCCTCGATGCTCTGCCCGCTTCTTCGTCGGAGGGCATGGCGCGCACCGAGTCGACGGCCTCGTCGTCGGAGCGGCATGCAGGCTCTAAGCCGGCACCTTGGATCACGTCGGATCGCTCGCCGCGCGTGCGCACTTTGTCGCGCGGCATGAGCATGGATCTGGCCAGCATTCCCGACGAGCTGCTGCCGCCGGTGCCTGCAGGCCACGTCGCCGGCGCCGACGCCGCCGAGCCGGCTGCTACCGGTGCTCGTCGCAGCAGCGTCGCTGAGCCCATGGAGAGCATGCGGCCCTTCTCGACGCACAGCTCCTCGGGCGCCGCACTGCAGATGCCTGAAGCCACTGCCACGCCTCCGGCCACCCATGGTCGCTCGCGCCGTCTCTCGCGCACGCTCTCTGGCGGCATGCCGCAGAGTCCGCCGCTGGAAGCCTCGTCGCGTCGCGTCATCGTCGACACGCCCGAGGCAGCAGCCGCTCGCTATGCCAAGGCACTCAACCGTCGTTCTACGGCCTCGGGGCACGATGCGCCTCGTCAATCCGGCGGTGCTGGTGCTGGCCTCACGCTCTCGGAGCTCGAGGAGCGTCATCGTGCGCAGATGAGCAAGATGCAGTCGCCTACGGCCGAGGCGTTCAAGGTCGCGCTTGCAAAGGAGGAGTACGAGAAGCGCAAGGCGGCCGAACGGCGTGCCATGGAGGCAAAGGAGCGTGCGCGCGCTCAACAGCAGCAGCAGGCCTCGCAGGAGCGTCGCCAGTCCTCGACGCCCGGCCAGCCAAGTGCCGTCCCTGCGCACGAGAGCGGCATGCCGCACTCGCGCTCGCGCAGTCTGAGCATCGACATGCTCAAGAATAGCGAGCGCGACACCTCGGTGGGCCAGAAGCGCGCCAGCGGCGCCATGCGTGCAGCGCAATGGCGCAACAGCCTGGTCGAGATGCCTGCGCCGCCTGCCATGGCTCGCGATGGCTCTCGCTCGCCCGTCACCGGCAGCGGCAGCATGGGCCGTCGCGGCTCCAACAGCACGACGCAGATGGCGGGCAGTGCCAGCTACTTTGCCATGCCGCAGCCGGCCAGCATGGGTCGCTCCTACTCGACGTCGCCCGGCGGTCTGCACGGCGCCAACGAGCTGCAGCGCGTCTTTGAGCACGCCGCCGAGCCGACGGTGCAGCAGCGCACCTCGCCCACGAGTCCGCGCAAGCCCTTGACGGAAGCCGACCGCCGTCGCATCTCGGAGGGTGCGCTCGGCCCGCGCGCTTCGCTTGTGCACCAGCAGGCTTCGCCAGGCGGACTGCTGCGCTTCGATCCCGTGGCTGCTCAGGCTTGGGAGCAGCACATTGCGTTGCAGCAACAGCAGCAGCAGAAGAAGGGCACATCGCCTGCCAGCCCTCGCCAAGGTCGTCCTGCGTCGGGCTACTTCGCCTAGCCCCTCCGTCCAGCTTCGCTCTCGCAGCCCACATCACACACGTTCACACTCTACTCCACTCTACACCTCGACTTTCTGCTGCATCAAGACCTACTGACTCCCGCTCTACATCATTACATTACCAGACACCTGCCCACACACATCAATCGTCCCTTGCTGCTGCTGCTCCCCGTCCCTGCCTCCCTGCAGACTCTCTCTGGTCATTCTCTCGCTTTCCCCGCCCTCGCTACACCTCTATCTGCTGCTACTCGCGCAATTCAGATCTGCTTGAGGCGCACAGCAAAGCCTGATCTGGACAGAATCGCGCGGCCATCGTGCTGTTACAGACGCACACGCGTGTCACCGGGATCAGCCGGGCCGAGGTCAACGTTTCACGGCGCCGTCGCTGCACCAGCACCCGGCAGCTGCTCGGCCCATGAGGACAGGCCCGATGTGCGCCTTGCCTTGCATCGCACCGCTGCCCAATGACGCCGCACCACAGTGTGCTTCTCCGGAGACAGCAGATCTGTGCAGCGAGAGGGGTCGCAGCTCGCTGTCGGCGGCAGGTGTGGAGCTGCGTCTGGCGTGCCGTCCCCCGAGGCGGCTCGCGTGTCCATGCCTCGACCGTGGCTGCGCTTCTTCGCGACTCGTCTGCTGAGATGTGCCTGAAGCAGATCAGCAATCGAACGCGGCCAGGCCTCTGTGGCATGCCCAGCGTCTCCTTCTCATGCTGAGGCATCGCGAGCAGCGTCCACGAGGCGGGTGCGGCGGCGCTGGTGCCGGCGGGCTGGCGGCGCGCGCAGGCGGCGTGCCTGAGCCTCGGCCGCTCGACGCTTGCGGCGCAAACCGCCGCCGCCGCGTCTCGGGCACACGGCCTGCCTCTGCACCCCACGCGCCGCGCGCCGCTCTCCCTCTCGCCCTCTCTCCGCCCAACCAGCACCCTCGCATGTCCCTCCCACTCCTCGCCATCTCCACAGCGTCTGCACCTTCTTCATTCTTGCTCAGCTCTCTCCGCGCTGCACCTCTCCTCGTCGCGCGCCGTCCTGCGCCGAGCCACGCCCGCCCCTGGCACCCCAACACTCGCAGCCACTCTGCGGCGCAGACTCGGGCCGCGGCGAAATTTGTGCACGAGCCACGCCGGTCGCCTGCTGTCCTGCTCCCACACCCGCTGCCTCTGCTGCGCGCCAGCTGCGTCCCGATTCGCCAGACGCACCTGCGTCCCGCTGCTGCGCCTCTCTTCAGCTCCAGCTCCACCCACTCCGTCGCTACTGCCTCGCCGCTTCTCGCTCCACGCTCCGCTACTCGCTCCCTCTCCGCAGGGCACCTGCCGCTGCATCTCTCGTCGCGCCTGCCCCAGCGCGTCGCTCCTCTCGCCGCGCATCGCCGCGCCCTACACTCCACAGCTGCCGCCATGCCGCAGCGGCAACGACTGGCCATCATCGGCTCGGGCAACTGGTGCGTCGCGAGCGTGTCCTGCACTGCATCTGGCAGCAGTGATGCTGACTACAGTGTGCAGGGGCAGTGCCATTGCTCGCATCGCCGGTAGGTAGTGAATGGCACGATCGTGCTCGCGCTCTCACGGCTCACCTCAGCACACCTGCACAGGCCGCAACGTGCTGCGCTACTCTGATGTCTTCGAGCCAGAAGTGCGCATGTATGTGCACGAGGAGATGGTGCGTCTGCCTGCAGCACTTGCCGCTCTCCACTCGCTCACCCTCGTCTTGCAGATCGACGGCCGCAAGCTCACCGAGATCATCAACACGGAGCACGAGAACGTCAAGTACCTGCCGGGCATCAAGCTGCCGGACAACGTGCTGGCGGTGGACTCGCCTGTGGGCGCTGCGGAGGGCGCGGATCTGCTTATCTTTGTGCTGCCGCATCAGGTGAGCGACGCGCGGGAGAAGGAGAGGCGCGGAGAGCTATGCGTGGGTGAGGAGGGATGGGCATGGCGCAGCGAGGCAGACTGCTGCGCGTTGCGCATGTCAAGTAACGTAGGCTCCGACTGGCTCCCTTGCGCGGCATGCGGACGACAGGCGTTGGGAGCCGTGTCTTCGCACAAAAGAGCCATGCTGACCTGCCAATGCTCGCAGTTCATCCCGAACGTGTGCAACAGTCTGCGCGGCAAGGTATCGCCCACAGCGCGCGCCGTGTCGATGATCAAGGGCGTGGAAGTGAGGGACGGGCAGATCCGCATCTTTGCCGATGTGATCGAGGAGCTGCTGGGCTGCAAGTGCAGCGCCTTGAGCGGCGCCAACATCGCAAACGAAGGTGCGTTGCTTCTCGCTTCATGCGCCTGCCGGCTGCGCACTGATGCACCCGTGCGCTGCGCAGTGGCACAAGACAAGTTCTCCGAGACCACGATTGGCTATCGAGCGGGCGACCGCGCCACTGCAGAGCTCTTCTTCAAGGTCTTCGACACGCCTACCTTCCGTGTCGGCCTGGTGGAGGATGTGGCTGGCGTGTCGCTGTGCGGCGCACTCAAGAACGTCGTCGCCATTGGCGCTGGCTTCACGGATGGCCTGGGGTGGGGAGACAATGCGAAGGGTGAGCCAGGCAGCGTTGAGGGGTCAAGGACGTAGCTGACGATACCTCGACAGCTGCGGTCATGCGCATCGGCCTCATGGAGATGAAGCAGTTCTCGATGGAGTTGTGAGTGTGCTCGCTCGGCCGCGCGCCTGGTCAGGCCGCTTACTCCGTGCCGCGCACGCAGCTTCGATGGCGTCAAGAGCTCCACCTTTACCGAGACGTCTGCCGGCATCGTGAGTCATGGCGGAGTAGACCAACAAGCTGCGGAGCAGCTTTACTGAGCTCCTGGCTGCCAGGCCGACTTGATCACCACGTGCTTTGGCGGCCGCAACCGCAAGTGTGCCGAGGGTAAGCTTCAGGCGGCCGGCAGCGCAGCTGCATCGCGTCGCTCATGCTCTCGTCTGTGCCCTTAGCATTCGTCAAGACGGGCAAGAGCTTCGATGTGCTCGAGAAGGGTGAGCTTTCTCGCACAACGGAGCGCGGCGTGGCACAGACTTCTGACTCGTACACTTCGCGCACACAGAGCTGCTCGGCGGACAGAAGCGTGCGTCTCCTTCCGCCGCATGCCCATGCTGCTCGCTCATGACTGACGACTGACGCCGGCCTGCGTGTAGTGCAAGGCACAGAGACGGCGCGCGAGGTGAGGCGCTCGCACTGTTGTGCTCTGAGTCGTGCGCACACTGACGCTCCTTTCGCAGATCCACACGTTCCTCAAGCAGCGCGGTCGCCTCGACGGCTACCCGCTCTTCCGATCAGGTGCGTCGCTGTGACGCCTTCTTAACTGCGTCGCTGCTCACATCAGCTCTCCACCGGCAGTGTACGAGATCGCGTACAATGACGGCGCAGCGAGTGAGTCGGCCCTTGGCGCCGTGCGCACGTGCAGTGCTGACGCAAGCTGGCACAGAGGACCTCACTTCGAAGCTCTGAGCGCGCAAATTCTAGTTCTCTTGGGTTGAAGCCGATGACGTGGAGCAGAGGGGCAGCCGGCTGCGAGTGCGCCGCGCGGCACGGGCCGACACGCGGCCTGCCGCCTGTGCCGGCCGATGTGCTGGAGGGAGGGGAGTCGAGAGATTCGTGACGCAATGCAACGTGTTCAGACAGTCACTGCGCATCTAGCAAGAGGCATGGCTCGCCGTTTTGGGGTGGTGCGTATGTGTACAAAATGAGGCCAGACAGCAGCAGGTGAGGACCGTCCCTCAGACGGCAGCCGAGCGCGCCGCGTTGAGCTGGATGGCGCTGGTAGCGCAAATCTCGGCCAGGCGACGCGCCTTGTCGTCGAGCTGGCCGAGGAGCAGCGTGCTCTCCAGGCGGCTCGGCTCCGAGGGAATCTTGAGGCTCTTGTCGTCCATCGGCAGCGGCGGCAGGCCCTGGGCCTCGCGCGCCGCGTTCTCCGCCTGCCGACGAGCCAGCGCCGCCTCGGCACGCGCCTTCTCGCGCGCCAGCTGCCGCGATTGGTAGCCCACGTTGCCGCTCTCGGCCGCGTGCTCGTCGAGCGCCTCGAGCGTGGACTCGAGTGCGGAGGAGAGCACGGGCGTGTGAGAGAGCGTCAGGAGCGTGTGCGAGGCACTGATCGGCGCCGTCGGCGGCGAGGCAAGCTGCGAGGCAGTCGAGCTGGAGATCAAGCTGGACGCCGGAGCAGAGGGCGTCGAGAGCGAAGAGAGCAGCGCGGAGAGAAGCGCAGTGTTGTGCAGCGAGATCGGGATCTCGACGAGGATGTTCGAGAAGGTCAGGCGGTGCTCAATGAGGCTGCACACGAGGGTCAGTGGCAGGCAAAGAGAGCGCAGAGAGACTACTGCGACTTACTCGGCGGCGGTGAACTTGCCCTTGCGGTGCGAGTCGATGAACGATGGAGAGAGCCGGTACGCCTTGACGACGGTGTTGCCGGCGGCCGACTGAGCGAGGTCTGCGCCGAGCCAGGCATGAGTTTCGGAGCATGAAGTGACCCTGGCGTCCTCTCTCTCTCTCCTCTCGGACCCCTCATGCTTGCAAGTAGCCCGCAGAAGCGCTCTCACTGCCGCACAGCCCCAATCTGCTCCACACACCTACTCACCGTGCACGATCAGCACGCCCTTGCCCTGTCCGCTGGCGCCTTCCCGCTCCATCAGGCCCGCCACGGCAGCCAGGCCGTCGACAACGCTCTGCTGCAGGAAGGAGCCGAGGAAGCACGACTGGTACAGGCCCACGGGGTTGGCGTCGGCATTGACGTCGCGCATGAGCTTGACCATGGCGGCGTTGTAGCGCGCAGCTGCCGGAGGGAGCATGTGAGCAAGGAAAGGAGGAGAGGCGGCCGGGCGACGGCATCATTGCGACAATGGCCAGGCCTACGCCATCCGGCTAGACGCTGGCCTCTGCACACACTGCCGCTGCACAAGCACTGCTCGCCCTTGCTGCACTCACCGCTCTGCTTGCCCTTGTCGGCCTCGTCGTCGTCGTCCTTGCTGCTGGAGCGCATGGCGCTGGCGGGCAGGCCGAAGCAGTTGCTGACCTCCAGCGCGCCGCCAATGTCGAGGCCGAGCAGCGTGCCGAACGCCTGCGCCGGGTGGGCGTCGCGCGAGTGCTTGACAATCTTGGTGAGCGCGAGGCCGTCGAGGCGCACCGAGGTGATCTGGTCCGACTCGAGCTCGAGCGCGGCGAGGTCGAGCTCGGCGGCCGACACGCCGGCGCGCGACGGCTCGTTGCCAGACGGCGCAGGCGCCGGCGTGGGTGCGGGCGCGGCGGCCGAGGCCATGGTGATGGGGCGGGCAGACATGGTGTGGTGGGTGGGAGGGCTGAGCGTGGCCGCACCTCGAATCGCAGCTGCCTTGTCCGGGCTGCAGCGCCGTGGGAGGCGACTCGAGGCGAGGGGCGCCGCCGCACGAGAAGATCTCAGGCCGCGCCACGTGGGCGAGACGCGAATACAAAAATAGGCCGAGCGCGAGGCGTGGCACACTGCTCTGGCGCCTTTCTTCGCGCAGGCCGATTGTTGTATTCGGTGCGGACCGCACCGGTCGCCGCCCGAAGCTCGCTCTCGATGCACAGGCGCTAGATGGCCGGCACCTCTTGCCCTCACGCCATCAGCCCACACACACCACACATCATGGACGACGCCGCCAACACTCCCATGGACACGCAGCAGCAGGCGCCCGTGCCGCAGCTGCAGCAGGTGCCGCAGCAGCAGCTGCAGGGCGACGCCAACGACGGCGTCGACCCCGCCGAGGCCGCGCGCCAGAGCCGCAAGGAGAACCGCGTCTACGTCGGCAACCTCAGCTACGAGGTGCGCAGCAATCACCTCAAGGACTTCATGCGCGAGGGTGAGCGGCTCGCCGTGTGGACGTGATGCTGGGTGTGGAGGGAAGGGATGCTGCAGTCGGGCAGCCGCGCTCGTCTCGCTTCGCACTGCCTGCCATCACGTCGCGCTGGAGGAGCACGCTTGCCAGAGCATGTCTGCGCATCGATCAGCTGCCCGCTGCTGCGCCTCCATCGCCAGCTAGCCTGCCAGCCGTTGCCGCGAGCCCATGCCCTTCGACGCCCCGCGCAAGCCCTCGCTCGCCGACACGCAAGATCACTCTACTTCCCATCGCGCCTCTCCGACACCGAATGCGCATCGGCGCATGCGGCGCATCCCAGCGGGCACACAGCTCATCTACGGAAGGAGCATGTGCGGATAGGAAGGAAGCAGCAGGAAGGAAGGACGAAGGGCAAGGGCAAGGGATCGGGCAAAGGACATGGGCACGGGCAACGGCATGGGCAGGCTAGGCTGGTGGTAAGGGGTGTGGGGCAGAGGGTGTGGCTGGTCCTGGCGTCTGACTCTCCCGGCAGGTAAGCCTTCTTCTCCTCGTCCCCTCTTGTGGGGCACAGGGCAGCGCAGACTTGGCAGGTAGGGCAGCGAGGAGAATCGAGCTGGCTGACGGGCGAGGCAGCACTGACGGGCAGGCAGCACGAGTGCGAAGACGGAGAGGCAGCTCGATCGATCGTGCCGCAGCAAAGGGCGGCATTGGAGCAGACCTCGGCTCGCGATGCCAGGTCCGGCGCGGCAATGCAGGGGCGGCCAATCGAGGGCGCCGAGCTTCTGTCTCTCCCACATCCGTTCATTGCTGACGCTTGCACCTGTCTGGCTGCACAGCTGGCAATGTCGTCTTTGTCGAGGTGCTCTCGCTGCCCAACGGCATGAGCAAGGGCTGCGGGTGAGTGGCGCTCCTGGCTCAGCGCCGTACCTTTGCGCGCGGAAGCTCATCTCGGCTTTGCACGCAGCATCGTCGAGTACAGCTCGCAGGAGGAGGCACAGCGCGCCATCAAGGAGCTGAGCGACACGCCGCTGCTCGGCCGTCCCGTCTTCGTGCGCGAGGTGAGTCGCTGCAGCCAAGTCGGAAGCCGTCGCATGTGCTGACTCGTCGAACAGGACCGGGAGCAAGAGGCTCGCTACGGCGCCCCGCCGATTGTGGGCCGCGGCTTCGCTCGCGGTGGCTTTGCCGGCGGACGCGGCGGCTTCGGTGGCCCGCCGGGCCGCGGTGGCTTCGGCGGCGGCTTTGGCGGAGGCTTCGGCGGCCCGCCGCCGATCGCTGCGGCGCCTGGCTGCCAGCTGTACATCGGCAACGTGAGTTCGAGCAAACGCGATGTCTGGGCCGTGCAATGCTGACGCACCTGTCTCGCAGCTGCCGTTCCAGGCCGGCTGGCAGGAGCTGAAGGACCTCTTCCGCTCCGCGGGCAACATCGTGCGCGCCGACATCAACATCGGGCACGACGGGCGTCCCAAGGGCTCGGGCATCGTCGTCTTTGCCACGCCCGAGGATGCGCAGAACGCCATCAACATGTACAACGGCTTTGACTGGAACGGCCGGCCCATCGAGGTGCGCGAGGACCGCTTCGCCTCGGGCGCCCACGGCGGCTTCCAGGGCGGCCCGCAGGGCGGCTTCGCGGCGCACCCGGGCTTCCAGGGCGGCTACGGTGGCGGCTTTCAGGGTGGCTACGGCGGCGGCTTTGGTGGTCCGCGCGGCGGCTTCCAGGGAGGCTTCGGCGGCCCGCGCGGCGGCTTCCGTGGAGGCTTTGGCGGCGGCTTTGGCGCCCCGCGCGGAGGCTTCCAGGGCGGCTACGGCGGACACGGCGGCTTCCAGGGCGCCGTGGCGCTGCCGCCGGCCGAGCCGAGCCAGCAGATCTTTGTCAAGAACGTGAGTGTGGCCAGAGCGCGCATTTCGGCTGCGAGTGCTGACCACACACGTGCTGCAGCTGCCGTGGTCGACGTCGAACGAGGACCTGGTGGAGCTCTTCCAGACGACGGGCAAGGTCGACGAGGCCGAGATTCTCTTTGAGCACGGCCGCTCCAAGGGCGTCGGCGTCGTGCAGTTCGCCACCGTCGGCGAGGCAGAGACGGCCATTGCCAAGTTCAACAGGTGCGTGATGTGCTTCGATGTCGCGCCTGCTCGGGCTGACCACCCGCACCCTCAGCTACCTCTACGGCGGCCGCAGCCTCGAGATCGAGTTCAACCGGGCGTGGCGCGACTTTGCCGGCCTGGTGCGTGCGCTTCCACCTCTCTCACTACAGCCCCACTGACGTCTGTCTTACAGCGCGCGAGCGGCGATGTCGCCATGGTCTGAGCTGGGCCTGGTCGGGCGCGGCGCATGGGCATCAGGCGCTGCTGCACGAGTGTCAAAATGAAGCTTGCTATTTACGCTCTGATGTCGTTGTGTGTCTCGGCGCGTGCATTCGTGACCAGATCGTCTGCTGCGGTGGGCCAGGGAGAAACCTCGGCTGGATGAGAGCAAGAGGTCGAGGCCGGTGTTTATTCGGCGCGTCGTGTTGTGGCGCCTGCAGCCGCAGAGGTGAGAGCGTGCCTGCAGGCCGAGAGCGTGCCTGCGCCGCGCGCGTGACCCATGCGCGCGTCTGGAGGACACTGCTCTCGTGCCTGCAGGGATCAGCGCGCGCCTCTTGGTGTGCGCCTTCCTCTCGAGCCCTCGGCGCCGGCTCCTCCTCCTCATCACCTCGACCACCGCCTCGCCCCTCTCTCCGCGTGCGGCTTCCTCAAGGCCAGCATCAAGCACACGACCCACACTCCTTAGGCTTCGACGCCGCACTCACGAAGCACACGTCTCTCACAAGCCCACCCGCTCTGCCTGCCCGACTGCTGCAGCTTGCCCGCGCACGCACACATCTTTCCGCCCTCGCGCACGGCAGTGCTGCCGACAGCGTGACGCGAGCAGCGGCGCAGCACAGACATGGATGACTTTGGCATGGGCGGCGGCGGCGGCATGGGAGGCGAGCCGCCGGCGGAGCAGGACTTCACCAAGATGTCGGTGGAGGACCGGCTGAAGAGCAAGGTGCGTGGGCTGTCTGGCGTGGCGCAGAAGCGGAGCACTCAGCGCAGAAGGGGCTCCGCGAGCCTGCATGTCCCAGCGCTGACGCTGCTCGCACTGCCAGGTCTGGAAGGCCCGCGTGTCAGGCTACGAGCAGCTGCTGAGCGACTTCAAGAAGTCGAGCGACGAGGGCGCGCCCGTGTTCCGGCCATTCACGCGCAACGCAGACGCCGTCAAGGGCATGGCGCTCGATGCGAACGCCGTGGCGCAGGAGAAGGGCACAGAGGCTGTGTGCGCCTTTGTGGAGTTTGGCGGCAAGGCGGCGGGCAGGTGAGTGCAGAGCTGTGTCAGCGGTAGGCGAGGCGCTGAGCGGTGCGCTCCTGCAGCACACGAGACGTGGTGTTGCCAGCACTCGTCGACAAGTGCCTCGGCTCGACGCGCGCGGGCACGCGCAAGGCGGCGCTGGAGGCGACGCTCTTCTATATTGAGATGGAGGACGTAATGGGCTCAGAGGGCACGGTAGTGAGTGCTTCCGCTTTCGCTGGGCATGGGTTGCGGCTCACCCTGCTCCACAGCTTGACCTGCTGAAGGGCACGGAGGCCAAGCAGCCAAAGGTCGTGGCTGCGTCCATCACGGCGCTGAAGGAGGCAGTGCGGCTCTTCGGGCCAAAGCAGGTGCGGCCAAAGCACATTCTCGCGAAGCTGCCGGACCTCTTCGGGCATTCGGACAAGGGCGTGCGCGCAGAGGCGTCGCTGCTGGCCGTTGAGCTGCACAAGTGGATCGGCGATGCCATCGAGCCCACAGTCGCGCTGCTTAAGGACATCCAGGCCAAGGAGCTGCGCGCGCAGTTCTCGCCCGAGCGCTCGACGGTGCCGGAGCGGAGTCTGCTGTCGCAGCGTGCCGTCATGGAGGCAGCGGCTGCAGCGGCCGCTGGCGCGGGCGACGAGGCAGGCGGCGACGCCGAGCCGGCCGAGGCCATCGACCCGCTCGAGTTCGCCGAGCCGACAGATCCGCTCAAGCACGCCGACTTTCCGGCGAACTTCGACGAGCTCATCGTCTCGAAGAAGTGGCAGGAGCGCAAGGAGGCCGTCGATGCGCTGCAGAAGGTGCTCGCGGCCACGCCCAAGGTGCTGGCTGCCAACGGCCTGGACAGCGTCGTGGATGCGCTGGTCGAGCGCATCAAGAAGGACGTCAACATCAACGTCGTGCTCGGCGCGTGCCAGTGCATCACTGGCCTGGCCAACGGCCTGCGCACGGGCTTTGCCAAGTACAAGGAGCGCGCGCTGCCGCCGCTGCTGGAGAAGTGCAAGGAGAAGAAGGAGAGCACCGTCAAGGTGCTGGCCGAGACGCTCGATGCCATCTTCCAGACGGTGAGTGGAGCGCGTCGCCTGTTGACGAGGGCCACTGCTGACGCGCGCGCGCAGGTGACGTTCGGCGACATTCTTGAAGACACGCTCGCCGCGACGAAGCACAAGAACCCGGCCGTCAAGACCGAGGCGATCCGCTTCATTGCGCGCTCGCTCACCGAGACGCGCGCCATGCCCGCAAAGGCCGACATCAAGCCAATTGCCGAGGCGCTGACCGCCGCGATGGACGACGGCTCGGCGGACGTGCGCGACGCTGGCGCGCAGGGCCTCGGCACTCTCATGAAGCTGATCGGCGAGCGCCCGATGAATCAGTTCATTGATGGCCTCGACGACATCAAGAAGGGCAAGGTGCAGGAGCAATTCAAGGTCGCGACCGTCAAGGTCAAGGCAGCGCCGGCAGCGCGTGCGCCTCCAGCGGCCGCTGCGGCCAAGCCGAAGGCACCCGTCGCACGGGTGAGTAGGAAAGCACACCCCTAGCCTTCGCCGTCTGACCCCTGCCCTGCAGAAGCCCGCAGCGCCCGCCAGCATCGCGAACAAGGAGAATGCGCCACCCGCGGCCGCACCTCGCCCGCCTGTGTCCAAGGCGCCAATACGGCCGCCGGTCAAGAAGCCGGCAGCCGCAGCACCAGCTGCAGCCAAAGCGGCGCCGCGGCCCGCCGCTGGAGGCAAGGCAGGCGGCAAGGGCGCGCCCTCGGCGACCGAGCCCGTGCGCTACCGCTTCGGCAGCGAGGACGCCGAGGCGCGCGCGGCGGACCTCATCTCCGAGACGATCCGCAACGGCCTGGCCAGCGGCAACTGGAAGGAACGCCTCGAGGCGATGTCGTCGCTCATCGAGTGGCTCAAGCTCGAGGTCGGCGAGGTCGAGAGCGAGATCATCGTGCGCACGCTTGCCAAGAAGCCCGGATGGAAGGAGAGTAACTTCCAGGTCACGGGTGAGATGTACCGTGCGCTGCGCCTGCTCGCCGACGAGTCTCCGTCGTTTGGCCGCGCGTCCGTTGCGCTCTCGGTGCAGCCGCTGTGCGACAAGCTCGGCGACATCAAGCTCAAGGGCCCGGCCGGCGAGACGCTCGGCGTGTACGCCGAGAAGACGTCGTACGGCTTCGTGCTTGCCCAGGCGCTGGGTCCGCTGGCTGCGCTCAAGGCGCCCAAGGCCATCGCCGACTCGCTCCTCTGGGTCGACCAGACGCTGATCGAGTTCGGCACCGCCGGCATCGACGTGCGAAGTCTCGTCGCGCACGTCGTGACGTGCCTAAAGTCTGCCAACGCCGCTGTGCGCACAAACGCCACGCAGGTCTTTGGCACGCTCGCGCGCTTCCTCGGCTCGACGCTCAGCACATTCCTTGGCGATCTCAATCCGCAGATGCGCACCATCGTCGAGGCGGAGATCGAGAAGGCCGGCAGCAACCCGGCGCCCGCTCCCACGCGCTTCAGCGGAGAGGCACAGGCGGCACGCGGAGCCGCTGGCGGCGGAGCTGGCGCTGCTGCCGACGACGGCGAGGCGGATGGTGCGGGCGCGCAGGACGACGACGACGCGCTCGACGCGCTCATCCCGCGCATCGACATCGACAAGATCACGCCATCCGACGCCGTGGGCATGCTCGGCAGCGCGAACTGGAAGGAGCGCAAGGAGGCCCTCGAGGCGATTGTCGGCGCGATTGAAGCACATCCGCGCCTGAAGGGCAACATGACGGAGCTCAGCGGCCCGCTCAAGGCGCGCTACGCCGACAGCAACATGGCGAACCGCACGCTGGCGCTCGACGTTATGAGCAAGGTCGCCGCCGGCATGGGCAAGCTGTTCGAGCCGCATGCGCGTCTCTTCGCTGCGCCCATCACGCAGATCCTCGGCGACGCCAAGGTGCCGATGCGGGCGGCCGCCACCGCCACGCTGACGGCCATGGCCAAGGCATCGGGGCTGGCGCCGCTGGTGCCGGGCTTCGGCAGCGTGCTGGACAGCAAGGCGGCTAACCCGATGCTCAAGCAGGAGCTCTTTGGCTGGCTTGCCGCCTGGTTCGAGGAGAACACGCCGGAGAAGGGCATGGACCTGCAGCCGCTGGCCCTGCCTGCCGTGCAGAGCCTCGACGACAAGCTCGCCACGGTGCGCAAGGCGTCGGCGGCGACACTGCCGTACATCATCATGCGCTGCGGCTACAAGTTCGTCATGGAGCAGGCCAACTCGCTTAAGGCGGCCTCGCGCAACACTGTCATTCCCATCATCGACGCCGCCAAGGCGCAGGCGGCAGCCAAGGCGCCCAAGGCAGCTCCGGCACCTGCGGCACCTGCTGCGCGCCCGGCGGCGGCCCGCCCGGTGCAACGTGCTGTTGCTGCAGCCGCCGCCGCCTCATCTCCGTCGCGGCCATCCTCGCCGGCACCTGCGCCCAAGCCGACTCTCGCGCGGCCAGGCGTCCGGGCGCCGACGGCCGTGGGCCGCTCGCTCAAGGCGCCGGCTGCCGCGCGCATTGCACCGAGCAGCGATGACTTTGACGGGCCCTCGTCGTCCGCCGGTGTGGTCAAGTCGCGCCTGGGTGTTCCGGGCCGTGCGGCAGCCTCGGCAGCCGCGGGCCCGTCCTCGGCCGCCGACAAGACGCCGCCCTTCGTCGCCTCCGACCCACGGTACAAGGCCGGCCGCGAGAAGAAGGAGGGTCGCGGGCAGCACTGGATCGGCGCAGATGCGGTGGCGCGCTCGGAGCTGTCCGACCTGCTGCGCGCCCAGTGCGAGCCGCACCTCAGCGGCAGCCTCGTCGACGCCATGTTCAGCAAGGATCACAACGCTGAGCGCGACTATCTGTCGGCGCTGACGCTGATCTCCGACTTCACCTCGAGCCCGTCGTTCGCCGAGGAAGAGTACGGCCTGAGCGCCAGCGACGGCATCGCGCGCGTCGTGGCCAGCTCGGACTTGGTCGTCAAGTACGTGGCGCTGCGCCTGACGGACAACAACACGAGCATCTCGCTCAAGTGTCTGGACATTCTCGGCCATCTCGTCGAGCTGCTGCGCGGCGAGCAGTACCACATGAGCGACTACGAGGCCAACTGCTTCCTGCCGTGCCTCATCGCCAAGTTCGGCGACCCAAAGGTCGCGTTCCGCGACCGCATCCGCGACATCTTCCGGCGCATGACTTTCATCTTCCCGCCGAGCAAGCTGCTCGCGTACTACGTCGAGGAGGGCCTGCCGCACAAGAACGCAAAGGTCCGCGCCGAGTGTCTTGGCGAGCTGGGCCACCTCATCGCCAAGAACGGCCTGCAGGTGTGCACGCCGTCAAAGACACTGCCCGTGATCGCCAAGCAGATCGCAGACCGCGACGCGACGGTGCGCACGGCGGCGCTCATGGCGCTCGGCGAGGCGTACCAGATTGTCGGAGACGACGTGTGGAAGTACGTTGGCAGCCTCTCGCCCAAGGACAAGTCGCTGCTCGAGGAGCGCCTCAAGCGCACGACGGCGCCGCCTTCACGCTCTGCTGCGGCTGCACCCGCCGCTGCGCCGGCCGCTGCGCCGCGGTCCAGCATCGTGCCGCCGTCGAGCAAGCTTGCGCCGCCATCGCGCCTGGCGCACCCGTCTTCCATCGCAATGGCGCCCAAGAGCCGCCTGCAGCCGCCGTCGGCGGCCACGAGCGGCATCGGGCGGCCAAGCAGCCTCAAGCCGCCGTCGTCGCAGAGCAACGGCCACGCGGCCTCGTCGGACCCGCTCGAGGTCGACGAAGACGACGAGGCGCGGCAGGCCGCCGAGGAGGACGTCGCCATCGAGCAGTCCATCGCCGAGGTGCTCAGCAGCGACGCGGACCGCAGCGTCATTGCCATCAAGACGATCGACGGCATGATCTCCGACGCGTCGCTGGCGCTGCCGAACCACGCCGACCAGCTTGCCACTGTACTGTCCAAGCAGGTGCACCGCGCGTTTGCGCTCGATGCCGGCGAGAAGTACGCGCGTCTGCGCAAGTACCTCCTGGTCGTCTGCACGTCCTTCTTCGACTCGAACCCCGTCTACGGCCCCGACGGCCTGGGCCGCACGCTCGGCAGCTACGTCACGCGCGGGCCGTACATTCTGCTGCTCACCGAGCTGCTGCAGCGCCTCATCGAAGCATCGGCGCCCGACGTCGACCAGGAAGTCGCGATGTACGGCAAGTACATCAACATTGTCGTGCTGCGCACGTTCTCGGCGTGCAACCTCAACATGCTCTTCAGGTGAGCGCCTCGCGCGCCCTAGTAGCGAGCAACTGCTGACGTCTGCACCACAGCGCCTGCCTGCTCATGCTGAGCGAGGCGGCCGAGGACATGTGCGAGCTCGAGGGCGAGATTCTAGCACGGCGCGCCAAGTTCGCCGAGCTGATCATAAAGTGTCTCTGGAAGGTGGCGCGGCGCCTCGACGACTCGCTGAAGCGCGGCGAGCTGGAGCCGGTGCCGCTGCTGCTCGACGTCGAGGCCTTCATGCAGGTCATTCCGCCGAGCGAGTGGCGCCGGCGCCAGGCCGAGGGCCTGCCGCTCGGCGAGGTGCCGCTGCGCACCATCAAGGTCGTGCTGTCGGCCTACGCAAAGACGTTCGGCGAGGACGTGCTGGGCATGCTCGAGTCGCTGCCGAATCCGGCCGAGAGCCACGTGTACGCATACCTGCTGCGCCTGCTGAACAAGGAGGCGCGCGGCGTGGCGCCCATCACGCCGGGCGTCGAGGAGGTGCTGGCGGCCGCCGTCGCCGAGGAGGAAGACGACGTGCGGACCACGCGCAACACCGAGCCGACACGCTCGGCGCTCGGTGTCACGTCGCCGCCGATGTCGCCTGCGCGCCGTGCCGTGCCGAGCAGCGCCCGCGCCTCGATGGCCGCCACTCCCGAGGACGAGGCAGATGCCGCCGCGAACGCCGAGCTGCGTGGTGAGCGCCAGCGCCGCACGATGCAGTCTGCCTGCGCTGACACGTCCCGCTTAGACATCTTTGAGCGCATCTCGCGCAAGGACGAGAGCCGCGCGGCGATCCGTGCGCTGTACGAGTTCCAGAAGCGCCACCCGGAGAAGGCCGACAAGGTCGACCGCTCGCTGCAGAACACCGGCCCCATCTTCCAGCGCTACATCAAGCGCGCCCTCGACAACCACCGCGCCGAGGACGGCGATGCGGCGCCTCTGTCGCCGCCGCAGCCGGCGCCCGCATCACCGGCGCTCTCGACGAGCAGCCGGGCGCGCGCCTCGGTGCTCATCGACGCGGCGCCCTCGTCGCCGGCGGGCAACGGCCATGCACGCTCCTCGACGAGCGACGAGCGTCTTGCGCAGCTGCGCGCCAAGTTTGGCAAGACGAGCTCGTCTGCCGACTCAGCATACACGCCGACGGAGAGCGCCGCGGCGGCTGCGCCGCCGTCGTCGAGCGAGGCACTGCGCCAGCAGCTGGCTGCGCTGCGTAGCGGGGCCGCCGCCTAGACTGTCGTGCCGAGCTTGCTCCTTCTTTCTCTTTTCCCAGATCCGTCCCTGTGCCCCTACTCACTCGCGGCTCCATTTCCTGGAGCTCGCGCCGCGCCGTCGAGCATCTCCCAGCCCCGCTATTTGTATGCCTAGCTCCTCTCGCAAGCACCTGCTCATGCCGTGTCATCTCCGTGTCTCGCTCGGTATGCGTGCGATGCATTATCATGACTCGTCCGCAAAGACGCCCTTCCACTCTTGCCATGGCCCTGCGGCACCCTGCTCGCGCAGCAAGATGCGCTCCCGCTCCTCGCCAAAGTAGCCGCTCGCCGCCCACTCCTTGAGGTCTGCGGCCGGATACGGCCCAAAGACTTCGGCGTCGGGTGCTGGAGCTGCACTGGTGGCGGCGAGATAGGCCGGAGCCCAGCGATAGACGAAGCTCCGCTCGTCGAGCGGCGCACTGGCAGCCTCGCTTGCGGCTTCCGCGGCTGCAGCGGCGGCGCGGCGAGCACGTGCGGGATCCCAGTCGGCGCCTTCGAGCTGCGAGCGGCGCACGGAGCGCAGCAGCGCCTCGTACGTCTCGTCGTAGATGTCTAGCAGGCTGAAGCGCGACATGAGCGACGAGGCGAGACTGGTCACCTTGGCCAGCGCATCGCCTGCGGCCTCGGCGGCGGCGGCGTCGGCAGAGCTCTCTGTTGATGCGGCGCCGTTCTTGCTCGAAGAGGCAGCGTCCATCGGCGTGTCCTCGGCGCCCGCGCTCGCCTCATTGCGCGCCCGTCTCGCGCCTGCCTTTGGCTTCTGCTTCTTCTTTGCCTGCGCACCAAAGCGTTGCAGCGCCTCCAGCACCGTCTCGCCCGGCTCCATCAGCAGACAGAGTTCCCGCTTGCTCTCCTCCTCTCCCAGCGCCTCTTCCTCGGCCCGCTTCCGCCTCTCGTTGTCCTCCTTCTCTCGCCGCGCCTTTGCTTCCCGCGCCGCGCGGATGCCCTTGCGCGAGTAGTGGCCCTGCAGCCAGACGTCGTGTTCCGCGTGCGGGTCGGCGGCGTTGGCCGTGTAGTTGCCCTGGTCGTCGAAGCGCCCCTGCTGCATCTCGGCCTTCATGTTGAAGCCGTCGAGCGTGAAGCCCATGCCTGCCTTGCTGCGCTCGCGCTTCTCGCGCCGCTGCACTGTGCCGCCCGGACTGGTGGGAGGCGTGCGTTCGGCAGCAGCAGCCTCGTCATCATCGCTGTCGGCCTCTTCGTCCTCGAGCTCCAGCTCCGGATCCGCATCCTCCTCGTCGGACACGCGATCGCCCGTGCCGAACTCCTGCCCTTCAATGTCGCCCAGACTGAGGAACTTCTTGCCTGCGCCACGCTGTGCGTCGCCCTCCTTGCTCTTCTTGCCCGCGCCCGGCTCCGCAAACATGTCGTCGTCCTCCTCGTCGCTCTCGCCGCGCTGCCGCTCGATGGCCGTGGCGCGTGCGCCCTTGCGGCCGACGCCCTCGTCGTCGTCGTCCTCCATCTCTGCCTCGTCGAGCTCCGAGTCGACCGAGTCGCCCGAGGCATAGCCGTCGGTGACGAGGCGGCCCTTGCGCCCCTGCTGGTTGCGCTTGCGGTCCTGCTCGTCGAGGTCGAGATCGCCGTCGTCGTGCCCAAGCGTGTCGACGGCGTCGTCGCCGCCGCTGCCAAACTTGACGCGCTTGGACGAGGCAGCGCTGCCAGAGGCGTGTGCGCCATTGCCGGCGAAGGCGGACTCGGCGCCGGACGCCTTGCGCTTGGCGGACATGGCGCGGTGACGGACGGGAGAGGGAGGCGGTGGAGTGGAGGCAAGAAGCGTGCAGATGCCAGACGCGCGTGTGTGTTGCAGCGCCGCCGGGCGCAGCAGCAGCGCACTGGCACCACCAGCTGCGCGCGCCTTGCTTCTTCTCGCCTCGCCCCTCTCGCACCATCGCTCCCAGCCATGCCGCTCTTCACCGCCACGCCGCGCATGGCCGCACGCACGCCGGCGAACCCGCACTACCTCATCTTCTTCAGCAGCGGCGCGCCGCCGTGGTGTCCCGACTGCGTCGCCGCGCTGCCCGCCATCCACGCCGTGTTCGGCAAGGACAGCGGCGCCGCCGGCGCCGAGGCCGAGCTGCTGACGGTGGGCAGGGAGGAGTGGAAGGTGAGTGAAAGGCCAATCGGTGTAGCTTCCAGCAGAGCACAGTATGCCGAACAGACGGCGCAGCGTGCAGAATGGCAGCTGCGCCTAGACCTTTGAGAACCCAGCTGTATGCCGCCCTCGTCACCGCCGCAGCGCTCTGACATACTGCCCCTCAGAACAAGCAGAATCCGCACGCTTGGCGCAGCGAGTACAACGTGCAGGGCGTACCGACGATCATCAAGTGGCAGGACGTGAGTCCGCTCCCAGGCCCGTGCTGCATGCGCGCCCATGCTGAGACGTCAGCCTTCGCTCCGCAGGGCAAGGAGGTCGGGCGCCTGGACGAGGATGGCTGCAAGGATGAGAAGAGACTGAGGGAATTCACTGCATGAGTGAGAGCGTGCAGCGCCTCGACAGCCTGCGGCAGCACTGGCTCGGACGCGAGATGAGCGTACGCTCTGCGCTCCGTCTTCTCGGGTTCGTGCAGCACAGGTGCTAACGGCGCAAGAGGAAGAATGCTGCCTCCCGCACTGCGTGTCGCCGAGCATGCCGTTACAGCTCAGGCGGACACAGGCACTGCTCGAGCTTTGCGTCTTGCGCCTCGAGTGCGGCAAGAGACACGCTCTGCTGCAAAGCACGCCGTGTGGAGGACGCGGCGGCGCGGCAGCCGGACGTCGTCTCGTGCAGCCCGAGCTGCGCCTCGCCTGCATCTGCTCACGGCTCAACCTGATGGCAGCACTGCGTGCCCTTTGAGCTCGTGCAGTCTGTCTGAAGGCAGCGTCTGCGAGTGAAGCCGGCGTGAGCACGTCGAGGTCCAGACTGCGGCTGGCCATGCTTCGCAGGACGAGGGCAGCCTTTCGCACGAGAGCTCCATGTGCGCGGCGCGGCGCTCGTGTGGCGCATGCGCCGCTTCCGGCGGTCGGAGAGCGCGGGAGCGGGACGCGCGCGCGCACCGCAGACGGCCGAGGCCTCGTGTGGGCGGCGCAGAGCAGCGCAGACCGAGCACAGGCAGGAGAGAAGCTGTGCTGGGCATGCAGTGCTGGTCGTGTGATAGCATGCGGCAGGCGGGATGCGGCGAGGTGCTCCTGTGGCTGCCAGCGATGCGAGGTGCCTCTGTGTTCCGTCGCGCCAGCCAGCACCCTGCCGGCTGCCGGTTGCGTGCCTGGCGAGCGCGAGACGCGCAGGAGGCCGGCCCGAGCTTGCGCTTGAGGACCCCGCCAGTCGCGACGGCGCGAGCGCGCCTTGCTTCCCGTCCTCTGCCTCCGCCCGTCCCGCCGTGCACCTCTCCTGCCGACCAGCAGCAGCTCGCACGCCTCCAGTGCTTCCGGCTGCTGAAGTGTGCCTGGCAGCAGCAGCAGCGCAGCGCCCGATGCAAGCGCGCCGTCTCGCTGCCCTCCGCCGCTCCGCGTCCGTGCTGCCGTCCACGAGCAGCCGCAGCAACACACTTGCCCATCTGCGTCTTGCGCCTCGCACCTTCTCACCACCACCTCGCTTCACCGCACCTTTCGTCCGCGCCTTCGCCTCGCAGCACACGCCGCCGCCGCGCCGCCCCACCTCTGTCCGGCCGCTGCCGTCCTCGCCGCTGTCCTCAGCGCCGCCCACCGACGCCCAGGCGCAGTCACAGACCGCTCCCGCCGCGCCGCCGCCGCGGCAACTCGGGCCTCCGCGTCTCGTGCGCCACCCCACCGACTCTGGCTCGCCCGACGCGCCCTTCCTGCGCGCGCCTGCTCGCCTGCCTCCTCCGCCGGGCGCTCCCGCTCCTCGCAGACTCTTCGCGTTCCGCAACTCGGCGGCCGAGGCGGGCATCGAGCGTGCTGCCTTGCAGACTGGCGCACTCCTTCAGCGGCAGATCCTACAGCGTGAACCTGAGCAGCAGTCGTCCGAGATGGGCAAGAAGATCGTCGACAGCAGCACGGCTGCCGAGGCACAGCTGCGCCAGCGCGCCAAGCCGCAGGCGGCGCATGCGCACGCCGCTGGCGCACACGCCCACTCGCACGCACACGGGCACCATGGCCACGACCATGCCGTGACGGCGGAGGAGGCGGACCGCATCTTTGCGGCGCTGCAGGGCAAGGGTGAGTTGTGGCATGCTGAGCTAGCGTGCCCTATACCTTGGCTGACGTGTGCACCCAGGCGACCGCGGCTCCAACATCACCCTCATCGGCCTCGGCTCCAACCTCGTGCTCTGCATCGCCAAGACGATTGCCGGGGTGCTCCTGCACTCGGCCTCTCTGCTCGCCGACGCAGCGCACTCTCTCTCCGACATGTTCTCCGACATCGTCACGCTCTTCTGCTGGAAGATGTCGCGTCGGACACCGTCGGAGACGCACCCGCTCGGGTACGGCAAGTACGAGACGATGGGCGGGCTGGGCGTCTCCGTCGTGCTCGTCGCGGGCGCACTGGGCATCGGCGCACACTCGTACGGCCTGCTGCTGCACGCCCTCGAGCCGACACTGCTCAACGCGCCCGCGTTCCTGCAGACGCTGGGCGCGTGGACCGGCGCGATGGCGTCGGGCGCGAGCCATCTGCATGAGCACAGCCATGATGACGCAGCGGGCCTGCTCGATCCCAACGCCATGTGGTTCGCAGCTGCCAGCGTCGCGGTCAAGGAGTGGCTCTACCGCGCCACGCTCAAGGTCGCAAAGGAGGAGAACAGCAGTGTGCTCGAGGTGCGTCATATGAGAGGCATGTTGCGCAGCAGACTCGCTGACCATCGTGCGGCAGGCAAATGCGCTGCATCACCGCAGCGACTCGCTCTCCTCGGGCGTCACGTTCCTCGCCATTCTCGGCTCCTGGCTCGGCTTCCCGGTGCTGGACCCGTTGGGCGGTCTGCTCGTCGCCGGCCTCATCGGCAAGCAAGGCTTCGAGCTCCTCCTTTCCGCGCTCGGCGATCTCACGGACCGCGGCGTCGAGCCCGAGGTGCGCGAGGAGCTGGCGCGCGTGCTGCAGGAGACGCTGGACGGGCTGGAGGCGGCCGCACCGCAGGGCGTGACGTTCAAAGAGCTCACAGGCGTCAAGCATGGAGTCGCTATGATTGTCGACGTCACGCTGTGCATGCCTGCGGGCACGACGCTGCAGCAGGCACATGAGGTGGAGCTCAAGGTGGTCAGGGCGCTCGAGGAGAGCAACAAGGGAGTGAGTAGCGCGGAGTGCGCGATGAACCTCGCCGGAGCAGCATGCTGACGTCTTTGCCCCCGGCTGTAGATCAAAGAGGTGCGCGTGAGACTCGACGTGCTGCAGCAATGAGGAGCGAGGTGGCACGGCGTGCATGTGGCCGACAATCAGGCCGGCCCACGCTTGCTCGGGATCCGGCGACTTGCGCAATCTAAAGACATCGTCTCCTTCCCGCCTGAATCGCTCGCCAGCCTGCTCGCTGCCAGGCCGGCTACTGCTCTCTCTCTCTCGTGCTCTCCCGCGTAGACGACGTCTCTCTCTCTCTCTCTCTCTCTCTCTCTCTCTCTCTCTCTCTCTCTCTCTCTCTCTCTCTCTCTCTCTGCTCGTCTGCGTTGACTTTTCGCAGTGGTGCATTGTCTCATGCCGCACTGCTGAGCTGCTTCTGCAGCGCCGCAATCTGCTCCTCCTTGCCCTTGTACTGCGCCACCAAGCTCTCCAGCACCTGTCTGAGCTGCGAGTGCGAGCGAGCGTAGCGGGCGCGCTTCAGCCACGGTCTCACTACACGCGCTCCAGCGCAGCACACTCACGCTGGTCAAGTTCGCCTCGAGCGCCGGCACCACATCGGCCACGCTGCGCTCCACCAGCACGCCGCCGATGAGGCGGAAGCATTTCCGTGTCGGGTCCACCTTCTGCGCAGCCTTCAGCGTGTCCACCACGGCGCTGTGCGGATGCAGTGGTCAGCTCGTGCGGTCTCTTTGTGCTGTGCTGCCAGACAGCATGCTCGTATGCGGCTGCTAGACACGGCTCTGCATGCTGCAGTCCAGTAGCGGCCTTAGCCGGCCTGACGTCAAGCCGGCAGCTGGTGCCTCTGGCGCGCAAGAGCCAGCTGCGACGAGCATGCACAGTCCTCGCCTAGCTCTCGCCAACAGCCACGAGCGCCGCCCACCGTTCCTTGCCGGACAACAGAGCGCGGACACTCTACTGAGCGAGCTAACAGCAGCCTCGCCACTGTTGCTGAATCCTGGAGCCGTCCACACGACGATGCGCACACTCACCGGTGCTCCTCGCCCTCGCTCTCAATTTCGCCAATCTTCTGCGCAATGCCCGTCATTTCGCTGCGCAGCGCCTGAAAGCGCTGTGTCGCCTCTGCGCAAGTAAAAGAAGCGATGGTCAGCTCGGAGCGCGACGTGCGCTGCGCAATGGCGCTCGGCACGCACGTTGCTCGGAGAGCTGCGGGGCTGCGGCGGTGGAGGAAGCTGCGGTGGACATGGCGGGCGGCTGGGACGGCTCCGGCCAGATGAAGCGTGGCGCTCTGAGGTGGAAGTTGGCTGAGCGGAGAGACTGAACTGATAGAGAGCGGCGTGTGCTGCGAGCGTGGAGAGCGAGGTGAGAGCGTGGTGGAGAGGAAGGAAGGCGGCGCGCGCTGTGAGGCCAGGCATCATGCTGCGAGCCTCGCATCGCCGCGCCGCGCCAGTGCCCGCTCCCATTGCACCGCATCATGCACGCGCTAACGTCCATCGTGGAGCGTGCAGTCGCAAGCTTGTGAGCTCCACAGCATCATATGAACCTGTCTGCTAGCAATGCACTGCTCTGAGGCATATGGGACAAGATACTGAGGTCCAGCGTCAAGCTGAGCTCGCGACGCAAAGCCAATGGCTCAGCAAGAGAAGGCACATCGTGCCAGCCGCTCGCGTCACTCAAACTCCGAAGCCCGTCAGCTAGCAGTCGAGCGCGCACGTCTCAGTGTGCACGTTTGCAAAAGGAGAGCCCAGAGGCAGGATGTGCAGGCAGAGTGAGCCAACTGGAGGTGAGAGGTGACCATTTACGTGCCAATCGCCGTGAGACATGCGTACAGAGGGCACAGGCAGCAGCGATATGAGAACTGGGATGGGAGCTACCGGAATGTTGACAAACGGACGGACGGGACAGAGAGAGGAGGACGCAGACTTGTGGACAGACGGACGAACGGATGAAGCTCTGAGGAGTGGCAGCGGCAGCGGCAGCAGCGACGAGCGCGCTTAGCTCTGGCGCTGAGAGAGGCAGTGCAAGTCAGCGCTGGTCAAGCTCGCGCCTCACACAGAAGCAGGCTCACCGAGCTCGACGACGCGGCACGCTGAGCCCATGCACTCTGCGTGCAGGGCTTTGCGGTCTCCGAATGCAGGAGAAAGCGCAGGAGGTCGGTGCCAAGCTCTGGCTGCTTCTCGTAACGCAGAGCCGTGCTGATGCTGTCCTGAGGAAGCGGAGCGCCTGCAGCAAGCGCAGTGAAGACCTCGGGATGCGTGTTGTCGAGGTGCGTGCCAGCCGCGCCGTTGAAGCTGGCGTGGAGCGGGCAGAAGGGGCAGCTGCTGTGCTCGGCCATCCACTTGAGGCAGGCCTTGCGGACGTTCTGCACGCTCAGATCCCACTTGTAGTCCTCGAGCATCTTCTCCTGCGCTGCCACAATGCGAGCCAGCTGGCGTTGCTCCTGCACCTCGTTGATGCAGAAGACTGCGACGTGCGGCCACGTCATGATGCGGTTGTCCAGGCTGCACTGCATGTCAAAGGAGGTCAGCAGACAATGTCACGACGGAGAACGCATGCACTGCCGCTGCTTGCTTCCATTCCGCACACTACGACTTGCCCGCAAGTTGATCCTTGCTCTACACGCCCAGGCCGCCCCCCTGCATCTCTTCTGGCAAGCACTCACCACGTAGGCCATGTTGTGCTCCGTAATGAGCTCGTCGCGGCAGCGCTTGACTTGGCTGCGCACGCCACGCTCCTCGTCCTCAATGACCAGCTCGCTCAAGAAGCAGTACTTCATCGTGTCGTCGCCACATGCCACCTGGCAGACGCTGTCGGTGAAGCCGATGATGGCCTTGGCGATGGAGCTGAGCACTCTGGCATCGAAAGTTGCGTCGTACTCCTCCTGGCTCTTGTGCAGCGGCAGCAGATACTTGAGGTAGCCGCAGAGAGACGACACGAGGCGCTCGATGTCGAACGCGGAGCTGGCGTGACCGCCATCGACGTGCAGAGCAAAGCCGAAGCCATCGTCGGGCCAGGTACCACCGACCCTCTGCTTGTGCAGCGGCATGTACTCGTGCATGTAGCGCAGCATGAGCCACGCCCATACCGGGCCGCTGAGGTTCTGCGTCGGCATCACTGACGAGTCGTCCGACTCGTCCCACTCATCTCCCATCTCATCCTCATCTCCCATCTCTTCGTCCTCAGCTCCGTACTCTGCCGCAGCACGCCAGCGCTCCTCTGCCTGACGGAGGAGTTCGTCAAGCGACGGACCCATGGGCGCGTCCTTGTTGTCGCCGGCGCCGCTGGTGGACATGCTGGCGCGAGTGAGGGCGAGTGCTGGGCAATGAGACGGCAGGGGCGCAGCGCAGCGGCGCAAAGGCGGCTGCTTGTTGGAGCAGAAGAGAGGTGCGGGTGGCGGATGCAAGATGGATAGGAGAGGATGATGCAAAGGGGCTGAGCGAGGTGGTGGTGCGGAGCGAAGCCGTTGGCTCTGCTGCGAGCGCAGCTGAAGCGAGTGCGCAGCGGGCGCCGTGCCGTGCGCCGCGGCGCGCACGTCCTCCACGTGCCAACGTCTGCCGGCAAGTGTGCATCTGCCGGCTCGTGGGCGTCGCAGCATCAATGCTGCCAAGCCAAGGGTCGCATGATGCCCCTTCTTGCGTCATCTTATTCAGTCTGAGCCAGAACACGCTTCGAATGCGAAACAGCGACGTTGTCTGGCCGCGGCGCGCGCACGCGAGCTGCCGGACGCCCGTGTCGCTCAAGCCGCTGTCCTCGTGCTTCGTCGTGCCATCTGCGCGAACCCTCACAAAACGTGAGAGTCTCTGCACACGCATGAGAGAAGAGTGGGCTGTGAGGAGTGTGCATTCGTTGTGCCGCGCGTGTCTGTGCGAGAGAGCACAGACGGGCAGCAGGCAGAGGCGATGCCACAAGTGGAACGGGAGCTACAGGCTGAGGTGGACGGGTCGAGTCGCGACTAGTGTGCAAAAGTGATGCCGGAATGGGGACAGGGGTGAGGTGAAGTAGAAGGTGGCTCGCGGGCGAGACGTGCGAACGTGACGTGCGAGCCATCACGCCGGCGGGCGGCTGATGATGAGCTGAACGGAACGGAACGGTGTGAGGCGTATGGACGTGTTGCGAGAGTGTGGAGGTGTGCTGGCCGGGCTCGTACGGGCGGAGGTGACGTTGTGCAGCTACGAATGCGTGGACGTGCGTGCTCTTGAGGGACTCTTGGGTGCGGACATCTGCGGCGGCTGAAGTTTGCGTCAGTCGGCGCTCGACGCACGAAAAACTTGGTCAGACTTACCAGTGCCGCCCGTCGTCCGGCGAGGGAGCTAGGCTTCGTGCATCTACATTCACCTGCGCTGTAGGTCCGACAGGTCAGAACGAGTGATGAGGACACCGAGCAGAACAGCAGCAGCTCTCACCATGATCCTGGCGCGCACATCCACCGGCAGTTCCATGAACGACAGCTCGGCGCCGGCGGGCACGTTGCGCTCCAGCTCGGCGATGCGGCGCACATCTTCGTCGTCCTGCGCAGCCTGCATGCAGTGCCACTCGGCACTGAGTCGCTTCTTCTCGATCGTCTGCTGGAGCCAGAGCGGACGCAGCGCGGCGATGCGTGAGGCGCGCTCGGCCTCCTTGGCCTCTTGCAGCTGTTGCTGGAGAGACTTGGCGTAAGCATTTGTCCTGACGAGGGAGACAGATAGCGGTTCACCACCTCAATGCCCCTTCTGGGGCACGTGCGATCGGCACAGTCTCCCTTGCCCTGCATCATCTTGTCCACGCCTGTACTCACAGCCGTTGACAGCTTGTACTGCTCGATGAGCCAGCGCTGGGCACTCCTCACTTGGTGGCGTACTCCGTTGTGGGACTCGATGATGCAGGCGCGCGCGATGACCGCGTTCTCGTGATCGCGAGCATACGTCTGGTAAATGCGCTGCTTGGTGATCTCGATGAGTACCGTCGCGTAGTACTCGAGCGTCTCGGCTGTGAAGCTGTCGTCGAAGTCGTTGCTGGTTCGGGCTGCTTCCAGCAAGAAGAGGAGGAAGACGCCTAGGTCGTCGCTTACGTTCAATGCGACTTGGCTAAGAGGAATCTCGCCGCTGTCGACGTAGCACAACTCGAAGAATCCAGCATTGGGTCCAGGCACGTAGGGTCGGCCGGTCCGGCGGCTAATCCATGGAATGAAGACCGTCTGGTAGCGCTTGAGAAGCTCTCTGCGATCCTCCTGCGTCGGTTTCTTGTATTGGACGTCGACCGACTCGACGATGAAGTTCTTCTTCCAGCGCTTGAATGCACTGTGGAGCGGTCCAAGATCGTCTGGACTCTTGATCTTGGGAGGAAGGCGGAGAGAGGGCTGCGGCTTGTCGCCGCCACCGCGCACGGCGCTGCCATGCGTGGCGTCGGACATGCTGGCGCGAGAGTGAGGCAGAGCGGGCGACGGAGCGAAGCGGCGGCGAGGCGGCGGCGAGGCGGCGGCGAGGCGGCGGCGAGGCGGCGGCGCTGAGCCGAGTGAGTCAGCAGTCGGAGCGAGTGACGGGCCGGCAGAGTGCTCACCAAGGCTGCCGAGGAGGAGAAGGAGAGAGAGAGAGAGAGAGAGAGAGAGAGAGAAGAAAGTGGAGAGAATTACGGTGCGGGTGCCGGTGCTGGTGCGAGCGGCCGTTGTGGTGGTGGGAAAGAGAGGTGCGAGCGAGTGCGTGAGGTGCTTATGAGGCAAAGCCGAGCGGAGGGCGCAGCAGCAGCAGCGGTGCACGGCGCACGCACGTCCGGCGCGGCGAGTGGGACTCGACGGCGTGCCTGACAAGCCCGGCAGGCCCTGGGTAGCGTTCAGCCCCGCCGCTGGGCAAGCGAAGCGCTGAGCACCCTGCAGTCTCGCACTCGCATGCAACGCTCTCAGGCAGACTTGCAGAGAAACGCCCGCACCGCCGTGGACTGGAGCTGGCAGCATGCAGCAGCGTCAAGGCCTCGTGTGTGTCCTGTCTGGCCAAAGGACGCAGCTCCCTGCAGGCTGCTGTCCCAGCGCAACGAGCGACCGCACCTCTGGTGCTGTCGAGCACACAGCAGCAGACATGAAGCTGCGCTCTACACCCTGCTACGCCAATAAGAGGTCTCGACAGCGCGAGCATGTTGAGCCTTGTCGCGCTCAACACATCCAGCATCCGGCAGCAAAGGTTGCCTTTCATTTGAGTCGTGGCGCGGCGGATGACCCCTGTGCTCTCCGACCTTGTCCGGCGGCGTACGGCTCGCCGTCACGCTGTAGAGGCAGGCCATCCGTCTGAACCTCCGAGTCGGCCCGGCGTGGGCCCGGCCTGCTGCGCTCGGCCGACGTCGATTGCGCACCCCTGAGCCGGAGCTGCTGCGGCACATGTCGGCGCTCGGCTTCTGCAGCCTTCTCTCGGGTCGCGCTTGAGAGGGAGCAGAGGAGTCGAGTGCTCGTCCACAAAAGCGCACGGCGAGCTCAGCGCGGCGCTTTCCGTTCCGCCACCACCTTCAGCTCTGTCCGTCTCTTCATTCTCCTTCAGCTCTTCGGCCTTTTTTTGTCTCACCTTTCCTTCGTCCTCTGGCTCTCATCTACACGAGTGAGAGCGCTTTGTCTGCGCCTGGGGAGGGCCCTCGTCGTCGTCGGCGTCGCCCTGCCTTGGTGCATTGGAAACGTGTCTCACTCGTGAGCACGGCGCCTGCCACTCAAGACGATCGAAGCACTGACACTGCTGCCAGGTCTCTGTCTCAGTCCGAGCTCATGTGCGTCTTGCGCCGTCGAGCACTGGCGTTAGCAAGACTCTCTCCGCTTCGACTCATCTCATCAACGCCGAGCCCAACAATTCGGCACTGCGCGCGACGCACGCAGCCGGCGCAACGCGGCCTCGAGGTCGGTCCGGCTGTAATGGCGACGCAAGAGGCCGGCTCTTGCATCACCATCACGGCAGAGGCCGCCGCAGCGTCAGTAGCAGGACCGTCGCTCGCGCCAACAAGCCTCACGCTGGCATGCAAGTGCACGACGTCGTCGTCGTCCAGCCACTCGCTCGTCAACATCTGCTCCGCTCACAAAGCGTCCGAGCCTCGACAGCGCCTCGATCTCGAGGCGCTTCTTCTTCGGCCCATCAAACACCACGATCGCTCATCTGCTTCGCCACATCCTTGCGCATGGCGCAGGAAGAGAGCTAATCACAGGCGATGAGGACGGCTCTCTTCATGTGACGTGCTCGGCCAGGGTTGATGCAAGCGCTCTTGCGCCGACGTTGGCTGAGCATGTCGCAGAACGAGCAGCCCGTCTTTCTCGCAGGCGCTAGCCCTCCTTCTCCATCGTCACTCGTCGCTCGCCACGGCCTGCGCACCGTCGGCACCCATCAAGGTCGTTCACCGGGCGCGTGCGAGTCGGTGTGTAGAAGGCTTCGACAGCAACGGGCACTGTGACTGCATCAGTGCGCCTATGAGGTCTTCACATGGAGACTTCACAGGGGCCCTGATGAGTCTTGTGCGCACTGCTGCCTGGGCCTCGCGTCACGCCGGCCCGCAGTCCTTCCTCTCCTCGTCACCTCCCACCCTTCTCAACACGTTCGTCCTCCTCTTATCGTTTCTTCTTGTCTCTGCCCTTCTCTGCTCTGCTCTTCGCGTCTTCTCTTCATCATCACGTTCCCACATCACTTCACCTCCTTCCCTGTCCTTCGCCTATCCCACTCGCATCCGCTGCCGAGTGCCTCATCAGCCTCACTCCCCTGTTGTGGCTGTTCTTATCGGCGAGCAGTGGAGAGAGCACCGCGCGTGCACACGAGTGCGCGTGGCCATGCTCTCTCCGCTTCCTCGCCAGCCTCTGCAGGCACAACAATGGGTTGAATGCCAGCTGCAGTCGAGTCGTTCCTCCATCCTTGCGCTCTGTGTGATCGTGTGTCACCAACCTCTGGCCGGGGTCTGCAGAGCACCTTGAGACTCGAACACATGACGCTGGGCGTGAGGGATATCATAGACGTACACGTAGGCAGTACAAGCAGGTACAGAAGGAGACAGGAGTGCCGAGCAAGACAGACAGCAAAGAGATGGCATGGGACGATCATGCGTCAAAGGTGGCGCGGGCCTCGAGCACGGCCTTGGCGAGGGCGTCGTTGGCCGTCGAGGCACCGAGGCAGTCGGCGATCTGGGCCGTGACGGCGGCAGCACTGCGAGCTAGCGTCAGCAATGGCCTCGGCAGAAGCAAGCCTCGCTGCTACTCACTCGACGTTGCCATAGACGAGCTGCACGCTGACCTTCTCGGCATCAAGCACGGCGCCGCGCTCGAGCAGGCTCGGCGGCGCACACTCGACACTGACGACGAGCTTGGCGCGCCGACGCACGAGCAGCACGTCGGCCTGCAGCAGCATGCTGGACTTGCCGGAGGCCACGGCGGTCAGCGTGCTCGGGAAGAGCGTGTTGAGATGCTCGTGCGCGGCGAGCACGTAGCGCGTGCGCGTCCACGAGCGGGCAATGTCGCGCATCATCTGCGGGCCAGGGGTGAGATTAGATCTTTAGCAAGCAGACGCGAGACGTACCGTGACCATGTCTGCGCCCGCATTGCGCTCCCTGGCCTCAGTGAGCACCTGCAGTGCCCACACGGCGACCGGGCTCTTCTGGGCGCTTGGCGCAAGCGCCAGGTCGTAAGACGGCACGTGGCCCTCCTCGTCGATGCGCAGCGTCACCTCGAGTGCACCGTCGTGCACCAGCTCCAGCACGCCGTCGGCCGAGTCGTCGCGGAGACGCCAGAGATGCAGTGCCTCCAGGTTGCGCACCTCGCCTGGACGCGCAACAGGTCAGCAGACGCCCTACACACACGCGCAAAGGCGGCGACCACTCACGGAGCAGGCGGGCAGCCTCGCCCTTGGTGTAGCCCTTGATCTGCTCATACACGGCGCGCGCCTCGGCAATGGCGCTCTCAATGTTGGCGCGCTTGCCGTTGGCCTCCTCGAGGCGTGCATCGACGCGCGAGACTTGCTCCTCGAGCTCGCCGTTGCGTGCACGGATGCCCTCGAGATGTTGCCTGCGCGTGTTGCATCAGCGTGAATGTCCGGCAGCGGCAAAGCCGACGCAGCAGCGTCACTCACCCCTGCTCCTCGATGCTCTCGTACAGCCCCTCCATCTCAGCCGGGTCCGCCTCGGCAATCAGCTCGCGTCTTCGCTTCTCGCGGCTCAGCTCGCGCGCCAGCTCCTCGCGGCGCGCCCGCAGCGCCGGCAAGATGCGCTCGCGCATCGCCGCGCCCTCGGTCTGCACGACTTGCGCATCCGCCTGCAGCCGATCACGGTTCGTCTCGAGCAGCGCCACGAGCTCCGGCCCAAACTGATTGTCGAGCCGCCAGCCGTAGTACTTCTCGAGTGCGTGTGCACGTGCTGCCGACTTCTGCAGCTTGCACTGTGCCTGTGTGGCAAGGTGGTGCGTCAGCAGAACGTCGACGGCGCAGGGGGCGCGCAACGCACCTCGGACTCCTTGCGCGCATCCGGCTCGCAGGTGAGCACGTCGTGGACAAAGGGCGGCGGCTGCTCCAGAAAGGCCGTCTCCGTCTCTGTGAGCTCGGCGCGGCCCTTCTGGATGTGCTGCTGCAGCTCACGACAGGCCGTGACGAGGCCATCCAGCATCGGCACACTGCCAGCTGCGGCCTTCGCCATGCGCATCGTCTGCACACCTGCGCGCTCTTCGGGCGCCGAGGCAGGACGCTCCACCTGCCGGCGGCTCGCAGAAGTGATGCCCTCGTGGAACGTCACGCCGAGGAGCGCAAAGAACTCGGACACAGAGACGGCACGCAGCGACTCGGCCTCACTGCTGCCCATCCGGGCGCTGTGGAACGACGACGTCGACGTGTCGCTCGGCTCGGGCGCATAGGTGGCCGCCATGAAGCTGCTTCGCGGCCGCGATGGGCCAGACGCGGCGGCCGGCACGTAGGCCTTGCGGCCGGGCGCACTCAGCGCTCGTGCTTCTTGCGCGACGGCAGGTGCAAGAGGGCTAGCCGGCGCCTCGGGCTTGACCGTCTCGAGCTGCAGCGCAGGCGCTGCGGGCACCGAGACACGCGCCACCGGCACACGGCGTGCTGGCGACTGCGTGCCTGCGCCAGGCGACGGTGCGCCGCGCAGCGACTGCCGGAACTTCGTCGGCGAGTTGGCACGCGCCGGGCTCGGCTGAGCAAACATCGACTTTGCGGGTGAGGCACGCTGCGAGACAGTGCCTGTCTTGGCGGGCGACTGTGGCCGAGAGCCGGCGCCGGAGAGCGCTTGGCGCTTCGAAGGCGTGGTGGCCACGCCTCGAGGAGGAGCGAGGGCGAAACGATGCGGCGACACAGGCGCGTGCGACTTGCGAGGCGAGGCGGTAGTCGGTCGAACAGGACTGTTGATGCGTCCGTGTGCGATCGTCATGTCCATCGCCGAGGCGTCTGCTGCGTTTGGCATCATTGCCGAGTCGTCCCAGTCGTCCGTGTCGAACGTCTCGTCTGCCGCACGCTTCTGGCCCGCAACAGAGCGAATGGCGCCGTACGCCTGCGTCATGTCCATCGCCATCGACTGCTCGCCCTCTGTCTGTGCGACCGAAGCGCGCGAACGCCGCGGCGCGGCTGAGCGCCGTGGAGCGGCCGCTGCCGGTGCGGCCAGGCTGCTGCGCCGCGCCACGTGCTGAATGGCGCCAAGGGCCTGCGTCATGTCCATGGCGCTCTCGTCCATCTCCATCGCCTCCTCCATGGTCTCATCGAGCGTCGCCTGGCCGTTGAGCTGCACAAGTCCGCCCACGGCCGTCGTGAACTCCATCGTCTGCGTGCGATTGTCGTCTGTCGCACGCTGCAGTGCCGCGTCGTTGTCCACCGAGTCGTCGAACGACGAGTCATCCTCGTCGTCTTCGCCCTCGACGTAGCGCTGCGCCGGAATGCCAGAATCGCGGCGCCGCTGCGGCGCTGCACCGGCCTGGGCAGACACGACGCGGCCGAGCGCCTGCGTGAACTCCATGCTCTGCGACTGGTCGCCCGCTGGCTGAGCGCCAGTCAGCTCCGAGATGTCCATGTTGCTGTCCTCGCCGGCTGCGCCCGCCTCTCGGTACGACGAGGCGATGAGCAGATCAATGTCATCCTCGGAATCGCTGTCCGAGTCGGACGTGGCGCGCGAGACCGACGAGGAGGTCGTGTCGGGAAGCAGCGGACCCTCTGCGTTGCCGGCCGGCTGGATGCGCATCGTCGGCTCGTCCCGCTCAAAGTCGCTTGGGGCACACGTCAGCGATGTCAGTCGCAGCCTCTCCGCATTCACTCACGTCCGGGCCACCATGCGTGTGAATGTGACGCGCCGCTTGCGCGCCGCTGCGACTGCCGCATCGCTGCGCCCGCTGCCCTCACTGCCAATGGCGATGGTGTGCGAGCCAGAGTAGGCCAAGGCGGCAGCAGGCTCTCTGGCGCTGCTCTCCAACGCCGCTGCTGCTGCATGCGCCTCTGTCGCTGCAGCGTCGGCGCTCTCCAGAGCCGGCGTCGATGCCGAGCGCACGAGGGCCGGCGGCTTGGCTGCTGCCGGTGGTGCGACGCCGGCGTCGTCCAGCACCTGGTTGATGCTGCTCGACGAGCCAAGCGGCGCAAGCGGCGCAGTGAGGTTGAGGCCGGACGAGACGTACTTGCGCGTCGTAGGAGAAGGCACGACGCCGGACGGACTGGCAAATACCTGTGGAGCGCGCGTGCGGATGGAGGACTTGCGCGGGCCGGGCTGCAGAGGAGGGTGAGCCGGGCCCGGGCTGCGAGCGACATGCAAGCTGCTTACGACGTGGCGGCGCGACGCCGGCAGCAGATCGTCGTCGAGGCGTGGCTCGGCGGCGGCGGCATCGAGCTCCTCGGCCATGGCCTGCAGCTGCTTGCCGCCGACGCTCTGCGGGCGGCGCGCGAGGCGCGGCTTGGACGACGAGGCGGCGGCGCTGCCGGCAGCAGCGGTGCCGCTGGCTGCGGCGGCGGAAAGCGAGCTGCGGCCCTTGCGTGGCGAGCGGCGAGCTGGCTCGGACATGCTGAGGAGTGAAGGTGGTGGTGGCAGCGTCGATGGGCCCCTCCGCTGGCCCAGGTGTTGCGTGATGCTCACACGCGTCGGGCTGCCGCGGCCCGACGCTGGCGGCGCGTCGGACAAACACGCGTCACGTGCCGCCGTGTGGAGCGGCAGGCAAAAGTTCGGCGGCACCCGGGCGGCGCAGCAGCGCACGGGCGCTCGCGCGACACACTGCCGACGTGCCCGTGTGGCACAGCGCTCAACGCCCGAAGATCTTCGCAGCGCCGTGTCGGCGACTTGCCTGCCGCCGTCGCTTCACTCTCAACCACATCACGCACCACACACCGCACACACGCACACCATGAACGTCTACGAGTTTGAGCCCGCCACGCGTGCGTCTGCTCGAGCCGCCGCCGCCGCGTGTGCACGTCGCAGCCTCGTGCGGCATGCACCGCGGCGCCCCGCACGCCTCCACTGACACGCCTCGCAGTGAGCAAGGTCGATGCGCTGAAGAAGGAGTTTGAGCAGGTCGACGGCGACATCCGTGAGTGGCAGCGGCGCGCGGCTTACCCGCACCGTGTTCACGCCGTGCTGCAGAGCGCCACGCGGCCAAGCTGCAGAAGCCGCTCTACGCCAAGCGCGCCGAGACGGTCAAGGACGTGCCGCAGTTCTGGTACAAGGCGGTAAGTGCAGTCGCTGTTGCTGCCGTACATGCGCTGACATCCGTGGCAGATGAGCAACTGCCCGCACCTTGCCGCCTACGTCGACGACAAGGACCAGGACCTGCTGCAGAAGCTCGTCTCGATCAACGTCGAGCAGGACGAGCAGGATCCGCGCAGCGCCACCGTCACGTTCGAGTTCGGCGACAACGAGTACCTCAAGTCGAACACGCTCGTCAAGAAGTTCACCGTCAAGGCCGACGCCGCGCCGCTCGGCAGCGACGAGGGCGAGTGGGTGGAGGACGTGACGCCGCACAAGACGGAGATCGAGTGGACGTCCGACGAGAAGAACCTCGCCAAGCAGCTGCCGCTCAGCAAGCCCGGCGAGGAGGACTTCCAGCCCGGCTCCTTCTTCTCCAGCTTCTTCGACGCCATCGACGAGCAGGTCACGGTGAGTGCTCGGCGTGGTCTGGTGCTGGTGGCACCCTGCTCACACATGTGCACATTCCGCAGAACGCGCTCGGCGACGCCATGGTCAACACGTTCTTCCCGAACGCCATCAGCTTCTACACCGGCGACCTCGTCGGCTTCGAGGAGTGAGTGTCGTGTGAGGGCCTGCACGGGCACAGCTGACGTTCTACGCCAGCTTCGAGGGCATGGACGACTACGACTCGGAGGACGAGGACGACGAGGAGGACGACGAGGAGATCGACCTCGAGGAGGAGGAGAAGCGCCCGACGAAGAAGGCCAAGAGCAAGAAGTAAGCGGCTCCTGCAGTACCGAGCGATTCTGTTCGCTCTCTCTGCGCTTCCGCCTCGCATCTCTCCGCACCTCGCATCCGTATATCTGCCGCTCCTAGTCACTTGTCGCCCGCGCCATTGGCCGCTTAATCTGGCAGGCCCCTCCTTTATCCCATCTCGAGCCTCGCAATCGAACACACACGCTATGAACAGACGTGCAAGAGGGTTGTAGGCGCCCGACGGAGGATCTACAGGTGATGCAGCGCAGAGGAAAGGGAAGTGGTGCAGAGAGGGGATATCACGAATCGACAGGACGAAGGAGCAACGCCGGGAGCACTGCCGCAGGTGTCTTCCCGACCGCGCTATGCCTGGCTCGCGCCGATGCTGCGATGGCTGGCGTTGCTCGGCACGCGCGGCCGCTGTGGCGAGCGCTCCTCGTCGAGGGTCTGCGCCGCTGTCTGCACTGGTGCCGCACCAGTGGCGCCCGAGTTGGAGCTTGCGCTGCGCACCGGGCGCGCAGGCAGTGCCGTCTTGGCGCTCTGCGAGGCGCTCGTCGGCGAGCCGAGCGTGGCCGAGGGTGCCGGCGCCGGCGCAGCGAGCTGCGGCGTGGGCGTGGCGGGCGGCTGCGTCTGGCCTCTTGTGCGCGTGAGCAGCGCCTGGATGGCCGAGAGCCACTTGATCTCCTCCTCCTCCGTCGGTGCGCACACGACAAACGTGCGCTTGGGCGTGAGGATCTTGAAGCAGTGCTCCTTCTTGCGCTTCTGCGACTCGCCGCGCCCCACGCCGGGAACGCTGACGCCGCCCATGCCGAGCCCGATGTTGGACAGGCCGCTCGTGACGCCAGACACTGCGCTCGCAGACGGCGTGGCGGCTGCGGGAGTGCCAGACGTCGATGCGCCGGGCGACAGCAGCGGAGCAGAGGCGCCCCGCTCAGCTCCGGGCGCTGCTGTGGGTGTCGCCTCGGCCGACTGTCCAGCAGCAGCAGCAGGTGCCGCCGCATCGGAGCCGGCTGACGCATTGGCGCCCTCGGCAGACGGCAGGCTGAACGAAAAGGGCGCGCCGGCGTGCGACGGGCTCTGCAGAACGGGACTCTGCGGACCGCCGCCCGGCGCACTGAGTCCGCCGACGGGCTGGCCAGTCTTCTTCGACGTGTACTCGAGCGCATCGAGGATGGACGAGAGCGGAATGGCGCGGTTCGCCTTTGCGTCCTGTGAGCGGCGAGAGAGTCAGCGTTCTGCTGCATGTGGCCTCTTCTGTGCGGCACTCACCATGTGGCTGCGCGTGTACATCAGCGTCGAGCCGGTGAGGACGAACCAGCGCTTGCGCCACGTCTTGCGCCGCGAGCTCTGCTTCATGAGGTAGCCCTGGTGGATGACTTTGTTCGGATCCGTGGCGCGCTGCGGTGTCTGCGGCGCCGAGGGTGCGGTGCGCGAGGCAGACGGCGTTCCTTGGGCGCTTTGAGGCTGAGCAGGAGCGGCGACAGGCTGGCCGGGTAGCGGCATGGCCAGGTCCGCGACTTCGTCCTCATCCCAGTCCTCTTCCTCCTCATCCGACGAGCTCATCGCACCCGCGGCGGCAGCAGCGGCAGCAGCTGCGGCAGCCGTCGCGGATGCGCCGCTGCCTGGTGCGCTGTCCGGCTTGAGGCTCCAGCCAGTCGTGCGGCCCTCGCCGCCCGACGAGCCGACGGACGTGTCGCGCGGCGCATGCGGCGGCCTGTCGCTCGACGAGCCCTGACGCACGGAGCGCCGCCGTGCCGCGCCCTCGCTCTGCGACACCTCGCCGCTGGAGAGATGCGGCGACGGCGAGCGGGCCGCACTCGGGGCCGCTGCCGTTGCCGCAGCGCCATTGCGCAGCGCCGGCGGGCTGCTGCCGAAGCTCTGCCCGGCAGATGACTGACTGGCATAGCTGAGACCAAACTGCTCGGCGCTCGCGCCCGCCGCCGCACGCAGTCCCTGGCCGCCGTGCTCGCCCTCGGACGCACTGGCGGAGAGCGACGTGGCGGTGAGTGGCGAAAAGGCGAGGCCGTCGCGCGAGGCGCCGGCCTGCTGGCTGCTGCCGCCGGGCGACGCCAACGAGCCGGGAATAGCGCGAGGACGGGCTGGCGCATCATAGCGGCCCGCGCCGGGGATAGTGACGGAGATGGTCTGCGGCGTCGGTGTGTTTGCGCCTTCGCCTGGCGTCGGCAGGTCGCCGTCGTCGCGCTCGTGCGAGCTGGTGATGGTGCTGCGCTGGCGCACCTGCTCCTTGACGTCGAGCAGCGCCGCCAGCCAGCTCTCCTTGTCGGCCTTCGAAGAGGCGCGCACGTAGTACTGCCGCGACGACGTGACGATGCCGAACGCATGCTCGACGCGCTTCAGCTCGATGGACGCCACCGTGTGCACGTCGCCCATGTCGATGAAGCGCAGCAGCTGGTACTCCTTTTCGTTCTTGTAGTAGCACAGCTTCGACGAGCGCAGCACGAACCAGCGCTTCTTCCAGTTCTGCGAGCGCGTGTCAGCACAGACAAAGCGTCGCTGCGGCAGCGGCTGTGTGCGAAGCTCACCTTGCGCTTCTCGCCGCGCTTGTACAGGTAGCCGCTCTTGACGGTCGTCTCGTTGCGCAGCTGCTCGCCCGCCGTGCCCTCGTCGTCGAGCGCCGCCTCGTCGCCGTCGTCGCCGTCGTCGCCCGAGCCGAACTCGTCGTCGGCCTCGCTTTCGGGCGCCGAGCCGGCACTCGAGGCGCCGCGGCGGTGCGAGGGCGAGCGGTGCGGCTGTGGCTGCTGCGGTGCGGGCTGCGGCACCTGCTGCACAGGCTGCGGCGGCGCCTGGCTGCTGGGCTGCGACGAGGCGCTGCCGCGGCGGAGTGCCGCGAGCGTGGCGGGCATGGCGCGCGCCGGGCGGTGCGGATGCGCAGTGGACAAGAGGAGCAGAGGTGGCAGAGGCAGTGTGGAAGGGCAGGATGCGCGGGGCCGAGGCGGGGCGAGTGCGGGGCGGGCGCGATGGAGGCCAGGCGCTTGCTGCGCCCGATGTGGAGCGCCGCTGCCGCCAGCCAGAGGAGCAGGCCACGCACGCCACGTGCGCGACGCCGTGCGACCAAGCCATCGCCGCCGCCGCGCGCGTCCAGCTGCCCGGCTCCGCGGCGCCGCTCCCAAGCCCGCATCGCAGCGCACCCGGCTTGCCTCCGCACCTCGCGCACCCACTCACCATGTCCTCGTCGCGCGCTCTCGCCTCGCTCCCTCGCGCATCGCTCGCGCGCTCCGCCGCGCCGCTGCGCAGCGTGCGCCACGCCAGCGGCGGCGGCGCATACAACCAGCCCTCGGGCCGTCTCTTTGCCGAGCAGGTGCGTGCGGCTGGAGGCAGTAGGCGTCGCTAGAATGCCGGGCGCTGACGCTGCACACCCTGCAGCCGCTGGCAAAGGGCCAGCGCCGCGAGAAGGAGGACTGGGAGCGCATGTGGTTCTGGGGCATGTGGGGCGGCATGGGCCTCGCAACTGTGCTGCTGTGGTACAAGCCCGACACGAGGTGAGTCGTGCGCGCCAGACAAGAGCAGAGCGGCAGGAGCAGGGGCAAAGAGGGGCATAATGAGGCGTCTCTGGCTGTATGAGCGCCAGGAGAGGCTCGAGGCTGGAAGCAGCACTCTGTGCATGAAGCGCAGCTCTGCTCGCATCTGTCGTAGTGGTGCCGGGCTCGAGCTACATGCTGCGACTTGCCCGCTCTACACAGCCGTGTGCTAGGTTCACTGCCAGCTCTGGACATTCATAGCGTCTTCCAAGGCGACGGTGCTCCGTCTGGGCCGAGTGCCGAGCTCTCTGCTAAAGAGAGCGGCGCAAGGGGCGCCCTGCTCCCAACGAGGTCGCGCCCGGCTCGGGCGACGTCGGCCTGCTTGTGCGCTGCTGGCCGCGGCCTATGCTGCTGGTTGAAGAGTCCAGAGGAGCGCCGCAGCTCTGTGGGCCTCTCGGGCCCGGTGCATACGCTGCTTTTGCGAGTGGAGTGGACGCCGCGCTTGCCCCAGCGCCGTGCGCGGTTCGCTGCCTGTGGCGGCTAGGCTCCGTGTCGTCCGCTCTCTTCTCTTCATCTCGCGATGGCCAAAGTCTAACGGGTGCCTCTCTCTCGCAGCATCAAGACGTGGGCCATGGCCGAGGCCAAGGAGCGTCTGGAGAAGGAGGGCGGCACCTGGAAGTACGTGCCGTCGGCCAACTCGGGACACCCGAACGGCGCATGAGCGGAGGATGGGAGAGGGCTGGGAATGATGATCTGTAAGAGAGACGGCCTGGCGCATGGTGAGAGACGAGAGGGCCTGGCACAGTGTCCGGTGGAACGAGGAGCAGAGCGCAGACATGGTCCGCACGAGTCGGCGCATCGTCCGGGAGCATCTATGTCATTGCCGGTCTCGACCAGGCTGCGCACGCGCTTCCGCCTCTGCCTCTGCCTCGAGCTTGACAGCAAACGGGCTGGCCGCTCGCAGTCTTGCGCCCACGCGCAGAAGCAGAAACGGCGACAGCGCCAGCACGGCAGCGATGCCCGCCAGCACCGTTGTGGCGATCTGGTAGTCCAGCGCTTGGTACACTGCAGGGCGGCGACGTCAGAAGTTGGAGTCGATTCAGAGGAGCAGTCGAGTGCACTTACTGCGCCGCGCAAAGAGCGGAAAAGCTGCATGCCGAGTGGCTGTCAGTCCTTGTGCAAGGTCCTCGCAGCAAGCTCCTCACCTGTGGCGAAGATGTTGCGTGAGAAGGACTGTGCCGCCAGTGCCGAGCTCGTGTAGCTGCCGTAGATGTCGCCAAAGTACTGAAAGATGGAGACGTAGAAGAGGAAGAGCCCTGCCATGAGTAGCGCCGAGGCGATCTGAGGCACCGCCCACGGCAGGCGCGGCAGCGTCGTCCATGCGTAGAAGAAGAATGCTGGCACAGCAGGGGCGATCAGATGGGAGCTCGTGTAAGTCTCAGGCCCACCCTTGGTGCTCACCTGCAGCGAAGAGCACGCCGCCCACGCATGCCTCTCGCAGGCGTGCCTCGGGCGCATGCGTCTTCTGCATCGGCCAGCGGCGCGTGCTGAAGACGTATGCGAGAAAGCCAAGCACGGCGCCGACTGCCAGGCCCACAAAGGCGAGGCCCGTCGTGCCGTTCTCGTCGCGAAAGCCGTGCTGCGCAAAGACGAGCGGCACGCTCTGCAGGAAGAGGTAGAGGCAGCCCCAGGCGAACGAGATCCAGATGCAGAGCACGGTCGTGATGGGCTCGGTGAAGAGGAAGCGCAGCGGCCGGATCGCCGAGACGCTCAAAGCGCCGCGGAGCTTGGCCATCCGGCTCTGAAGCGACTGCGCGCCGTCTGGCAGGCCACTGCGCTGGAGCAGCTTCTTCGGCAGCGTCTCGCGGTTGAGAAACAGAAGCGCGAAGAGCATCGACGGGGCGCCGAGAAGAAGCTGTTGCAGTGTCAGCATGCTGGCACTCGCCATCGCGACTCGCCATCGCTCGCCACCACGACTCACCATCGTCCAGTGGATCCAGCGCCAGCGGCCATCAATCGTGGCCCAGGCGAAGCCGACGGGGCCCATCGGAGTGCCAGCAAGCGCCGAGAGGGCGAAGAGCGCCATGGGGAGCGTGCGCTCCTCCTTCAGCCAGATGTCGCCGCTTTGCACAGGTGTTAGCTGCAGTGCAGGCAGACGCGAGGCTCTGCCGGCTCACAGGGTCCCGCCGACCATGGTGCTGCCGACGCTTCCGGCGGCGCCGCACAGAAAGCGAGCCTGGAAAGGGTTAGCGCAAGGCCGACTTCAGCAGCAAACAGACGCACCACCAGCACGGTTGCGGCATTCTGAGCCAAGGCGACGGGCAGGAAGAAAACTGGTGTGCGCGGTTCAGCGGCAATCGACGCCTGTTGTGGTGCCGTTGATCCTCACGGAAGAAGATGGCGTACGAGACGAGGTAGACGTATCTGCGGCCCACGGCCTCGCTCAGCGGCGCCAGGATGAGCGGCAGGAGCGCACACGACAGCGTGAAGCTGCGCGAGACGTCAACAGCTGTGCCAGTGCACTTGTCCCGCTACGACGTACGCAGAGATCCCAGCTACCAGCAGCAGCCGTGGCTCAGCGAGATCGCGCACCATGGCATCGATGCCGAGCGACTGGAAAGGGCAGTCAGCGCCGCAAGTCACCGCATTTGGTTCGCCTCCTACGCACATACGCCGACGCAGCGACGGAGATGAGGCTGGAGAAGTAGCAGGCACCCAGCGTCACCGTCCACTTGCGCGCCGCGGACCAGCGCATCGGGTCGTCGACGACGGGCGGCTGGTGCTGCTCCGCAGTCGACGGCGCCGATGATCCCACATCGGGCTCTGGCTGCTTCTCTGCGTCGACAGCCTCTGCACTTCTGGCATGTGACCGTGCCTCATCGCTCAAGGCTGTCTTGATGTCGCCGCCGTTGACGCCTGCGGCTTGCCTCTCCATGTTGAGGAGCCTCCTTCTCGCCGGGCGCGCGGCGTTGTGGTGTGGGGAAGCAGCTCGCTGTGCCGCCTCCACCGCTCCTGATCTTCAAATTCGCGCCCGCGCCGCGCCGCGCGCTCCATCCTGACCATGCCCGCTCGCACGTCGCTGCGGCAGCATCATCGATGCTGCTCAAGTCTCGAGCTGACAGGCTGTTCTCGAGGCACACTGGATCTGTAGGACAGAGCACTGCGTGCGTCGAGACGCACTCGGTAGCTCAAAGCCGCTTTGAGGACGGCGTGGCGCGCGCCATGTGCGCCTTCTTGTCGCCCGCTCTGCGACCGGCCACGACCTCCTCCTGGATGTGAGCGGCCTTTGCCCCCTCGCAATGCACCTGTGCTCAGTGCCGCACGAGAGCGCCGGGCGTCGCGGTCTTCCGTCCGACTGACAGGGTCCGGCGAAGCTGCACGACATCGCGCAAGGCACGGATGCGGCTGACGGCCTGGCTGGCCGCTCTCCTGGATGCCAGATCCTCTGCTTTGCGCCGCCAAACATGGAAGCGAGTACAATCAGGGCCGCGACAGGCAGCTGTCGACCTCCGCTGACCTAAAGCGTGAGAGACGCACGCGCGGACGAGGGCACGAATGTTCTGAGCGTATGACGAATGACGACGGCCATGCTGCTCGGCTGACCGTGGTGTGCAGCGTGCATCTCATTCCGATGCAAGGGTGCGCCGCGGGCCCGCAGCTGCGGTACAGCTGTCTCAGGTGTCTCTTCTCTGCAGAGAGTGAGCAGCTGAGACACGCACGGAGGAGAGATCTGCGAGACGCAGCGCACGGCCCTCGATGTAAGCACATCTCCGCGGTGCCCTCTGACCTCTCTCAGCGCCGGTGCGGACATTTGCGGACCCGATGTCCTCGCTCATGCTGCATCGCCGGTGCGAGGAGGTCGGGCAGCGGCCCATTCGACGCCAGGGTGCTGCACTCGGCGGGCGTTGGCAGGAAAGGCCGTCTGCACCTCTGCAGCGCCGCGCAGCGCAGCGCCAGGAGCGGTGCAGCTCGCTCGCCGCAGTTTGAGTCAGAGTCAGAGTGCCTTTCGCGTCGCGTCGCGCGTCGATGGCGTGGCCACTTCGCCGCCGGCGCTGAGGCTGCATCCCATCGGCGCCGCCCTCGTGGTCGCGAGGCACTGCAGCTGCGGCACAAAGGCTCGGGAGAGTCGGGGCCAGGATCCGGTCGGCCCCATCGCTCAGGCACCATCCATGGCGACGTCTGCGCAGGCACAGCGGTGTGCTGCAGCCACGCCAGGCGCAGGCACGTGGCTCCGACGCCGGCCGGGCGCCGACAAGGAGTGGAAACAGGCGAGGAAGGGACAGCAGAGGATGCCGCCCTGAGGTGAGGGTGGAGTGTCGACGTCGGCTCGTCACAGTCGCACGAACGCCAGCTCCACGGAAGCGCAATCTCGACGTGGGGCAGGCAGGAGCGGGAGCAGACGTCGTGTGGGGCCGCGTTGGGAGCCGAAGAAGCGCGAACTGCTTCCCGTGGGGTCCACGTCGCATGAGCCACGCCAGCACGATGTCTGCCCTCTCTCGCTTCTGCTCAGCATGCAGGCCGCTCAGGAGGCAGCCTCGCTGATGCCTCGGGCATGGCTTTGCCCCAGTGGTGACCATTTGCGAGCCGGCGTGCGGCAGGCCGTGCGAATGTTCATGCGGGCGACGACGCTTCGCTGGCGGCCCGCTGCGTGCCAAAGAGAGTGCGGCGCATCAGACGCAGGGTGCATGAGCAAGATGTGGTCTGTCCAGCGCTCGGGAAGGAAATACTGTGGTTGCTCGGTGCGAGGCAGAGTACACGCGCTCGGCAGGCCGCTTCGCGGCGCGCACAGGCAGTCTGCAGCCCTGCTCAGGCTTCCATGCCGTCCATCGACGCCGCCGCGAGCTTTCTGAAGCTCGATCCTGCGTCCATCAGGAGCTCCTTGCTGAGATCTGTTGATAGAGCGTGGAGCGGCTTCATGTTGCGCTCGAAGCGGCGAGGGCAAGCGAGCGGCTGCGCGCTACGGTGAGCGAGCGGCACAACCACGGCTGCGCAGGGATGCGCGCCGAGCGCTGGCTGCGGTTTGCCCATGGCCCCATGAGCACGCTACGGCCGGGAGAACGGCTGCATCTGCAGCATGCAGCGCAGGGCAGCATGGGCCGCTTTTTGGAACAAGGAGCTTTGCAGCGTGCAGGAGCGGGAAGGGGAAAGGAGGCTAGCGCGGCGGCTCCGGCGGCGCGTGGGTGGGGACCGCGAGAGGGGCAGCGAGAGGAGGTGTGCCCAGCACACGGCGAGTGGCACTCCAGGGTCTCGACGACGACAAGGCGCGAGCTCAGAAAGAGCGCAGCAGCCGCAGCTGCCACGCTGCCGGCCAGATGCCCGGCTGCAGCTGAGCAAGCCGCAGCCGCAGGTACGGGAGCCCGCCGAGCTCGACGGCACGGCAGCCGCAGCGGGCCGCACGCCGGGAGCGTGTCCGCTGCAGCACCGCGGCGGCTTGCAGCGTCCTGCAGCTCTCTCTCGGCCGCTCCGTCACCGTCTGCTGCTGACTTTGTCACAGGGCACGCTGCGCGCTGCCTTCGTGCGGCTGCTTGGGCCCTCTTGGACGCCCGCGGCGCTGCATGAGAGATCCTCGGCGCCACCTCCCTTCCCCTAATCGAGTCGCCGTCGCAGCGCTCCTGCGCATGCGCGCGCGTACGCCCGCCCGCTCCCGCTCCTGAGCAGAGCGAGCGACCCGAGAAGAGGACGCAGGACGAGCATGCACGGAGGCGGCCTCGTCGCGCGCGGCGCGCGTTCGTCCGGCGCGCTTGCGACGCTCTTGCCATCTCTGCTGCGCTGCCCTCTCGCGCTCGCTCGTCGCTGCAGACGCGACTCGCAAGTGCCGGGCCTTTTGCGTGTGCGCTGCACTGGCGCAGATCCTGCCTCTGCCCGAGCCCACATGCTGAGGTGCATGCGCCGTGCGTCGGCCAGCCGCAGCATGCACGCACAGGCCGGCCCGGTCTCGCCGTGCTCCCCGGAAGCAGCGATGATGCGCTGTGCCGTGCCAGATCTCACTCTGCGATGCGCTGCAGCACGCCGCTGCGCGACCCTGCACGGTCTCAGAGCGCAGCTGCGGCTTGCTGCCGAGCAAACAAGAGGGCGCAGGGAGCGCTCGGTACGCGCGTTGGGCGCTGGAAGGCAGCAGCGGTGCCGGCAACGCCTGCGCTGGTGCTGACGGCTGCGGCTCGACGAGGCGGCATCCTCCATGCTCGTCCTGCGCTGTTTGCAGGCCAGCTCAGGGCGAGCTAGCGGAGCGCACTAGCCTGCCGCGGCGGTGCGCGTGGTGAGGTGCGGTGCAAGCGGCGGAGGAAGGCGCGGAGCATGCTTCCCGTGCGGCGTGGCGACAGAGCGCACTGCAGCGTCGGCGAGCTGCAGCTGCAGCTGCGCGGTCGCTGCGCCCGAGGCTGCTCGAGGAATTCACAGCCAGCGCTGCGCTCACACGCCGGCGCATGCCTCGCTTTGCTGCCTGCTCGGCCACAGAGCGGCAACGCAGGCGGCGCTGCGAGGGCCGCCGACGCCGGCCGTGCCTCCGACGCTCGCCGCCTTCGCCGCCGCCCTCGCAGCTTCCCTCCGTCCCGCACTCTCCGCACCCTCTCTTCCTCGCTCGGACCCCCTGCTCCATCTCGTCTCGTCGCGGCCGTCCGTCTCGCGTCCAGGCTCTCGGCTCTCTCTCTCTCTCTCTTTTTTGCTTCGTCTTCCTCGGCTCGTGCTTTCTCTTGCACGCGTGCCTCTGTCACCCTCGCATCGTTCTGCCGCGTCGAACTCGAGGTGTCTCGCACGCGCACACGCGTCATCGCTCCTCCGTCCAGCGCAAGCGGCAAGGCTGCGGCACGGCAGCGAAGCTGCACCTGCTCCTCTGTCTGCCTCCTCTCTCCTCCACCACACCCGATCCTGGCCCCTCCCCACCCTCGCGCGCGCGGCGGAGGCGCGCCCTGATCTCCTCGCGGCGCGCACATGGCGTCCGAGTACCCGGCGAGCGCGCTGCTCGGCAACGCCTCGGTGCCGCTGCCGCTCGTGCGCACCGGCGTGCTCTTCATCATCGTCTACTCGACATGCACGGCGCTGCTCTTCCTGCTGCTGGCCACGGTGCTGCGCCGCCACTCCTTTGGCGAGGCCAGCCCGGCCGAGCGGCGCGCGCGCCTGCCCATGCTGGCAGTCTTGAGTCTCAGCATGGTGCTAGGGTTACTAGGCAGCATCTTGAACACTGTGAGTGGCACGTTGCGCTGCTGGCCGCAGAGCAGCCTGTCCTCTTGCGACCTCTCTGACCCACTTTGTGCAGGTCTTTTGGGCAACGCTCCTGCTGCGCGACCGCGAGCAGAGCACGATGCGCGCCGCGCCGTACTGGTGCGCCACGACGTCCTTTCTCTTCATCACGCCGCTCGTGGCGCACTGCGCGCTCGTGCTGCGCATCGTCGCCTTCTACCCGCCGATGCTGGCGGCAAGCGGCAAGCGCTGGGCAGTGGCGGCGTTCCCGACGCTGATGAAGGTGGTGCGGATACCGTTCATCGTGCTCTACCTCGTCGCCGGCTACCGCTCCGTTGCGGCTACCGGCGCCGGTGGCTTTGACGAGGGCCTGGCGCGGCCAATGGAGACCAAGTGGGCCGTCGCCTACTTTGCCCTCACGTTCCTCGACAACGCCTACACGACGCTCTTTCTCCTGCGCAAGTTCCACCAGCTCGGCTACGAGGCTGGCCTGCACGACAATGCGCTGCTGGTGCGGCGGCGGACATGGCTGGTGGACCAGGCCAAGCAGACGTGCCTGGCCATCGGCTTCAGCCACATCATCCCGACGCTCTTCACGCTCGTCGTTGTCATCTGCCTGGCGACGCCGGCCGTGGGCCGCACGCGCAACGGCTTCATCCTGGTCGCCAATGTCTTTGTCAGCGTGTTCGGCTCGACGCTGGCGTGCACCAACTCGAGCGCACGCTGGCGCGACGATCGCTTCGCCAACGGCACGCCCGGCCCGCGCAACTCGGTGCCGCGGCGTGGCTCGTTCAGCGACATCGAGGGCGGCCTGCTGGCGCGCGGCCGCACGTACAGCATCCAGCAGCAGTCGCAGCAGCCGACGTCGCAGAGCATGCTGCGCGACACGAGCTCCGTGTCGTGCATGACGGCGCTCGACGAGCGCCGGCAGCGTCGCTGGCGTGCGCCGGCAGGCCGTCAGGTGCGCATCGGGCCGGCGCATGCCGAGGCTGCCGAGACGGCTCGGGCGTCTGGCGCCGCACCACGGCAGGCGCCGCTCTCTAGCCGCTCGCTGGCTCGGCAGCTCGCGGCCTACGCTGGGCCCGGCTCCGGTCTGGGCTTCTTCCGTGCGCCTGCGTCGTCTGGCGAGCCGGTCGCACCGCACCACCCCGTCTACACGCACGACACGGAGAAGACGCTCTCTGCCGGCAGCAGCTCCGGCAGCGCCCGCTCAGGCTGCGGCTCGGACAAGACGCCGGCGCCGTCGTCGGACGACGAGCGTCTTGCGCCGCTGAGCTGCGAGATGACCGAGCTTGGCCGGCCGGCCTCGGCGAACCCTCCGTCGTCGCCCTTGCGCCAGACGCCGCCATCGCGCCGGCTCAGCGCCTGGGCTCTTTTTGGCTCGCGCACCGGGCAAGCGAACGACGACGCCGCTGCCTCGCCGCGCACGCCGCACCCGCTCGCCACGCCCATCATGTCGCGCTCGCCGTCGGCGTCGCCAGACGTCTCCGAGGCGTGGCACAGCGCCGCACCCGACTTTGACCTCGAGGTCGACTTCCGCCGCAGCCGCTGAGCCCGCATGCGCTGTGCACACCGTGCCACTCGCATCGCTGGGCTCGTGAGCGCCGCCCACACAGTCTCTCTCTATCAGCACCACTCTCGCACCCTCTCTTGGATTCCGTTAGGTCTCGCTCTCGCACAACATGTACCACCACCCACATCCTTTCACTGGCGACTCGCAATTGCACATCTTGCATCGGAGAGAGGAGACTGAATTGGCGAGGGCAGAGTAGCGAGAGGCTCGGGTGGGCTAAGCGACGACAAGAAACGTGTAGTGTAGACGAGTGCGGCAGAGGCAGAGCGGACACAGGGCGCGGCGGCAAACAGTCTACTCGCTGATGAACGTCGCCTCGCCGAAGTACGTGCCGTCAACCTCGTGCGAGCCGGCGGACGCACCGGCGACGTCGGCGGGCAGCGTGAGCTTGAGCTTGGCGGGCAGCAGCGTCTGCGGCAGGCAAGAGCGTCAGTCGCTGGACACGCGAAGGACGCCACACTGGACGCACCTGGTAGATGAAGGGCTTCGTGCCGGCCATGTACGACACGACCTTCTTGACGACGGCGGGCATCTCGCCGAGCACGTCGACCTTGTCGACGAGGCCCTTGCTCTGCGCCACGGGATGCGGCGGGCCGAGCTCGACGCGCAGCTCGGCCTGCACGCGCTGCGCCGTGTCGCCCTTCTCCGACGGCGGCGCAGCCAGCAGCGCGCCGTCCCAGACGTAGCGGATCGCCTGCGGCACGCTGTAGCCCGTGTCCGGGTCCTGCACGCACTCGAGGTGCTCCACCGCCGTGTTGCTGTGCTTGGGCGCCGAGCCGGCGGCGCCGCGCGTTCCCGCCGTCACGGCCACAAGGCGCTCGCCGACGACGACGCTGCCGATGGTGACGGTGCGCGTCTCGCGGCGCTTGCTCGCCTCGGCGCCCGAGGCGGCAGCCTTGCTCGACGCGGCGCTGCCCGGCTCACCGCCGTAGTCGCTCGTGGTGGTGAACTCCATGCTGATGGCCGAGACGCCGCCGAGGGCGTCGCTCTGGAAGTTGGCAAAGTTCCAGCGCGAGGCGACGAGGTTGGGACGCATGCCCTGGATGGCGTGCACGAACATGCCCGTGCCGCGCGCGTCGAGCGCCTGGCCCTTGAGCAGAATGTGGCCGCTGGTGTGCGCGCGCGGCCAGAAGCGGTGCACGACGAAGCCGTCGGGCGACGCCTGGTTGGCGCCGAAGAAGCTCTTGCCGCCCTCGGCGCCGGCGCCCACCTTCCAGCCGGCGCACGAGGCGGGCCGCGTGTACGTGTAGCCGAGCTGCACCTCGGCGTCCATGTGCGCGGTGATCTCGTAGCTCTCCGAGCCGTCGGGCAGCGTGCTGTGCAGCACGCTGAACTGCTCGCCCTTGCACGAGCGCCCGTCGTACGACGCCGCCTTGTCGCGGCCCGAGCCCGCCGGCGCCGGCGTCTCGAACTTGGACACGGAGAGCGACTTCCAGATCTTCTGGCCGGTGCTCGGGTTGTAGTACTTGAAGGTGACCTGGATCTGCGGGTACCACAGGCTGCAGCGCGCGTCAGCACGGTGCACGGCGGACAGCGTCTAGCAGCAGATGCGCTGCGGCCAGCGGACAGGAGCGTAGTGCGGCCAGCGTGCGGCAGCTGACCCCACGCCTGCTGTAGCGCTTCGTGCGCTGCCAGGCGTGACCTCCCACACGGCTGTCCCGCTGCATGCGCTGCCAGGCATGACCTGCCACCAGACTGTCCCACTGCATGCATGCCCGCCCCCACGGCCACTCACCCGACGGCACTGTGGATGACCTGGCTGGTGACGAAGGCGCCGTCGCTCAGCACGGCGTACCACACCTGCGTCTCGGTGGTGAAGCCGCCGGCGCACGTCCAGCTCGTGTCCTTGGGCGTGAGGGCGCCGTAGAGGGCATCCTGCGGCACCGTGTCGGACACGGCGCGGAAGTTGGAGCCCGTGGGCTCGGCGCCGGAGCTGTGCGCGTGTCAGCGAGGCATGGCGGGCGGCTGTATGCGCGCGCACTCACAGCCAGCTGCCCCAGCCAGACATGATGCGGAGAGAAGAGAGGGAGAGGGAGTGGGAGAGGTGCGCGAGGGATGCGCAGGCGACCGGTGGAGGTGGGAGCGGAGGGAGTGCGCAGTCGGCAGCGCAGCGGGGCGAGCAGCAGCCGCACCCTGACGCATCGGATCTGGCACAGCGCCGGCGGCTGTGCCGTGCCGCCGTGCGGTGCCGTGTGCCGCGCGCAACGTCGCGTTTCGTGGAGACGTGCGCACAAGCGCATCTCGCCGCCGTCGCTCCCACGCGCCGACTCACTTGCCTGCACACTCTCGAGCCCAGCAAGGTCACCCATCGTCCATGCGGCATCGCTGGCGCTTCCTTTTGCGCACATAATCAAGGCAGCGCTGTTCTGCGTTGCACTGTGCAGTAGCGAGACCCGTGTGTGGCCGGCAGACGACAGCTAGAGCGTCCGTGGTGGATGTAACCCCCCTCGCGCGGCCCTCTTGCCTTCCATCCCAGACTGCGTCGTCAAGGGACTAGACTGCCAGCGGCCATGTCAGGAGCGATGTGACTTTAAGGTCAAACCAGACTCGCAGCAGAAGTTGCGTTCAGGCGGTCTCGACGAGTACGAAGCGCCTGGCGGCTGCACGGTGCCTGCGAGGGCAGCGGCCTTCTCCACGCCGCCGTCGCTCGGCTCTCTCGACGCGCCTCGACGAGCCGCGAGCCTCTCTCCTCCCGGCCGTCGGGGCGCTGTGCCTTAGCAGGTGGGATCTGGCGCGGCGGCTCTCCGCTTTCTTCAGCATCAACAACTGCGGAGGGAGCTGTCAGCCGTGCAGCGGCGGATGCCGTTGCCTAGTTTCGCGGGAATCTGCTGGGCGGGCGACGCTGCGGCCTGCAGACGTGCCGCTGCGCTGCAGCGTCAGCCAACGTGGGCGCTCGGCAGCGCCACGCCGACGCCGCCCCGCCCTTTCTGCCGCCGCGGCATGCGGTCCGGGCGCCGAGCTGGCGCACCGAGCTTCGACCGGCGCGCCGCTCCCCGCGGGTGCGCCTGCGCCTCGTCTCGGCGCGCGCCTCTGTCGCTTCTCGCTGGCGATGCATGCTGGCTGAGACGAGCAAGAGATGCGGCATGGCTCACGCTCTCTGCAGCATGCTGCTGGAGCAGCTGCAGAAGAGGGATCGAGCTGCCTCGGCGAAGGCATGAGGGGTGAGGAGGGGTCCCTGGCGCATAATTCGCGCGCGCGCTGGCGCGGCGCGAAGAAGTTGGGGCGAGGCGCAGACGCAGCGTGGCGCCGAGACGGGCGGCCTGCCGGCGGCGCAGGTTTTGCGGCGGGGCGCCTCCGCCAAAACTTGCAGCGCGAGCGTGCCGCGGGCCGGCAGCGAGTGTCTGAGCTGGGTGGAGAGGGAGAGCAGCAGCAGCAGGTGCAGCAGCAGGCCGACGGCGAGAGGCAGCGGTGACGCTGCGCTGCAACACCGCCGCACGCTCGCGCTCCTCGCGGCGTGCTGGCCTCGAGTCTCGCCGAGCGCGGGGGCGCGGCGCCCTCGCTGGAACTGCGAGCCCCTCTCGGCCGGCCACTTTGCTCTTAGTCCGCAGGCCTGCGCACCGAGCTTGCCTCTTCACCACCACCACCACCCACCACATGTGAGCAGCTCTAGTCCGTGCCGCGTTTCTGCGAGGACTTGCGATGCGCTGGACGATCGCGGCGACCTGGCCCAGGGCAGCGCTGGCCGCCGCGCGCGCGCGCGCCGCGCGCGCACCGATTGCAAGTGGCCGCCTGCCCTGCCGGCCCTCATCACGCTGGCCGCACGACGCTGGTGACCAGCTCGCCGGCCCTGCGCAGCACCATCCACCTCTCGCTCTTGCGCAGGCAGAGCGGTGTCTATGCTGGCGCAGCTGTGCGTCAGCCGCGTGCGGAGTCGCAGAGGAGGGCGCTCGCAGCAGCAGTTCGTGCGGCGTCTGCGCACGGGCTTATCCAGCGCGCGCCGCCGCGTATCTTTTTCGCCGGCGCGCCGCCTGTGTGCGGTGCGGCGGGCGTGCCGCGGCGAGACCTTCCCGCTGGCACATCTGCAGCGCGCTCGGCTCGCCTCTGCCTTCGTCCTTCTCACCACCACTCCCACACCCAGCACGCCGTCACCATGCTGTACCAGCCCATCGCCAAGTCGCAGGTGAGTCGCCGTGACGTGCACAGCTGCGGCTGCACGTACCACTCCTCCTGGCGCTGCCCGCTCACGCGCTTCGCTTCCCAGCTCGAGTGGCTCGCCAGCCTCAACCCGCTCGAGCACGGCATCTCCAGCTCGAACCGCTTCTTCCGCAAGACGTGAGTGCGGCGTGGCAGGTCGAGCGGCGTGCATGCATCGAGCGCAGCGTCTGCGCAGCGGTGGGTATGCAGGCTGGTCACGCCCCGCTGCTGGGAAGATTGCCGAGCGCATCTTCAAGCGCGCCAGATGCACAGGCAGCCAGGACCTGGAGCGAGCAGCCCGGCTCACACCCTGCTCTGCCGCGCAGCTCGATCATCTGCACGATCGGCCCCAAGACGAAGAATGTCGAGATGCTCGGCGCCCTGCGCCGCGCCGGCATGAACATCGGTGGGTCGCGCAATGCGCGCGCAAGGGTGAGCGCAAGCGCTCGCACACCTGCTGACCGTCCTCAGTCCGCCTGAACGCCTCGCACGGCTCGGCCGAGTACTTCAAGTCCGTCGTGGACAACACGCGCGCCGTCGTGGCCGAGACGCCCGGCCGCCCGCTGGCCATCGCGCTCGACACCAAGGGCCCCGAGATGCGCACGGGCATGATGGTCGACGGCGAGGACGTCAAGATCTCGACGGGCCACGAGTTCTACGTCACCACGGACGACGCCTACGCCGAGAAGTGCAGCGCCACGCACCTCTACATCGACTACAAGAACCTCGCCAAGAAGGTCGAGGTCGGCCGCCAGATCTTCATCGACGACGGCATCCTCGCGCTCGAGGTTGTGGCCATCGAGTCGGAGAAGCTCGTGCGCGTGCGCGCCTCGAACAACGGCGTGCTGTCGAACAAGAAGGGCGTCAACCTGCCGCTCACGGACGTCGACCTGCCCGCCATCTCGGAGAAGGACCGCCAGGACATTCTCTTCGCCGTCGAGAACGACCTCGACATGATCTTTGCCTCGTTCATCCGCCGCGGCTCCGACGTGCGCACGATCCGCGAGATCCTCGGCGAGAAGGGCGCGCACATCAAGATCATCTCCAAGGTCGAGAACCACCAGGGCGTGCTCAACTTCGACGAGATCCTCAAGGAGTCCGACGGCATCATGGTTGCGCGCGGCGACCTCGGCATTGAGATTCCGGCGCCGCAGGTCTTCATGGCGCAGAAGATGATGATCGCCAAGTGCAACATCGCCGGCAAGCCCGTCATCTGCGCCACGCAGATGCTCGAGTCGATGATTGTCAACAACCGCCCGACGCGCGCCGAGGTCTCCGACGTCGCCAACGCCGTGCTCGACGGCGCCGACTGTGTCATGCTGTCCGGCGAGACGGCCAAGGGCGCGTACCCGATCGAGGCGGTGCGCATGATGGCCGAGACGAGCTTCCTGGCCGAGCAGTCGATCTCGTACGTGCCGCTCTTCAACGAGATGCGCAGCCTCACGCAGGTGCCCACGGACACGAGCGAGACGGTCGCCATGGCGGCCGTGAGCGCGTCGCTGGAGCAGCAGGCTGGTGCGATTCTGCTCATGTCGACGAGCGGCAACACGGCGCGCCTCGTGAGCAAGTACCGCCCGCGCTGCCCCATCCTCACCATCACGCGCGACTCGCACACGGCGCGCGACGTGCACCTGTACCGCGGCTGCTACCCGTTCCTCTACCCGCACCCGCGCCCGGCCGACAACAGCAAGTGGCAGGAGGACGTGGACAACCGCATCAAGTACGGCCTCAGCGAGGCGCTCGCCCTCGGCATCGTCGAGAAGGGCGACGTCGTCGTCGCCCTGCAGGGCTGGCGCGGCGGCCAGGGACACACCAACTCGCTGCGTGTCCTCACCGTGCCCGACGCGGCGCGCGACTTTGTGCTCGAGGGCACGGGCAACCCGGCGCGCGAGTCGTAGAGCAGCCGAGGCTGTCCTCGTCCGCCTCTCTGCCGCCGCGTGCCCTCGCCTCGCGCCGAGCTTCGTCTGCACTGCGCCTGACGCGCCAGACCGTCTCTCGCAGGCCCGCCTAGATATCCCTCGCGAAGCCGTCCCGCAGCCCATGCCGTTCCGCTCCGCTCATACACGTTCCTTTCCCGTCTGCTCTACTTGTCACGAAAAAAGCCAAGCCGCTGCAATTACATGCACTAGACCACAGCCTCGAGCGCCGGAAAGACGGGCAGGATCTCGCTGCGGACGAGCGGCGTCCGTGCGGCGAGCGTTACGAGTGCCGAGGCGCAGGCGGCGTGGAGCGCCTCGGAGCTCGTGCCGGCGAGGGCCTGTGCGTAGCACAGCGCGAGCAGCTGGCCGACGTGCTGGGCAGCAGTGGAGTCTGGGCTCGAGGCGTGCTGCAGCAGCGTCAGCGCCAGGCCCAGTGCCTCGGCAGCAGAAGCACTCGGCGGCGTCGGCTCGTCGAGCATCTGGCGCGTGACGAGGGTGACGAGGGCGTGGTGCCGAATCGCAGCGGATGCGGGCGTCGGGCGAACGTGGTCGAAGGCCAGCATGCATGCCAGGCTGCGCTTGAGTGAGGGTAGGGCTGGCGCGAGGGCAAGCGTGTCGCGGAGATGCGCCGCAAGCACCTCTGCCACCTGTTCCCGTCGAGCTGTGGCCTGCACGAGATGGACGTGCGGGCGCACGCTGTCCAGCGGCGCGCCGACCAGGCCCGCACCGAGCGCTGGCGAGAGCCAGGCAGTGCTACGAGAGGGACCTGAAGCGATGTGAGCTCAAGCTGTGCGTCAGCAACGAGCATCCCCACTCACTCGGAAGCGCCTCGATAGCCTCCTCGAGCTTGCTCCTGAGCACGGCCACATCGACGTCCGTGCCTGCCGTCGCCGCAGCGAGTTGAGAGTCGCGCAGCACGCGTCGCAGATCGGCTGCCACAAGCTGTGCGACCGTCGAGGAGCAGCTGTCGGACGTCAGAAACGTGCTGAGGATCTCGTAGTGCACCGCACGGCCGCTCGACTGCCCGCCTGCAGCTGACTTGAGCGGGACACGCTGCAGGTCCGTCATGACCCAGCGCAGAGCGCCGGGCAAAGCGAAGCATAGCAGGTCTTGGGCGAAGTACGTCAGGCCGCCGCGGAGCGTGTCGAGGTCGATGATGCCCGTGTTGCAGGCAGTGATGGACTGAGAAAAGAGCAGCGGCGCCAGGCGCATGATGACCTGCGGTGCAGAGTCACTGCGAGCGCCGCGTCAGCCACACACCCATCAAGGTCGTCGGAGGGCACGCACCGCATGAGCTCGTCCGAGATGCCATCGCTCTCGTAGAGAGCGCGGATCCAGCGCGCGACGAGCTCGCGCTCGCCAGCCTCCAGGTCGTCGAGGCGCGAGATGGAAGTGCACGAGCGGGCGAAGCGAGGCAGGAAACGCGCGTGCTCCGCCAGCTGCTCGACGACTAGACCTCCAGCGAGCTGCTCGAGCGCGTGTCAGCGATACGACAGCTTGTCGGACCGTCGCGACGCACCTCTGCACGATTAAGCAGCCACTGCGCAAAGAGAATGACGGAGCACAAGACCGACGGCTCGTCGGCAATCTCGCCGAGGTCCGTGCGATCGAGCAGAGTGGCGAACGGCAGGAGCACCTCGAGCGATCCGACGTAGAGGGCCATCACGTCGACTGCGGAGGCATTGTCGAGCAAGGCCTTGGAGACGCGGGCCACACGCTCGAGGTCGCCCTCCTGCGCAGCATTCGCCAGCATCTGTGAGGCGCACATGAGCCGAGCTCCGCCAGCGTCGCTCATCTGAGCTCACCTGCACAAGCTGGCGCGCGCACGTCGGCTGTGCGCCGTAGTCGCCTGCGACCTTGTTCAGAAGCTCCGTGAGGTCGTCATGCGCCATCTTGTCGGCCAGGTCGGCAGCGAGCGCCTCTTCTCCGCCTGCTTGCGCCATGAGTGTCGGCTCGGCATCGGCCAGCGCTCCAGCAACGCTCGTGCTGTCCGCGTCCGCCGCGCTCATGAGCTGCAGGTCGACGAGGGCACGCAGCAGACCGCCACGCAGCGGTGCATGTGGCGGGCTCGAGCTGCACGACTGTCAGTGTTGCGCTGCGCTGAGAGCCGGTCTGGCACTCACGCTGATGCGAGCCACTCGTCCAGCGCCATGTCGTCCTCGCCGCGCTCTTCGGCCGACTTGGAGGGCACAGCAGCGAGCATGACGCGCTCCGTCTCCACCAGACGGGCCTCTGTCAGCGACAGGAGCGCCTTGAAGACGCCGCTCATGATGTGCTGCGGATGCGCTCCTGCGGCCACGCGCTCGGACTCCAGGCTCGCAACAAGCGCCGGCAGCTGCTGAAGGGCTCAGCGGTAGCGAGGCGTGGAGGCCGCGAGGAACTCACCATGCCACAGAGAGCAGCGCGCCACACAACAACATAGGCCGCGTCACTCCGCCCAGACGGCTCCAGCGATCCGATCGTCGGCGGCGGAGACAGCACGTGCGTGAGAGATGTGACGGCAGCGAGAAAGATGGAGAGGTAGAATGTCTCGTAGATGCTCGTCGCGCTGGTGCTGGCGTCCTGTTGCCAGACATCATGTCAGACTCTCTTTTCTGGATTGACGAGGCTGGACTCACGGCTGCGTCCGTCAGGGCACTGAGAGTTGTACGAGCCGCTTCGACCTTGGCAGCCCATGGAAGCTGCTCGTCGACCTGAAACGAGGAGATGAGCTCTGGAGAGCCGAGCAGGACCCCCCTCACCCACGCCACACTCACAAAGAGATGCAGCAGATGCACGATCTCCACGCTCGGCGACGGCTCGGCGCTGCCGGGTAGCTGCAGATGGCCAATGTCCCACACTTCGAGTCGCCATGTCTGCAGAGGTGGCAGAGCTGCGCTCGCCGCACGCAGCGCGCGCTCCTGCTCGACGAGGCCCTTGTCTTGCGCGTGTGCAGCCGCAGCCGCTGTGCTTCCCCTTCGCGGGCGCGTGCCGTGCAGCAGCGAGTCCAGCACTGACCGAGCAGTCTCGGACGATATGAGCGGGTTTGTGTGCGAGTCAAGTGCAGCAAAGAGCGTCGCAAAGGCGGCCTCCACAGCCCGCACGCTCTGCTCGTCCACGCCGCCAGCCTGCGGTGCCGCGCGCGCGGACTCGACCAGCGCCGGCACGCCGGCGGTGAGCCAGCCTGCAGTAAGGCTAGCAGCGGCGTGTTCCTGCGCGACGAGAGCCTCGGCGCACATGCGAGCGCAGCTGCCTGCCACACGCAGGACTGCCGTCCATGCGGAGGCATCGTAGATGCGCGTGATTGCCTCGAGATCTGGCAGGCCGCGCGAGTCGCACTCAAGCAGGAGGCTGGCAGCGGCGCCGACAGAGGAGCTCGAACGGCGGCCCGACTCATCGCCATGCAGCTGCAGAAGTGCGAGCGACACTTGTGCAGGTGTGCACAGCGGCTGATGCAAGTCGAGCGCCGACGCCGACGATGAGGCGGCGCCCGCTGCGTCCTCGAGCGGCCGGCCGAGTGCGAGGGTCAGGTAGTCGAGCGCCAGCTCTGGCGGGACGGACAGCGGCACAACGAGCGCTAGAAGCACCTGGACGACCGTATAGCCGCTGTCTTCTCCGGCGAGGACCGCACGCGCCTGTGCGAGCCACTGCGGATGCGCGGTGAGCTGTGGCTGTCTCGTGCTCTGGCCGAGGCACACACCTGCGACGGCGCAGTGCCGCGCGCCAGTGCCTGTATTGTGAGTCGCTCGATCTCGGGCCGGAGCGCTGGCGCAGCGCTCATGTGCGTGTCCATGCTGCAGCGAGCGGGAGAGGTGGTGGTAGAGGGTAGAGGAGGGCGGAGAAGAAGGCGCGCGGCGCAGCTCCACCTTCCCTTGGTCCGAGCGGCACGACCTCGGCGCGTCGCAGCCGAATGCTCCAGAAGCGCGTCCTGGTCCGGACCATCCTCACACCCGTCGCCTCATCTTGGCTCTCGTCTCAGGTCTCTGAACTCACTCACTTGAGCTGCTGCATGAGGTAGCGGAATCGGGGTTATCTGCTCAAGCCCGCTCCTCGGCCGCACCGTATCGGCGGGCTGCCGTGTGCGCAGGCTGCGCGTGTGAACTCGCTCGACCGCACCCTCGGAGCCGCACTTGGCCCTCCAGCGCCCTCGCAGCCACAGCGGAGCTTCCCTCCAGGCACGACGGGCACGACAGAAGCTCTGGCGAGAGGGCAGATACAGGCCTGAGCCGGCACCCGGGCGTGCGGCAGACGCTAGAGGTCACACTCCGCCCCGCCCACGCTCCCGGTATCCGACTCTCCGGCATTCTCTCCGGCCAGCACTCTGAGTGACGCACGCCAACATGCCCGACCGCGGCTCTCGCCTTCGACTGTGATCATCACGGCAAGGCTCCCAGGCATGGGCATGGCAGCCCAACAGGTGGAAGCTGACTGGCTCTGACAATTGCAGCCGCGGCCTGAGAGAAGCGGCCTCTGTGCAGCTGGCCTCGCGAACCCGTGCCGAGCCCGGCGCCTCCGCATCCTCGCCCTCGAGCATATCCGGACGAGCCGGGCGGAGGCTGTCCCACCGACTCGCCTTCGCATGCGAGGGCTGCGACACCCCTACACCGCTTCTGCGCAACGAGATCCGCTCGCTGCAGCTCCGTTACGGCTGGCTCCGTTCCGTGCCGCGAATGACCGCTGCGTGGCTGCGCGGGCTGCAGACGGCAGCGTAATATGATGTTGGCGCAGAGAGAGTGAGGTCTCAGAGATGCAGCGCGAGGAGCAGCAAGAGAGCTCAGAGGTGCCGGCAGAAGCGCGCGACGGACGAGGTGAGCGCTCATGCGCATGCGGGGCAAATGCAGGGTGCAGCGAGCACCAAAGCGCAGGGGCAGCACCGGAGCTGTGCCGGGACGCTGGCCGTCCCGTTGCGTCGCGGCAGCCGACGTCGAGCAGCAGCAGAGGAGCGGAGCACATGCAACGAACGCATGGGCCGGACGCCGAAGCCACACACCCACGAGGCCGGCTGCGGCACGGGTGCAGCGCTGCAGCAGCCGGCAGACGCGAGAGCGCAGCGCAGGCGCAGCAGAGTTTGCTAGCCTTCGTCGCCGTCGGGCAGCACCTGCGCAAGCGCAGCAGCCGCCTCGCCTCGGCACCTCCTCCGTCTGCGCCGCGGGCCCGACGTGACTGCTCCGAAGCCCAGCTGCGGCAAGGCGGCTCCGCCTTGCCTGCACCCTGAGCGGCGCATCCTAGCTCGCCACGCGCCGCAGCTTCGGCGCCGCCGCCGTGCCGTGAGCGCTGCCCGCGGCACGTGAACGCAGCCGCTCCAAGCACGCAGTGTACCGAGCGCTGCAGCATGCTGCAGCGGCGGCCAGCAGCAGCAGCAGCGGCAGCAGCAGCAGCAGTTGCAGCAGCAGCGGCAGCAGCAGCAGCAGTTGCAGCAGCCAACGGCGGCCTCAGATGCAGCAGCAGCACGCGACGAGACCTCTAGCTCGGCGACGAGGCAGCAGCGCAGCCTATCTGCGCTATGCCGCGCGGCGCGTGCCGGAGCGCGGCTCAGGGTCCAGTGCATGGCGGGCGGCGTGGCGCGGCGCGCGAGCCTTCGCCGCGTGCCGCTCGCGCTCAGGTGCCGTGCGGCGGCGGCGCGACTCCTCTCTCCGCCCGCTCGGAGCGTGGCGCTGCTCCGCTTCCTGCGCGCCCCGCCTTGGTCTCGCGCCTCGTCGCTGCTCGCCTCCGTCTCCATCCTCCGTATCTCCACAGCAGCGCATCCCGGCCTTCCGCAGTCGGTCGTGACGCACCTCTTCGCGCGTCCGTCGGCTCGTCGTCTCGCGCGTGCCGTACCGCCACCCAGCTCGCGAGCTCGCACGCCAGCAGACGGTCATCGCCTGCCTCGGCTACGGCACGTCCCAGGGGTGCTTCCGCTGCTGCAGCACGTCCCTCGCTCTCGGCACCGGGTACACGAGGCAGCGTCGGCTCCGAGCGCACCTCATCAGATTAGCTGTGGCCAGCACGCCACCGCGTCGGCCTTCTAGCTTGCCACACGGAAGACGCGCGCCTGCCTGAGTGAGGGGCACTGAGAGGACTCTGGGTGAGTCCAGAACGCATCTATGCACATGGGGCGCCTTGATAGTCGCCGCTTGGTCAGCACCGCTGCTGCAGATAGGCACACGTGAGGGGCTTGAGCAGCCCTCGGCCCGTGGAAGGATGCCAGCGAGGGGCTCGGAGCATGCCTCTCCGCAGTCGTGCCACGGCGGTGCGGGTCCACGCGAGCGGTCACGCTGCGCGCGCCGCCCGTGGGTTCGCCGCCTGATTAGTTTCAGGCCCCTACTACGGACCCTGACGACACACCAGCCGGCTGCACTGCCGCCGTGCATGGGCGTCATGCTTGGCCGCACCCGAGGGCGCCTGCGCTGTGCTGGCTGGCAGCCCCAGACGCCCGGGCACCCTCGGCAAGGCACAGCGCTGAGGTGTCCGTCAGACTTAGAGAAGCGTCACAGGCGTGGAGCGAAGGCAGGGTGCCAGCCTTTATTGAGGGCCAGCCCGTCGCCTGTCACGCAGCAGGCCGACAGTGTCCGTGTGTCCTGCGCCAGCACGCTCGGCCTCGACTCGCTCGTGGCGCTGCTCGGTCGTGCTCAGTCTCTCTCACCCATCGCTCGCCCTTCCTGGTGGCCCCTTCTCACGCAAACTCTTCCTCTCCGCCGCAGTCCCGTCTGCGCACTCCGTCATCGCAGCGCTTGGCTCGCCACGAGCGAAGTCGGACCTCTGATCGCTCGCAGCCTCGCTCGACTGGCCAGATCCGTGTCGCCAGCCGCGTCTGCGCACCGAGCACTCTCCGAGCCTGCCGCCCGTCTGGCCCTTTCGAGGCTCTCCTCGCCAGGGCCTCGCGGCACCCTTCCGGATCTCCGAGGTCGATATCCTCTCGATCGCCTTGCGCGCGTCTGCCGTCGCCGCTGCGTGACTGGCGGCGACTCATCCTCACTCCGCGTCGCCGCGTCGTAGCGGGCTCGACCTCCTGCTACACGCCGAGTGCGCGTCCAGCAGGGCGGCATGCAGCCGCAGCCGGGGTACGACGCCTCGGGCGCGTTTGGCGGCGCATCGCAGCAGCATGGCCACCACAACGCACCCGGCATGCAGCATGGGCTGCCACACGGCATGCAGCAGATGCCGCTCGACATGCAGCAGCAGCAGGAGCAGCAGCGCAGCATGATGCAGGCGCAGCACGCCTCGCAGCAGCAACCATCGGGCATGCAGCAGCAGCAGACGTCCGCGATGCACCTGCAGCAGCAGCGCCAGCATCAGCAGCAACAGCAGGCGCAGCAGCAGCACCAGCAGCAACAGCATGCGCAGATGGCCCAGCTCCAGCAACAGCAGCAGCAGCAGGGGCTGCAGTCCGGCATGCACAACACGGCAGGCACCTTCTTCATGCCCGTCGTGCACAACCACCCACAGCAGCAGGCGCAATCGCAGCCGCAGCCGCAGCAGCAGTCGCAGCAGCAGCAGCAGGCCAACGCCGGCATGATCCCGCGCCGCAACACGTACGCGCCGGGCGTCATGGCGTCTGGCGCCGGCATGGAGCTGTACCATCCGCCGACGGACGAGGAGATCGACGCCATCCTGCAGACGTACGGCCGGCCGGGCGCCCAGCGCGACGTCAACGGGTCACAGGCGGGCGCGTCGGGCGGGCATTTGGATCCCGCTGCCGCGGCCGCGGCTGCCGCAGCGTACGGGCATCTGGGCTACGACGGTGAGCGCTCGCAGGGTGGTGCAGGGCCGGTGGACATGCGGCTGCAGCGTCTCGGCGGCAACCGCGGGCCTGGCGGCTACGAGGGCGACTTCAGCAACACGCCGTCGTCGCAGACACCGGGCGGCACGTCGAGCGACGACAGTCCCGGCGGCAAGCGACGCCGCATGACCTTTACCGCTGGCGCGCACCCGCTGCCGTCTGTGACCGCCGGGCAAGTTCTGCAGCAGCACGAGCAGCAGGGCAGCTCCATGGCGCCGCAGCACGTGCGGCCCAGCATGCCGCACTCGGCCACGAACATGATCGACGCTGCTGCCGCTGCCGAGTACGGCGGCTGGGCGCCGAACCTCCACCGGAGAACGCTCAGCGGCAGCCTGCACGTGCCGCCGTCGCGCAGCTCCGAGAGCCTCATGGACGGCTACCAGCCGATGCACGCGCCGTCGGACAATATGTCTGGGCCACAGCGCCCCGGCCACCAGCAGCAGCAGAGCTGGGCCGGGCCGCAGCGGAATTCCTCGTCGGGCAACATGCCAGGCTCGTCTGGCGGCCCGCTGCCGCTGGGCCACGCCGCCTCGCATCCGCCCGGTCTCGGCTCGCAGGTGCTGCGTGGCCCCGACCGCGCGTCGCTGGGCCACAATGCCGCCAGTGACTTTACGAAGCGCAAGGGCTGGAGCAACCGCATCGTCGAGGAGCTCCTCGACTTTGTGCACGTGCTCGATGCGCAGGGCCGCGTGCTCTTCGCCAGCCCGAGCGTGTATGCGCTCACCGGCTGGAAGCCAGAGGAGCTGACGGGCAAGCCGCTGTTCGAGGTGCGTTGGACTTGGGACCTGTCGCGTCCGGTTTGCTGACGCCCCTGCAGTTCATTCACTCGGACGACGTCGCCGACGTGCAACGCGGCTTCTCGCGGTCACTCGTCGAGCACTCGGACCTGCTCATGTACTATCGCTTCCGGCGCAAGCCGCAGACGGCGGCCGACAAGCGGCAGAAGCGCGCCGACATTGCCGACGCCAAGGCGGCGGCGCGCTCGCCGTCAGACTCGACGTCTGACTCCGCTGGCGGCGAGACCTCGTCGAACGCCACCAACGGACAGAGCGGCGCGGGTCCGAACGGCCAGCTGCGCACGCGCGATGGCACCTCGCCCAGCCGCGACGAGGACGACACGGAGGACCACTTCGAGGTGTTTGAGGCCACCGGGCACGCGTACTTCTCCACCGGCGTCAACATGCCGAAGCAGGGGTCCATGCTGAGCGAGGACGATACGCACAAGCTGTTGGACGCCGCGCAGCAGTCCAAGTCGTCCAACGACGACGAGCTCTCTGCCGACAGCGCGCAGTGCTTCTTCTGCACGTGCCGCGTCTATCCGACGAAGAACGTTACGATGCTCGACTCGTTCCTGGAGCTGAAGCTCGAGAACGAGCGGCTGCGCAAGCTGCTGGCCGAGATGGACCTGCGCGACGGGCCCGACGGCCGCAGCGGCGGAGGAGCTCGCGACGGGCACGACGAGGAGGACCCGGCAGGCGCCCAGCGCACCAGCCTCGATGAGCCGGCGTACCACACCGACTTCTACAAGGCCGAGCTCGACGCGTCGTACCGGCGCGAGAGTGCCGTCTCGGCGCTGGGCCACGGCAACTTCGGCGAGGAGAGCCAGCCGACGAGTCCGCTGCAGAGCTCGTCGCTGGCTCTCGAGCGCACGCTGACTGCCGAGGCGGAGAGCGATGAGGGCGAGGACGATGACGCCGGCACAGTGGGTGCCGGCGGCACCGAGGACGGCAAGCGCAAGAAGGTGCGTGCGCGGTGTGCATGCGAGCCCAGCAGCGTGTCTGATCCCTTCCTACAGAAAAAGCCCAAGCCGGACGAGGGCGACTATGTGTGCACCGACTGCGGCCGTGTGGACTCGCCTGAGTGGCGAAAGGGTCCGCTGGGTCCCAAGACGCTCTGCAGTGAGTCGTGCTGTGCTGGTCCGCGTCGACCTGCTGCTGACCCGCCGTCACAGACGCCTGCGGCCTGCGCTGGGCGAAGAAGGTCAAGCGCAGCGGAGGTGAGCCCGCCGCGTGTCCTCCCAGCCCTTGCCGCATCTCACCGCTCTCCACAGGCGACCCGAACGCCATCTCCAACGCCGCCGCCAAGCAGCCGTCGAAGAAGGCGCAGGCGCTCGCAGCCCGCGCCGCGGCGCACGCCGGGCGCCACCTCATGGGTGCGCCGCCAGGCATGCCCGACGGCGGGCCCGGCATGGCCTATCCGCCGGGCGTGATGCAGGCGGCGCCGCAGATGTACGCGCCGCACCAGCAACCGCCGCCGCCGCCTCACGGGCTGCCGCCGCCGCCGCAGCAGCAGCACCAGCAGCAGCAGCCACCGCACGGCATGGGCCAGGGTATGGGCCCCGGCATGGGCGGCTACCAGTAGGCCGAGTGCGTGCCCGTGCCCGCGAGTGCATCGCCGTGGCCTCCCTTCTCCCGCCGTCTGGACTCTCCCCGCTACTGCGCCTGCGCTGCGCCTCCATTGTATTGCTATTTGTCGCACGTCCGGAATACTTCAGTGTGAAGAAGAGTTGCCCGAGCCTGGTGTGTGGCGGTGTCGCTGCACGGGTGCTTGGAGTCGGCGCCGGCGCCCCGCGTGGTCGAGTCGGCAGCACAAGCGCCGCCTCCACCGCACAGCGCGCGACTCGTCGCGTGGGCGAGACACGGCGCAAGGCGACGTCAGAGCCCGATGATGTCCGTGCGTCGCGCGGCGCAGCCACTCTTACTCCCTCTCTCCCACACACCACCACAGCCACGCCGCACCCCCAGCTCGGCATCTCCGCATCGCTTCTTCACATAGAGTTATGTCGCATCAATACTCCTACGCGCCCGGCGGCGCACCCGGCGGCCAGGGCGGTGCGTACCAGACGCTACGTGTACCCGGCTCCTCGCATGGCCCCGGCAGCAGTGCTACTGCGACGCCCCAGCTCGTCTCGTCTGCTGACTGGCTCTTGCAGGCTATGGACAGGCACCGCAGGGCTATGGCCAGCAGGCCCCTCAGGGCTACGGCCAGCCGGCTCAGCAAGGCTACGGCCAACAAGCAGCCCAGGGCTACGGGCAGCAGCAGGCCCCGCAGGGCTATGGCCAGCAGGCGCCACAGGGCTACGGACAGCAGCAGGCGGCGCCGCAGGGATACGGACAGCAGCAGCAGGGCTATGGCCAGCCGCAGGGCTACCCGGCGCGGCCGCAGACGTTCAATCGGCACACGGGGCCGCCGCCGGGCGCCGACCCGCAGCTGTGGTGCGTGCGCGTGTGGATCTGCTGCGGGATGCTCTCGATGCTCTCGGATGCTCTGGCTGACACCTGCGCAGGGGTTGGTTCATCGCCTGTGACCGGGATTCCTCAGGAAACATCGACGCCAAAGAATTGCAGCAAGCCCTTGTGAATGGCGACTGGGTGCGTGCGGTCACGAGCGGCCTTGACGATGGGTGGTGCCTCTGACGACCCCTCGTGCGCAGTCCGCCTTTGAACAAGACACGGTAAAGATGCTCCTCGGATTCTTCGATCATGATCGCAGCGGTACGGATCGCACGCGAGGTGATAAAAAATACCATGCCAGAGCTGACGCAGGACCACGCCAGGTACGATCACCTTCAACGAGGTGAGATCCTCTGTGCTTCTGCGCCATCGTGCGGCCTGCTGACCACCGCGTGCAGTTCGCCGGTCTGTGGAACTACATCAAGCAGTGGCAGGAAGTCTTCCGCCGATACGACGCAGACAGCAGCGGTACCATCGATCAGAGCGAGCTCGGGTGAGCCAGCCGACGTCGTCAGATTTGGAGCACACATCGCTGATCAAAGCCTTTCAGACGTGCGATGACGGGATTTGGCTACAATCTCTCGCCGAAGCTCCTGCACCTCGTGACGGCGAAGTACAGTGCGTTCCCCTCCTCTTCCCCTGATCGCCCACCCCCTCAGAGTCCGGCTCCGTGCTTGGTCTGAATCTCCCGTCCTCTCCTCCCACGCACGCCGCCGCCACTCCTCTGCGTGGCCTGACATCTGACGCACAGTCACTGTTGATGGCGCCTCTGCAGGTGGCGTTCCCGTGCGCGGCAAGCCGCCTGGCATCACCTTCGACCGTTTTACGCGTGCTTGCGTTGTGGTCAAGCACCTCACGGGTACGCGGCCGCTGCGTCCTCGCACACCCGTCACTGGGCTGACACGCCACAACAGAGTCTTTCCAGCGCCACGACATGCAGCGCAATGGCAGCGCCACGCTGCGCTACGAGGACTTCCTCGAGATCGTCCTCTCGGCGCCCTGAGCGCGACCTCATGTACCGCGCCGCGACGTAATGTCCACACCCGCCTGTCTTCGCTTCGACCCGCCTTGGCGATCCGACTGTACTTCAGCGACGCCACTATGCACATACAGCCTTCACTCGTGAGACACATGAATTAGGAGACAGGTATGGCGCGCTCGACGCGGACTCGGTGGAAGGGGCTCAGGCACTGCCCGCCGCAGCCACGTGCTGGTGGACGGCCGGCTCGAACTTGCGAGCGAAAGGCTGATGTGTCGGAAGCACCAAAGTGAGGATGCTTAGATGCGAGAGGAGAAGGAGGGGTGCGGGGAGGGCAGAAGGGTGGGAAGGAAGGCGAAGGACCCCCTCGGGAGCGGCGGCGGTGCGCGGCGTGTTCGCTGTGCGCGACCTTCCTCTCTGCTCTGCCGATTGCGCGGCCACGCTCCCGACCAGCTGTCGCTACGGCAGGCCAGCAGCGACTTCTCCATCATCATGTCTTCCTCGTCGAAGCTGCGCGCGCCGTCGGCCGGCGCAGCTCTGCCGCTGTGGCGCACCCGGCGCCGGCACCGCGCCCGGTCTTCCCCTGAGCAAGGAAGAGAGCGCGGCACGGCGCCTGCCCATGCCGCGTGGCGGGCGCGTCCGTCTGCACATCACACCGCACTTCCACCTCTCTCCGCTCGTCCGTGCGGCGACGCACGATGCAGCATCACCACAAGTTGACCTCGATTGCGAAAGCGAGGCGGACATCCGGTGTGGTGACGCGCGTGCGCGGAGAGGCGGAGGGGGCACTTCGAGGGCGGCACAAGGACTGGGGATGAGCGCGACGTGGTGATCGAAGGCGAGTGCAAGGGGACAAGCACAGCAGGCCAGTGAGAGTGAAGAGCAAGAAGCGAGCGAGAACGGAAGGGAGGCGAGGACCCGAAGCAAGTGGGAGGCGAAGAGAGCGAGCGAAGGAGAACGGGCGCGAGACGGGGATCGGGGCCGAGTGGACGCGCTGCCTGGCTTCCTCCTCCTCCTGCCACTTCTCCGTCGTCGTGAGCCGATGTCATCTGTGCGAGAGGGTGTATGAGGTCGTCGTCCGTCCTCGTCAGTCGGCGAGGACGACGCATTGAAACGCCAGCCGCAGCAGCGAGAGGATGGCGCCGCTCGGAACGCGACGCTCGCGGGCCGAGAGATTCTGTTCGCCTGGCAAAGCGCAGTCGAGAACGCAGGGCGCAAGACTGAGTGACTGAGCCGCGGCGACGCTGCCGCCGATGGAAGGAGCGGAGAGCTGGCGTTCGGTGATGATGGCGGTGCGCGGAAGCACAGCCGCGACACCGCGCTCGCCTCGTTGGGCTCCGGCGCGCCGCCGACGCTGCGCCGCTCTCCTTCCCACTCCTCCTCTCTCCTCCGCTCCCCTCTTGTCGCCGCAGACCTGCACAGTCCTTCTGGCATGGAGAACGCATCGATTAGGTCACAGGCGTGAGGCGCGATCGAGACGAGGGGCTCAGGCACTGCCCTCAGCAGCCACGTGCTGGTGGACGGCCGGCTCGATCTTGAAGAAAAACTGAGGAAGCGTTCGCCAGTCAGCATGAGCTCGTCTGCAAGCCTCACAACACTCGCCGCAGGAACGATCTGGGCATCGAAGAATGGAAGCAGCTAAACAACAGGCGTCAATACGACTCCTTCAGGGGCAGCGGGGTGCCACCCACCTGCGTCTGGATCATGCCGCACGTGCCGTCGCCCTGGTCGAGCCACCAGTAGTGGTTGGCTGTGCGCGGAAGCGTCAGCGTGCTGGCGGAACAGAAGCTTTCTATCTCTATTTGACGCCGCCTCACCGATGCCTGGGGGCAGGTTGGGTCAGTCAAGCGAAGCATGCTGCGCGCGTGTTCAACTCACCGGCCCACCAGACAGACTTGCCGCTGCGGCCGTTGGGCACGCCCTCGGGCGTCTTGCAGCCGGCGAGGGCCCACTGCTTGGGGATGCCCTCGAGGATGGTGAGCGGGTTGGACATCTCGGGCTGCGCGGCGACGATGGGGCGCTCGAGGTCGGGCACGAGCTTCTCGGGCAGGCGGTCGCGCATCAGCTCCTTGACCGACTCGGGCTTGAGGATGCGCCCGCCGTTGGGGTGCTGGCCGTCGTTGAGCAGCGCAACGAGGATCTGCGCGCAGTGTCAGCAGCGGCCAGAGCCACGCGGCGGGCTGGTGCCCACCTGGCAGTACTCCTTTGCGTTGCCGTACAGGCCGGCGCCGCCGTACTGGATCTCCATCTTGGACTCGTTCGACTCGACGAGGTAGTCGCGCGCCGAGATCTTGCCGTCCGCTCCGCGCCTGCAAGAGGGTCAGGAGCCGCTCCAGGGCAGCTTGCGCGCGGCACTAAGACTCACTTGTGCATCGAAGCGAGGCGCGGCTTGACGCCGCCGGGAATTCCCGTGTCAGGACGCATGGTCATCTCCGTGATGCCAAGCGGCTTGAAGATATTTTCCTTAAAGTAGCCGTCCAGGTCGAGGCCGGAGACGCGCTCGACGGCCTGGCCGGCCCAGTCGATACCCGTGCCGTACTCCCAGCGCGTGCCGGGCTCCGACGCCAGCGGCGCCATGATCGACGCCTTCTCGCAGCCAAAGCCGGCGGCGCCGACCTTCTCGAGCTCGATGCGCGTCTGCTCGTTGAAGAACTGCAGGCGGGTGTGAGCAGAGAAGGCAAATGACGGGGCGTGGCACGCACGGGGTAGCTCTGTCCGGACTGCAAGGAAAGACATGTGTCAGCACACTCCGCAGCTAGTCACGCGTTACTGCTCACCGTGTGGGAGAGCAGGTGGTTGAGCGTGATGGGCACCGTGTTCTTGCGGCGCTTGCCGTTCTCGAGGATGTCCTGGCCCTTGAGCTCGGGCAGGATGCCGTCGATGGGCGCGTCGAGGCTCAGCTTGCCCTGCTCGACGAGCTGCATGGCGGCGATGGCCGTGATGAGCTTGGTGCAGCTGTGGATGGCAAAGAGCTGGTTCGGCGCCATCTTCTCGCTCGGCTTGTCGACGCCGCGCACGCCGGCGGCGGCGTGCGCCAGCGTGTTGCCCTTGCGGTCCGCGGCAAAGACGACGGCGCCGGGCACCGATGTAATGGGATCGGCGCAGAGCTCGTTGAGGATCGACTGGACGGTGTTCTGAAGCGACATGTTGGTGTTGAGGTGGTGGTGGTTGGGAGGCACGGCGAGCGAGGCGGAGGCGGTGCTTGATGAGGCCGCGGCGACCGCCTGAGCGGCCCTCTCGAAGACATGAGTCTGGTGCTGTGGGACGGCGGCATCAAGCGCCGGCGGCCGGCATCCCCACGGCCTGTGCACTCTCCAGGGGCAGCAGCGTGCGGGGCAACAAGATGGCGGCTGCGGGGATGTGGAGCCGCACGGGCGGCTTCCTGCTCAGGACCGCAGCCGCACTCTGCTTAGCGCCATCATGCGGCCAGGATGCGCGGCCAACGCATCCACCCCGGCCGGGCACTCCGCGTGCTCCTTCTCGCACACAGCGGTTGGCTCTTGTCCATCTCCTGAGCTGCGGATGCCGCTCGCCGTCAAGGAACAGAGCAGCTCGACGCGCCGCGACTTCCGCTCCGCCGGCTGCACGTCAGCCGGGCGACAGGAGCGCGTCCGAAGCGCTCGTGCCGCGGCCAGACGGCTTGAACATCTGAGACGAAGTGACAGGCGACTGCAGCTCAACGTCTGGTGTCCTCTCGCAGAGCTTTCAGCGTCAAGAGTGCAGCGCAGGGGCCAGCCGACGAGCTCTCGATGGGCCGAATGTGGGGAAGCAAGCACGGGCCACATCAAGATGCGGGCGCGGGGCAGCGAGCCGGCCGTCGCGTGCCGGTCGCTGAGGAGCGCGACTCCGCCGATGCTCAAATTCGGCACAGCCTTGCGACCGTGGGAACATGTGGTCGGGGATGAACCTCGCACCGAAGCCGGCCAGCTACTTCCCTCTTCCCGCCCACAGCCCACCTACCGCCTCCCCGCCCACACACGCCGCCCTCGCTCGTCCGTGTTCCGGCCCGACATGTCGGCGGCGATGCTGCCGCCTCGAGCGCCGGCCGCGCCTGCCAAGCGCCTGGCTGTCGACGCCCCCGCGGCCGCCAGCCCGTCGCCGGCGAAGCGGCCGCGAGCCAAGACGCATCTCTGCGCCGACGACGGCTGTGGCGCCGCGTTCCACAGCCCGGCCCGTCTGCGCGAGCACGAGCGCAGCCATACCGGAGAGGTGCGTGCGCAGAGACAGGCGCATGCTGCTGGCCCTCGCTGACCTGTCTTGCAGCGCCCGTTCGTCTGCCCGCATCCCGGCTGTGACTCCGCCTTTGCACGCTCGCACCACCTGTCTGCCCACGCGCGGGTCCATGCATCGACCTCTCTGCTGGCAGATCCGCAGCCGTCCGGCGTGGCCTCGCCGGAGCGCATCCGTCTCTGTGCGGCAGCACCAGTCTGCGCAGCGCGCTTCATGACGGCATCGCACGCGCGCCGGCACGAGGAGACGTGCGACGTGCTGCGCGCTGCACGCGTGGTGGAAGGTGGCGAGACGGCCACGGAGCTGGAGGACGAGACGCGCACGGATGCCGAGCACGGCGTGGCTGATGCTGAGAAGGCGAAGAAGAAGCGAGGAGGACACAAGGATCGAGACCGCGACTACGAGGTGAGCTGGCTGACCGCTGGCGAGCACTACGCATCGCTGACTCTTCTCAGTGCACCGAGCCTGGCTGTGACCACACGTTCCGCAAGCGCAAGCACCTGCGAGCGCACATCTGGGCGCGCCACTCGGCCTCTCCTGCCGCGTCGCCTTTCGCTACAGGCACGCCTGCCGTAGCAGCCGAGGAGGGCACCAAGCCGTTCGTCTGCGCGCAGCCAGACTGCGGGCAGGCATTCGCCTCCTACTCGGCGCGGCGCAAGCACATGCGCAAGCACGACGCCAAGCGCTACATGTGCGCCCAGCACGAGACGCCGGAGCACTTCGAGACGTGGTCTGCACTGCAGGCGCACATGCGCGCCGCGCATCCGCCGACGTGCTCGCATCCCGGCTGCGGGCGGGTCTTCAGCCGGCTCGACCACCTCAAGGAACACGAGGCGCGGCATGTGGCGCGGCAGAGGAGCGAGAAGCTCGCTGAGCAGGAGGAGGGCACGGGCTTCGACGTGGCGGATGAGGACGAGAGCATCGAGGAGCCGCCTGCACGGCCAATGTTCGCCTGCAACTGGACAGAGTCGCAGTGCAGCAAGACGTTCAAGAGCGCCTATGCACGCGACACGCACGTCCGCGTCTTTCATCGCGGCGAGCGCAATCACAAGTGCGCCTGCGGCAAGGCCTACGGGCACGCGCATCTACTGCGGGCCCATGCCAAGCGCTGCGCTGCAGCGACAGGCGCCGGCGACTCGGCCGAGCAGTCTGCAGCGAGCGACGCAGACGAGGGCGAGGACGGCGACGACGATGGAGCCGACAGCGCCGCCACGTCGGACCTCAGCGACGACGAGTTCTTCCGCCGCGAGGGCGGAGCAGTGCCCGAGTCGCACGCCTCGCGACCGCGCGCGCCACGACGGCTGAGCGGCAGCGCCGCCGAGGCATCTGCGGAGAAGCGGCCGCCCAAGCTGCTGCACCTCCTCACGGGCTCGTCGTACGCACAGCCCGCGACGCTCTCGCGGCGGCACCGCACGCGCATCCTCTCGTGTCCCTGGGCGCGCGTCGTGGCACTGCTCGACGCCGAGGACGACGCACAAGGCGCCGAGGCGATCGCAGCGCTCTCGCCGCAGGACGTGCAGCAGGCGTGTGCCTTTCGCTTTGGCCGCCTGTACGATGCGCGCCGCCACATGCGTGCCGTGCACGAGGTCGAGCTCAGCGACGCAGAGCTGCGGGCCCTCATTCCGGCCGACGAGACGGCCGGGCTGCCGAAGCCGCGCCGCAGCGAGACGCCGGCCAAGTAGCGTCTCGGCTCGCCATACCCCATACCTTCGCGTTTCAATCTGCAATCGCGATACCTTGCCGTGCTTTTGTCGTGTCAGAGCTGTGATTGCATGAGGTGGTGGTACAGTAGTGTAGTGTCGAGCGAGCGGAGATGCGGCGAGGGCTTGAGAGGCAGCGAGTTTACCACTCGTCATCGTCGTCCTCGTCGTCCTCGTCAGCCGGCGCCGCAGCCGGCGGAGCGCCGTGTGATCGGCGGATCGTGATCTTCATGCCGTTGCCGCCAGCGCCATTGCCCTGCGGCGCCGCGCTGCCCGCCTCGTCGTCGTCGCCCGGCGACGTCGGCCCGCTCAGCGGCTCCTGCGCCGGACTGCTCCAGGGCCCCGTCGCTGCCGAGCCGCGTGCGCCGCCGGCGCCCGGCGGCGTGCTATGCCGCACGCTGCCGCCAGGCACGGCAGACGGCCGCACCGGCGCCACGACGCTGGACGCAGCGGGGCTTGCGCCCTCGAGCCCGGCCTCGGGCCGTGCGGTCGGCGGGTGCGGCACTGCAGGCGGAAGCGTGGCGTCGAGCGACTCGTAGAGCAGCCTGTTGTCGCGTGGGGGTCAGCTTGGTGGAGGCGCAGAGGTCTCAGAAGGCACACGCACGCTCGCTCGAGGCGCATGCGCTGGATGTTGCGCTTGATGCGCAGGGTCTTGAGGTGCAGCTTGTCGTTCTCCTGCAGGCGATGAGATGGCGTCAGGTTGTGCTCGCTGCCGAGCTGCCTCTCCTCGCGAGGATGTTCCACTGCCAGCTCCTGCACAGGCCATGCGCAGTCCGGCACCACTTTGCGATGGCTCCCTGCTGATCACATAGGCTGCGCTGCGCCTATGTGTAGAGTCACCTGTCTCGCGGGCGCACCCGCCAAGCAGCCGCAGCAGCTTCGCGCCCCTGCACCGCCTGCCGCCCTGCTCTCTCCCCTCGCAGCAGGCTCCCCCAGCGCTGCCGCCGCCGCTGCTCTGCCGCTCCACTCACGCGCTCGATGGCGCTGACGCGCTTCTTGAGCTCCTTGTACTTGCCGCGGTACTTTGTCGCGTTGGTCTGCACGGCGACGGTGGAGGAGTAGGCCTTGCTCTTGGGCCCGCGCGGGCCGCCGCCGGTGGGCGCGGTCGACGGCGCGGCGGCAGCGGGCGGCGGACTCATGGCGGCGGCGGCAGGGGCACGCAGGCGGGCGGAGCGGACGGAGAGCGGCGGCGGCGGCGGTGGTGGTCGTGGTGGTGTGGTGTGCGTGACGCAGCCGCGGCGACGGCGCTGGCGCGCTCGGTGCTGGCTGCTGCTGCGCACGCTGCGCCGCGCTGCCAGCTGTGGAGAGGCGCGCGAAGTGGCTCGCGAGGCGCATCACCGCGGCGCGGCTGCGAGCGGGAGCGCCGCCGGGCGGTGCTTCTCGAGGGCGAGAGGCGCGTGGGAAGAAGGCATCGTTCGCAGCAGCAGAGTCACCCCACGTCTCAGCCTCAACATAAGTGCTGCTGGCGCTCGGAAGGCCCGGCCTCACTCAGACATGCGAGCTTCTGGGCAACGGAGTGAAATGCAGGAATGGCAGGTGGTCGTACAGCCGAAATGTGGGGCGCGGCAGGGCGTGTGAGTGGGGGCATGGGGATGGAGAGCGAGGAAGCGGGCGAGGGCCGGAGCCAGCACTGCCGCGCAGCAACGGCCGCCGCAGGTGCGGTGCAGCAGACCACCGCTTGGCGCTGCGGGCGAGGAGAGTGACAGGGATGCCATTTTAGACGCAGCTATGGTGGAGAGAAGTGTCGCTGGCGCCGTCGGCCGCAAAGGCCATCCCCAAACATCCAAAGCATCCCATCCCCAACCAGCGGCAAGGCCTTTTGAAGCGCAAGAAGCGGATTTACTTCTTGGCAGCGGCGGCCTTGAGCACCAGCTTGACCACCTTGGCCTCCTCGACGAGGAAGGCGCGGATGATCCTGGGCGCGGACGGGTGTGAGCGCGGTGTTCTCGCGATGGACTGAGGCGGCTTGAAAGCAGGACGACAGCCGGCAGCAGCGACACAGCGACGCATCACTGCGATGCGCTCGGTGCCCTGGCGCAAGCGGGACACAGCCCACCTGCTGGCCGCTCGACCAGCCTGACGTCGTGCCGGCCGGCAGTACTCCATCGCCCTACGCTGTACGCTGTGCAGCACCTGTGTCGCTCCCCCAGTCTCTCGTCGCGCCCACCAATCTCTCGCACACCATCGCCCTGCCTCGAGCCTCCACTCTGCGCGCTCCTCGCAACACTCACCGGGTGCGCACGCAGTTGGCGCAGCGGGAGCCGCCGTAAGCACGCTGCACGGTCTTGTGCGTCTTGCTGACGTTGGCGTACTCGCGCGGGCGCAGCGCCTTGATGCCGGGCAGCGCGACGTGGCAGTCGCCGCACTTGGGGCTCGTCGGCAGCTTCTTGAGGTGCAGGTAGCGCAGCTTGCCGCCCGGCGTCTTGACCACGCGCCGGCGGTTCGACTTGGTGTTGTACGGCGTACGCTTGCGGATCGTGAGACGCTCGGCCATCTGAGCGAGGCGTGCCGTCAGCATGCCGCTCCTACTCTGCTGCTTCGACTCATCCCGCCGCCATCGATGCGCTGCCCATTCTGCTCGCCCGCTGCTGCACTGCCTCCCAGCAGCACATAGACGCCTGCGCCGAGCCATTCGCCTCGGCCCACAGCAGCACTGCGCCCGAGAGCACTCTCGGCCTGCCATCACCGAGCCACTGCACCCATGCCCGCTCAGTGAGCGCTGCAGCGTTCGACCGCTGCGGCTGCATGTGCCGCCGCGTCTGCTCGGCGCTGCAGCGTGGTGCGCTGCGCTCCTCCTGGCGCAGAGCAGGCGCAGCGAGAATGCCTGGCTGCGCGGCGCTGCGACGTGCGTTTCGGCACGCGAGAGGACGCGCAGCAGTGCAGCATGGCGGAGCAGAACGACGCATCGAGGCGGCGAGGAGGGTGCGGCGTCGATGCTCACTTTGAGAGAGTCTTGAGGGGGGGAGGGTAGCGGGCGGAAGGGAGGGGCGCGGCGGTGCTGTCGTGGCGGCGGCAGCGGCTGCAGCGCGGCGCTCGCCGCCGTCGCGCCCGCAGCACGAAGATCGAACGGCGGCGCGCCTTACGTAAGCGCGTCTGCCCGCCTGCCGTGCTGCCGCCGCATGCCGCAGCACCGCCGCCGCGCGCTATTCGGCAGCGCTCCCACACTGACGGCAGCTCAAGCGGCGCCGCACAAGCCGTGAAAAGGCAGCAGTCCGACCAGAGGGTGGAGAGTGACGCCGCATGGCCGCCAGCAACGAGTCTCATTTCTTCGCTCCCTTGCCCGGCACAAAGTTGATGCTCGAGCCGCCGCCCGGCTGCTGCTGGATCTGGAAGTTGTCCGTCGAGAGGCCAAACCAGCCTGTTGAGTGCATCAGCAGATGGTGGGTGCTGCACGCATCCATCGGAGGTGCTCACCCAGCACACTGTCGCCGATGCCCTTGAGCTTGCCCATCATCTCGTCCTTCTCGCGCGTCGCGGCCGCCTCGACGCGCGGCGGCAGCTGCGCCAGCTTGGTGCGCACCGTCGGCCGCAGCGCCGCCGGCGTGTCGGGCAGGCGCGAGAGGTGCTTGTAGTCTGCTGGTCGTGAGCTGGGGAATGAGGAGCAGGGCCCCTGTGCAGACTCACCATCGAGCGCGGCGCTGAGTGCGGACCAGCCGCCGAGCGCCTCGTTCGCCTGTGCCCGGCGGTTCAGCGACTTGATGTAGTCGGGGTCGTCGGCGAGGGCTGATTGCCTGAGGTCAGCACAGCAGCGATGCAGCACCGCTCTGCTCTACCCACAGTTGGAGGCCGCCGCGACTGCGCCCTTGTAGTCCTCCTGCGCCGGCACGTCAGAAGCAGCCCTGGCAGCGCGCGGTGCGGTCACTCACCAGCTTCAGGTGGCACGCCGCCATGTTCGAGTACAGCAAAGCGCGCGCCTTTGCGCACTCGAGCAGCAGCAGGCTCTCCTCCGGGTCCTCGTCGTCGGCCAGCTCGACGAAGCGTGATGGCTCCGCCTGGCCGGCCCCTCGCCGCGTCCGCGGCACGGGCTCCGGGACCGGGACGTTTGCCTGCCGCTCTCCGTCGTCGCTGCCTTCGCCATCCGACTCTTCTGGCACTGGTCGCGGCGGCAAGATGGCCAGCGCGTCGTTGTAGCTGCCGACCGCCTCGTCGAAGCGGCCCGCCGTAAAGTGCGCATTGGCTGCGGCCTTCACGGGCGCTGCAGCGGCCAGTGCATACTGCGGGCGAAGAGTGGATGGGTGACGGGCGTCAGATGCGATTACGGCGGGACAATGAATAGTACAGGAATAGTCTATGGGGTAAGGGAGAGAGGCTCAACGCACGCGGAGCTTCTTGACCAGCGGCTCGTCCTCGCCGGGCGCCTCGTCTGCAGGGGCCTGCGCAGCTCCAGCCGGAGCGTCCAGCGAGGCAGCCATCTGCTGCTCGTCCTGCGCTTGCTTGTCGTTGATCTCGACGGGAGCCTGGCCCTGCGCCTCGCGCGCGGGCGACTCGGAGCGCTTGCGTACCTGCGGCGTCTGTGTCTGCAGCACCCGCTCGGCGCGTGCCTCTCGTGCCGCCTGAGCCTCGGGCGTCTCGGCGTCAGGGCCCTGCTGTGGTGGCATCGGCGCACGGAAGTATGGCTGTGCAAGCCAGTGTGGGATGTAGGAGGGTCGCTGCGGATCTGCGCCCTCCGCCAGCACGTCGCCGCCGTCGGGCCGCAGCGGCACCGAGCCAGGTGGCCGCGACGCCGGCGCCTGCTGGTACTGCGGGTCCTTCTTGTCCTCCTCGAGCTGTGCAGCGAGCAGGTCGACGAACGGCCGGAAGGCTGCTGCGATGGCGGCGGGATCTGAGCTCTGCGACTGCTCGGGCCGAGCCTTGCCGAGGTCGCCGCGCAGGTCGCGGTGCACCTCAAACGCGGGCCGGCAGATCTTGAACAGATGTGACCGAATCGCGGAGACGGCCGTCGGCGTCTTGAGCGCAGCGACAATGTCGAGATACTCGCGCGCGAGCTCGACGATATCGGGGAACGGCAGCTCGGGCGCCATGGGATACAGCTGCGACGGCGCGGCGGGCGACTCGCCGAAGATCGTCGGCGTGTACAGGTTGCCCTCGGCCGACATGACGGCGTCGGCGCCGGTGATGCGCAGCGCCTCCTCGACGTCTGCCGGGTACAGTACGTTGCCGTTGGCGATGACGGGCACCGCGACGGCCTCCTTGACGGCACGGATCTTGCGCCAGTCGGCCAGGCCCGTCTTGTGGCCCTTCATCTCGCGCGTACGCCCGTGCACGGCGATGACCTGGGCACCTGCGCGCTCGAGCATGCGGGCATAGGCTACAGTGCGCTCGGTCGTCGGAAAGACGCGCATCTTGGCCGTAACGGGCACCTTGAGGTTGAGGTGCAGCGTGTTGATGAGCGAGAAGATCAGCGGCCAGTCCTCTTGCAGATACGAGCCAAAGTGCCCGCGCTTGGCAATGTGCTGCGGGCAGCCGAGATTCAAGTCCACGCCGTCGCAGTGGTCCTCGACGCCGCGCGCGGCCGCGAGCAGCAGCTGGGGGTCGTTGGCGGCGAACTGGAGCGTAGTCAGCACGAGCGGCGCAGAAGAAGAAGGGTCCGACGCTGCAGACTGTACTCCAAGATCCCTCCGGGCACATGACAGGCTGGCCGTAGCAGGCAGAGCTCAAGCAGTGAGGCCATCGTCCTACCGTCCGGCAGCTCCCTCCTTCGCGGCCCTCTACTCACCTGCACGAGCAGCGGCCGGTCCGTCTCCTGCGCCCCCGCCAAGTCCAGACTCCGAGCGCCCTCCTCGCCGAGCGGGCGGTTGAAGAGGGCGTCGCAGTACTTGGCGCGCGTCTTGCCCTTGCCCGGCTCGCCCCACTGGCGCGCGCTGATCATGGGCGAGTAGACGAGGTCGGCGCCGTGCCTGCGCGACAGGATGCGCCACGGCAGCTCCGAGGCGTCGACCATGGGCGCGATGACGCGGCGCGGACTGCCGAGTACGTCGCGCCAGAAGGCGAAGCCGGCGGCCTTGGCGTGCACGGGCGTGCCCGTCGGCGGGAAGCTGTCGAGCGGCGGCACGGGCGTCTCGACGACGGGCAGCGCGCATGCCGATGCGGAGGCGCCAGCCTCGTTGCTCGTGGCCGACGGCATGCGGGCCACGCGCGGAGACAGGAGGCGCGCGAGCGACGTGAGTCCAGTGGCCGCCGCGAGGAGGCGCCGCAGCGGGGCGGGCGAGGGCAGCGCCGTGATGAGTAGAGCGGGGGGGCGAGTGGAGGAGGGGAGGGAAGGGGCGCCGGTCACGTGTGCAGCTGGGCCATGAGGAAAGGCCGGCCTGGCGCGGCGCCGGCGCGGCCCGGCCGAGCGCGACTCCGCGCCCCCAGCCAGCCAGCAGGCGCCGAGTTGCAACGCGGTGCGCGGGCGCAGCGAGCGTGCCGTGCAGCCGGCGTTGAGATGAGCCACACGTCGCACGCCGCCGGCCGTGGAGAGCGTCGCTGCTGCTGCTGATGGCGTTGGCCACGCTCGCTCCTTCTGACCTCGAACTCCACCCCCACTCCACCCGCCCAGCATGGCTCCCCTCGACGGCTTCTCGCTGTTCCGCTTCATCAAGAGCTCGCCGAACCTGCTGCGCTCGCTGCAGCCCATCAGCAACGCCTACGCCAACGCCGCCGGCCACCGCAAGGTCGGCCTCAAGTACGACGACCTCATCATCGAGGAGGACGGCAAGGTGCAGAAGGTGAGCACGCCAGCAGGGGTGGTGCCTTGTGCGGTGGCGCAACGGCGATGGCACCGTGTGCGGCGGCGGCGGGCGCAGCAAGTCGCACCCGCGACCCGCCGGCGCCACGGGCAGGAGGGGGAACCGGATGGCACAGTCGCAGGCCCGAGAGTCCAGCACAGTGCTGCGCGCGCCACCACGAGCGCACGAGCGCATCGCCCTGCGCTTCCGCAGCTGCTCAGGGCGCCCAGAGTCGTGCAAGCGCGGTGGAGCTTGCGCAGCGACTTGCAGCGCCTTGTGGCCGTGCGCGAGGGCCTTGCGATGCAGGGCAGGGATGCGACGCGGGCCGCACGCCCAAGAGTCGGCCTCGCGAGTCCTTAGCCGAGGCTCCAGGGCTGGCCCCACTGGCGGCCCGTGCGTTGTCCGCTGCTCCGTGGCTAGCGACCCAGAGCACGGGCGGCTACTCGATGTTACCTCCTGGCTCTAGCTCATTCGCTGACACTCGGTTTCCACAGGCGCTGAGCCGTCTCTCAGAGCGCGAGTCGTACGACCGCGCCGCGCGCCTGCGCGCTGCGTTCCAGTACTCGGTGCTCCACCGCGACGCGCCGAAGGAGCAGTGGCTGTCGGCTGAGGATGTGAGTGATCACGGCATCGACGGGTGGCGCGGGGCGAGGCTAGACGGATGCGTGTCGGGCTGGAGGAGGTGTGGGGCTGCTCGAGGCTAGCGGGAGAGGTGCGCAGCCCGCAGATGCCACTTGGCCGGGAAGGAGGTGATGCCGAGCGACCGCCACGCGCGCGCCACCTCTGCCACGCCGAGGCCTCGCGACCGACCCGCCCACTGACGCCGTCACTCGTGCCGCCAGGACAAGCGCTACCTGACGCCGAAGATCGAGGAGATCGAGTCGCAGGAGAAGGAGAGGTCAGACTGGGACACGGTCAAGGTGTCGAAGAACTAGAGAGGATGGGGGACGGGCATGCCTGTGTTCGCGCACCACACCATGCCGGAATGTGACACGCTTCGCTTGGCTTGCCTCGAGACGAAAGAGAGGGTGCGAGACAGAAGAGGCAAGGCTAGATACGGAGAGGAATGCGCAGAGGCTCGCGGCGCATGGGTGCAGGCAGGACGCGACTGGCGACGGGGCTTTGGCCAGGTGCTTGCCTCTCTCCGGCACAAGGCCTGCTCAGGCCTCATACAGATGCTTGGCATGGCTCGATGTGCAGATACCAGCGGCCAGACCCACCGCCAGGTCCATGGCGTGTCGTGCACGCGCTGCGCCTTCTCTCGATGCGCTCGAGTCTTGCGGTGGCACCGAGCGTCAGTGTCGTTCGGTGTCCACGGCGCACTGGCAGACCAAGAGAAGGCACTCTGTTGATCTAATGCCGCTGTGATGAGCCGCTCGAGCGAGATCTTCAACTAGAATGGACGAGTCAACGGCGTGCTGCCGCTTCTGCTGACTCACCGGACGTCAGCCCATGTTGCAGGGCCTCCGCATGTATCAACGTCTCCCATCCTTCATGCCGCCTGCACAAGCCTTGACGGGACGACGCGAACTTGCGGGGAGCACTCTCGAGCACAGCAAGTCTTGCAGCGTCGGCCTCCGGCACGTGCCTCCGGCATCGCCGAGCCTCGGAGCCTTTGTGTCCGAGGCAGCTACAGGTGACTGGCAGCCCTTCGACGGCAGGTGCACGCAAATGTGACTGCCAGGCTCGCCCGCATCGCCGAGGGCATGTCTTACAGGTGGGAAAGGGTACGGCCAGCTCGGGGGTTCAAGGCGGTCGCTGACCGCATGTAGCCGCCTGCTAGGTAGGTGCGACGTGCATCCCAGTCGCAGCGACCGTCCGGTCGACGTCTGTGCGCATGCGCAGGATTACAAGCTTCGACGCTGGTGCAGAGGCGAGGACCGCAAGCGGCTGCAGGCCAGTCCGGAGGGTGGCCCGCCCTGTCCGGCCGGCCGTTTGGGTCGACGCGGCGACGGCCGGCTGGCCGTCCGCGAGCGCCGCGGCCAAGCTCGCTCTGGTGCGCCCAGGCGATCCCTCCGCCCATGCGCGGCTGCAGCGCCCGGTCAAGTGCTGCGACAGCGAGATGGCAGCCGCACGCTGCAAGATGCAGCGGCGATGCGGCGGCGCATGCCCCTCGGACGCCACCGCCGGCAGCTCGCCGCGATGGCGCCGAGGCAGGGCGCAGGATGGCTGCGGCCTGCGGCGCAGAATGTGGCCTGGCTTCTGCGCCCTGGCATCAGGGTGCAGCTAGCGATGCGTGCTTCTAGTGCGGCCCTGGACAGCTGCATAGGTCCTGGTGGGCGCGCTGCAGGAGACGAAGCGGCCGTGGCGTGGCGCATGCGGAGCTGCGTGCGGAGCAGGCGGCTCCGAGGCGCCGGAGCGCGGCCGGCCTGTGTGCTGTACCGCTGCTGCGCCGACGATCTTGCCAGGGTCCGGGTCCGCGCAGGCACAGGCGGGTGGCAGCTGCGCCCTGCATCTGGCTGCTGCACCCTGTGGCAGGCACGGCGCCGTGGAAGCTGGAGCAGCGCAGCGCAGGGCCGCTGCGAGGCACTTGGCCGCACGGAGGCGCCGCGAGGGCGCTCCCGAGGCGCGCCCTGGCTGGCCTTGGCGGGCGCATGCGGCGCGCTGCGTCGCGCCGGGCGCTCAGCCACGCGGCGTTCCCACCCCGACGCACGCGCGCCGCAGCGGGGCGTCGCTGCTGCCATGCTGCCGCCCACCACACCACCCGCCGCACCGCTCCGCGATCCGTCATGCCGCCGTGGGGAGCGCCGCACAAGTCCCGCGGCTGCGATCTCGGTTCCACGCCAGCGGTCCCGACGCCGCACACTCCCGCCTGCAGCACAGCAGCAGCAGCGCCCGGCCGCCGGTCCGCCGCCGCGGGCGCCAGATCGCCCCCTGGGCGCGCCCGCCCGTTCTTGCGCCCACGCCCGCACACGTGGCTGGGCACCAGAGCCGCCACATGCGAGGTGCTCGGCCAGTTCGTCGAGTGCGCTGCCGTGAGAGCAGCCTCTGTCTCACGCTCCGCCGCCTGGCACGCAGCGACGTAGGGCCGCAGCCGCTGCGTCCCGCGCCGTCGCGCGCGCGTCCGCATCCGCCACGCCGACCCCCTCGCGCTCCCGCTCCCGCTCGCCCGTCCAGAGGCCTCTCCAGCGCACACGCTGCCGCTGCGGCGCACCGTGCGTGTGGCACATGCTCGCCCTGCGTTGGAATGCTCGCAGTGCAGCAAGCTCGGGCATCTTCCCGCAGCAGCTCGGCGACGCGCCCGGCGCCATGCGCTGCAGCGTCGATGCTCGCGACCCTGCTCGATGCGCAGCATTGCCACGCCGTGCACGAGGCCTCTACGCATAGACCGCATCGAGCGGCTGCTGCATGAGCAGCACAGCAATTAGCATCCGGCCACACTCTGTTCCCGTTGCGAGGCAATCCTGCGAGCATAAGAGGGACAAGCTCTGCCGCAGCCCCACGGCGGCTCCCACCTCCCTCTCTCGCCCTCATCGGTCCTTCAGGCCGCGCAGGCCTCGACATGCGCATCTTCTCGCTGCTCCTCACGGCGCTGCCGCTCGTCGCCGTCGCGTCGGGCTCGGTGATCCGCCCGCGCGCAAAGGGCGACCTTGGCTCGTACTGCACCAAGTCGACGCAGTGCACCTCCGGCCCCGACGTCTTCTGCAACCGCAACCGCTGCGACACGCAGAAGCCGCCGGCATCGCGGTGCTACAAAGACAATGCATGTCTGAGCGGCACATGCACCAACGGCCGCTGCGACGAGTACACGAAGAACGCGCCCATCGGCGCCTACTGTCTTGTCTCGAGCGTGTGTCGCTCGGACAACTGCGAGTACTGGCATTGCCAGAAGAAGAAGCCCGACTTTGCGCCGTGCTACAAGAACAAGAACTGCCGCAGCGGCATCGTGCGTATGGCCTGGCCCCCGTCGCTTGATGTCAGCCGCTGACCCGCCCCGACAGTGCTCGCCCGGCGGCCGCAACACCAAGTCGACCTGCCAGCCGATCATCACGCAGGACCCCACACCCGCACCTGCACCCGCACCCGGACCCGCGCCCGATCCGGCGCCCGCACCGTCGCCCGAGCCGACCAAGCTCGGCAAGAAGGGCGCGGCGTGCTCGAAGAACGAGGCATGCGTCAGCAACTCGTGCTCCAAGGAGAAGATCTGCGACGGCCTCGACACGGGCGCAAGCTGCTCTGCCGCCGAGGCGGATCAGTGCATCTCGGGTCTCTGCGGAGCCGACGGCAAGTGTGCTGCGCTGCCCAAGCGGCTGAACGACAAGTCTTGCGAGCAGAACTCGGACTGCCTCAGCGGCATCTGCTCCTCAATCACGAACCTCGGTCTGCGGTGCGTCGGCATCGCCGCCGGCAAGACGTGCTTCGCCGACCTGGCGTGCCGCTCGCTCCGGTGCGGCGGCATGCCCGGTAACATGGCATGCCTCGGCGCCGACGGCGACCCGTGCTCGCGCGACAAGCCGACGGCCTGCGCCTCGGGCTACTGTGCGACCAGCGGCCTGTGCTCGCCGAAGCCGCTCAAGGGTGTGATCGGCGATGCATGCCAGCTCGATGCCGACTGCCAGAGCGCCGTCTGCGGTACCAACAAGAAGTGCGACTTCCCAGTGGCGCTGATGCCGAACTTCTCCCCGTGCGCCTCTGCTTCGGGATGTCTCAGCGGCCTCTGCGCCGTCATTCCCACCCGTCACGCCACGCAGACGCTCTGCGTGCCTATTGCCGACAATGCGCCGTGTACCTCCGACGCGCAGTGCGCTTCGGCTTCGTGCAGCTCGACGACACACCTCTGCGTGCCCAAGCCTTCTCCGAAGGGTGTGCTCGGAGACGCTTGCCAGCTCGACGACGACTGCGAGAGTGTCCTGTGCGGCGCTGACAAGAAGTGTGCTGCGCCACGACCAGCGCTCAAGGCCAACGGACTGCTGTGCGACGCCGACGAGGAGTGCATCACGGGACGCTGTGCCCTCGAGGACCCGTTCACGGAGAATCGCTGTCTGCCGCTTCTCGCCGGAGACAAGTGTGCCGCCGACTCGGACTGCAAGTCCTCACAGTGCCTCGTGCCGTTCGATGCCACGGACAGCATCAAGCGGTGCATAGCGGACCTCGACGAGCGCTGCACGACCGATGGTCACTGCAAGTCCGCGTACTGCAACCCCTCGACGCTGTACTGCCGGCCGAAGCCTCTCCCGAACCTTTCGATCTGCACAGACGCTTCAGACTGCCTGAGCGACAAGTGCGGCCCCCTCGAGGGCGCCGCGCCCGGGTCACTGTTCTGCCTGCCGCTCACGGAGGGAGAGTCGTGCACCGTCAACGCCCAGTGCAAGACGGAGACGTGCAGCCAGACGACAAACGTGTGCGTTGCCAAGCCCCTCCTCGCCAACTTCAGCCCATGCAGTGCCGGAGCGCAGTGCGACAGCGGCTCGTGCACCTATGTTTTCGGCAGTGCGACCTCGTCCATGCTCTGCTTCCCTCGTCCCGACGGCGCGGCGTGCACCTCCGACGGGCAGTGCTCCCTCTCGTGCCACCCGACGGCGCGCGTCTGCGGCGAGCCCCTGGCGAACCTGACTCCATGCACGGCCAACGAGCAGTGTCTTAGCGGGCTGTGCGACGAGAAGGGAAGCTCGCAAACGCTCTGCATCCCTCTCACCGGCGGCCAGACGTGCACCTCGGACGCCCAGTGCGCATCGACTTCATGCGTCAGCGTGTCGGGCGTCAAGACATGCAAGGGCGCGCTCGAGGAGCGATGCAGCGTCGACGCTTTCTGTGCTTCGGGCCACTGCGTCAAGGGCCTGTGCGCCGCCACGGAGCCCAAACCCCTGGAGCTGGACGAAGAGTGCGCCGACAACGAGGATTGCCGAAGCGAGCGCTGCGATTTCCCTCAGGACAGCACGACGCTGGTGTGCATGCCCAGCTACGGCGGCAAGACATGCCGGGCGGACCGCGAGTGCGTCTCGGGGCAATGCGGCGGCGGCACTAGTGCTGCCAAGTTCTGCCGCGGCGTCGAGGGCGAGTACTGCGGCGTCATCAGCTCCTTCTGCATGTCAGACTGGTGCGGCGGCGACGGGTTCTGCGGAGCGGCCAGGAAGAAGTTCGGCCAGAGCTGTTCTGCCGACGAGCAGTGCGCCAGCGACGTGTGCGGCGAGGACAGCAAGTGCGCTCTGGGAACCTACGGCAGCCTCTGCGTGGTGAACGGCGACTGTGAAAGCAACACCTGCACGCCGCTGCAAGGTCCGACACCGGTCGAAAGCACTCGCTACTGCACGCCTCCGCCGGTCCCGAACGGCGTCGATTGCACGATGGACGTCATGTGCATCTCAGGCATCTGTGGTGACGGCGGTGTATGCCTCGGCGTCGTCGCCGGCGGTGCGTGCACCTCGAACGAGGCATGCGAGTCGGAGCTCTGCGGCGAAGGCAAGTGCCTCGGCAAGGAGGGAGCCCTGTGCTCGGTCGCAGCGGACTGCCAGTCAACTCTCTGCGACGATGCCACGAAAAATTGTCTCGCTGCTTCGCGCCTCGCGCTGGACGAAGAATGCTCTTCTGACGGCGAGTGCCTGAGCGAGCGCTGCGGCTTTGCTTTGGGCGAGGCCAGCCCGCACGCGACTTGCCTGCGCCGTCTCGGAGGCAAGCCATGCGCCGTCGCCGATGACTGTGCCTCACAACAGTGCGCCGGGACGGGCGCCGACAAGTTCTGCAAGGCTCAGAACGGAGAGGCATGCCTGGTCGACTCTTTCTGCGCATCGGCGACATGTACCGACGGATTTTGCGCTGCTCCGCTCAAGTCCAACTTCGCAACCTGCACCGCCGATGAGCAATGTCTCAGCAACAAGTGCTTGCCGAACATCTCCGTCGGCGGCCTCATGTGCTACCCGCTCGCCGTCAACGAGGATTGCACGAACAGCGACCAGTGTTCCTCGGGCCTGTGTGACGGCACCACGGAGAAGTGCCTCGGAGCCGAGAACGAGGCCTGCTCCAAGGCGGCTGAATGTGCGTCGTTCAACTGTCTGTCGTCTGGAGCGTGTGGGCCGCGCCTCCGAACGCTCGGCGAGGCTTGCAGCACGTCAAGCCAGTGCGCCTCGACCAGCTGCCAGAGCGGCGTCTGCAGCGAGCTCCTCGCGCTCGGCAGTGCTTGCATGGACGACAGCCACGGTGATTGGTGCCAGTCTGGCACGTGCCGCAACGGCCAGTGCTCGGTGCCCCTCACGAAGAACGGCGAGTACTGCTCCGCCAGCAGCCAATGCGAGTCGACCAGCTGCCAGCAAAACGCATGCGACGACCTCCGGAAGGCCGAGGAGCCGTGCGCTCTCGACGACTGGTGCGACACGTCGATGTGTGTCAATCAGCTGTGCGCAAACCAGCGAGGCGCTGGCGGAGCAGCATGCACCCTGGCTGCCGACTGCGAGTCGGGTCTCTGCTCGAACAATGTCTGCTACGGGGCTCCGAAGAGCAACGGAGAGGCATGCTCGACGGGATCCCAGTGCAGCTCGGGCTTCTGTGCTTCTGACACGACATGTGCCGACGCGCCGCTGAAGGAGCTCAACGAGATGTGCGCCAAGGACAGCGAATGCAAGTCAGGCCACTGCGGCGTCGACTCGACATGCACGGACTCGCCAACGCTCAAGAACAACGACGATACCTGCGCGTTCGACACCGAATGTATCTCGGCCTACTGCGACAACTCAGTCAACCAGTGCCGAGACGCGCCGAACCTTGACTTGGGCGAATCTTGCTCGAAGAAGAGCCAGTGCGCGTCGAAGTTCTGCGAAGCTGGCCAATGTGCCGCCCTCAAGGCCATCGGCGAGTCGTGCGAGTCGCCGGACGCCTGCGAGTCGAACTACTGCAGCACCATTAGTGGGACGTGCGCTGCTATGCCGCTCAAGGACGACGGAGCCATGTGCCGTGGAAACAACGAGTGTGCCTCGGACGTCTGCGACGTACAAAGCAATCAGTGTGTAGCTCAGAAGGGCATCAACGAGCAGTGCGACGCGTCAACCCAGTGCCAGTCGGGGTACTGCAGCGAAGGAACCTGCCTCGAACGCCCGCCGCCGGCGACCGAGACCAAGAAGGCAGTCGGCGATGCGTGCGATGCGTCAAGCGAGTGCCAGTCGGGCCTCTGTCGCAACAGCGTCTGCACGATCCCCAAGACCAAGGTGGGCGAGCATTGCGACGCCGACAGCCAGTGCGACTTTGGCTGCATGAACTACAAGTGCATGGCGCAGCCGGGCGTGCCCGGCGATGCGTGCGACGCCGACTGGGGCTGCTGGTCCGGCATCTGCCAGGGCGGCACGTGCCGTGCCATGGACGGCGACAATTGCACCGCGGCGTCTGGATGTTCGACGTATTCGTTCTGCTACTACGCCGACTCTTGCATGGCCAAGAAGCCGACCGGAGACGGTTGCGACAGCGACGACTGGTGCGGCACCGGGCTGTGCGAGAATGGCACGTGCCGCGACCCGACCGGCACGGACTGCTACGACGAGGACAATGCCGGAGCCAAGTGTTTCGCTGGGTCGTGCGCAGACGGCGTGTGTGCCGCACCCTCGCCGACGCTGCAAGACTTTGCGCGGTGCAGTGCAGATGCGGACTGCAGCTCGGGGTACTGCGACGCCTTCCAGTGCAAGGTCAAGGAGTTTGGCAGCGCATGCTCGAGCGACGCCCAGTGCAAGTCTAAGGCGTGCGGCACGGACGGCACGTGCAAGCTCAAGTTTGGGGAGGACTGCAGCAGCTCAGACCAGTGCAGCGCTGCGCTGTACTGCAACGACAGCCAGTTCTGCGGCACGAGAGAGCCTGACGGCTCGATGTGCGGCACCGACTCGCGCAAATGTGCAAGCGGGCTGTGCAGGGACCAGACCTGCCGCATACCGACCGGCGGCGCATGCATCAGACCGGACGACACCCAGGACTCGTGCTTCTCGACCTTGTGCGGATATGACTCCAAGTGCGCGCCGCTCAACGTGCCGGCAAAGAAGGGAGAGCAGTGCAGCGCCAATGCCGACTGTGCTTCCTCGACGTGCACCGACAACACATGCGCCTTGGCGGCGATCGGCGGCCCATGCTCGCAGAGCGAAGATTGCGGCAGCAACGTCTGCGATCAGTCCATCGAACAATGTATCGCGCCTTCGGCGGCGGACGGCGAGGCATGCACCAAGGACGGCGGATGCCAGAGCGGCTACTGCCTCGACAGTGTCTGTCGCCTCAAGACTGGGCGGGAGTGCGGCATGCCTGGTTCTGCGTGGCCCGCTTGCTTCAGCGGCCGCTGCAGCGGAGAGTCGGGTTCGTCGTTCATGACATGCACGCCTCTGAGCCCCAAGGCAGACATTGGGGACGCGTGTAGCGCGAACGAGGACTGCTCGTCGTCCAGCTGCGTCAACCGGCAGTGCCAAGTCAAGACAAAGGCAATCGGCGAGACGTGTTCGAGCAACAGCGAGTGTGCCTCCTCGATTTGTGAGGGAGACTCTACCCGCACCTGCAGAAGGCCCGGCGGTGCAACATGCACGGGCGCGATGGACGATGAATGCTCGGCCGACTCGTACTGCAACAAGGAACTGAACCCGCGGCAGTGCAAGCCCAAGCTGCAGCTGCGCGCGACGTGCTTCAACGGGCCCGAGTGCGCAAGCGGCATGTGCCGCAACAGCGACTGGACGTGCCGAACGAAGACCACCGAGCAATGTTCGACCGACGACGACTGCTTCTCGGGGTCGTGCAAGGTCACCTCGAAAGTATGCAGAGGACTCGACCCGCTTGCCGGCGACGGCTTCCAGTGCAGCGCCACGCCGGACTGTATCGACGGTTACGACTGCGTCGACCGAACGTGCCGGGCGAGGCCCAAGAACGTCGGCGAGGTGTGCTCCAGCAACGCCGAGTGCAGCACCGAGTTGTGCCAAGGGTCACCTAGCCGCACGTGCAGGCGGCCCGACAATGCGTCGTGCAGCGGCGGCGCCAGCGAATGCTCGGACGAGTCCTTCTGCGACACGGGCGCGGCGCTCCCGCAGTGCAAGCCGCGTGCCGGCGACGGCGGCCAGTGCAGTGCCACTGCGCAGTGTCTCGACGGGCTCGTATGCAAGAACAACACGTGCGGCGAGCCGGTCTGGGACGTCGGCCACTCATGCGAACACAACGGCCAGTGCCTCTCGACGTACTGTGAACCCGATTCCGCGACGTGCAGGCGATACAACGGCGCCACTTGCTTCGACACGCCGAAGGACAGCGAATGCGCAACCGGCTCGTACTGTGACAAGGCGTCGAGCTCGTGGGTATGCAAGGGACGTGCCGGCCCCATGGGCTACTGCGGTGCCGCAATGGGCTGTGTCGATGGCTACTTCTGCAGCACGACCAGAAATCAGTGCATGCCGAACCCGAGGGACGTCGGCGCGTCATGCAGCGCCGACGGCGAAGGCGACGAAACCTGCAAGTCAACGTTCTGCGACTCGGAGAGTGGCCCCGCGGTCTGCAAGCTCCGCGAAGGCGTGCAGTGCACGTCCAACTCGGAGTGTGGAACTGGATTCTACTGCCCTGCAGGGGCGCAGCGGACGTGCACACGGCAGCTGCAGACCAGGGATACATGCGTCGCCAGCTCCGACTGCGCCAGCTCGCTTTGCCGAGCAAGCGACAACACGTGTCGACTGCCGACAGGCACTGCTTGCGTTGCCGACCAGCAATGCTTCTCAACCTCGTGCGGCACGCAGACGAATCAGTGCAGTCCGCTGCAGACGCGCGCGACGACGGGAGCGCAGTGCAGTGCTCCGGCGGACTGCCAATCTGGGTACTACTGCTCTTCGAGCTCCCGCTGCCTCGCGTATTCCTGAGGTCCAGATCACCCCACAATACTTCTGTTCCAGCGCACGCCCGGAACGCCTCGCCAGGGCGCCAAGTGCCTCCGGCTCCCTGGCCTCTTTCTCCACTCGGCGTCTTCGCCGCCCATTCCGCGGCTTCAAGCCGCATATATCGCTCTCCATCCCTACTCACCTCGCCAGAGGTCCCCACACTCTTTTATCCCGCACCACCCACACTCCTTTTCCCTCCATCTGTGTCGATCCCTGGCGAGCGCTAGGCCGATCCCAGCTTGTACCGCATACCGCTCGTCGTGGCCTGTACCATTATCTCAATCCAGAATGTGCTACCAACAGCGGCCTAATCGAGCGAGCCTGCGATGCTTGCTTCCTGCTGCCGTGCACGAGGTGCCAGAGGCGCGCGCACGAGGTCGTCCTTGCTGATGGCCTGGCTGCGACGTCGCCACGCGATGTGCCGGGTGCGCTACGGACATTCGGGCTCGGAGCGTAGAAAACGTGCTCGGTGGAAGAGCCGCTGCGGCGTCGACGCGGCCGGGCCATGCATGCCCTCGAAGAGGTTGCGTCGCCTGGCGCAGAGCCGCCGTGCTATTCTTGCCTGCCCGCCCTCTCAGCCCGCCTCCGCTCTCTCACGCCGTCTCCTCGCCGCGCGCTCCTGCATGGCGAGCGACTGCACACGCGCCGCACGCTCCCAGAGGTGCAGGTCGACGTCGTCGATGTCGCGCAGCAGCACGGCACGCAGCACGGCGTTGCGCTGCGGCGCCGGCTGCGGCGGCAGCGCGTCGGGCGAGGCGCGCAGGAGCTCGCCGGGCACGCGAGGCTGAGTGAAGCTGTCAGTCTATGAAGGTCAGGCTTGTGTGGCGGCACATCCGGCGTTTGAGCTGCCGCTGCGGCGCTGCCATCCTTGCCGGCCGGCTCCTCCAGCACGGCATGCCGTCCATCGCCACGCTCTCTGCCACTCTCTGCCGCTCTCTGCTGCTCTCTGCCGCTCTCTGCTGCTCTCTGCCGCTCTCTGCTGCTCTCTGCCGCTCTCTGCCGCTCTAGCACACTCACGTAGCACGCCGCCGACTCGAGCTCGCCGAGCACGAGCGCCTTGCTCTTTAGGCGCGGCCCAACCGCGGCGCCGGCGAGGACGAGGGCAAAGTCGACGAGCAGGCTGGCGCCGCCGTGGCTGAGCACGCCGAGCGACGAGAGCGCGTCAAAGGCGGTGAGGCTGTGAGAGCGCGATGAGAGATGGAAGCGGTGCGCTGCTGGCCAGTCTCGCCCTGCACGACGCGCCCCGCTGGCCGAGACACACTCACAAGCCGGCGACGCGCACCTTCTCGCCCAGGTCGTCGGGGAAGCGCAGGTCGGTGAGCGGCATGAGCGTGGCGGGCGCCGGCTCGGCCATGCTGCGCGGGCGCGCGGAGAGGCAGCAGCGGTGCGGGCTCAGCGCATGCCGGCGCCAAGCGGGCGCATCGGTTGCGAGGCGAGACGATGGGTGAGAGCGGCGAGGATGAGAAGAGAGCGGCACGACGCGCGTGACGCGCCTCCACTCCACGCGTCTGGGGGCGCCGGCCCAGGGGCCTCCCGAGCACTGTCACTCGGCCCTCGGAGCACGACCGGGCGAGAAGATGGGCTCAAAATGACGAGTGAAGTGCCCGTGTCAGAGGCGGGCGCACTGAAAGACGCTTCAACCGAGGCTTTGCGGCGGCGGAAGCGACCTTACTCTTGCGCAGGCCATGCCTCCACCATTGCTGCTGCGCCCACCCGCCGCTCCTCTCGCCGCGCTCGTGAGCCATGCTCGCGCCTGAGTGCGGCGAAGAAGCGCCTCCAAGCAGCCTGCACCTCGGCTGAACGCTGCATCGACGCAGCACTGGCGCAGTCTAGTGCTGGCTCTGCGGCAGCAGCAGGCGCGAGAGGCGGTGCAGTCACGTGCGCGGGTCCGTGCGCGCTGCAGCGCCGCTGCCGTAAGCAGGCCCGATAGCGCTGCCCGACGACGAGCGGCCCTCCTTCCCGCACCACCATCGCTCTCGACGACCTTCAAGCGCCCTGCACGGCGCCCTAGACTGCATAGAACGGCGCATTCCCTGCTGCTGCCGGCCGCACGCTCTCCTCGGCTCGCCGCTTGCTCGGCCTGGGCCGCACCTCCACATCGCGACGCACCTGGCACGCACGCCTCGCACGACCTTCTCGCGAGCCTCTGCAGCTCTGCAGCCCCGCCCGCGTGGGCGCAGGCATCGACAAGCGCCTCGGCCGCTGAACGCTGGCGCACTGGCCGCATCTCTGTCTGCTCTGCGTTCGTGCGGGTGGTAGGGGTGCTTCTGCGCCAGGCGCGCACCCGGCTGCTTCCTCGACCCCATGGCGCGACGAGTGCTGCACGCAGCCGGCTGGGGCGTGGCCGGGCCGAGCAGCCTTGCTGCACCGGTGCCATGTCTCGGCGCATCAAGGCCTCGCGCGGCCGCAGCAAGGCATCGTCTGGCTTCAGGCCCTCGCTCGGTGCGGCACGCCTCTGCCACGGCGTCCAGCGACGAGGAGCTGGCGTTTCCCGCGCCGCCGTACGGGCCGTACGAGATCTTCCACCTGCCGCGCAGCGCCTCGGACGCCGACATCAAGGCGCGCTACTACGACCTCGTGCGTCTGCTGCACCCAGACCGCGCCGGCGTCGCGGATGGCAGCGCCGCCAAGCAGCAGAAGCGGCAGTGGGAGGAGATGCAAAAGGCCTACGAGCTGCTGCGCTCGTCGCGTGCGCGCCAGATGTACGATCGCTCCGGGCTCGGCTGGAATTCGCACGGCAGTGCCGCTGCCCGGGCTCGCGCGGCCGCTGCTCGCCAGGGCTGGCAGTTCCGCGGCGCGCCCGGCCACGATGGCTTCGGCTGGCAGGCCGAGTCGGCGCGCTCCGACTTCTTCTACGGCGCCAACCCGGCGCCCAAGGCCGAGGAGCGCTACACGTCCAACGTGCGCTTCTTCCTCGCCATTGCCGTCATCACGTGGAGCGTGGCGGGCGTGCAGTACTCGCGCCTCAGCGCCCAGAGTGCCCGTGCCGTCGAGCGCGCCGATCGGGCACACAGCGACGCCGTCAAGAGCCTGCAGGAGGCCCGCAATCTGGCTCGCTCGCGCGAGGGCCGCACGCGCATGGAGAACCTGCGCCGGCGAGCACGCGAGCTTGACTATTTTGGGCGAGTCGAGGCCGAACGATGCACGGCCGTGCCGCTGCCGCCGCTGCAGCTCGAGGCGCCACGTTCGTCACCTCGACAATGATCATCCGTGATGCCCTGGGAACCACGTCGTGAGCTTGGCCACATACGGTGTGGCTGGCGACGAGAGTTTGTCCCGCTCGCCGGCCAACCTCGTTGCTCAGCGTGCGAACTCAGAGGAGCCGAGCTGGCGGGAGCATGATGGCGGCAACTAAGGTTGCTGCGCGCCGCTCGCTCTCACAGAATCCTCCGCCGTGCCGACGGAAGGCCGAACAAGCCATCCAGCAGCATCGCTGCCACGACAGAGCCGGGCCTGCCGACATTAGCCAAGCCTGCGCAGGGCCCGGGCGAGTGGCAGCGGCGCCGAGCCATTGCGACTCCGGGATTCGGGGCGCCGCCGGCCGTACCTGCCCTGTTGGGACGCTGAGGCTTAGGCGTGGCGATCTTGCGCAGCGTCGACCTGCTATATCAGGAGATTTTCGATCCTTCATGCTGCGGCAAGGCCACGGCAGCAGCGGGGAGCAGAAGCAGAGTGCAGCGGTGCGAGGGTCAAGGGCGGAGTAGAGCTCGGCGCGCATTGCAGCAGCAGGCAGAAGCCTATTCTCCGCCGCGCCGCGTCGCGTCGCCCGCCACGCTGGCCCTTCACTCAACGCTGTTCATGCGCGCCGCCGAGTCGGGCTCTGGCCTGTGCTCTTGCGTTCACGCGCCCTCGGCTCGGGATGGCCGACGCTGCACGGCGACGCTCGTGAACGTCAGCGGCTCGACGAGCGTTGCCATCCATGGCAGAGCGGATGGCAAGCCGTGCTGCGAGGCCATTCCGCGCCATCCGCGCACACGGCAGCGCGGCGCTGCCTCCGTCTTCTCCGTGTGGATGCAGAGCCGGCGCATGCTTCTTCTCGCCTCGATCCGCACTTCGTCGTCGTCGGCCTCTGGGCGCGCATGAGAGGCAGCGGCGTCTCGATGGCGGCGCCGGGCGAAAGCTTGCGCCGCACAAGGTTGCGAGTGAAGGCGCAGACAGCGCTTGGCAGCCGCCAACGTGCCGTGGCATCCAGGTGCACCGTCGGAGGCGTCCACCGCGTGTGGGTATCCAGCAGCATCCAGCGCACAGCCATCCGCTCGCAGTCATTGCCGCATGGCCTCTTCCAACCCCTGGCTCTCGTAGGCGTGGGACTGCTCCACACGCCTTGCTCGCCCGCGCATGTCTCGCCCGCTCACGCCGGTTGTTGACGACCCTCCCCGCGGACGCAAGGGCGGATGGCGGCACACCCCCTCGGCCGAGAGGAGGTCTCTTGCTCGGAGCCCGGAGGGCAAACGGAGAAGTGCGAGCGTGGGCACGGGGCAGAGTGCGGAGCGCCGCTCCGACTTGATCTCCCGCGCTGCACCCTGCCAGCAGCTCAGCGCTCCATGCAGGATGCCTTTGTGGCTGCATCTCCTTGTCCAAATGCGGCGAAGGCGAGCAGCATGGAGCGTCGGGCGCAAGCATGGCGGGGGGCGCTTGCTGACAGCGGCGCCTCGGGACTTGCAGCTCCGCGCCCAGCAGCGCAAGCGCTCGCGCTGCGGTGCTGCTTCTTGCTTGTGCCGCCCTCGCGGCAGGCGTCAGATCGCAGCATGCAGCAGCAGCAGGCAGGATCTCATGGCGCGAGCGAGCGTGGCGCATGAATGTGAGCGGAGGGCGAAGGGCGAGCGGGCACGGATGCACCGCGCGCGAGCGGCGCCTCGTCCATCCTCCGGCACCCTCCGAGCCGGGCGATCCCCTCCGTTCGCTCGATGCTCCCGCTCTCCCTCTCGCGCGCAGCCCCCACGTCAGGCTGTACGTAACGGCGATGCTCGCCTGGGAGCAGCGCATCGTAGCGCCGTGCCTGCAGCCCGCCGAGGCCACGGCGCGTTGGCCCGACGGCCGCACCACACCGGCGCTCTCGCCGGCGACCGACGCAAGACGGATAGCTGATGGCCCCGCTCCTTGGCCCTCGCTGCCGGCACAGGGACACAGCCTTGCAGAGAGAGCAGGCACAGATCGGCACTCTCGTCGTCGCTGATGCTGCCGAGGTGTGCCGTGCGTGCGGATGGCGATTGATGGGCGGCGAAGCCTCCTGCCGCCCGCAAGCCGTGGCCGGAAACAAGACTTGCGAGCTTCTTCTCCATCTCGCGTCGATGATGCCCTCTGTGCCGGCCTCTCCACGCGGTGCCTGCGCCTCCAGCACGGATCTTTCTGTGCGGCGAGACCTGCAGCGGTGCAGGGCTGCTGCGTGCAGGGAGGGGCCAAAGGGAGGTGGATGCATCTGCAGCTGCTGCTGCTGCGCGCTGCATCTGCTGCAGGCCCACGCGCTAGCGCCGGCTGGGCATGCGGGCGCCCGCGCATGCGAATGGGCGATGGCGTGCGCTCGGCGCGGCAGCGCGGCACCGCACCGCTCTCGCGCCGCACCCGCTCTCACACGTCGAGCGCATGAAGGAGCATGCACCAACGCCGCTAGCAGCCTCGGCGTGCCGGCAGCGGAGCGGCGGGGGCGTGGATGGCAGCACACGGACAGCGGCCGCCGGCACGCAGTTTGCCGTGTGCGGGCGTCGAAGGTGGGCGCTCTCTGCACCTGCGCCTGCCGCCGCCCGCTGCGCATCCCTCCAAGCGCTGCGTGCGGCACGCAGGCACGGCGCCCCTTGCGCGCCCCTTGATGGCTAGGCACATCACTCGCAGGCGGCAGGGGCCTTCATCAGGTGCCTCACTTGGCGCCGGCCCAGGCGAGTGGGCGCGGGCGTGCTGCTGCTGCGAGCGTGCCGATCGATGATGGGCGCTCTCAGCGCTACACGAGGTGCCTGCGTCCATCAGAGGAGGCGCGCAAATGGCACAGGGATGGCGGCACGGCGGCACCCCGGGCGAGGCCGGCGGCGCGTGTCGTCATTCGCCGCCTGCCATGCGAGCGAGCTGCCGCCCATGCCGCGCCGAGTGAGGCAGCCAGCCCTCGGCGCCCCTCTCTCGCCCGCTCTGCGCCGGCGCTGCGGCCGCTGCGTGGGCTTACTGCGCTGAGCTGCCCTCTGCTGCCGCCGCCGCCGCAGCATGACTGCAGCAAGCAGCCTTCCCGCTCCGCTGCTGAGTTGCAACCCACCGCCCGTTGCCTCTTTGAGCCATGCACGACACGAGAGGCGCCGCTGCGATTCGAGCGGCGCTGTTGTGCTGGGTGCTGCGCTGCTGCCGCTGCCGCAGTGCCCGCAGCGGCCTACACTGGCGCTGCGCCATGCGCCACACCTGCACGCGCGCCCGGCAGCAGAGCGGCGGCGCAGGAGAGCAGCAGACGGCCGATCTGCCGCCTGCCGCCGTGCCCTCGCTGCTGCCAGAGAGAGAGGGCGGTGTTGCCGTCTCCCTTGCTGCGCTCTCGGCGCCCCTCGCGGCGCCGCTCGGAGGAAGCATGCAGCACGAAGCGCAGCCTGGGCGATGGCCGGTGCTTGAATGCTATTTGGTGCGCACGAGGAGCATGCGGCTGGCGAGCGTGTGAGCAGTGCGAGAGGCAGAGTTTGGCGGTGCAGCGCGGCGGCTGCGGGCGTGGCCTGACGGCGGCCTGCTGGCTGCGTGCCTTGCGCCCCGCTAGGCCTGCCACGGCGCGCCCTGCCCGCCGCATGCGTCGCCGCGCCCCTCAAAGAGCGCCGCTCCCGCGCGCCGTCGCCGTCACGCCCCAGCCACGCTCCCCCCCATCGCCGCATCCGACACACGCCCTCACACGTCGGTCCCTCTGCTCCGCCGCTGCCTCACACACAGCTGCATTCCCCACCCTGTGAGTCTGCCGCGCCCAGCACTCGCCCGCGCCCGCCAAGGCGCACCATCAGCCGGCAGCGGCACGTACCCTCCATGCTGCTGGCGGAGCTGGGCCGCTCGCACACGACCCTGCGCCGCGCAGGACGCTGCTGCGTCGTCGTCGTCGCCGTCGCATGCGCCGCGTCTCAGTGCGGCGGGGTGCGCTGCCCGAGGTTGCCCTCGGCATCGCCAGCCCCTGCCGCCGGGCGCCTCACCCGCACCCGTGCCCGTGGCGTGATGCCGGGTCGCCCTCGCGGCGCTGCATCTCCGCCATCGAAGCCGCAACCCCTCGGGGCAATCGGGTCGTGGTACGGGGGGCGTTCGCTGATGCGATGCGATGAGCCAACTCCGCCGTTGCTCTGCGCTGCTCGTCCCTTGCTGCCTCGCCTCATAAGCCCAACACCGCCGGAGAGCCGTCCCACTGACCCTCGCCTTCGTCCCTCTGCAGTCTCGCGGAGCCCCCTTTTCCCACCACATCTACCACCATGCGTTTCTCTGCCGCCACCGTCGCCCTCGTGGCGACGCTCTTCGCTGCGTCGGCCATCGCCAGCCCCATCGCTGGTGAGTGTTGTCCGCCTGGTGCCGCCGTGGTGGCTGGATGGTGCTCGACGGCCGGGCCTGTTGGTGTCGAGCCTGTGGTGGCCATCGAAGGGGTGCCAGGTGCTCGTGGTCGTCGTCGACGGTGGTCGTCATCCAGTCATGGAGCACGGTGTCATGCCGGTCTATGGTCGTCATCTGCATGCATGCGGCCTCGTGTCGCACGACTGGTGACGGCCATGTCGCCGAGGAACGATGTCGCCCGTCGGACACGGCCGTCGTCGTCACCATCGCACGGTGGACGCTGCCGTCGTGGTCGTCATCCACCACCATGGACCGTCGGCACCATGGATGGTGACGTCGGCGTCGTCGTCCGAGGCGCTGCCTCGTCGTCCAGTCGACCGACCGATGCCACGGCCGGTCGTCGCCGTCGATGGTCGTTCGCACCATGCATCCATCCCACGGACCATCGACTGCACCTGCTGACACTACGCCGCCCACAGTCAACGCCGAGCAGGTCGAGGCCCGCTGGGGCCGTGTCTCGCCGCTGAAGCGCGACGAGGCCGTCGAGGCCCGCTGGTCGCGCGTGCCGCCGACGAAGCGCGAGGAGGAGAACGTCGAGGCCCGCTGGGG